GCTTTTGGCCCTATCTTAAGCATTATTAAGCTTTTGAGGCAATTATTTATATCCATCAATTATTTGTATTACTTAATATTATCTAGATGACATCGTTGGGTTTAAAGTCTAAAAAACGGTCCAAATTTGATGGAGTCACCGTTTTTTAGACTTTAAACTCAACGATTTCTGGGATTTTCATCTAGATAATATTAAGTAATACAAATAATTAATATCTAGCCTCAAAAGCTTAATAATGCTTAAGATAGAGCCAAAAGCTATAGTAAACCGACTTGTTTAGTGATTGAATACCTTTAGCTACAGTATTTATTATATTTCCCTCAGCATACTGTAATACTTGATTATTTTTAGACAGAAATTATTTTTAAATTGAATATTTCTACTTCAGTTTGAAGAATATTCAGTGTGTTTTTTCTAGAAAATGAAAAAGAACTAGTTAGTTAAGTGTTAGGGAGTTAAGTGAGCTAAAATATAAGTGTTAGGGAGTTAAGTGAGCTAAAATATAAGTGTTAGGGGGTTAAGTGAGCTAAAATATAAGTGTTAGGGGGTTAAGTGAGCTAAAATATAAGTGTTAGGGGGTTAAGTGAGCTAAAATATAAGTGTTAGGGGGTTAAGTGAGCTAAAATATAAGTGTTAGGGGGGTTAAGTGAGCTAAAATATAAGTGTTAGGGGGTTAAGTGAGCTAAAATATAAGTGTTAGGGGGTTAAGCCAGCTAAAATATAAGTGTTAGTTAGTTAAATGAGCTAAAATATAAGTGTTAGGGAGTTAAATGAGCTAAAATGCTCAACAAATCGATTTTGTTGATTATTCTTTGTGTTTCCATAGTTTTTCTATTTTTAACATTCGAAAAATTGTTTAATAAACAAAAACATTCAAACCTTTTAATTGTTATTTCTAGTTTTGTTAAAATCGCGCAAAAATGCTCGGCACTTTTGCTGGGATTTGTGTCAAGAATGATTACCAAAAATACATCTTTCCCGGAGATTTTCTCAGATTTTGTCACGGAAATCGACCGAATAGATTTGAGCAAAAAGGGGATGACCTTGATACACAAATAAACAGCGATTACATTGGAAGGGGAGGGAAAAATCCGGCTGTATCAAAACGGGACAACAGCATCGCGGTGATAAGCCTTGTTTCCCCACTCTTCATTTTACTGTTCTCTTGATTCATTTGAATCAAAATCTCTAGACCTGTTTGAGAATCGGATCTGTGCACAATTTTTCTATTAGTTTTGTTGGTACTGTCTTGTTTTCTGTTAAGCTTTTTTCCTTGTTCGTTCTTTTTCTAATTAGAGTTGTTTTAAAGACAATTTTTCTCGATCAGACCAAGCCATCAGCAGCTCAGCCATCAGCAAGATCAGCAGGTCTTGCTCATCTGGTTTTTACTTTAGCCCACAAAAATCTCTGGACTTTGAACTTTAAACAAACAAACTTTTAAATGAACCAACCATTTTTTTTTGACTTCAACTTTGTCTAGAATTATTGCCAAAACAGAAACAATTTATTTTTCTTTTTTCCTTTTCTCGAATCTCGATTTATTTCTTATTTATAAACTTGTAAAAAAATGTAAAAAAAACTATGTAAACTATTTTGTATATGTCGTAGCCGATTATGAATTTCAGCCGATTAGGAATGAGTGGGTCTAGGAGCGTCCAACTATCAAGTATTTAGTATCATTCAACGCAGAATCATTGATAATTATGTTAAATTTTTAAAATTAGCAAGATTTGATGAAAAGAACACAAATTATGGGGCTTCAAAGTTTTCTCTTGAACAAACAGTTCTTTTGCTCTAATTTTTTTTCCTTTTCATCAAATCTTGCTAATTTTAAAAATTTAACATAATTATCAATGATTCTGCGTTGAATGATACTAAATACTTGATAGTTGGACGCTTCTAGACCCACTCATTCATAATCGGCTGAAATTCATAATCGGCTACGGGGGTCCCGCCGATTTTGAATAAAATGTTGTAGCGCCGGTAATTTTTAACCTAAACTCACAAATTTGGTACCAATCGACGCAGAATTCAATTCGCTACAAGATGATATAATATTGTCCTCATACATTAAAGGGTTGCTCTACTAGAAAGATTTGCCACAAAAATTTCATTCATAATCGGCTACGACATATATACAATTAGGTATATGTAACATTTGCCGGCAATTCGTTTACATGAAAGTTCTAGTTGAGAATTGCCCTCCTGACGTTATTGGGGGAAAACACGAATGTCTCGAAGAAATGATAAGCCTTTTAATTTCCCGCCTCTTTTTTTTTTTGACTTTAGCCTCATATTTGTTTGCTTTATTTTCATGCTCAAATAAGAAATTCGTTTTATAAAAAAAAAGCTTCTTTCGAGTCACACTCACCTTTACCCAAAAAAAAAGTAGAATCAAAAAATTATCGAAGCATGAAATCCCCTCTCTTGACAAGAAAAAGACACCGAAAATTTCCGCGTTTCCCCATAAACACAAAAATTTTAACCAAAAAAAAAAAATGGCGAAAAATGCCGAATTGAATAATCTGAATATTTTTATAAAGATATGCTTTGAAAATAAAAAGATATCTTGCAACAGCTGAGTAAAACCTTCGGGAGTGGGACAAATGCGACCTTTCGATTCCCATCCCCATCATCTTTCCCCTTTTATCATTCTTCATCATTCTTTTTTGCGAAACGTATTAGTAGGATTTGGGAAGTGGGACAAATGCTACCTTTTTTGTTTGCGCACCCGGACATTTGCGCACCTTTTTTTCCGCACCTAGCCCATTAGCGCACCTTTTTTCGCGTTTTAAAAAGCTTTAAAGCTTTTAAAAAAGCTCTAAAAGCTAATATTAACCAATTTCTATTCCAAATGTTGTTTTTCTAGGTAATTTGAGGGTGTCGAATTCAAATTTTGACATATCAGAGCTTGTGGAACCAATTTGAAAGACAAAACGGCTAGGTCAAATTACAGAAATTTCAAATTGTTGATTTTTCTCTTTGTATAACTCCGTCCGTTCTGAAACTGAGAATTTGACTCAACTCACCCTCAGCCTCAATAATTCCAATAATAGAGATCATTGTCGTCCATCGTAGACTAATTAGCATCATATTTACACACCCGGTCGTGCTACTCAATTCCCAATTTGTAGTTTTGTGTCTCACATGGGTCTAGAATAATGCGATAAGGTAAATTTGTGAATGAGTAAGTGCAAGACAGGAATACAATGGATTAACAATATTCTTAAAGGCCTTAAAAGGCATGGTTCGGGAGTGGGACAAATGCGACCTTTTTTGCGCACCCGGACATTTGCGCACCTTTTTTTCCGCACTTAGCCCATTAGCGCACCTTTTTTCGCGTTTTAAAAAATGTATAACTCCGTCCGTTCGCTTCCACAAGCTCTGATATGCCAAAATTTCGATTCTACGCCCTAAAATTACCTAGAAAAACAACTTTTGGAATAGAAATTGGTTAATCTTAGCTTTTAGAGCTTTTTTAAAACGCGAAAAAAGGTGCGCTAATGGGCTAAGTGCGCAAAAAAAGGTGCGCAAATGTCCGGGTACGCAAAAAAAAGCTCGCATTTGTCCCACTCCCCTTTCCACAGCTGAGTAAAACCTCCAATTCGAAGGCGAGTCGGGCAACTTGCCAACCCTAAATTCTAAAATACACCTGAGCTACCGTAGTCGAGACGGAAGTCAGACGGAAGACGGAAGACGGATGAGACCGTCTCCCTTTCCCCTATAAAAGAAAGTCTCATCTTTTCAAAATTCATTCTTTTAAAGAATCGTTGGCCGACTCGCCGCCTCTTTTGCGTGTGTATGTTCTCCTTTCTCAATCCCATTATAAAATACTCTTTATTGTTAAAATTTCCCTCCTCCACTTATTGTTTTCTCTTCCCTGTTTCTTTTAAAATTGTTAAAGTTTTAGGTTTGCTGTGCTTTTCTTGATTTTTTTTCCTTTGTTCGTCTTCCAACCCGTGTCTTTCATATCACCGATAACGTTATTAAAAATCTAAAAAACTTTTCTCTATCCAGTCAATCCAAATCAGCCGCGAATCGTATTGTTATTCCTCTCGTTTTTGGCAAATCATTTCAAATTTGTGTTTCTGGGTTAAAAGATTCAGCAGTTTGAGTAAGATTTCGAACCGTTTTGGAACCGTAACACGTTACTGCTGATTATTTTGCTTCGAAAAGTGCAATCAAAAGGATGAGATTGTGTTCTTGATAGTTTTTTTTTGGATCCTTTTATATTTTGGAAATCGTTTTGAAAACTAATTAAATGTTTTTCTATCAGTTCATGGAATTTCCATGCGTGCCCCTCCACCCTCAACTTCACGAAAGACTCCAAATTTTGATTTTCTTTGACACTTTTTGTAGTGAGCTAGTGTTCAGGCATATTTTTGTCGCCAAAAAAGTTTCCAGAGATTGTAAAAGGTTTTTGGTATTCTTTGAGATCATTATGGACCAGTTCCAGTATTCGTACCATTGTAAAAGTCCGTACTGTTATAGTCCGTACTGCTCAGATTCATGCCTTTTTATAAATATTAAGCAAGAGTTTTGGACCGCTATGAACTGGCTTCTTGTTGTTTCATAAGCAACATCAGTTAAGCAAAAATCATTATTAGTTCCAGCATTGATACCATTATTGAATCAGACGCTTTAAGCAAGTCTAGTGTATAGGAAGCAGCTTCTTGTGAAGTATACATGATTTTTGTAGAAAACGAATCAGTCCCACGTTTTGAACCAAACAGCTCTTGTTTTTTAAAGCTTAAAATAGCATTGTATCCATGCTTCAGAAAACAGGAGCTGTTTGCTAAAACGTGGAACTGAAGTCGTTTTCTACAAAAAGTCTTTCGTGAAGCTTGCGAGTGACCCTTTTCTCCTCTCCCCCACCACCCTCAATTTTCCTTATCACTGCCGACCCGAGCCCCATTTTTTTTTGACTCAAATTCCCGAATGCTATGTTGATTTGCAATTTTTTTTAAATTTAATTAAATTATATTAAATCTATTCAGACAATGGATCGACCGTTTACCCAGAAATTTCTCCCTCCTTACTTTAAATATCCGGTATTCGCTTTTTGTGGCTTCGAACTATTATTGTCGGCTTGCGTCTTGGCCATCTCTGAAGCCTATTACAGGAAGGGGACGATCATCTTGCCCATCTCATACGATATGTTTCAGGTGAGAGCTTAAGTTTCTTTTGATAGACTTTTGAAAAAATCGTTTATTTATTCATTGCAACTCGTTTATTCATTGCAAAATATGTAGAGAAATAGTTTTTTTAAAAAAGCAAAAAAATTTGATGAGAGTGGGACTCGAACTTGGGCACAATAGGTTGTAATAGGTTTGGTGGTCAAACAGATTATCTACTAGATCACCGAATCAGTTGTTGAGTGGGTGTGTGATGGCTTCTTAAAAAAATTTGAAGCGCTTTTCAGGATACTCTACGAAAAGAGGTGCCGAATTTCGAGTGGACCGACACGATGCGATCACAACTTGAACTGGTTTTCTTTCATAAAATTTAAATAAAAGAGAACAAAAATTTTGCAGTACCGCTTCAAGTTGATGGTTTTGTGGGCAATCTCGGCAATTGGTGTGACAATCTCGATGCTTTACGTGATCCCGCAATTCTTTGACTACAATGATAAACGCGGGAATCGGAGTCAATTGGTGAGTGAAAAGGGTATCAGATAGAATATCACAGCCTTTTTTTTTTCACAACAAGTTGCCAACATCTTCAGTTGTGTTCGAGTTTAAACGAATCTTCAAAGTTTTTAAATTCAAAACTCTCTTTACAGTGTCTAGTGAGGCGACGACTCGGCTGGATTCTCTTCTTCATCATGGCCGCCTATGTAACGATTTTTGGTTGGAGTTTAGATAAAATCATCTAACACTTTTAAAAAGTAGCATAATCTTTTAGGTTTTTTAGAGAAATAAGCTAACACTTTTAACAATTAACATCATTTTTTTTTAGGTCTAGCAATAATCTGGGCTTGGTGCGGGTGTCGATCGAGCTATCAGCTGTTTCACGAGAAATTCGAGGCTTGTCAAAAGGTGGGTTTCAAGCTAAATCAATGCTTTTGTTCAAGAGTTACTAGAATTCAAAAATTCTCGGCATCTAAATCTTCAAATTTTCATATAAATCCCATGGATTTTTAAACCAGAATCTTTTTTCTTTCGAAGATATAAACAAACAAAATCCACAACTTTGCAGACAAGAAGCCGGAGAATAATTTTTGCGATAAAAGTTCATAAAAACATGGAGAGTGAGAGGAATTTGCGAGAGTCGGGAGTTGCGAGAGTCGGGTAGTTGCGAGAGTCGGGTAGTTGCGAGAGTCGGGTAGTTGAACGATAAGCCTAAGCCTAAGCCTAAACGATTTTCTGTTGCCAGCTCAAATTCGGTTGAAAGCTTGAAAGAAAGCTCAGACATCTAGGGGGAAAGTTGAAAGTTCAAGCTCAAGAAATCAAAAGCTAAACTCTATGCTAAACCGTCGAAGTTTTAATCATTCTTCTACTATAGCTTCTACAATAGCTAATAGCTTCAATAAGCTAACTATACATGAAGCAAAAGGTGCAAAGTCTATAGAGTTTAGTTCGATAGGCTTTGGGAAGAAACGAGCTCCTTCTGATGTACTTAAGATCTTCTAAGAATTTACTTGCGAGAGTGTAAACATCGAAACGCCTCCTTTCACTTGTTTTTTTTCCATTTTTTACCACGATGATACATTGATATTGCAAAAAAAATGGGAAATTAAGTACGCTAGAAGGGGTACGTCTCAGTATCTAAAGTATCTGATGCTCCAAGAAACAAGTTTGGCTCTCTAAAATTGCCGCTCTTTATAACACAATTGAATTCATCGTAAATTGATTAGAGGAAAGTTTACAGAAATTTCGCTCGATTTAGTTTTCACAATATTTTCAGGAAGAGCAATACTTGGACCAAATCGAGAAAGGCTTCAAATGCGTGAATGATGATGATAGAGAGGTCGATGATCCCGCGAATGTATGCATGCTGTTTGCCATTTTTATTTTTAACATTTCATTTGGCATTTCATCAACTATCCGTCAAACTTTAGCCTTTAAAAACGTAAAAAGTGCTTGATTGTGAGTAGCATGTGAATGAGCAAGTAGCATGAGTAGTTTTTGGAAAAATCGCAAAATTATGTATTAGGTACATGCATATGCGGATTTCAACATTTTTGATAAATTTCCAACGATAGAAACGTGATATCGATGAATGTTATAAACTATTTGAAAGTTGTAAATCTCGTCTACAAAATCAGCTAAAACGTTTTTTGAATTGATCGAAGCATTGAAGAAATTTCGGGCGATTGAAGAGGGCGAAATGCGAGTGACCAAAAAAGGAATCGAGTCACTTTAGGGACAAGTTTAGTGTGTTCAAAATAGAGTTAGCTTCTCAAAATTGAAGATTTAAAGAAAAAAGGATAACTATATATCAATTCATTAGAAAAATCTAACGAAATTTTACAGAAATGACCAAAAAAGGGCACTTTTCCAAAAACCCCACTCTCACAAGAGCTCGGTTTTGGCTATATAGTGGAAGATGAGCGCTCTAAAATATCATTCAAATATCATTCAAAATAATTAAGAGTTGGGATCATTTCATGGGAAAACTTTGTTTTTACAATAATTTTTCTTTTTTTTTGTGAAAATGCCGGTTTTTTTTGACAATTTTGAGGGTTTTGAACTTACGCTCTATCTAAATTTCTGTAAATGCATTTCCGTTAGACTTTTTTTTAATGAATTCATATATAGTTATCCTTTTTTCTTTAAATCTTCAATTTTGGGAAGCTAACTCTATTTTGACCACACTAAACTTGTCCCTAAAGTGACTCGATTCCTTTTTTTGGTCACTCGCATTTCGGCCTCTTCAATCGCCCGAAATTTCTTCAATGGTTCGATCAATTGAAACATATTTTAGCCTATTTTGTAGAGGAGATTTACAACTTTCAAATAGTTTATAAAATTCAGGTTTAATTACCCAAGTTCGAGATGGAATACCAAACCTGAGATGTCTTCCGGCTACCATCCGCTCCACCCGTTGCCACCGCCACGATGGAGACCGCCCGACTTTGCGTTCGACGTCTGGCCAAGGCCAAGACGAGTCGGACCGGCCAAGCAGCTCGACTCGTCCTACCACGTCGTCGAAACACGTTTTAGCCGATTTTGTAGAGGAGATTTACAACTTTCAAATAGTTTATAACATTCATCGATATCACGTTTCTATCGTTGGGAATTTATGAAAATGTTGAAATCCGCATTTCTTATGCATTTACCTAATACATCTAACTTTCATCCAAGAATCGATTTTGCATGCCTTTTTTTTGCATTTTTTGCATTATCTTTTACTTTTCAAGATTTCCCCCAAAAACAACGACATTGAGGTGTTTGAGGTAAAGAAATAACTGGAATGATTTGTGTTTTGTTTCAGAAATCTTTTCAAACTTCTCAAAGAAATCATAAACTTGAGAAAAAAAATGAATCGAGAAAGGCTACAGCAACTCTACAATAGCTACAATAGCTTTACAATAGCTACAATAGCTCTACAACTGCCAAGTTTCTGATTTCTTCTAAATCTTTTCCCCATAACTTTGAGAAAAACTAATATGATAAATTATAGAAGACGAAAAAATTCGAATTTTTAGAGATGTTACTTCCAAGCGCAAAGCTCATTCTTGAATCCTTTATGGATGGACGCGATTCTGATCGCGTATTTCCTCGGACACGCGCTCGTCATTTTGCTCATCCCGGTGCTCAATAAACGTGAGAGTTGTTTTTTTAAATTCAATTAAAACTTCAAAAAATCCAGCTCACTTAAAAAAAAATTCAATTGTTGATGCTCATTTTAAGATTTATTTGATTGGCAACTTGAAATTTGGTACACTTTTTCCCATAAAATATATTTAAAACGCTAATTGAATTGGACTTTTCTGAATAAAATTTATATGTCGCAGCCGATTAAGGATTTCAGCCGAAGAAGTCTCAGACTTCTTCGGCTAGCCGATTAAGTCTCAAACATGAAATCTTGAGTTATGTATTGACTCAAGTCAATACCACAAACTCAAGCTCTCAAAAAGGCGCTTAAAAGCTAAAAACGCTCTCTAAAAGCTCTCTAAAAGGCGCTAAAAACTAAAAACTAAAAACTTGTAGTGCTATTCTCTCTTGAATTGAATCAAGAGGTGCTTTACAATCATGGGATCAAAGGCAATTTGGACAAACCTAAGAAAGTCGTCAAGAACGAGGAGCTCTTTGGCCGGTTAACGATCAACAGAAATTAGTGTAGCTTAAACAAAAAATGCACAGTAACAAAAAGAAAAAATAGGATTGAAATAAGGGGTTATGTTCGATTATAAACAGGTTAGTGCTAAATAAGTTTTATCGATGATCCAACAAAGGGGCAAATTGACTTACAAAAACAAACAATTCTATTTCAAATAAATGACGAATCAGATAGAAAATGGCGAAAAGGGCCCTTTCATAGCCTTTGGTTACAGTATGATAAAATGCGCACTCTTTAGAATGCGTTTTTAGCTTTTAAGCGCCTTTTAGAGAGCTTGAGTTTGTGGTATTGACTTGAGTCAATACATAACTCAAGATTTCATGTTTGAGACTTAATCGGCTAGCCGAAGAAGTCTGAGACTTCTTCGGCTGAAATCCTTAATCGGCTACGACATATATATTATCTAATTTAAGAAATGCTTACGCAAATTTGGGTAACTTTTGAAACAAATTTGAGCAGAAATTCAAGTTTTTCTGAAAATTCTTCAAATGGAACTCTAATAAAAACGATTTTTATTAGATTTAACTGAAAATTTGGCTATTTATCTACCATAAATACTGTAATAGTGCCCCAGCCCCATAATGACGGTGCGGAGTGTTGCGTAGTCTAGCTTTGAACGAGTTTTTCTCGACACTGGTTTATGCTACAATGCGCGCTTAGGTATCAAAAAATAGCCCTGAATTTCAGCTATTTTTTGATAAATTTAAAAAGCCACTTTGTAAAGCATAGAAATGATTAAAAAATTAAAACAAAGTTTTTTATTTCAAAAGTTGATGAAATGCTATCAAAATTCATTCAATTTAGATTAAGATTTTGGATAGATTTTGGATAGATTTTGGCTTATTTTCAAACTAGTAAGCTGAATACTTTTTTAAGCTTTTATTAAACTTTTATTAAACTTTTATTAAGCTTACTATAGACCGAAGCTTTAAAGTTGGCTTTACTTACAGTAAAATGTTAGTGCTCATTGTTAAGTGACAGTTTACTGATAAAGAAAGTATGGATAAACTTCTAAACGTTCCTAAATTCTAAGCATTAAAGATAGAATTCTCAATGACACATTCCACATCACTTAACAATGAGCACTAAAATTTTACTGTAAGTAAAGGTTACTTTAAAGCTTCAGTCTATAGTAAGCTTAATAAAAGTTTAATAAAAGCTGAATAAAAGCTTAAAAAGTATTCAGCTTACTAGTTTGAAAAGCCTTAATGTAGATTGAATGAATTTTGATCCCATAAGGCAAAAAAAGGTTTTGGTGAAAATCAAAAATCCCAATTCTAGTATAATAAGCAAAAATGTTTTGACAACCTGAATTTTTGTTTTCCTTTTGGGTTTAAACCTGTAGAGCTCCAGTGTTAACCTGTAGAGCTCTTCGTAGCTGTCCTTTTGACTGCAGAGAGTGGACTGCCGAGAGTTCGCGATGATTCCGAAAAATTGACAAGAGCTATTTTATTGAAATTGCGTTTTTTCTTTTATCTGGATATCACACTAGAATTTTTAGGATTTCGATTTTCGATTTTCACCAAAAAGTAAATATTTGTACTCGATCTTGATCTCGATTTCAGAGTTGATCAAGGACGACGACGAGGACAGTCTCTACGGGGTGAAAGAGGAGGAAAAGGAGAGTCTCGAGGCTTGAAATCTATTCACTTATCTCAATTTTTGCCTCATTTACCTTTTTATCCCTTTTCTGACACATTCCAAACGGGTTTCCCCCACTCTCAGTTGCCTTGTTTAGTCGATTTCTTTTCTTATTTCTTTTCAATAATCCCCTTTTCTTTGCTCTTCTTTTTGCTACCCGATGTGGTGCTTTAAAAAAAACTTATTCAGCTAACTATAAGAGTCGATATTAAATGTGTTTATTGTAACGAGCAGATTTTGGCTTATGGTTAGCAATTTTTTTGCTTTGATCTAGCGGATAGTGTGCCAGTCTGCTGATTAGCAAATTTTAATGCCAGGCTTTAGATCTTGTCTGGTTCAACTTGGCTGACCTTATTGTGGAGCTATTTTTAGAGTTGAGCACAACCAGCAGACTGGCACACTATCCGCTAGATCAAAGCAAGAAAATTGGTTAGGCGAGGATTCGAATCCAAGCCAAAGGACTTCATAGGTTTTGTAGACTAGCACACTTTCAGGTAGGGTCAACGATATCCGAACATTACTGGGAAGCGTCGAGGTGAAGAGCGCTTTCGACAGCCTCGACACCGAGCCTATCCACTAGATCACACAAGCCTTTGGGAGTTTCCTTTTGGCGGCCTCCAAAAGTCCGGAGTCCGAAATTTGAGCGAATTTTCTACGCCAGATTCCTCGCGATTGTGTCGGTGTTTGCAGCTAATTTTTACAGCCTCAGAATCAGCATAGGCGATTCTATAGGATGCACTCGGTCACGAAGCGATTCTGAATATCTGGTGTCATTCTCTTCTAAGGAAATGATTACTAATAAGCCTGTCTTGAGCTTAATCCTAAAATTGAGTCAGATCCAGATTTGGCAATTAGCCAGAAGCCATACCAGCGCCTAGCCTAGCCCCGAAAACTCGTTTTTAAAACTTTAACAACATTTAACCGTGCTCTTTAGTTCATAAGCCTAGCATCATCAAATCTAAAGCTAAATGATAAACATAGTTTCATTCTTGGATTCATCTCTGTATATTCTTCTAGTCAATCGTAAATATTCTTTCTTTTTATTGAGATGAGACGTTACGGGATCGCCCTCAAAAAAAATGAAAATGAAAATGAAAGTCCTGTTTGCTCAGTGTGAAATTTATAGTTTTTTCTTTTTATAATTTATAGTTTTGTCCTACTACTACCCATTTTATTTCTGCTCAAATCAGAGTTGTTTTTTTTCTTTATTTTCCCCAAGCTCTACTCTCAAAAATCTCTTCATTTCTCGAATTTGCTCATTCTTGTACTCAACAACTTTTCGTAACATGAGTTATGATAAAATTTCAAAAGACTCTTGAAAAGTTATGCGAATAAAAATGAATAAAAGTTGTTTTGTGAACAAATGAGTTTAAAAATCATCTTCAAAGTAGTCAAAGTAGACAAAAGACAAAGTAGACAAAAGACAAAGTAGACAAAAGACAAAGTAGACAAAAGACAAAGTAGACAAAAGATAAAGTAGACAAAAGACAAAGTAGACAAAAGACAAAGTAGACAAAAGATAAAGTAGACAAAAGATAAAGTAGACAAAAGATAAAGTAGACAAAAGATAAAGCAAAAAAATTAGCTTTACTTTTAAAAACGAGCAATCAATAGATGACAAAGTCAGTGAAAACGGCAAAATGATCGCTCGGCCAATCGTTTTTTTGGTGATTCGGCGAGATGTGAATCGGCTCACTCCCGCCATAGAGCGCCGAGCTAGAGATTTGCATTTAAAGGTTTAAATCGATAAATTCACAATAAGCTTTTGAAAAGCTTTTGAAAGCATTGGAGATTTTGTAGGAGTTGTATCGAAGTGTTGAAAAACTTTAAGCGAGAAAACTTGTCAACACTCACCGATTAGCACCGATTGGTCCTTGATAAAAGATGAAATCGATTCGATCTTGTGGCTCAGGCAATTCATAATTCCACTCGTTGTTCCCCTTTTCCACCGCCGACCAGGTTCTACCTAAAAACTTTATAACTACTAAACTGAACTACTAAAACTGAACAAGTGGATAACTTTATAACTACTAAAACTGAACAAATGGATTGTCTTCAAGTCAAGAGTCTTGTGAAAACTCTGTTTTTTATCTTCTGTATCCAAACCATTCGAAACCATTCACTGCATCATATTTTCGTCGTAGTACGTCAAATAGTACGTCGTAGTACGTTAATAGTTGAACTTTATCAAGTTGTAGCCATCAAATTCCTCTAACGTACACGGTTTTGTCAATGGATCCGGGTAGATCTCTCGAAAAGAGTCGGTGAAATTCGCATCGGTCATCATTTTCGTCGCCGGCCACTCGAAAGCCCAGCCACAATGACGGTGTCTAAATTATGAGGAAACTACCGTGACCAGAATATTATTTTTTCCCCACCTTGCCGCTTCGATCCAATCGAGATGACTAGGTGAATTGAAATCCCCGGCGACGATCATCGGCTCGGTGTCGAGGCTGTCGAAAGCGCTCTTCACCTCGACGCTTCCCAGTAATGTTCGGATATCGTTGACCCTACCTGGAAGATTAAATTCTTTGGAAATCTGTAAAATTCAAATACCTACTTGCTTCTTTTTCTCCAAACGGTGCACTCTCGCCAACCATGATGATGCTCGCATTTTTCACCATTCCATTACAAGCCGCATACGGACCATAGGCTCTAAAGGCTTTTTCCATAGTGATTTATCGATTTAAAGCTGTTGAGAGCTCGATTTAGTCTTTACACTTTACGGTAAGATTGATACGGATTACGGTAAACCGGGTTGGGGCACGCTTTAGAGTGACTACCCAGACAGTTTACCTGTAGTCAGCGTGCATCGACCATGCGTTTACTCGAAGCCCAGATGGCAGCTCAATGCGGGCATACATTGCAACAGTTCCACTCGTTGATGTGTTCAAGATCTTAACTTGGTTTCTTGTAAGGTTTCAGTTAATAATTGGTGATGGTTTGGGGCTCAAATCTGGAAAAAGTATGCCAGAAAAAGAGCCGACCTACAACGTGCATTTTCCTACCATAAACCACCTTCTATTCGACATTAAAATTGATCAATATACAAGTCTAATCAAAATCATTAACTTTAAAAAATGCCATACTTTGTGTTTTGTCAAAATGGCCGTATCGAAGCCCGACTCGAAAACGTATTTCCACAGAGTCGCATTGGCCAAATTTGTAATGATGTCTTCCGCGGTCACTTCATAGTGAATCTCCTTTAAAAAAACATATCTTCATTCGAAACGCCGATGTACTTGAATTGTTAGAATATCCGGATCAACGATCTCTACGTGTTTGGCAATTTTCTTTACTCCATCATCGACATGATTCCCGTCCATCCAAATGTTCATGGTCATTACCCGAAAACTAAACTGGGTGACATTCCTATCAATTCCAATGGTCACACGCACCTATCTTTGGAGAAAACAAAAGTTGGAAATGCAATAAAAATCAAGCAAATCATTTCAGAGCACTCAAACGACTCAAACTCAAATCAAACTACTAGCCTCCCAAAACAAAAGCTTTAATCCTCGCGAAAAAAAACGCACGGAAATTGGCGGAAATCACCCCAAAAAGCTTTTTGATTTTTGTTACTCTGTTATTACGAACGATTTGGGAAATAATTTATACATACAAATAGCAGATCTAAAAATAAAAACAAATCACAAACACTTGGTTAAAATTTTAAGAATGACATAACTACATACATTTATGGATAACATCGATCTTCAATCGGCCCTGCTGGATCATCTTGTGGTTGGGTTTCTCGTTCGTCATATTTCAGAAATTGATCCACATCCGTTAGTACCTAAAATAAAAGACATACATCTGGAAAACAAATAAAAACTAACGCGAAAGAATGTCGTGCCCATCGTCGAATTGCAAATGTCGCGGAAAGAAATCCTACAGATAAATAGTTAGTGAAATTCATGACCCAGGCAAACTTTTCTTTATTCGCACATCCAATCACATCCCAGAATTCGTAGGTCAGCAGATCATCGACATCAGGCATCGTAAAAATATCTGCACGATTCATTGCTTGCAAGCGATCTATGAGGCTGCAGACCAATGCTCTAAAGTTTTTCCCAAGATAAGAATTAGTTTTCAAAAATTCACCTCACATCACTGAGTGAAATAAAGCCATCACCATCGGAATCAAAAATATTGAAGAAGTATCTCCACGCAGCCATCGTATCCGCATGTTGAAATGCTAGTATAAAGTCGCAAAAGCCCTAGAAAAAGTTTATTGAAGTAGGCTACTTGTCAATACCCCAAAATCCATTTCTCCGTTTGCATCGTAAACATTTGTTTGTGCAAACACTCGGCCAATAAATTCAGGATTAAATTCAGAGAAAGTCTAAAAAGTTTTATCAAGGCAAACAATTCTGACTTACCATCAATTCCGAGGCACTAATTAAACCGTTGCAATCCAGATCCAATTGTTTGTAGGTGGCCAGAACATAATCAAAGTTTTTCCGAGAAAACCTAAAAATTTCTAAAAAGTTGGAAAAAGATTATAAACTACCAGTTATCAATATCATCCGTATTTAAAGCGTTTGTCATCTCCTGGTAGAAACTGAAGAGAAAGAACATTTCAAATATTATCATCAAAGACTTACCCGCTAGACAGAATATCTTTGACAGGGTAAACTTTTAACAGCATTGGATCGATGAAGAAAGAAAATTTGTGCTCATATAAACAAGTCGCATATTCCAATTCATCCTGCAAGTTAAACTTTAGCATTTTTTAAAATTCCAAATTAAAACCTCAGTAAAATTTGTCTTTTCTCTGATCCATTGCGTTATATATTGCGAAAAATCCTGAAAAGAAAGTTCGAAAGCTTTTTAAATAAAACAAACGATGCTGCGAATCATCGTGCAGTTGTCCTTCGCAAAAGCGATTAACTTCCATCGTTCAATTAAACAATTGTGGATCGTGACAGCAATCAAGCAAAAATCCTTAATCGAAAATTAGTTTGTTCAAAATATTTAACCCACCTCTGATTGCACCCGAAAATGTGGACTACCGAAAAGTTTCATTATAGTCAAAATGGCAGCTGGCGATGACAGTCGTTCTCGATACCATTCCGGACATGTGGAGTCAGCCAATGCGTTCTAAAAACAACGACCTGGATCTTCGTTAATAAACAAAAAAACTGACTTTTATTTCTTGTATGCTAAGGGAGAGTTGTCCGGTCTTTTTGCAAATGCTCGCATGTGATGGGATTTTTTCGAGAAACGCCTAAAATCAAAAAAATCTTAACATAAAACCCTGACATTAAACTATCCGCCGAAATTGATAAACCTTTATCTGCTCATTTGTCGGGATCCGTTCTCGGTCCTTGTCTAAGAGCTCACAAACGGTCGATATGCTGAACTGTAGTGATAAGTCGGACGTGCACGGCGCATCGAAATTCGGTGTGGTCATCTAAAAAATAGGTAAACTGGATAGAAAAAGGTCTAAAAAAAAGAAATAAGCAAAGACAAAGTTACCCAGAGAGAATGCAAAGCAAAAACGATAACTGCGAGCATCGCTTTTTTAATAATTACATTAAAATATTCACGATATTCAGCTATTCAGCCAAAATGTAAAGCCTTTGAGAAAGCAAAGTATATTTTTGCTCATTCTGCACTTTTTGAATGAACGCTTTACGCGGCAAATCGATGTTTCGCTCGCAAGAGAGGAAGAGACGGGGGCGAAACGGGGTAAAGGATTGCAAAACCTTGCAAAACAGGCAGCTATCGTTAGTCGTTAAAACCCTTACTATCCTATAGGTTCACTGCCCAATGTTTACTTAACATATGCAACTAATAGTAAGCACTAAATTTTGCGGTTTGTAAGTCGATGCACCTCTATAAATTACCCAAACAACGACAATAAACAGGCATTACATCATGTTTTTTGCATTCTTGATTGCGTTTGCTCCAAAGTACTCTTCCGTAGATCTTATGTACCTAACAACAGCATTTGTTTTCAATTTCACGACTTTACCTCTACTGGCTTTTGACGACTCTTCCCACACAGTGTGTTTGTGTTATTGTTGAGTGCCCCCGAGCTTTCTTTTCTGGCCAATTTATCGATTTTTGCTTGCTTACTCCCAAACTCTCTTTTTCACTTGACCGCTAGGTGACATTGTAAACTTTTCTTGCTAGTTTCTTTTCTAAACTTAGTTTGCTTGCTAAGGTCTTTCTGTTTTCAGAGCAAGTCGAGATGGGCCAGCGTGATCGAAAATCAAAGCAACAACAACAGCAGCAAAGTCAAAAAACGCACGGCCAAGGGAATGCTCTCACGGATGGCAATGTCGTTGAACGACTGCGACCGGGTTTGTGCTTTTGGAGGTGAAGGGTTTGTAATTGTGTTAAGCTCTATCTGAATTATTTCTGTTATGGTTTTACCAAAGATAGTTTTGGAGAAGTAAACATTTTTAGGTAGGCACTTGTGCAATTGTCAAGCGCGAATACATGGCTTGATACGCAATTGTCTTGGATGTGGAAAGGTTAAATAAATCGCGAGTAGTTTTTATTCTTTCTTTTTAGATTATTTGCGAACAAGAAGGAAGTGGTCATTGTTTAACATGCGGCAGACTTGTTTGCACCAAAGAAGAGCGGGAGGTTTGTTTTTTGACCAAAAACATATCTTAATTTGTTTTTTAGATTCTCGAAAGAGGATCTCGCAAATCGGCCGAACTCTACAAGAAATTGACGGGCGAAGAATTGCCGATTAGTGGCGCCTTTTCGCTTACATTGATCGGACGGGATGTCGAAAATGCTGTTAGTTTTCGGGATCGCCTACTACAAGCGGATGCTGATACGTAAGTAAAAAGTTGCAAACATTATCAGGTTTAATTTTAGAGAACGCCGAACTCGGGTCAACGATTTGGAAGGAGACTGTTTAAATATCGATCGTAATCCATACGTGACAAAAGAGGTTTCATTGTTTTTCCAAAATGCCGAATTCAATGTTCAGGAACGTGAAGCAATTCTACAAAGAAGGGAAGAACTTCGTCGTATTCGAGATGAGAGAAAACGTGCTTTGGTTGTGGACATTGATTTGGAAGGAAAAACAGCTAGAACAGTGGTCGGTTTTAATTTGCTAAGCGTATAAAAGGGTTTTCAGGCTGCCGATCCTCGTGCCACGGATCCGGCTTACGATCCTGTAATTCGTGCTATTTTGGATAAATCGGAAAGTCGCAAAGGAAACTTCGAATTTAATTCTGCTACGAGCGCTCAGTGGGAGCCTAAAGGATTTGTGCCCAAGGTTGTTTTATCTCGCTTTTTAAAAATTTGTTTTTTTTAGTACGCCAACAAAGGTAGTCTTACGAAACCATCTACTACTGAAATTGAAGAAGTGTGCTTGGCTAACGAGGAAGTTATGTTTATGGAGGTACAAATTTTGATTATTTTGTAATTTTACCGAACTCTTTAGGTTGAACGTCAAGCTTATACAATTGCTCTACCACAACCAGCTGCTTGCTGTTTAGCCAACGGGCTTGTAAAGTATGCGTAATTTTAATAAAGAAAATTGTTTGGTTCAGATACATTCGCTGGCAAGAAGATCTACATCTGAAGGGCCCTTTATATGTCTGTGCAATGGCATCGGCAACAAATCCAGAAGAAATTGATGCGTTTCATCAAAAATACGTAAATTGTAAGTACACTTTTTGTTAAGTACCATAAAATCGTATTAGCTACAACATCCGCGCCATTGGACTATTCATCTGGCTCAATCCAAGGAAAAATTTTCCTCGAAGAGATACTGACTATAAAGGAGTTTAATGACGAGGTAAATTGATGTTTTTAATCGAAAAGATGTGTACATTTAGATTGGAAGCAATCAAGCGATATTTGGAAGTGGCGATTTTGTCCTGGCATTCTCTCAACACACCCCGCTCACAATTTCTGTGCCTCATATCCCACCGTCCGAATTTTTCCAACTAGAACGCTCGCTGCGAGAAGCACTTACACAAGTTTTAAGCTAAATGTTTTTTGTTATGATGGGTTGAGTTTTGGTGAATCCTGTGATATATTTCTCCAATAAAGTTTATTATCACCTCATTTTGAGTCAATTCTTGTTCTCGACAATATTACTTAACTTGATTGTTTTAAGGAGTTTAGTTGCTTTTTGACGTTTGGCTTATGACCCTTTTGCAGAGAACTAGTAATTCGACGTAAAGATGGCTGCCGTTGACGCAAATGTGCAAATTGCACACGATCCGTTCTTGGGAATGGCCGAAGAGGATGTTGGTGGATTTTTCAAATTTTTTTACTTTTGTTTAGGAAAAGTTCTACAAGGGTTTGGCAGCAAAGACTCTTGTCACTGGACTGACCTACCCAATCACTGTTGTTAAGACCCTCATTCAGGTTTATTTTAAGGGATGTTTGTGAAAATTTCTATTTTAGCTTGGACACGAACCATTTCCACTTTCAACTGGAAAGATCTTCGTCTTCTGTGGCCGAAATGCCTACTTTTTACCAAACGGGTTTAGCTATGGTTTGTTTTAAATAACGCTGCTCTTATTAATGAAAATGATAGCAAATTCAGTGATTCAATTCTTTCATTTAGCCCAACAACTCGCTCATGCAAAGGGCCTTTCTATTCTATGGACTGGACTTGATTCGGCTCTAGTTTCTTTCGTTGTTGGTGGAGTTGCTGGTCATGTTGCTACCAAGGTAAATTTAATTTGAGCGTTTTGTCTAATTGCATGTAATGTACTCTGACAGTTGACAATTGAAAATTAAAAGGAAATCTATTACGCAACCCGTAACGTTTATTCAAGACACACAAAATTTGGTGGGCATTTTTTGAAGGAGATTGGGCTTATTGAATAAAGCGATGATTTCTCTAGATGGGTCCCATGTAGCAGGAAACGTCAGTGCGGGGCTTGGTCACTCCGGGGGGAAGCTGTTGCTGTTGCTGTTGCGATTGCGATTGCGATTGCGATTGCTGCTGTTGTTGTTCGCCGACACCACTTCCCGACTGTTGTTGTGCTCTTTTAGCTGCTTCACCATATGCGTACTCCTCGCTAAAAATGAAAAATATTACCAAAAGGAATAATGAATGAAAATAAAGGGCCTAGTAACAATAAAGTGAATCAAAATAAAACAAAGTAACAACAAGTCAAAAACCCTCACCGAGCATATCCATGTCCAGCGGTCGATCCTCCGCAATAGGCTCCAACTCCCATGTAGGCCGACTTGTCTCCCATGATGAATGAAGATTAGCGGTGTAGAGGCTGATCGAGAATGAATGATGAGATGACCAAGAATCTGCTTGTTTATATATGAAACGATAAATGCAAATTTGGCCCCTTCCAGACAAGATGCAAATTTCAGTCTAGTATCTCCTAGCTAGGGTTGAAAATCGGCTTTGCTTGGCTCATAGCAAGTACTTTTTAACTCACAATCTATACTTCACAAATTTATTCGAGTTATAAAAAGTCTTAATGAGTCGCGTAAGAAAAGATATCACGATATCGATTTCAGTTCCTCAACGATCACTATCCAGCTGTTGGTGGCTCAGCCGAATTCGAAGGAAAAGAAGAGAAGGTGAGGGTTTCTTGCGTTCCTCATAAAATTTGTATTTTTTAGAACATGACTGATCATGAGTCATTCCGCCGTATGCTTCGGGCAGCTATCCGTGATTCGACCGTCCGCACTTTTGCCGTTGCTTGCGCTCGACCATTCACAGGTATTGTTTTTTGGCAATATTCATTCCATAAACTTTTTTAGTTGTCTGCATTCGACAAGTGGCCCAAGTCATCGGCGGTGAGACAAAATATCAGTCAGTCTTCCATGGTCTGCGTCTTGTTGGAGTCGAAGAGGGACCAGGTGGTCTTTTCAGGTTTGAAAGCTTGTTTATCAACGCACTTAAATTTGCTATTTATTTAGCGGCTTTATTCCTCAACTTCTTGGAGAACTCCTTGTTATTTGGGGCGTCCATTCTCTTACTTACTTCGCCGAGCGTGCTATCATTCGTTCAGGACTTTATGAGAAGGCTGCTGAAAATGAGCAAGGACAAAAGGTTGATTAATGTATGATTAAGCATAGAAAATATTTACTTTTAGGAACTTGATGACGTTCGCAAGGCTGTTCATTTCATTGTGCCATTTGTCGTCAACTCTGCTGCTTACCCATACTCGGTTGTCTCAACGGTGATGGCCGTCGCTGGCTCCGGACTTGCTGTCTCATTCTTGCCTTACAGGTGTGTTTTGCTGTACAAAAAATATTTCTAATTTTTATTCTTCTGACGTATTGAATTTTAGTCCTGCCTTCCCCAACTGGATGAACGCTTGGGACTACCTCAAACCACACGGCCTGAAACGTGGAGCTCGTCTCTTCCTTCGTGAACAAGTAAATTAAAATCATTTCAATTTTCTGTTAGTCAAAGTTGTTCTGATTGAGTTGTTTTATTTAGATTGGAGCGGTTTCTGTTGGAAGTGATAAGCAGCTCTATGCCACCAACCGTCATTTTGTCTGAACAGTAAATTTTTCCATGATAAACAAAAAGATCCTATAGAAAACTAAAGCCAAACCCCCTTTATAGTTTTTCCTCCCCTTATAGTTCTTGAAAATATTTTCTTGTTCTTGATTAAAGATTTTTTTAGCACACTCCACCGATCACTACTTCATCCAGAAGCCGTCTGCAGATCTGCGATTGTCTAAAATATTTTTTTGTTTCATAGTATTTTTATGTGTTTACTTATTTCTCGTTCATAGCTATGTATTAACTATTTTTAGCAATAGTTCAGGTGAAAACTCTGCATAAAGAGTGGTATTGTATCTCTAAACATGTTTAATGTAGTATTGTCTCCCCTATACGAGCTGAATAAAGATTGCGAAATTTCACAAAGAAAGCTCCACTAGTATCACATTTTTTTAAAGTTTCCCAAAAGTCATATAAGAAGAAGCCGATGCAAATGTGGGTCATCCTTGAGCCACTTTCGCATTGAAAGGAAAAGGTTGTGAGTGAGTCTCCTCACTCACAACCTTTTGATACTTTCACCTCTTTGAGCTTTCAAATGGGTAAGAAGTTCCTGACCGGTGGGTGGGGGAAATGAATGACTGGAAGGGAGAAAGACTGGATCTCGTCCATCTCCCTTCCACTTTGAATGAATCAAGTTCTACTCCTCCACTACTTGAATACCATCTCTGCATGACCAATATTGGATTTCTGGATTTCTCATTCCAATTCGCCCCCACTACTTACAACTTTTTAATGGAGCTTTTTAATTCGGCGAACATTTCGGCGAAGAATTTTTCGTAAATGCTTGCCCATTGCCGAAAATTTCTCGATCGATATGTTTGAGCTTATATTCTTTTTGATTCTTTTGATATATTCAGGTAAAAAGGTTTACAATTTTTAAAAACTTTTTTTTTGGATACAGTTGACTCTGAGATCAACTCGTCGGCCGATTTGAACTGCAATTTTGCGGTCGATTGTCTCTGGCGAAACGGGACGAATGGAGTTGAAGTGGGTGGATCTAACAGAAAAAGTTCGAAGCGTAGAGAAGTCATCATTTTTCTTGCTCAAAGATCAAGATTTAAATGCCAGTTTAGCTAAAATACGGGAACTCTGAAGCTTTTGCACTTCAAGTTTTACGGAAATATTTCCACTTTTCAAGTTCTCATGTTGAAATATTGACTCAGTGATCTCAAGAAATCGATGTTACAAACTGAGAAAGTTTTTTTTAAAGCTTTTTAAAGGATTCTGGGGAATTCGCCCCGGGCACGAGTCTTCAAATGGACGACTACCACAAAGTGACCGCTCTCCGATCGGATAGAGGTGGGAAAAGTTTAAAGGAAACTCCGAAAAGCACTTATGCAACCTTTGACATTGCGTTTAAAACAAAACTAGCTCTACCCCTTTTGAGCAAAGCTTTTGTTGTTGCTCAAGAAATAGTGTTAGCTTCCTGAAAGCTGGGTCCTATTAGAAATACAGTGTGTTTAATGAAATCCGATTTTCCGATGATCCATTCATCTATTCGTCGGCTTTCGGTGGTCGACAGACGGCTCTCTTGGTGAGCGATGTGGTCAGTTGTCAACTTGGCGGCGCTTCACTCAAATATTGGTAGGTGAATATTGAGATTTGTGGCTTTAGAAACGGAATGCTTAAACTAAAACTAATAATAAAAGTCTCAGGTACTGGAAAACGGGCACTGACGCGAAGCTGGACATTTGCATTCGCCAACCGCCCGGTAGTCGAGACCCGAGCACTCTAAAGTGAGAAACGAGAAAGAGAGAGAATTGCCTTGAATAGCTTCTTTGAATAGCTTCATTGAATAGCTTTATTGAATAGCTTCATTGAATAGCTTCTTTGAACAGCTTCTTTGAATAGCTTCTTTGAATAGCTTCTTTGAATAGCTATTCAAGCCAATAGCTACAAGTTAATAGCTGCATTTTAGATGTTACGATGGTCTTGCATCAACGCATGCACAACAGTGGATCTATCGAAGTGTCGAGTTTCCGCCGATCTCGCAGCCATTTGAGGTAAAGAAAGGCAATGTCAAAATCTGATGAAATTCAATATATATGATTCAGTTTTCGTGATGATTACAAGATGAGCTCATTTCTTGAGACTCGTCCATGACGCCGTACGCCTAGATAGCGTACAGTCATCCCTCCCCGTCCCTTTTCCCATTAGTAATCTAACTTTAAGCTCAAATATCTTGGTGTTGAGCTATTCAATTTAAATATTCTTGGTATTATTGGATGCGCCAAGTCTTTCTCTGTCGATCGGTACAAAAACTATTTAAAGTGCACAGCTCAACACCAAGAAATTTGAGCTCAAAGTTGGATTGCCAATGGCAAAGGAGGCGGGGCTTGAGCTGGGGCAAAGAGGATTGGGATATCAAATATCCCAATCTTCTTCACATATCATTGCACAGCCTGGCTGTTTACGATTCAAATTGTGTTAAATGCAGATGATTTCCTTGAAATTATTGATAGAAATTTTATTGGGGACGAGTAAACGAAGGGAAAGTTAACAAAACACCAAATTAGATAGCAGGAAAGGTCACTGGGGAAATCGCGATTCTTGTCAAAAAGGAAAAGGAAACAAAATGAAATAAACGGGCGAAGGGTACGGTAGCCGGGGCGTGGTAGAGAATTTTACCTTATAGCCTAGTTAGAGCGGGTCAAACCCGCGCAAACAGCCAGAAAGCAGTGAGCAAAAGTGCTTTTTGGAACAATCCTACTAGGCACTTGCAGCCGATCTTCAGCTAAACTTATTTACAATATCTTTAGACTAATTAGCTTTGTTTATTGGTCAAATTGGTGCCAAATAGAAATCAACGATACAACGATATCGTAGTACCGTAATCCGCTTTCTATTCTGCATTAAATTTGACCAGCAAGCTTGATTAAAGCATCTTTAACAGTCTAGTCAGTCACTAGTGTTGAGTCACTAGTCACAAAGTCACAAGTTTTGAGTCACTAGTCTCAAAATGTTGATATCGGTTCTACAGTTGGAACTAGGGCAGATCAAAAATACATGCGCCGCCGGGACTCGAACCCTTGACCTTTCGCTTACCAGGCAATCGGGCTAACCATCATACCATAACGATCTCCCTTAGTCCAGAGGGAGTTAACTCTACCGTAATACATTATTCAACATGTACCCGAATAATAAGCTAGATTAGCTTTGCATTTAAAAGCAATCTATGCAAATTCATTGAAATTCAGCTCCTCTTCCGCGCCACTTTCACCGCTCCGATGGACATCATCGCCCTCGATGACATCAACTACGATGCGATACTTTGCGGTGAGTGATTTGTATCGAAAATTTCGTTGGAACAAACGACTTTCGTTCTAACCCATTTCATGGTCAAATTATTTTTTGGCATTGAGCTGGCTCACTCATCCACGCCACTGCATTTTGAGCTACGGTTACTGGCTTTTTCCTGACTCATTTTTCCCTCCAAAAATTTAATTTCGAGATAAGTTTTAACCCATGGCAAGGATCGAAATTCATTTACAAAGCAAATTTAAGCAGTCATTTTTGTTAGATTTTTCTTGAAATGGGTTAGAACTTGTCTTGGATTTTGGAAATTGTAAAGTATAGTATTTTGAAATATAATATCAGAAAGATATCAGCTCCAGAGCTGAATATCTTTCTTTACTTATTGAAGTTGATACTCGGCTTACTGTAGCGAAGAAGTCTAGGGTTTTACAGTATCTTTACAGTAGTCCAGTCCAGTTCAGTTCAGTTCAGTCCAGTCAGTAACCGTGGTTCATTTGCAGATGTGCGACATGGACGGGGTGATGAGGCTCGGGAAAAGAGAAGAGTGATGCTATCAGTTCACGAGCGAAATCAACCACTAATCGTCGCTGGGATTGATCGAGACGCTGACGTGGAAGCGCTTCGACTCAAGAGGGGATCACCGCCAACAATTGGGTGGAATGATTGGAGGAAATTGAAAGCCAGCGGCAATCTGGGGAAACAGACGATGATCGTTGTCTCGGAGGCGGTCGAGGAGACGAATACGACGGCTACCACAACTACCGTAAACCCGTTGGCTTCTCTATTCGGCTCAACACCTGCTACAACTACTGTAAATCCATTAGCTGCACTGCTTGGCCTAATCGAGTCCACCACGCCACGAATCTGGCTAGACGACGAGCTAGCCAAAAAGACAATAACAACAACGACAACCACAACCACAGAATCCACGGCAATTTTCAGCCAAGAACAGCATCTAGCCAACATGATGACCTTTTTGAAAGGAGTAGCTCCAGTTCTTCCCTATGTGCCGACCATTGTTCAAACGTTGCAGTCACTTGATCCTCGAGCCTCGTTTTCCGCTCCACCGCTCGCTCGTTCTTTTGCTTCACCGACGCTAGATGGAGTGGCTCCTATTGTACCGAAAATTGGAAATCCGACGCTGAGTCAGCCATCCAGTCAGTCAGCCAGTGAACACGCCGATTCTTTGGTTTCATTGGCTAAACGCTTTCGACTAGACAAATCAGAGAGTTCACAGAGTTTCGGCGTAAACTCTGGCTTAGGCTCAGATTCAGTTTCAGACTCAGGCTCGTACAAAGATGACGATAGGCAATTGCTAAACGATGTTGAGAAAAACGCTTTCGGTTTGCGGAGACTATCCACACCCGAGTATTCCACCATTTATCCGCCAAAGATTCGGGATATACAAAAAAAGCGATTGCCACCAGAAGTTGCGTCGATTGTCGAAGAGGATGGGATGAATATGAACGATTTGAGCCCAGAAGAGATCAAGCAGTTGGAGGCGATTCATCGAAAGATTTTCAAACAAGTCCCAACCAGCACCCAACCGAGTCTTGTCATTTATAAGAAAATCCCGAAACCGCAAGTGAAACTGATTGATCAGAGGATTCTTAGTGAAAATGCTAGCCCACAGCTGCAAAATGTGCTAAATGAATTGCCCAATAACCCGAAATACGCGAAAATCGCGCCGGAAATGATCGACAAATTTAAGGAAATCGCTAGCGGATTGCCGCCTGACGTGCTAAACGATATGTCACAAATACAAAATATTCCGAATGTTGATGAGTTAGTTGAGGGGCTCGATCTAGAGCTCATTCGAACCCCAGCTGGTTTTCAGAAGATCAAGAATGAGTTTATTGCGCGTTACATGAGAAGAATGATGGGTTTACCCGTTGCGATGACTCGCGGTCTTTCACCGCCACCGCAACCGATGAGAATCTCGAGAAAACTCTTTCGACAAATGATGGCCAAATCGATGAGGGCTCGAACTTGAAAATCAAAATGCTTGCTCAATTTTATGTGCTTTATTTTGTTAATAGTTTTCCAGTTAATAAAGAGTTAATAAGTTTTCCAGTTAATAAAGAGTTACCAGTTAATAAAGAGTTACCAGTTAATAAAGAGAAATTCTAGCGGAGAAAAGGGAATGCAAGAGAAATAGAAATTGGATTAAAGTTATTAGATCGAAAATTTTTTTAGTGGCTTCAAATACGGGTGGCACGGTGAGTGGGGGTGGACCGTTTGGAGGCGCGGCGGGAGGCTCCTACAGCAATGATGCCACTGATGTAAGTTTGGGGAGAAAAAGCTACAGTTTGAAAACTCTAACAGTTGGAACAATTGCTGAACCTATACAGTGTTCTGTCCGTAACGCAATTTGGAAGTTCAACTTTGACACAGAATTTCTCTATGTTCTTATCCATGAGTATACAAAACAAATTCTACTTTTCTTTAGTCAAATTTTATGAGGATTCGAATAAAACCAACGATAAGTTGATTGAGCTTCTATACCTCGAGTTATAGACCATCTAGGTGGATCGACTTTTTCGGGTAGGTAGTTCAAAGTTGACTCAAATTTTCTCTATGTTCTTACTTGAGCTTACTTAGTACACTCTAGTTCTTACTAGAGTGTACTAAGTAAATTGCACTTTTCTATAACAAAATTTCATAAAGACCATTTTAAAACCAACCCCTGGGCCTACCCGCTCGGTCTTCATCTTCGAGTGAAATGTTTCCATTTCTGAATTTGTGGAACCAGCGTTTTATTGTACTTTCGAAAGAAGAGACATTCCCATATACGCTCTTGATTTTTCCCAGAGGAATAGAAAAATTCCGGTGCCCCCACAACCTCATCGATCTCATGAAAGGTTAAAGGTGATCAGGTGATTAAAGGTGATCACTTGTACTAAACTTGTACAAAATGATATGTCGGAAATGCTTGATTGGTAGATTTGGAGTAGGATTTGAATAAATAATCAATAAAAAAATATAAAAGAGTATTCTGGTTTTCTGGATTGTGTTCGAGTAAAGAATTGATAAGCCAATATTTTGAAGAAAAAAAACAAGGTGCGCTCTCACTAAACGTAAACAAAATCTCGAAAGTTTGTTGAGGGGATTAGTTAAGAGTTTAAAGGATGAGTTGTTGAGGGGATTAGTTAAGAGCTTAAAACCTAATAGATTCAAAAGAACTCTTATACTTGAAATCCCGGCAAATCGTCCCGCGCCCTATTTATAGATCTGTTACTAGCAAAAGATTTGTTACTAGCAATTGAATTCTTTTTTAAAACATTTTATTTAACGCTTTTTATACGTTTTTATTCAATATTCATACAAAAAGAAAAGCTTAAATAGTTGAAAATTTATTGATATTTGCCTTAAAATCTATAAACCTATTTAAGCTTTTTTTTAAAGTGAGGTGACAGAACTTTTGACGCATCCTATATTTCCCAAGCTTACTTCCAGAGTTGGCCAGCCATTTCTCAAGCACCACCATCGGCGTTGTCGGATGGTGGAGATGGATCTCCACCAATATTTCTCCCACTTTCACCAACTGGCTCTCGAAAATCGCCAGGCTTAGCGGCTCCAACAATCGCGGAAAACATTGATCCACCATCACCGCCAAGGTTTCTGTCATTGAACAATTAGCAGAAGTCAAAAGCCGTTTAAAACTGAATCTCATTGTCAGAGTCAGAGTCCATAGTCAGAAATCCTTTGTGACATCATCAACTCATCATCTATCATCAACTATCAATCATCTATCATCAATTTTTTATGACAATGAAGAATCAGTTTAGGTCACCATTCGATGACACCCATTTCGGGTACTCTCGAGCGTCGGCGGCGAAAACCATCGGCCAGATAGGTAATTTTCAGAGTTGCCAATCTTTTGTAAACTTTAAGCTGATCAGCTATAGCCAGTCATTTAGCCCCGCCCGTCGAAACCCAAACGAATCGAGTGACCGGGCCACGACTCGGGCCCGCTTTCCAACCCCGTTGCCCGCCAATCGATTGCACGTTTGATCAAAATGTAAAATAGAATCATTTTTTAAAATAATATAATCGTTTCTCATTTCATCATTCAGATCTTTTGCGACTATGTGACAGCGGTGAGCGATAGTGATTTGATCGGGGTGACAGAGGGAGCGAAAGAGTGGAGACTGGCGAGGAATCGGGTCGAGAACACGTTGACTGGGATCGCGAAAGATTTGTCTGGGAGTGGGTTTAGCTTTTTTTTCAATCGTATAAAGTTGACTGCACTCTATAAAGTTGATAATGGTATAATGGTAATGCCAAAGCCATTTTGTAGAGATCTTTTCTAATCCGGTAAAAAAACCAAATGCTTGTCGATGTTTTTTAAAATGTTATATGAAAAATGATGGTAAAAGCATCGTGTTACTGAATACATTTAATATATAAGACTTTAATATATAAGACTTTTAATATATAAGACTATTTTCTCTAATAGTAGTGCACCATAAGCTCCGCGTCTAAATTCCTCAAAATCTCGAGAACCGCTTATCAGAACCTATCGATGTGGGGTCGGAAAATGTAGCTGACGATGAGATATAGTAGGGGATTTGAGTGTTGAGCTTCTGTGAAAGCTAGGGAACTATAAAATAATCATCAACTCGGCTCGGCCAAGCGGAGGGGGAGAGGGCAATACTATTAGAGAAAATAAAGAATACCGTATTTTCTCTAATAGTAGTGCACCCTAAGCTTCGTCTAAATTCCTCGAAATCTCGAGAACCGCTTATCAGAACCTATCGATGTGGGGTCGGAAAATGTAGCTGACAATGAGATCTAGTGAAGGATTTGAGTGTTGAGCTTCTGTGAAAACTTTGGAAGCCGGAAAATAGTCATCAACTCGGCTCTACTCGGGATGCACTACTATTAGAGAGAATACGATAATCAGCAAAAGATATCCTAAATGTACACAGAAAATATGCACATTTTTGTCTAATCTCGATCCAAAATCCTTCAACACTTCAATACGGTTCGATTCCAGCGGCTAGAAAATTTAGATCTTTTTCCATATACCGTATTCTCTCTAATAGTAGTGCACCCTAAGCTTCGTCTAAATTCCTCGAAATCTCGAGAACCACTTATCAGAACCTATCGATGTGGGGTCGGAAAATGTAGCTGATGATGAGATCTAGTGAAGGATTTGAGTGTTGAGCTTCTGTGAAAACTTTGGAAACCGTAAAATAGTCACAAACTCGGCTCGCTGGTGTGCACTACTATTAGAGAAAATACGGCATTCACAAGTACAGAGTTCGGTATATGTAGTTTTTTGAGTTTATTCAAGTTTGGGGCTTCTAAAAATCGTCTTTTTTCATTTTTTTTCTTTGTTAATACGTTTTTAGTGTTAATTACTATAAAATGAATGCTTTTTTGAGCTCCATTATTGCAAATTCAAGCGTATTTTGGCTAACAAAAATGGGTAAAAATTTCATTTTTTTGAGAGAATCACATTTAAAGTCTTATATAAAAGGAATAAAATTGAAAATTTTTTTACACAAACAATGTTTTTACTAGTGAAAAAATATTTATAGATTTTAAAACACACAGACGACTTGACTCAATGCTGAGTCACGTTGTTTCTCGTGAATACCTCGATTAAATGAGGTCAAAATTTGCAAGAACATGTAATTTTGAGTTCTCTTTCCGAATCCGACGTTAGTTTTATTGGGAAATTGTGTGATTTTTCGTAAAAAACGAAAAAAAGAAACTTTGTGCATTCTTTTCGTGTCGCTCGTAGGCACACTGCCGCTGATATTGGGTCGGGACTTCGGTAATTGACTTGGGTAAACCAGCTTGAAAAAATTGCGTTTTTCTGAGGTAAGCAATCATTTTTGAAGGCTCAAAACAATTTAAAAGGAAATTTTGATCCGGGAACAGATACAGCATACATTTATCGAGAAGTTAACTACTAGAAAGGATCCGCGATCCGGGAACAGATACAGCATCTTTAAAAGGATCCGGGAATAGATACAGCAGCTTTAAAAGGATCCGGGAATAGATACAGCAGCTTTAAAAGGATCCGGGAATAGATACAGCATCTTTAAAAGGATCCGGGAATAGTTACAGTAACTTTAAAAGGATCCGGGAATAGATACAGTAGCTTTAAAAGGATCCGGGAATAGATACAGCAGCTTTTAAAGGATCCGGGAACAGCTACAGCATACATTTATCGAGAAGTTAACTACTAGAAATAAACGTATAAGATAAAATAATTAAAACTGCAAAAATAAACTATATCGGGTTTGTTGGTCTAAATTTAAGGCCGATTTCAGATTCTAGAATCTTATATCGTTTTTTTTTCTTTCGTTTTTTCTTTCAATCTGAATCATTTCATCCATCTATTTTCTGATTTAAGAACTATTTTTGGAAAGTTTTTTTCAATATAAATATAAAACTGGCTTTGAAAAAAAAGCTTTTTTTTTCTAAAAACTTTAGTTCTCAATCGATTTTAATCAGTTTTAAGCAACAAAAATAAGCTCTAATATGGAAATTTTTAGGATTTGGTTATTGTTCCAATACGATTCCAATACGGTTCCTATTTTGATCTAATACAGTTCCAATATGGTTCCAATACGGTTCCAATACCGTTGCAATACGGTTCCTATTTTGATCCCTGGCCCAAATCGACCGTTTCGCAAAAGATGCGTGCGTTGTCGATGTGTTAAATATCTAAACGAAAAAAACAAAACCGTCAACTCTTTTAGAGAAAGGTTTTAGAGAAAAGCCATCTTTTCGTAGAGAGAAGCATTATATAAAAGACAAGAATTCAGGAGGTGGTTATGTGTGGGCTGGCGGGGTAAACGATCCATCCGACATCTTCGTCCTCTCCTCGCGCACTCCATTAATGATGCCAGCCGCCTCAAGACTCGATTTTTTCGTTCACATAGCTGGTTCGTCAAAAAGAATGCCTACCGTATTTTCTCTAATAGTAGTGCACCCAAAGCGTCGCCTAAATTGCTCACCTAAATTCCTTCAAATCTCGAGAGCCGCTTATCAGAACCTATCGATGTGAGGTCGGAAAATGTAGCTGACGATGAGATCTTGTGGGGGATTTGAGTGTTGAGCTTCTGTGTAAACTTTGAAAGCCGTAAAATAGTCATCAACTCGGCTCTACTCGCTGGTGCGCACTACTATCAGAGAAAATACGGTATTTACTTTCAAATTGCAGGAATTGCTGGCCGACTTCGCGTCTGTTTCGACACTCTTCAACAATGCCCATTTGAAATCTCTCATCGCCAAATCGGGGTCCAAGCTCGGCAATGGAAAAACTACTTTGTGACTGTACCGGAAGGATCGCATACGGTAGGAGATCCACAAAAACAAGTTTAAGGGCTAGAAAACAACTTTGATAACAAAAATATACAAATGATTCAAGGATTCAAACAATTCAACTAACTAATAAAGGAATTCAAGTTGAACCTGACTATGAGATTCAATAGATTCGCTACTGAGTGTGAGATCCAGTGAGCTTTGAAGTTATCTTTGAAACGCACAATTTCTGGCACATTTGATAAACTGAAAAAGGAAGCTTAAGTGCTAGAGCTTAAGTGCTAGAGCTTAAGTGCTAGAGCTTAAGTGCTAGAGCTTAAGTGTCAGAGCTTAAGTGTCAGAGCTTAAGTGCCAGAGCTTAAGTGCTAGAGCTTAAGTGCTAGAGCTTAAGTGCTAGAGCTTAAGTGTCAGAGCTTAAGTGTCAGAGGTCGTGCGTTCGTCAGCGTACAAAGTACAAGCTCGAAAGCGTTTTAATCAAAGTTCTTCGGAAATTATGCTTCATTGAAAACCAATAATATCTAGAAATCTAGAAATCTAGAAATATCTAGAAATATCTAGAAAATCTATCCAAATCCCAGATCCATTTTGTCGCCGATGGACTCCGAAAAAACTATGTGGTCGGCTTAGATCACATTCAGCTTTTGTCGAAGTACGGAATGTCCGCACAGCCGTGTTAATTTCATTCTTTTTCTTTCTTCCTTTTTGATATTTTATGAAAGTCTTTATAAAAAGCTTTATAAAAATAAATGTGCAAAACGAATCTGTAAATGATGAAAATTGGTCGGAATGTAAGAAGAATACACGCTGAGCAAGGGGCCAGGCACGCACAAAAGAATGTTTGAATGTTTCAAAAAATCAAAAAAACAAAAGTCGTTCATACTTTCTATACAAATAGCACCATAATAGCTTAGAAATAATCTAATTTTATATCAATTAAAAAAGCATTTTAGCTTAAAGAAAAAAGCTTTTAAACAAACAATGCACAAATAAAAGATGTCAACACGTAAAGATAAAAGTTTATGAAGCTAAAGGCACCGTAAAAGTACCGTAAAGTTACGATTATCGTTACAGTACTCTAGGATCTACTGTAGCGAAGATACTGTACTTTATAGTACTCTAAAGACTCAGGATTATCTTTACAGTAGTCTTAGGCATACTTTAACGAGCATACTGTACTTTACGGTACTCCAAACTTTAGCAGCACCCTTCTAGTAGCCCCCAGAGCCACCATGTGGAATGTAGTCGGCGGCTTGGATTCGCGGTTGACTTCCAGGGTTTACCATGATGATTGAGTCGACATTTTGGCAGATGCAGACTCCAGGTTCGCCAGGTGGACCCAGGCCACCCATTGAACCCTCAGGGCCTGGATAACCGGGCTCTCCCGATTCCCCAGGAGTGCCTGGCCAACCTCGGTCGCCTTGCGGACCGTTTCCACCGTTCCTGAAAGATAAGAGATTGATTTTTCAATTAACAAATAGATTTAGATATTGAATGAGAGCCTGGCTATGTTTCTAGACTATGTATATGACTCAAATTCCTAAAAAATTCACTCACCGTCCCGGCAAACCAGACATGCCACTAGCTCCCACGGGACCTGGTGGTCCGGGATCTCCAGGTGGTCCCTCTTTCAGCTCTCCTTCGGGTGTTGGCCCTTTGTCTCCAGGTGCACCAGGTCCTCCCTTGTACCCAGGTGGGCCAGTGGGGCCAGTTTCTCCAGGAGCTCCATCTTCTCCATCATCTCCTTTCTTTCCTGGAGGTCCCATCGGTCCAGGGTCTCCTGGGAAGCCTGGCCATCCCTGAAAGACAAATTTCAATGATCTCATGTAAAGCCTAATTTGAAACCTTGATTCCAGGTGGTCCCTTTGGGCATGGTCTGCACGGTGGTGGCTCTCTTTGGGTCATCAGGGGGCAAGTCTGATTTGGAGTGGTACCCGGGATGCCGGGCTTTCCAGCAAGACCCGGATTACCGGGTTTTCCCGGCTTTCCGGATGGTCCTCTGGGTCCTGGCGGGCCAGGAATACAGCAACCTAGATTTATCAATCAATTGAAGCCTTTTTTTTCTTCACAAACCTGGGCATTCGGTTTCAAGAGGCGTCCCGGTGACCTCATCGCCATAGGATCTTCGTCGGAGCATTGCGCCAAATCCTGGAGTTGTGCTTTTATTTGGATATTGAGGAGATTCAGCTATAGATAGCGGTGATACACACCTATTCAGCTAAGCGAAGATATTCAGCTATAGAATAGATCTGACTAAGCTGGGTGCTTACCAAAGGCTCGTCTCTTTGACCTCTTCGTACCATTGATGCTCATCTTTCCGTACTCGAGCTCAGCAAGCGCCTCCTCGTTTGATTGCTGTGGAAAAAAAATGATTTATTGTGACTATATCTAGAATCTAAAAGTAATATACCGTATTTACTCTATTAGTGGGGTCCTCTCTAATAGTGGGGTCGTCTGGAGGGGGGTTGAAAAAATAGTGGGGGACCCCACTAATAGAGTAAATACGGTAGTAGTGCACACCAGCGAGCCGAGTTTGTGACTATTTTACGGTTTCGAAGTTTTCACAGAAGCTCAACACTCAAATCTCCCACTAGATCTCATCGTCAGCTACATTTTCCGACCTCACATCGATAGGTTCTGATAAGCGGTTCTCGAGATTTCGAGCAATTTAGGTGACGCTCTGGGTGCACTACTATTAGAGAGAATACGGTATATGGAAAAAGATCTAAATTTTCTAGCCGCCGGAATCGAACCGTATTGAAGTGTTGAAGGATTTTGGATCAAGATTAGACAAAAATGTGCATATTTTCTGTGTACATTTAGGATATCTTTTGCTGATTATCGTATTCTCTCTAATAGTAGTGCATCCCGAGTAGAGCCGAGTTGATGACTATTTTCCGGCTTCCAAAGTTTTCACAGAAGCTCAACACTCAAATCCTTCACTAGATCTCATCGTCAGCTACATTTTCCGCCCCACATCGATAGGTTCTGATAAGTGGTTCTCGAGATTTCGAGCAATTTAGGTGACGCTCAGGATGCACATTAGAGAGAATACTTTTATTTGTGATGTAAAACATTGAGGCTTATCTGTACCTATCTATCTATCTATCTATCTACCTATTTATCTACCTATTTATCTACCTATTTATCTACCTATTTATCTACCTATTTATCTATCTATTTATCTATCTATTTATCTATCTATCTATCTATCTATCTATCTATTAAGTTCTGTCCAGCTATCGTATTTTGTCAGCACAAGCACCTTTTACTTAATAAAAAGTATGAAAAGCTAGCTCCTTCTACAAGAATATTTCCAAGATAGTCTTAAATTTGAAATATTTTTTATTTTTTTGAAAATAAAACAAATCGTAACATAAAGTTTTACCTCACAAAACGCCATCTCATTCTCGACGTACTCGATGGTCGTTTGCACGTGATTGTACATAGCGGGCAGGGTTAAACATATCACAAGTAAAGAGATTGCACTAAAGTTTTGAGAAATTTATATTATTAAAATCGTGCTTTCAAATTTAAGAACTTTAAATTTAAGACTTTCGCGAACCTAAAGGCAATCTGTACTCCGGTAACGTATCGGTATATCCTTTGACGTGAATTCGAAGCCGGGCAGCTCCCCGTTTCGCTGAAAGGAATCTTTGAGAGTCAAGTTTAAAGAAAAAAAAAGCTAAGAATAAATTCAAATAAAGTTTTAGTAAATTAAGCCTCAATTTGTTCATCTTACATAACAAAAATTCGATCAATTTGCCTCAATTTGTGCAAATTTTCGACTCATTTACCTTTTCTGCCATTTTTTTGCCATGAGCTTTTAAAAAAGCATATTCATTTGAGATAAAGTTAGAGATATCAAAGAAAGCTAGATTAATTACTTGAAAAGTAATGAATATTTAAGCTATCCTAGACGCGAACCTGAGTCTTTTCATGGTGGAATGGCCAGAACTAGACTAATTGCTTGAAAAGTAATGAATATTTAAGCTATCCTAGACCCGAACCTGAGTCTTTTGATGGTGGAATGGCCAGAGCTAGACTAATTCCTTGAAAAGTAATGAATTTAAGTTATCCTAGACCCGAACCTGAGTCTTCTGATGGTGGAATTGCCAGAGCTAGACTAATTACTTGAAAAGTAATGAATATTTAAGCTATCCTAGACCCGAACCTGAGTCTTTTCATGGTGGAATGGCCAGAGCTAGACTAATTCCTTGAAAAGTAATGAATTTAAGTTATCCTAGACGCGAACCTGAGTCTTTTCATGGTGGAATGGCCAGAGCCCGGGGAAGCTCCGCACAGATACGACGTCCTCGGCGCACAACGAGTAGGAGGCCTAGAAATTTGAGTTTAAAGAAAGAAAAAGCTTGTTTTTTTGGCTGATCAAGTGTGCCAGAGCTTTTGCTAGCACAAAGTATTGTAGAAAACAAAAATAGATTGAAAAGATTGAAAGAAAAGAATCAGATCCGACAATGAGTGATTGGAGATTTGTGTTTTAAATAAAAATTAAGATTAAGATTAAGATTTCCGATGATTTCAAGAGTTTTGGAGTTGAAAAATGACAAGTGGCCAAGATTATCGAGCTTAAAAATCAATGGTTATAATTAGCTATATAAAAAACAGAAAAAGTAATGATTATTGAAAAGAGCGGAGAATTTCTCAAAAGGAATCACTCGTTGAAGGCTTTGTGGGTCAAAAAAAGGGAAAGTTCCCTGGATATCTTCATCCTTTTTTCGGGGAAAAGGGGGGCACTGATAGCACTGAGAATCATCCATTTCTCGAGGAGATTTACGGAAAAGAGAAACTTCTTTCGATAGATTCTTTTCTTTTTCTTTTCTCAATGAAGAGCGACCCAAATTTCTCGATTTGTGCGTTGTTTAGCGACTCATTCGTGCAATGGTTAGGTTCATTGAAGTGATTGAAGTGATTGAAGTGTTCAAATAAGAAAAACTTGAGCCAGAATTTCTCGAATGTTTAAAGAACGATTAGGAATAGAGCAGATTAATTATTACTAAATATAAGAAATTAACTAGCTAAATAACTCATTCCGCTGCGTGGAATTGTTAGATTCATTGAAGTGATTGAAGTGATTGAAGTGATTGAAGTGTTTAAACAAGAAATCTCGAGCCAGAATTTCTCGAATGTTTAAAGAACGATTAGGAATAGAGCAATAAAGATTAATTATTACTAAATAAAAGAAATAAAGCCAGGCTCAAAGTGTGCCAAATAAGAACCCCAACAATTGTGTTTTTCTCAACGTTTTCTAATTTTCGTCAAATTTTGAAAACTATCGTAATCCTGTTACTAAATAAAATCTAGATTTATTCCTTTGAATCTAGACTTTGATTACTTTTGATTACTTTTGATTACTTTTGATTACTTTTGATTACTTTTGATTACTTTATTCTCATTATGAAAGGATTCATGAACCAAAAGAGATCATCAATAAGGGGATTGAAAAAACTAGGATCAGGATTACGATCGTTTTCGAAAATAAGAATAGTTTAGAAAATAAAGTATTTGAGAAGAACACAATTTAATCATGGAGTAGGCAGTAAGAAATAGGCAATATTACATATTACAAAATAGCTCGAATTAGTTATTAAAGTAAAGAGATGAATGGCGAAGAATTGAGCCCTCGACCTTCAGCTTACTGATGCTCTACCACTAAGCTATTGGCGCCTTCTTTCCTCAATAAGAAATAGGAAAGACAAGAAGAAAGGAAGGGAGAAAGAAAGGAAGAAATAGAAAGTTACTAGAAGCGATTGGTGAGGATTTTTGTAGAAGATCCCTTTTGTAGAAGCCTAAGCCCTAAGCCTAAGCCTAAGCCTAAGCCTAAGCCTAAGCCTAAGCCTGAGCCTGAGCCCTAAGCCTAAGCCTAAGCCTGAGCCTAAGCCTAAGCCTAGCCTAAGCCTAAGCCTAAGCCCTAAGCCTAAGCCTAAGCCTAAGCCTAGCCTAAGCCTAAGCCTAAGCCTAAGCCTAAGCCTAAGCCTGAGCCTAAGCTTAAGCCAAAAGCAAGCAGGCCTTAGCTCAATTAACACAAAAATGCTTTGAGAACAATTTACAGCAATTGTACCTTTTTCTTGCTTCTAAAAGTTTTTGCTGGATGGAGAATCGGACGAAAAACGCGTCGCAGAAAGCGTAGAATCAACGATTTGCGTTTTGGAGTCTCCGGGATGACGCTGAAAAGATTTTCAGCGATATTCAAGCGATATTCACAAATGTCACACGATTTTATATTCTCATTTTGATCACTTACTTCCCGTTATCGTCAATGTACACTTCTTTTGTTGTTTTCTTTTGCTTTTTCGCTTTCTTTTCCCCTTCTTTCTCTTCGTTTTCCCGTTTTTTCTCTTTTTTCTGTTTTTTGACGGCTTTTACAGTACGTTTTGTGGTAACTTTGGCTGCTTGAATTACCTGAAAGTAAATTCTGAAAAATAAAGTTTACTATTAACTATATTAATCATATAAAAACCTTAAAATAACTGTAATATTGTAATACTGTAATACTGTAATATTTGAAACCAAATCTATAGAGAAAAGGAATCAAATCTTGTAGAGAAAAGGAACCAAATCTTTGGAGTGAAGGAACCAAATCTTTAGAATAAAGGAATCAAATCTTTAGAATAAAGAAACCAAATCTCTAGAATAAAGGAACCAAATCTTTGAAATAAATGAACCAAACCAGTAACTAGGTACTAGTAAAAGTAAAATAGCTCTTATCAGTAAATTCTTACTGATAGGAGCTGTTTTCTCTTACCAGCTTTTATCAGTAAGACTTGTCTAAACAATGAAAAGAATTACAAGAAGAGAATGAAAGATCTATTAATACAAATCTTTATTTAGATGTAACAAAAATGTTTACCAAACCTCAATCTCCTCTTCGTCTTTCTTCAATCTCAACTCGACACTTTTCTCAACTTCCTCAATCACTTCTGGTCGTAGATTCGAAAAAGATTGACGTTTTCTTAGACTTTAGCATACGGTAAAACCTTAGTACTTATCACTTTTAATAATTTACATTTAAATTAAACGGTAAAACGGTAAAACCCTAGTACTTATGCCTTTTAATACATCTAAATGAATCATTTTCATTAATGGCTTTGAATTAATGGCTTCTATGTGACTTTGAATCTCAAAAATAAACAACGAATAAGCAATTAAATTTGCAAATTTTGATAACTATGAGTAAATAAATAATTTTATTGAATAAAAACTATGAAAATTCGAACCTTTCTCGGCACAGGAGTCGGCATACCCCGCGGGGAGGTCGATTGCCTGAAATATTGAATTATTGAAGCAATTGAAACAAAAACTGTAAGCTAATTGAAAACAAAAATGGTAAAAATGATAGAGAAAGGGAAAGAAAATGGTGTCTGCAATGGGTTCTCTCTTTATCTTTTGCCTCTTTTCATTCATAACTGTTCTCTCGGTCATATCCCTGTGTTCTTCTTCTTCTTCTTCTTCTTCTTCTCCTCCTCCTCCTCTTCCTCCTCCTCCCCAAGGCCGCATATTTAGATTCGATCTTGCGATTAGGTGAAAAGTCAAAGAATATTTGGAGATACATGAGTGTTCACAAGGAATTATTGTTCCAGAGATCGGAAAGTTGTAAGCAGCTGGTTTAATGGCAAATAATGGTCAGAAAGTCAGAACAGAAAGCCGGGACCGGCCAAGGACCAGCGGATGCACTTTTTTGGGTAAGTTCTCCAGTAAAGTCAGACTAAACCAGGTCATGAAAGACGTCTGATCGATAAAGTTATAATAATGGGTTTAATGACAAATAATGGTCCAGGTCCAGGTCCAGGTCCAGATTTCGCTAGATCTAGCATAAATTTCCTAGTTTTATCCTAAAATTCGCAATCTTAGGGGAATAACTTTTTACAAATTTCAAATTTTTGCTAGCTTTTTGTGTTTTGTTAGAAACTTGATGTAATTCTAGGTTTTGGATTAATAGATTGGCCAGGAAAGGTGGGTGATCAGTGGCGTTGCCTGGCTTGGCTTGACGCACCTTTATACCGTATTTTCTCTAATAGTAGTGCACCGGTGAGCCGAGTTGGTGACCCCGGTGAGCCGAGTTGGTGACTATTTTACGGCTTTCAAAGTTTTCACAGAAGCTCAACACTCAAATCCCCCACAAGATCTCATCGTCAGCTACATTTTCCGACCCCACATCGATAGGTTCTGATCAGCGCTTTTCGAGATTTCGAGCAATTTAGGTGACGCTCTTGGTGCACATTAGAGAGTATATGGAAAAAGATCTAAATTTTCTAGAATCGAACCGTATTGAAGTATTGAAATCAAAAAAGGATTTTGGATCGAGATTAGACAAAAATGTGCATATTTTCTGTGTACATTTACGTAGGATATCTTTTGCTGATTACCGTATTCTCTCTAATAGTAGTATACCCCAGCGAGCCGAGTTGATCACTATTTTTCAAAGTTTTCACAGAAGCTCAAAACTCAAATCCTTCACAAGATCCCATCGTCAGCTACATTTTCCGACCCCACATCGATAGGTTCTGATAAGCGCTTTTCGAGATTTCGAGGAATTTAGGTGAAGCTCTTGGTGCACATTAGAGAGAATACGGTAACCCTGTTCCTTGTTTAAAAAAAAATCTATATACAGGCAAGCAAACTTTCAAAGTTGTTCTCATTTTCATGCATTTCTAAAAATCGAATTCAATTTAAAGTCCCTATTTCAACAATTGTTGTAACAACAATTGTTCAACAATTCACCAACAATTGTACTTTGCATCATTTGTTAAAGAAATTCGTGAGAATGAGAATGAGAAAGTCGATAAATCGCTCGAAATCACTTCAAACTTCATTCGTTTCAGTTTTTCTTGAAACTGAAATTTCACTTTTTTTTTGTTTGCGAACTCCGCTTGTCTTTTTGGTTGATTTAATTAAGCAAAACGTTGATGAAATTGAGAGATCTTGATTCGAAGGCAATTTGAAGATTTGCTTTCCTTTAAGCTTTTTTATAATAACAAAAAAATGCTTTACTTTATGAGATTTTGTACTAAATTAAGTAACAAAAAAAAAAAAACCCTTTCTGTTATGCTAATTTATCATTTTTAAAAACATATTGTTTTAGAGAAAAGTGTCAAAAAAAGTCTAGTGTCAAATTCCTCAAAGAATTTCATATTTAGTGAAATTTGTGAACAAATTCTGTAAACACACACACACACAAACTTTCTAGCGCACTGATTTCTTCAATGTTCTTACGTGAGAGAAATGGGAATCGACTTTACCAACGAATACTACGAATACTGTCGTGAAAAAACTTTCGCCAGGAAGATTGTGTTTGTACTTTTTTTGCTTACAAAAGTATATCAATAAAGCACTCAACTGCCAAGTAGATTTAAAGCCAAGCTTTGCACTTATCTATTCTAAGATCAAAAACCATTTCCAATCACAGCGATCACTTCATTATAAATGAGCTATAGATTGAGTTCAGTACAAAAATTCAAAGTATGGCGATAAGTCAGTAGCAGATTTGCTTTCAGAGTTCAGTTCAAAGCCAAGCTTTTGCACATCTCTATTTTAAGATCAAAAACCATTCCAATCATTATTCTTCATTATTAATGAGCTATAGATTGAGTTCGCTACAGAAATTCAAAGTATGGCGAGAAGTCAGTAGCAGATTTGCTTTCAGAGTTCATTCAAAGCCAAGCTTTGCACAGATCTATTCTAAGATCAAGAATTATTCCAATCATTATTCTTCATTATAAATGAGCTAACAGATTGATTTCAAGTTTATCTCGCGATAAAAGAGAAACTTTTTCTTTAAACTATGTCCCCGATTTCCGCCGCAAAACTGATCACTTCATTTCACCCCATTTTCACTGATGACCTAATTTTAATCCCTTTTCTAACGGAATTCCTCCCCCAACAACCTGAATGTTTTTCTCTTTTCTTTTACAGTGCATCTCTCCCCGAGAATATTGCCTGTTTATAGACGGTTTATATAGTGAAAATTATTGGGAAATAGATATGGACAAGAATTGCTAGATAGATATGCTTCTAAATTGACCTGCCACAAGACAAATGCTTCTAAATTGCTTCAAATCTACCCGATTCACATGATCTATAGCTCAAAAAATAGGGAATCTCAAGAGCTTTTGAATGAACTAAAGTACATGGAAGAATATAAATGCTAGATAAAGTTACAGTGGCTTGTAGTGTGCTTTGAAATGGACTGTACTAGTCGTAGTGATCGAATCAGGCTGTAACTTTCTTTAGCATTGATATTTTTGAGTGTGCTTTAGTTCATTCGAAAGCTCTTGTGATTCTTGATTTTTTGAGCTATAGATCATGTGAATCGGGTAGATTTGAAGCAAGTTAGAAGCGTTTGTAGTTCACGTTTGTAGTTTATAGTGAAATCTATTGGAAAATGTTTTAGTTTACTAGAAATTAGCGTTGTCTATGAAGTCGAAAGTCTAAATCGAAATCGAAAAGAAGCTACGCTTGAAATTCGACAAAAAAAGTGGAAATGAGAGCAGTAAAGCTACCATACAACAAACTCAAGAAAAGCTACCGTACAACAAACTCAGTAGCTTGATTTTGACTCGAAAATTTGCTTCTGAAAGCAACTCTGCTACTGACTTATCACCATACTTTGAATTTTTGTACTCTTGTACTCTTGTAATCTGACAATGAGTACAACAATCCTTTAAACTGCGCAAAATCTAGCCAATTCTTTTGCATGAAACAAAAAATTCGATTTAAAGTCATAACAAGTTTTAAAAAAAAAGGAAACAAAGTCAATCGATATATAGTGAAAATTATTGGGAAATAGCTATGGGCAAGAATGGCGAACTGTCACAATACAAACGCTTCTAAATTGCTTCAAATATACCGGATTCACATGATCTATAGCTGAAAAAAATAGGGAATCTCAAATGTTTTAAAGAGATGATCAGAAAGAGCTTTTAAAGAAGCATTTTTTGCCATAATTTTCTTCCTTTTGACTTGACTTTTCAGTCAATTCAAAAGCCAAAAGTCTTGTTTTGTTAACAATTGACATTTTAAGTGATACTTGATACTCTCCGACATCTTCGTCCTCTCCTCGCGCACTCCATTAATGATGCCAGCCGCCTCAAGGCTCGATTCTTTCGTTCACATAGCTGGTTCGTCAAAAAGAATGCCACTGTATTTTCTCTAATAGTAGTGCACCATGAGCGTCACCTAAATTCCTCAAAATCTCGAGAACCGCTTATCAGAACCTATCGATGTGGGGTCGGAAAATGTAGCTGACAATGAGATCTAGTGGGAGATTTGAGTGTTGAGCTTCTGTGAAAGTTGGGAACTGTAAAATAGTCACCAACTCGGCTCGCTGGTGTGCACTACTATTAGAGAGAATGCGGTAACCAGCAAAAGATATCCTACGTAAATGTACACAGAAAATATGCACATTTTTGTCTAATCTCGTTTCAAAATCCTTTTGTGATTTCAATAATGTTTTCTCAATCAAAAAAAAAAACAACTTTTTATTAGCTTTTTATTATCAATGAATTCATATCGAAATGACAGATAAACAAATTGGAATGTGTGTTTTACAAATATGGAGATTGCCTATGCACGGAAAGACGTAAGGAGTGAGCAAAAAGAGGGACAAAGTGAAGCTTTGGTAAGGCAAAATCTGTTACACAAAATACACGTAATCATTGGAATTTTAAAATGACAATCGAACTCTACAATCTACGCATTTTTCGGTGTTTCCTTAAACGTTTTCGTCGATGGCGATAGGCTAAATATTCATTGTTGGCCGTGTGATGCGTGGGCGTCTCATTCGCGTAACCAGAGTTTGACACTTTTGAGTGAAGAGTTGGGGCGGCTGATGGAGAGCCTGGAGTTTGGATTTCAATTCAAAATATAGCCAGCTTTATCAAAGATCTAGGGCTAAGGAGGACAACTAGGTCAGCAATGACCCTCTTTCAAGTCTATCATCAATCTTAGTTGTGTTTGATAATCGTTTGATAGTCTTTTGGTCATTGTAAGGCATAACACCCTACTCTGGCGGCAATGAAACATGTGTCGACGTAGCTCGTTGGTAGAGCTTCAGAGATAAGCGAGAGGTTCGAATCGAGAGGTTCCCGGGTTTGAATCCCGGCATTGTTAATGGGATTTCAAACTGGATCCTTTCAGATTTTGCTTTTCTTTTTCAAATTTCAAGCAGTCCGTTAGATTGGTTGGTTAAACGAAATTTGTAAAATAAAGTGGAAAAGACCTAGGTCTAGGAGATCTAAGGAGATCTAAGAGATCTAAGGAGTCTAGGTCTAAATGCGTTTAAAACAACGAGTCGATTGTTGTAGTCGGTGCAAGGCATAACATCCTACTCTGGCGGCAATCAAACACGCAGCTCTGTAGCTCATTGGTAAGAAACAAACACAACTAAGATTGACGATAGACTTGAAAGAGGTTCATTGTTGACCTACTGTCCTGCTTAGCTCTGACTTTTTTGTCTAACGTCTTTTCTGTCTAAAAACGAGTCTAAAACTCGTTGTTAGAACAAGAAAAAGAACTAAATAAAACTCGAAAGAAACCTCCTCCATCATATCCAACGGGAGCGGTTTTCTCTGGATATCCACTATCCCCAGCTCCTGCTGTAAACGAATCCTTAGGCGCGGCCACTTTTCCTCTTACATCGTCCATCACGACTTCTGTATCCTGGCACACGCATGTGCCCGGAGTACCAGACGGTCCTTCTTCTCCCTAAAATTTTTGGTATTCAGAAATCTTTTTTCTCAAACCTTTGGTCCAAGTGGTCCAGAAGATCCCATGGGTCCTGGTGGGCCGGGTGGACCAGGCCATCCCTTTTCTCCAGGAGTTCCAGGGTAGCCGTCTTCGCCCGGGGTTCCTGGATGACCTGGTGGTCCCCATGGGCCAGGATCTCCCGCATCTCCTGGTGGTCCTGGAATGATGTGAGCCTAAAGTCCATAAGTTTATGTAGGCTTCAAGCGAATTTTATCAACCTCAGGGGTTCGTCCAAAGTCTCCCGGGGGTCCAATGGGGCCAGGTGGTCCAGGAGGGCCAGGCGGGCCTGGTTCTCCGACTTTTCCAGGCATTCCATCAGCGCCTGGTCGTCCAGAGATTCCTGGATCTCCAGGATCTCCGGGGAAGCCGGGATGTCCGGGCACTCCTCGAGGACCTAAAGTCTTTAAGGTTTTAATTTGTGTTTAATTGAAACCCTGTGGACAGGGGAGACATGGTGGCGGCTCGAAGACTCGCTCTGGGATACAACTCGCGTTTGGTGTGGTGCCCGGGCGTCCAGGTGCTCCATCTGGACCTGGAGCTCCATTCATGCCAGGTAGACCCGAATCTCCAGTCGGTCCTCGTTCTCCCGGGGTACAACAGGCTGCAAATTAAAGTGTTATAGATATAAATGGATTACAGGCTTGATCAATCGATTTACAAATTTCAAGAAAGCTATGAGCTGCTATGTAGTCATTCTTGGAAGTCTAGAGCTTGGCCAAGATTTGGCTTTTGATCTGGCTTAGCTATATGAAAGATTTCTATCGATAGCATAGAGCTAATTCTTCTCTTTCTTTCTTTCTCTTTCTTTCCTTCTCTTTCCTTCTCTTTCTTCCTTTCTCGTCCGCTTATATTTCCTCTTTCTTCTCTGGCAAAAAGATACCGGATAGCTCAGTGGTTAGAGCGCCCGGAAAGCACAAGATCAAGGGTTCAATCCCCTCTCCGGAAATCTTTCTTTGTCATTCCAAAACCTCACCAGGACACTCTTGAAACTGTGGACTGTCAGCGGCGAGCATCATCGGATTGTAGTGTTGGCCGTAGTTTCCACCTCTCTTCGTTCTAAGAATTTTATCATATAATAATATAATAGTATTCTAACTATAAACTATGCTATATAAGCTATCTAAACTTCGAAAACCTTTACCGATTCTTGGTCAAGTCAACGAATCGATCCTTCAACGAGGACATTTCAAGCTCGAGATCGGCGGCCGCATTCTGAATGAATTTTCTGATAGCCAACTTTTGATTTATTAGCTTTTCTATATATTTATCTATTTATCTATTTGTTATTTATCTATTACTGTACCTCACAATACAGAAAATCTTGTTTGCTGAACTTTGAGGTGTTGTCGACGAGATTGTAGAGGGAGGGAACGATCAGACAAAGCGTCAAAATCGAGATGATCGATAAAGCCGAAGAGATCTGAGAAATGGATACTGTAAATGGTAGATAACAATGGTAGATAACAATGGTAGAGAACATTTTTATGATTCAGTACTTCTTGAACTTTTCATTGAGGCATACTTTGAGTTGAAAAAATGGAAACAAAAACGCAGCTCTGGCTCTAGCTCTGGCTCTAGCTCTGGCTCTAGCTCTAGCTCTAGCTCTAGCTCTAGCTCTGGCTCTAGCTCTGGCTCTAGCTCTGGCTCTAACTCTGGCTCTAGCTCTAGCTCTAGCTCTAGCTCTGACAATAGTTTCCTTATAATAGCTGTTGCTGAGAAGAAAATTGAATTGAATGAGCTAGAAAATATGCGCAAAGCAAGCGAACTAGCGTAAGTTGAATATCTCATTATTTAGTGTATTCTTTTAAAGTAAAATATTGTACTCCTTACCGTAATAATGTACTTGTAGGCGTGCTCTTTATTTGGGTCGACAATTTCAAATGATTCCATCTTCATGGCCCCACCACCCCCGCCTGAGATCCGCATCTTTATGAGGTGGGAATCTCGGTGGATGAGATGAGATTTCCTGAAAAACTTCGTAATTCTTTTAGAAATTACAAATTTAAACATAAAAAAATAGAACTAGAGAAACAAAAATTAGCTCTGTAAGGTAAAAAGTAATGTAAAAAGGATATAGTAATGTAAAAAGGATATAGTAATGTAAAAAGTCAAAGATGTTATTTCAAATCTCAGTCAAAATCTCTTTGAGACTAGAATTTGGAATCAAAAATGGAAATAAATCCGTAAAGAATTTGGTTCAAAGGAAATTTGAAAAAGATTTTAAAAAGAAAAGCTTTCTAAAGTTTTCTAGCGCTTTCTAAAACTTTCTAGCGCTTTCTAGAGCTTTCTAAAACTTTCTAGAGCTTTCTAAAGCTTTCTAGAGCTTTCTAGCGCTTTCTAGAGCTTTCTAGAGCTTTCTAAAACTTTCTTTAAAACTTTCTAAAGCTTTCTAAGAGCTTTCTAGAGCTTTCTAAAACTTTCTAGCGCTTTCTAGAGCTTTCTAGAGCTTTCTAAAACTTTCTAGAGCTTTCTAGCGCTTTCTAGAGCTTTCTAGAGCTTTCTAAAACTGTCTAAAGCTTTCTAAAATTTTTCTAAAGCTTTCTAAAACTTTCTTACCTTTTTAAAAGCTTTCTAAAGCTTTCTAAAGCTTTTTAAAATTTTCTTAGCTTTCTTAACTTTCTAAAAGCTTTCTTAGCTTTCTAAAAGCTCTCTAAAAACTTTCTAAAAGCTTTCTAAAGCTCTCTAAATAAAACTTTCTAAAGCTTTCTAAAACTTTCATTTTGTCACAAAAATAAGTACTCTTTCTTAATCATTAAAAATAAAGATAAAAAAAGAGGGTTAAATTTTTGCGGATAAAGATAAAGAGAAAAGAAAAGCTTTCAAGAAGGGGGTGATTTGGGGGGAAATCAGTGATCGGATATGGGTCAAATGAGAGTGAAAGGAAAGGAGATGAGTGAGGGGGGAGAGATCGCGATGGATCACTCCCGACACAGCCATCCACCTCTTCCCCTAATGAATTAGAGCAATTTTTGGGGGCTCTCAGTGGTATATTTCATTTCTCTCTGGAATCCGAAGCTCTTCTAGAGGGTTTTTCCAAAAGTAGAAAATGAGCTTTTTGTAGAAAAACGAGTAGAAAAGAGCTCGAAAAGCTTTTCTAAAGAATTGCTTTTTGAACTTGAAAAACTTGAAGAACTTGAAGGAATCTTGCGTGCAAATCTATCAAAGTATCAGAGTCAATTTCAAACAGAAATATTTATTCAATAAGGCCATCTAAAACAATCAAAATATTAGGTGTTTTAAAAAAGTAATCCACGTTTTTTAACGTTTAAATATAAAAGACCATAAGTTTCGTTAAAATAATTTTTATGCAACGAAGCAATCACCATTCGAAAGAACAACCTTTTGCCAACGTTCTACAAGTAAAGATATTCCACGATAATAAAAATCTTGGTCCTTAGAGACGAAGAAAAGATCAACCTCGGTTTTGACATCGTCTTCGGAATTGAACTGTTTATTGGCCAAAAAGTTAGACAGAGACAAAAATAAATAATAAATCAGATGGAGAAAGGTCTGGACTATAAGGTGGATGTGGTAAAACCTCGCATCCAACACTCTGGATTTTTTGTCGAGTCTGTAAAGAGATGTGTGGTCGCGCTTTATCGTTCATGCGGTATTCATTTGTCCAACTTTTTAATAAAATTTATGGTATTCAAGCGTTTCCTTACGGTTGACCCATCACAATTTAATGTAACTTTTCTGAAGAGGTTGAACGAGGGTTTTCGAGAAGACAGCGTCTTATTTGGTCATCGGAACAGGTCTCAGGGCGACCGCCACGTGGTTCATCTTCTAGGCTTTCATTACCACCTTTGAATCGTCGGTACCAAAACCTATCATCAATAACGGCGTCTTCGCCAAACTTGCTATTAAAAATAGCAAGCTGTTGAGCTTGTTTAGCTTTCTATACTAAATCTTCAGCTTCAAAATACTAAATCTCAAACTGTTTTTCGAGAATTGCTTGCTACAACAGCTTGCTATTCAGAATAGCAAGCTGTTGAGCTTGTTATTGTTGAGCTGTTTAGTTTGCTATTGTTGAGCTGTTTAGCTTGCTATTGTTGAGTTGTTGAGCTTGTTATTGTTGAGCTCTTGAGCTTGTTATTGTTGAGCTCTTGAGCTTGCTATTGTTGAGCTCTTGAGCTTGCTATTGTTGAGCTCTTGAGCTTGTTATTGTTGAGCTGTTGAGCTAGCTCTTGTTGAGCTGTTTAGCTTGTTTAGCTTGATATTCAAAAATTTTCAAACCCAAAGTTTTCTAAATTGTCACTACCACTTTTCTTTTCTCAAATTTCACAAAGTATATCTGGAAGGAGTTTTTCTCTGGCTAAATTTTCATGTACAAGTGAAGAGTGTAGAAGAGAAGGGCCAAGTCGTGATCTATTTTGTTAAGTCCCCAAGGAGTTGTCTTTGCTGTTGTCAAAGCTGAAGGGATTTCGCTCTCTTCAAATCTTTCTTTTCCCTTTCTTTGACCAACGCTCCCTGAAAACTCGTAAAAAATCATTTATCATTCTTATAAGTTTCCTCTTTTTCCTAACTACAGTATTTCTCAATTAACTTTAATCTAAAATCACTTTGAAATTGTTTTTGAAAGTCTGTAACTAGGGAGAGTGTTCTCAACTTACGCTAGCAATGGGTTTAGTATTGTTTAGTATTGTTTGATAAGTCTTGAAAAGTAGATTTCGTATCTATATCTATGCTAATATCTATGTCAAAACTCGAAGCTATTTTTAAGTGATTTAAACTATACCTTAGAAATTTATAGATATTGTAGATAGATATTGTAGATAGATATTCATATAGAAAATTCAAAATCTACGCTTCAAGGCCTAAACTCATTCGAAAATTCGAGTTTTGACATAGATATTGGTATAGAGATGGATTCGAAATCTACTTTTCAAGACTTTTTCAAGACTTATCAAACAATACTAAACTCGAATTAGTATTTTGAATGGCAAGCTAAATAAGCTAAATAAGCTTTACTCTCTTTCCTCTAAACCTCTTAAAATCTTCATTTTCTACAAAATCTCAAACTGTTTTTAGAGAATTCTTTTAAGAGAAAGAAATAATTTTAAGCTCAACAATAGCTAGCTCAACATCTCAACAATAGCTAGCTCAAGAGCTTAACAATAACTAGCTCAACAGCTTGCTATTCTGAATAGCAAGCTGTTGTAGCAAGCAATTCTCAAAAAACAGTTTGAGATTTAGTATTTTGAAGCTGAAGATTTAGTATAGTAAGCTAAACAAGCTCAACAGCTTGCTATTTTGAATAGCAAGCTGTTGAGCTTTACTCTCTCTCCTCATTGCTTGTTGAGCTTGTTATTTTTAATAGCAAGCTCAACAAGCTCAACAGCTCAACAATAGCAAGCTAAACAAGCTCAACAAGCTTTGCTCTCTTTCCTCTAAACCTCTTAAAATCTTCATTTTCTACAAAATCTCAAACTGTTTTTAGTGAATTCTTTTAAGTGAAAGAAAAACTGTGATAAGCGCATATAAGTCGAGTAGTTTTTGTTGATTTTTAGCAGATCAAAAGTTAAGAAATCCATTGAAAGTGTACAGAGTGATAGTACAGAGTTCCCACATAGATATTGGTATAGAAATGGATTCGAAATCTACTCTTCAAGACTTTTCAAGACTTATCAAACAATACTAAACTCATTGCTTCGAGTAATTTGCGAACGTTCCCTAATGAGTGAATTTTCAACTCAAAATTGGTTAACACCTTTCTTTTCTAGTGCACTTAGATATCCTTTAGCACTCTATTGCCTCAGAAATCGTGAAAAACTGCACAAGAAAAGGCGCTTTCCCAAATTTTTGAGTATAAAGTACACGAAGAAGACAAGATTTGCTTTAAAAGGCCGGAACTACCGTAATCTTGGAAAACTCTTATCCAATCTATCAACTTTGGCTAATTTTGTGATAGAAAAACTATCGAAATGCAAAAATTAGATAGATTGGACAAAAAGGTGTATGAGGGAGCAAACTCTGATCCTGTGGGCGGAAGCCTAATGCGCCATCCACTGCGCCATCCTTTCTTTCGCTAGGAAAGAGCCTTTTAAAGCATCCATTTTGACGCCAAATTTTCGAATGAAGTTTTACACGCCTGGGAAGTCATTTGGAAGATTTTAATTTCAGATTCAGTTTCCTCATAGCCGATTCTATAAAGTGCTAATAAGATTATGATCGTTTTCAAGGAGTTGAGCGTTTTTGGAAGTGTTTTTGGAAGTGTTTTTGGAAGCGTTTTTGGGAAACGTTTTTTCAAAAGCAACCATTCCCGTACTTTTCCAATAAAAGAATTCAGAAAAAGTACAAAATCCGTATGTGAAAATGGGAAATAAATGTGCATAAGGGGATCCTCATTTATCATCTCCGAGAGGCGACATCAAGGGGAAAGATATTCAGCCGATAGGGCCCTCTTCTCTCTTTTCTCATCCAGTTATGGGTCCTTGGGGCTTGAGGCTTGGATTTTTGTCTATTTACACTCTCAAAGCGATTGTAAAAGTTCGGTTGACCAGTGCCTGATGTTTATTCATCGTAGTTCATCTTTTCTTTTTCTTTAAAGTTGCTCATTTTATTGAGAAAGTACAGTAGTTAGATAAAATGTCGTTTTTATAGATTAGAGATTATAGATTATAGATTAGAGATTAGAGATTAGAGATTGTAGATTGTAGATTGTAGATTGTAGATTGTAGATTAGAGATTATAGATTGTAGATTGTAGATTGTAGATTGTAGATTAGAGATTAGAGATTAGAGTTTAGAGATTGTAGATTGTAGATTGTAGATTGTAGATTAGAGATTATAGATTGTAGATTTTAGATTGTAGATTGTAGATTATAGTTTATAGATTATAGATTGTAGATTACCCAAATTTGAGATGTAATCAGCACGTGTGGCTGACTGGTTAAGTGTCTTTTGTCTTAATCGGAAGGTCGAGGGTTCGAACCCCACATGCGACACGGTCACCCCCTTCGGATTTCCTTTCCCTTCGGGTTGAGAGGTTTTCTGGAGGGCAGTCTGGTGGTTGTGGCCCCAGTTCTTTAAAGTGACAAGCCACTCCTTCATCGTCATCTTCCCTTCACCACCAAAAAAGCTATTTAGTTCCCCATTGAGCTTAGGGTTAGGGAGCCGTCTGTCATGACGTGGGTTAAGTTAAGATATAGCCTAGTATTGTGTGTGTCGTTGTATTGTGATTGATATATTTCGTGTATGCGATAAATTCACCACTGGTAGCCCCAGTGGGTATTTTTTTTAATCGGGGGGTATTCAGTATTCAGTAATATAGGCATTCAGTTATTTAGCTATTTATATATTATCGAAGCACTCAGCCTTTCTCATGTCCTTCTCCTCTGCACTTATCTTCTTTTCAGATTGAGATGTAATCCCGGATCACTTCTAAAAATGTGCATCTCGAACGCGGCCGCCTATCGCTTTGTGCTCTTCGTCAAGAGGATCTATCAGAAATATAGGTATTCAGTTATTATCGAATATAGTTATTCAGATATTATCAAAATATTCAGTCTTTCCCATGTCCTTCTCCTCTCCACTTATCTTCTTTTCATTTTCACTTGTGGACTCGCCTTTTTCGCGTTAGAGGCCCGGAATTTTCATGCGACTCGTCAATCGATTCAACGCCGGCAAACGATGAATCGAGATCGGTAAACTACAATACTGAAAACCAATAATGTGATACAAACAAAGGAAATATAATAAGAAATAAAGGTCTAAACATACAATTTTATGGCAATGCGACCGTCGTTTTCCCTATTATTCCTATTACTTAAATGTTGTGAAAGAAAAAACCCACTTGGTGGGAAAAAGAAACATTTTGATCTTGCCAGCGTGATTAAACCCTTGACTTTCCGCTTAAAAGACAAGACTCCTAACCGGTCGGCCATCTGTAATTGATGCTAGACTTCTCTATCGATACCAGAGATGTGCAGGTGCAAAAAAAGATCTGGATTCGAAATCCGGGTCTTCCGGATCTCAAAAAAGAAATGATCTGGATCCAGTATTGATGCTGATAAAACACCCATTGAATTGATGAAATAAAAAAGTAGAAAGACAAAAGTTTTCATAGAGGTAAACTTTAGTCACATTCCCGTAGTTAAATACACTACTGGACAATGAAATATCATATTTGTGAAAAAAGATCTGTAACTCCTGTGTCTGTAACTCCCCTTGTCTTTGAGTTTAAACTATTAGTGTTCTACATTTTCTGAAAGCTCTTTTCAATGGCTACACAATGGTATTTGGTAATTATTTGATACCAGTTTGGTATCTATTTGGTTCCTATTTGGTAACTACACCACTGGACAATGAAATATCATATTTGAAAAAAGATCGTCATTTTCGCGCGTCTGTGTCTCCATTGTCTTTGAGTTTAAACTATTAGTGTTATACATTTCTGAAAGCTCTTTTCAAGGGCTACACAATGGTAATAATAATATTTAGAAATACGGTAAAGACAAGGGAGCTACAGACGCGCGAAAGTGACGCTCTTTTTTCAAATATGATATTTCATTGTCCAGTACTGTACTTTTAAATTTCGAATACTTTTAGTAATCTAGCCTAAATTGTATCGAAATTTTGAAATCTGATAAGAACAGTGACTCTTTTCCAGCAACCGAGCCCGAGAGCTTGTTTAGAATCAAAGTCTTTTCTCTAGTTTCATCACGCGTTCCCTCTTGCCCGACATCTTCAACAACTCCCGTCTTCTGGTGTACATTCATGAGTCAAAAACGAATTATTTGAAAGTGAGTGAAAGTGAAAGGAAATGAAAAGTGAAAATTTCAGAAATCTATTTCCTTAAAAAAAAGTTTAGAAGATTGTAACTCGAAAGTTAGAAGATTACGAGAAGATTTTCCGATTACGATACAACTATCGACCACCACAAAATCTTTCACTCACCACCTCGATTCTATACGTTTGTTGAAGAAAATAGTTGAAAAAAATTAGATACCGTAATTAGATCGCGTAATTAGATGCCGTAACTAGATACAGTATTATAATAATACCCCACGCATTCTCTAATTCTTTAAACAAAAGTGAACTAGTTGATGTGATCAAAATTTGCATTTCTTTCTCGAGGAGTGAGAAATGGGCAATCATTTCTTTCTAGAGATCGAGAAAAATCGATGGAAAGTTTTTGAAAAGAAAAATTACCAAAAAGAGCTTTTGTTCGAAGCTTTTTGAGATTATGGGTTTTGATGAGGGTCTAGAAATTGGATAATGCATTATCAACAGTCGACAGAAGTGGCTCATTACAATGAGCCACTTCTGTCGACTTTAAGAGACACTTATGAGCCCAATCTTATTCTTGCCTATATTCTTGCTGGAAAGTATTCAATGAATCTGCTTTCCTATCTTTAATCTTTAAACAATCTTAGCCTAAGTGTTCATACCGTAAATACTGTAATAGTACCCCACCCCCATAATGACGGCGCGGAGTGTTGCGTAGTCTAGCTTTGGACGCGTTTTTCTCGACACTGTTTTATGCTACAATGCGCGCTTATGTATCAAAAAAATAGCTGAAATTCAGGGCTATTTTTTGATACCAAAGACGCATTTTTTGAAAGGATGCGAGCTTTGAAAAAAATGAAATACTAAAAAACTTTTGCGACTACGCGACTGTACGAGGGGGTGAGGTACTATTACAGTATTTACGGTAAGTTAATTTGTTGACAAAGCCAAAGAAACAGAAGTATCAAAAAATTCATTTGAAAATCGAAAGGAAATTTAGATCTTTTCCTGTGTGACAACGATCGGCTATCATCACATTTACCCGATGACAAAGGGGGTTCGTTTTTTTTTTTGACTGAAAAGAGTAACAACTGAGCTTACAATGGTGTACAGATATTAAGAAATTGCGCCCAAATTTGCCTGCTAGCTTCAGCTGACATTTTCCAAATTCTAGGGTCGAATCCTGTCGACTTTCGTCTCGATTGTTGGTTTCCCGTTCTCTCTGGTGGTCATCCACGATTTGTCCTATCTTTTGATTCGTTTATTAGACCTACCCAGCTTATTATTTGGTAAATATCGTAAATTTGTTATTTCTAATCAATTTCCAGAGAAATGTTGGGCAATTTTCCGCTTTTGTACCCTTCGAATCTCTCCGGAAAGCGAGTTGGTCAGGAGCTGGGATTCGAAAGGAAATCAAAGGTTTAGGGAAAACAATCAGATCGATTTTAACTTCAAAAACTTGTAATTGGTGCACTTTGTGCTCAAAGGTGGAAACGCACACCTTCTGGCGCATCGAGAGTGCCGTTTTTTTTACGAGAGCGCCATATTGAGTGTGTTTACATTTTTAAACACAAAATACACGAACAGTTGGATAAAACAGTAAACAACATAATGAATCAACACTTAGTGTGCTAGAAAAGGTGTGTTTCCATTTTAAAGCACAAAGTACAAGTCGAAAACTAGGTCCGATTTCCGTTTGGAGAACTCGTCCCGGCTTCTCGGAATCCCCGCAACACTGGCAGTGTTGGCTCTCTTTGGTTAGTTTTTCTCAGTCGTCTTTGGGCTAAAAGAACCGAAAACTTTGAAAAAGTACCAAATATCAATGCGCCATTAAAATCAAAAGTTAAAAACTCAAGATTCGGCTACGGGGGTCTAGTCCCGGACGTCCTAGTCCCGGACGTCCTAGTCCCGACTCCTGTCCCGGCGTCCTGTCCCGGACGTCCTGTCCCGGACGTCCTAGTCCCGGACGTCCTAGTCCCGGACTCCTAGTCCCGGACTCCTGTCCCGGACGTCCTGTCCCGGACGTCCTAGTCCCGGACGTCCTAGTCCCGGACGTCCTGTCCCGGACGTCCTAGTCCCGGACGTCCTGTCCCGGACGTCCTGTCCCGGACGTCCTGTCCCGGACGTCTAGTCCCGGCGTCCTAGTCCCGGACGTCCTAGTCCCGGACGTCCTAGTCCCGGACGTCCTAGTCCCGGACGTCCTAGTCCCGGACGTCCTAGTCCCGGACGTCCTAGTCCCGGACGTCCTAGTCCCGGACGTCCTAGTCCCGGACGTCCTAGTCCCGGACGTCCTAGTCCCGGACGTCCTAGTCCCGGACGTCCTAGTCCCGGCGTCTAGTCCCGGCGTCCTGTCCCGGACGTCCTGTCCCGGACGCCTAGTCCCGGACGCCTGGGGTTGTAGCCAAACGCGCTGCCGATTGAGCCACACGGACTGTCCGTGGGCCCACAAAAATCCAGCCCAAAACCTCGCCGTTAGGGCTTTTCGGCTGGTTAGTTCTTTGGTGATTTTAGTGCCTATTACAGTACTTTAGGCTTTACAGTACTTTACAGTGCTTTACAGTACTTTAGGCTTTACAGTACTTTAGGCTGGCTATCACTTGGCTGTGTACTTGGATGGAGTCTTTTCCCGAAAGAATCCCTCACCACCGTTTTTCATTATGTCATCACAACGCTCACCACCATTGGTTTCGCTGATCATGAGCTGCCAGGTTTGAAAAATTATCGCTACAAGAGAAAAACGAGATTTAACCACTTTAATGGTTATTTTTCCAGGATTTAAGGCTATAGTTATCTAAACTTTTTTTTTCTAGACAATCGTCCTCTCTTTTTACTTTCCTGGTGTGCTTTCACATTGATCGGCTTGGCGCTAATGTCGATGTTCATCAATTTGATTCACTCAAAGTTCAGCTCAGCCTATTGGCTACCGGGCAGGATGTATGTGCCGATAAAGTGAGTGATGAAAATGAAAATTCTAGATGAAAATTTAAAACGATAAACAATGAAATGAGGTTTTAAGACAAGTAAATCGTTGCAATCGTTGCCAGAACTTGGCCTCAATCGAGTCATTCAATGATCTATGTGATGCCGAATCGCCGCTCAATCACTTGACCACTCTCGGGATATTGCAAACTGATGTGTGTTTGAAATTTGGAAATCGTTTGAAATTCGATTAATCGATTAATGGCCAAAAAAAGGAAACAGAGACGTTGTGCAAACGTTTTTAATTGGCTAATCTACTGCCAAGTTTTTAATTGACTAATCTACTTGGCAGTAGATTAGCCCAATTAAAAACGGCTCCCTCAGAGGTACTTTATGCTCAATTAATGTAAACACACCCTCTCTAGCCAATTAAAAACGTCTTAGTTCTAATGTTAAAATCTAGTTGTCAATATCTTTATGATATTCTGATAGTTTCCTTCAAAATCTCATCTATATTTTCAGGATAAATGCCCATTAATCGATTTTCAACGTTTCGAAACCGCTTACGTGGATGCGGTTGTGCAAACGGACAAAGATGACAAGAATGGGAATTTCGAAGAGTTTATTGAGAGAAGAGATGAGAAAGTGAAAGAGAAAGAGACACTCGTTTATTTGGCTGGAGGGAGATCGAGAGTGTCGAGGGTGAGGAGAAGAAAACAAAGAATATCGCAAAGATATTCCATTGCTCTATCTTTAACTTTCGTTCCTCTAACTACTCAAAATTAAAAATTCGATCTATCGAAGAAGTTTGGGTTGATCAAGAGATAATAGTTAAAGAATGGCTGAACTGCTTTGTCGAACTGAACTGGGAGTCGAACCAGGGACTAAAAAGATTGTAAGCAAGATTGTAAGCAAGATTGTCAACAAGATTGACAACAATATTGTCAACAATATTGTCAACAAGGTTGTCAACAAGATTGTTAACAATATTTTATAACAATATAATTTTATAACAATATAACAAACAATATCTTCTTGTCAAACTTGTTGACAACCTTGTTGACAATATTGTTGCCAATATTGTTGACAATCTGGTTCACATATTGTTCACAATATTGTTAACAATCTTGTTGATAATATTGTTGACAACCTTGTTCACAATCTTGTTCACAATATTGTCAACAAGATTGTCAACAAGCTTTTAAACAAGCCTAACCACTAGAGCATCAAAGAATAAGCGCAATTGCGGTAATTTTAAAGAATAACAAGTCTTAAAAGGAAATTCCAGGATGATGTGCACACTCTCCTCTCCGAAACCTACTCTCGTAAACACTGAATGAAATTTAATCATTTTTTAAATCAATCAATAAACCTTTATTTTACTTCAAATAGACAGACAAAGAATTGTCATTGATTTCCGAAAAATTTGCATACAAAACGGGATTTTCTCTCGCTCCAATCTTCATTGATTTTATCGTCACAAGAAAGGTCACACAGCCATATTTGTATCATTTTCAGTCTAAAATTCTTTCATCTTTTCCATTTGATCCTATTGAGTCAAAAATTCATCTTTTTTTCCCTTTTATTTGATTCAAAATGTTTTAAAAAACTCTTTATTTCCTTTATTTTTTTATCTAAACAATTCACTTTTTATATAATTCGATATCTTTGATCTGAATCTGAATAGATTGATAAAATGGATCTGATCTGTAATAGAATCTGAATAGAATATGAATAGATTGATGAAATAGATCTGAATAGAATCTGAGTAGATTCATGAAATAGGTCTGAATAGATTGATAGAATAGATCTGAAATAGATCTGTAATAGATCTGAATAGAATATGAATAGATTGATGAAATAGGTCTGAAATAGATCTGAATAGATTGATAAAATAGATCTGAATAGATTGATGAAATAGATCTGATCTCTAATAGAATCTAAATAGAATCTGAATAGAATCTGAATAGAATCTGAATAGAAGCTGAATAGAATCTAAATAGAATCTGAATAGAATCTGAATAGAAGCTGAATAGAAGCTGAATAGAATCTGTAATAGAATCTAAATAGAATCTGTAATAGAATCTGAATAGAAACTAAATAGAAGCTGAATAGAATCTGTAATAGAATCTAAATAGAACCTGAATAGAATCTAAATAGAATCTGTAATAGAACCTGAATAGAATCTAAATAGAATCTGAATAGAATCTGAATAGAAGCTGAATAGAATCTGAATAGATTGATAAAAACTTAGACAAGGTGACGATAATCGAGATTCTCGATTATCTTAATTATCTCGATTATCTCGATTATCAACTTTCTTTCGGGAAAACTCGAGAAAGTTGATCTGTTTTCGAAAACGCTGGGCTCAAGGCTCAAGCAAAACTGTAGTCAACTCGACGTCAAAACTAGAGATTTTACAGTAGTAAAGTACAATTCTTAACCCGATCTATTGTAGCTTAAAATGGATGCCTTTTAACAACTAATCACTGATGTTGTTCAATGCTTAAAAGAATGAAAAGAGCGATTTATCCGCCTTTGTCAAACATTGGCATGAAAAGAAAAAAAAAGAAAAAAAAAGAAGTTGAGTACATAGAGACACAGAAATTTTTGTGTTTTATTTGAGGCACTCAAGAAATTGCCCCTTTCCCCACAGCTTTACTCTTAACTTCGAATTGTAAAATTGATTTAGCCAAACCAAAAAGAAGATACAATTGATTTGAAACAAGCAATGACGTCATTCAAGCTGATCTTTTTGCTCATTCTATTCTTCGCAGGTAAATTTGGTTTACTCTAATCCCTCAGATGGACTTTGTGCTCAATCTTTGTGCTCAATTAATGTAAGCACACCCTCTCTAGCGTCTCTACAATCATTTCTGCATTTTCTTTTTTACGAAACTAAAGCTTTTCTTAAAGAAAAGTGAAGAATTGAGTTGACTGGAGGGGATGCGTTTACCGTATTTCTTCGAATAGAAGACCGGGTAAAGAGTATGAGCGCGTACTCCTGCGTAGCAGCCCTTTTTAAAATTTCTTTTCCGCATAAAAGCTTTCAATGAAGTGCTATAGAGCTGGAAAATGGCTCAAAAATCTGTTAGCTCATGTGGTATTTTTGAGTCATTTTCCAGCTCTATAGCACTTGATTGAAAGCTTTTATGCGGAAAAGAAATTTTAAAAAGGGCTGCTACGCAGGAGTACGCGATGATACTCTTTACCCGGTCTTCTATTCGAAGAAATACGGTAATCCTTTAAGCACAGTCCTACCGAAGAGCTTGATCAATACATAAGCGCTATCAAGCAAAACTTGAAAAAGCTAGCTGAAATGTTAAATGGTGGAGAGTAATTTTTGTGTGATATTTGCTAAATTTAGACTTTTTTTGCAATTGGAAGGCTAAAAATTGGTACCTGGTTTTGGAGGGGGTCGAGTACTTGGGGCTGTCCCAGGTCTGGGGGAGGATAATTCTGCACGAGTACTTGGGGCTGTCCCAGGTCTGGGGGAGGATAATTCTGCACGAGTACTTGGGGCTGTCCCAGGTCTGGGGGAGGATAATTCTGCACGAGTACTTGGGGCTGTCCCAGGTCTGGGGGAGGATAATTCTGCACGAGTACTTGGGGCTGTCCCAGGTCTGGGGGAGGATAATTCTGCACGAGTACTTGGGGCTGTCCCAGGTCTGGGGGAGGATAATTCTGCACGAGTACTTGGGGCTGTCCCAGGTCTGGGGGAGGATAATTCTGCACAAGTTATTTGCTTTACCTTTAGTTTAATCTTTCTTTTAAACTTTGCTTTGTTTTTAGTTTATCTTTTAAATATATGTCGTAGCCGATTATGAATGAAATTTTTTGGTAAATCTTTCTGGTAGAGCAACCCTTTAATGTATGAGGACAATGTTATATCATCCTGTAGCGAATTAAATTCTGCGTCGATTGGTACCAAATTTGTGAGTTTAGGTTAAAAATTACCGGCGCTACAACGTTTCATTCAAAATCGGCGGGACCCCCGTAGCCGATTATGAATTACAGCCGATTATGAATGAGTGGGTCTAGGAGCGTCCAACCATCAAGTATTTGGTATCATTCAACGCAGAATCATTAATAATTATGTTAAATTTTTTAAATTAGAAAGATTTGATAAGAAGAAAAAAAATTAGAGCAAAAAACTGTTTGTTCAAGAGGAAACTTTGAGGCGCCATAATTTTTTTTCTTTTTATCCAATCTTTCTAATTTTAAAAATTTAACATAATTATTAATGATTCTGCGTTGAATGATACCAAATACTTGATGGTTGGACGCGTCCGAATCCGCTCATTCATAATCGGCTGAAATTCATAATCGGCTACGACATATAATCTTTTAGATATAATCTTTTAGATATAATCTTTTAGTAATAATCTTTTAAATATAAAATAGATCTAACTTTTTAAATAGCTTTAAATCAATAATCAGTCAAATTTCAGCCACTTCCACCCAACAAGTGATCTCTTGTGTGCAAAATAGTTGCTCAAATGGTGGCTCGTGTTCCCTCTCAAGCAGTAAGTTTTCGAAATTTGAAATTAATCAAAAAAAACCTTTAGCTCAAGCTTCGATAAAACAATGTGATGATGGGGAAAATTTTTACAAAAATCAATGCCTCCGTTTCTCAGCCAATTCAATGAGTTGGGAGCAAGGAGAGGAGTTTTGTCGACAACAATATCGTGATTATTTTCTTTTTTATCATAAACATATTCAGTTAAGAAATAAGCTATTTATACACTAAAGACTTTAGAGTGAAATGATTTCGAAAAAATCAAAGTCACAAGCAAGATTGAGGAATGGGGAGTGGGACAAATGTGACTTTTTTTTTGCGCACCCGGACATTTGCGCACCTTTTTTTCCGCACCTTGCCCATTAGCGCACCTTTTTTCGCGTTTTAAAAAGCTTTAAAGCTTTTAAAAAATATTAAAAGCTATTCAATTTAAGAAAATAAAATATTAATGCGACCTTTGCACCGGACATTTGCCCTTTTTCCGCCTTGCCATTAGCGCGCTTTTTCGGTAAAGCTCTAAAAAGCTAATATTAACCAATTTCTATTCCAAAAGTTGTTTTTCTAGGTAATTTTAGGGCGTAGAATCGAAATTTTGGCATATTAGAGCTTGTGGAAACAAACGGACGGAGTTATACAAAGAGAAAAATCGACAATTTTCTGTAATTTGACCTAGCCGTTTTGATCTAGCCGATCTAGATCTTTCAAATTGGTTCCACACGCTCTGTTATGTCAAAATTTCGATTCGACACCCTCAAATTACCTAGAAAAACAACATTTGGAATAGAAATTGGTTAATATTAGCTTTTTAGAGCTTTTTTAAAACGCGAAACAAGGTGCGCTAATGGGCAAGGTGCGGAAAAAAAAGGTGCGCAAATGTCCAGGTGCCAAAAAAAGGTCGCATTTGTCCCACTCCCGAGAAATGAGAAAGAAATTTCTCGATTCATTCAGATTTTGAAGCACTTTTTGAATCTATTAGATTCTTAAATCCTACTTTTAATATTTTATTTTCTTAAATTGAATAGCTTTTAATATATAGCATTTCTTAAATTTCTTAAATTAGCATTTTTAAAATTTTAAAATTTTAAATTCAGGTGCGAAACTTTTCATCACCGAGACGGCAGACGATTTGCGATTTTTATCGAATTTTTTTTCAACACAATCGGCTTCGATAAACAACTCGATTGCTGGGATTTGGCTCGGGATTCGTGCAGTACAAAAAGATGGAAGTCCACAGGTAAACAAAAACTTCTTTTTTGTTATTAGCTTTTGCGAAATCCTTACTTTTCAAGTCTATTGTAAAACTGATCATAGTTTTTCTGTGATTAGTTGTAAGTAAATTTCCTATTCGGTAACTATTAGATACCAGTTTGGTATCTATTTGGCAACTATTTGATGCCTATTTGGTAACTATTAGATGCCAGTTTGGTATCTATTTGATACCTATTTGGTAATTATTTGATCCCTATTTGGTAATTATTTGGTTCCTATTTGGTAATTATTTGATGCCTATTTGGTATCTATTTGATTCCTATTTGGTAACTATTTGATGCCTATTTGGTATCTATTTGGTTCCTATTTGGTAACTACACTACTGGACAATGAAATATGATATTTGAAAAAAGATCATCACTTTCGCCCGTCTGTAACTCCCTTGTCTTTACCGTATTTCTAAATATTAATATTACTATTGTGTAGCCATTGAAAAGAGCTTTCAGAAAATGTATAACACTAATAGTTTAAACTCAAAGACAAGGGAGTTACAGACTCGCGAAAGTGACGATCGTTTTTCAAATATCATATTGCATTGTCCCGTACTGTATTTGATACCAGTTTGGTATCTATTTGGTTCCTATTTGGTAACTATTTGATGCCTATTTGATGCCTATTTGATTCCTATTTGATGCCTATTTGATACCTATTAGATACCTATTAGATACCAGCTTGGTATCTACTTGATACCTATTTGGCGACTATTTGGCAACGATTTGATACCTATTTGGTATCTGTTTAAAACAATGAAGACTTTACCTTGTTCTTTTAAACTTTAAAACATAACTTTTTGATAGTGAATGAATCGAAGAAAAGAAAAGTTGCAAAATTTACAAATTTTTAGTGGGCCGAATACCCGTCGATGTACTCGGTGATGCAGACTTTTTGGCGACAAGGAGAACCGAATATTTATCCAAATTATAATCGTTAGTTAGCTATTAGGCTTTCAAGAAAGTCTTTTTTCCTTTTCGTACTTCTGTTTAAAATCAAATGCACCAATTGAACTCCGGTTTTGTTTCATTAGAAAGGTCAATTATTTTTCTGCCAAAAATAACATTAAAATGGGTTTAATGTCTGGATTTTTTGGCTGTCTTATGTTTGGATTTTTTGTTTGGATGTTTGGAGCGTGAACTCTAGTCAAAAAGGACATCTCGATGATGCAGTTTAGACACTTTGCGCTAAGGAAACCTTTCTTCGTGTAAGCCTATGAGATAATCGTGAACTCGTCGTCGTTCACGGTAGTCGAAATGCGGCTCGATGATGCCATTTGTTTGCGCTAAGGGAAATCAACTTCGATCGTCGAAATCGATCTTCGTGTCAATAGATAAAAGATAGACCACAAAAAGCTTAGTATATAGTGAAATTTTCAGGGGAATCGATTCACCCAATTCCTTCGTAGAGGTTTTTATAGTTTTTATAGAGAAACACATGTTTTCACGCTCGAATTTAACTATTTAAATTTAATTTGTTTTCACGCCGCTAAAAGTGACCCCAAATTGACTTAAAAAGATGAAAATTGAACAAAAGAACACTTTTTATCTAAAGAAAACGATAGGATTTTAATTGCTGAATTGCTGAATTGCTGAATTTTTTATTTTTCAATGAAAGTATGAAAAGGAAACGAAAAAAAACTTTCTCGACAGCCAAATAATGATGATCGATCGAAATCTTGTCTGAAATGATCGAAATCTTGTCTGAAACTAGCAAATTTACTGCTTAACTCTTATATTATCAAATCAATTCAGATTTTCAGAGGTTTGTGTCGCTTTGTCGACGAATTCTCCCGAATGGATCTCCTCACTGTGCTCAAATCGAAATCTGATCGTTTGCGCGAGAGATGTTGAACGTTTGTAAATTAAAAGCCATCAAATAGACTCTATAGCTAGTACTTGAATTTAGAAGTATTGTTTTTTTTTAGAATTACTCATTTTTAGCTGAAGCTGGCACCTACTTGAGCCAATGCCAGTGCGCGAATGGATTTGGCGGGCAAACCTGCGAGATTCAACTCGATTCAGGCAATGGTGAGTATTATGTAGATTTTGCTACAGTATATTACAGCTACAGTATATTTCCCTTTTTTCAGACTCATCACTTTTCCCAGCGACGAGCACTTTTTGCGCGTCGAATACCCGCCAGCCGGTCGAGTTGAGTTGCCCAAATGGAGCGCAAATCGTTGTCGACTATGCAAGTTATGGGATTACGGTAAGTAGACAACGGTAATTTCTGAACAGACGGTAATTTCTATATCCTTATTACAGTATCCTGTAGACTGAATATCTTTATGGAGCCTCAAATGGAAAGCTTTCCAAACAGTCAATCTCAATCTGACAATAGCTAATCGACAATTGAATACGGTTTATTTTCGTTTAATTTGTTACAGATAAGAGTCTAAACATTTACAGTAGGCTTTAAGGTCTTTAATATTTAAGAGTTAAGGACTGAGTTGACTGGAGAGGATGCGTGTAATCTTTAAGCACAAAGTCGACCGCAATTTGCTTTAACTTTAGTTTAATTTTTCTTTTAAACTTTCCTTATTTATATTTATTTTATATATTTATCTTGTAAAGCATCAATTTCAGACCGGCACCACGTGCGACGGAAGAACGAAAAAACACGATTGCGAGAATGTGCACTCACTTCAAACGCTCATCAACAAGTTTGTTGGCTAAAGGATGATAAATATCTATAGATCATATCTTATAGCTAATATCTTCTAGCTAATATCTTCTAGATAAATATTTCTTTATATCTCTTTTAGATGCGAGGGGCAATCAGCGTGCAGTATTGCAAATTTGGCGGCTCTTTTCCCGGACACGCCGTGCGGTGTTGACAACGGTGGTCAGCTCGAGTTGCAGGCGAGATGGAGGTGTACCGCTGGTTGGTTTAAAGGGAAATATTATGGAAAAGATATAAACTAGTTAAAGATCTAAATAAAATAGATTAGTTTTGGGTGAGATGATTTGGTCGTTGCCAGGGATTTGATTGCTGATTTGGTCGTTGCCAGGGATCTGATTGCTGATTTGATCGTTGCCAGGGATCTGATTGCTGATTTGATCGTTGCCAGGGATCTGATTGCTGATTTGGTCGTTGCCAGGGATTTGATTGCTGATTTGGTCGTTGCCAGGGATCTGATTGCTGATTTGATCGTTGCCAGGGATCTGATCGTTGCCAAGAATTTGATTGTTATCTTCAAATGTTATCGAAACAATTTCTACACTAAAAATAAACAGTAAATAAACAGTAATAAATAGTAGAAATATGGAATTTACACTAATAAATGAAAAATTGGACAAGAAACAAAGAAATCGTGTTTGAAATGCGCAATAAGAGCGGACTACTGTAGCGCAACAGTGAGAAAAGAGCACTTAATAGGAAACAGGGTTATTTCTTCGGTTATAGAAAGTTTATATAGCTTTTTAAGCTTTTAAGAGGCTTACCAGTATTAAGATAAGTTGGATTGTTGAAGTGAAACACAAATATTGCAACAATAGTCACTTTTCTATAGCTAAAGATCAAACGATTGCGAAAACCGCTTGAGTTGACGTTAAAAAAAAGCTATACAAGAGCAGATGCACTAACAGCAGAGATCATTATTAAAGATCAAACGATTATAATGATTTCTTCTGTTGGTACGTCTGCTCTTGTATAGCTTTTTTTTAACGTCAACTCAAGCGGTTTTTGGTTTTTGAATTTGACACTGTTGAGAAGATTGGGCATCTCGACTTTCCAGTCGAGATTCCAGTCGACTTTCCAGTTCACTGACAAATTTGACAGTTTGACACACTGGTTTTTGAATAAATTGTCCAATCTAAATTGGTGAATTATATCGGGAAAGCTTATGAGAAAAATGATATTATGATATTATGTTTATAGGGAGTAAAAACTCGCAGAGTTTGACGAGTAAACATAATGATTTCTTCTGTTGGTACATCTGCTCTTGTATAGCTTTTAAGTCAACTCAAGCGGCTTTTTACACTGGTTTTTGAATAAATTGTCCAACCTAAATTGGTGGACAATACATTATATCGGGAAAGCTTATGAGAAAAATGATATTATGATATTATGTTTGTAGCGAGTAAAAACTCGCAGTAACTCGAGTAAAAACTTGGCGAGTAAACATAATGATTTCTTCTGTTCATACATCTGCTCTTGTATAGCTTTTTTTTTTTAAAGTCAACTCAATTCTACAGCTAAAGATCAATCGATCAGCACTAAGAATCGATAATAATATAGATAAATAATATAGATACTATTCATTAGAATATCAATAATAGTTTTTTTAGAAAAGATCACTTTTCAGAAACGCAAACCACTTGCGCTAAACGATCGATTTATTTCGAGGGTCGTTGCTATGAAGTGAATTTCCAATCGAAAAAGGATAAACAATTCGATTTCAAGGGTGCACAAGATTACTGTAATCAAGCAGTATGCTAATTTTCTTCGATTTTTCTATGCAAAATTTTAGGGTGGAACATTACTCGACGCGGATTCACCCGTCGACGAGTTGAACAAGCTGGTGGCGGGGAAAACGAAAAATAAAGTTAATAGAGGGGATAATTACAGGAATACTATGGATTCTCATGTTTAATTTAGATTTATATATATGTCATAACCGTTTACGAAATTCAGCCGCTAACGAATCATTTGTTAACCCATTAACGCCGTTAACGCTAGCCGTTAACGAATGAGATTTTTCGCGAGCCGTTAACGAATCCTTCGTTAACGGCTGAATTTCGTAAACGGCTGAATTTTCATGTTTAATTTAGCTTTATATATGTTGTGTCCGATTTAGATTTCCGTCCGATTTAGATTTCCGTCCGATTTAGATTGAACTTATCGCGGACGTCCGATTTAGATTACAGTCTATATCGGACGTCCGATTTAGATTCAATCTAAATCTTATATAGATTGAACAATAATATAAACATGCTTAATATATGTTCTTAAGCGTTTTCTGTAGTTTTCTGCATTTTTCAAAGGTCTTTTATTGATTACAGTCTATATCGGACGTCCGATACAGATCGAACAATAATAAACGTGCTTAATATATGTTCTTAAGCGTTTTTTTTCCAATTTTCTGCGCTTTTCAAAGAAATTTTATTGTCTTTTTTTGAGAATTTTTCTAAATCTAAATAGGACGTCCGATATAGATTGTAATCTAAATCGGACGTCCGCGATAAGTTCAATCTAAATCGGACGGAAATCTAAATCGGACACAACATATATATATATATATGTCGTAACTGTTTACGAAATTCAGCCGCCAACAAATCATTCGTTAACGGCTAACGAATGAAACGTTAGCGTTAACGAATGAAATTTTTCGCTAACCGCCAACGAATGATTCGTAAACGTAAACGTAGACGTGAATTTCGTAAACGGCTACGACATATATATAAATATCTCTTGATATTTATGTGAAATCTTTCAGGATAGCATTTTCTGGGTTGGTTTAATGGTGGATCGGATGGGACAAGGGATTTGGCTTGACGGGACGCCGGCTTCACAGTATCGTTTTTAAAACTTTAAAAACTTTAATTTAGATCGTATTACGATACGATTACGATCAAAATTCGTATAGATCTTTTCAATTTTCAATTTTTAATGCTAAAATAACGAATAACCTTTGCAAAATTTGAGTTTTCTATCGAACCTTTTTCTTTTCTTTTCTTCACCTTTTTCTCTTCAACTTTTCCACTTCATCACTTCATTTTTCGCTTTTTTTTCGGCTCTATCATAGCATTTTTGCATTTAACACGTTCGGGACGATTCGGTCCACCGGTGGACGAAGGCCGTCTGGCTCCTGGGATGGTTCGGTCCACCGGTGGACGAAGGCCGTCTGGCCCCTGGGATGGTTCGGTCCACCGGTGGACGAAGGCCGTCTGGCCCCTGGGATGGTTCGGTCCACCGGTGGACGAAGGCCGTCTGGCCCCTGGGATGGTTCGGTCCACCGGTGGACGAAGGCCGTCTGGCCCCTGGGACGGTTCGGTCCACCGGTGGACGAAGGCCGTCTGGCCCCTGGGATGGTTCGGTCCACCGGTGGACGAAGGCCGTCTGGCCCCTGGGATGGTTCGGTCCACCGGTGGACGAAGGCCGTCTGGCCCCTGGGATGGTTCGGTCCACCGGTGGACGAAGGCCGTCTGGCCCCAGGGACGATTCGGTCCACCGGTGGACGAAAGTTTTGACGCGCTATAACTTCTCAAATTTTTAAGATAATTTCGAAATGTAAAAAGATTCGATTAGTTCTTTTTGAGGCAGCAATATTTTCAAAATCTGATTAGAGATTCGGATTCAGTATGAAATTTTACATACAGGAGGTGTATTTCGGGGCTAATAGCTTTGCGAGACACCCCTCGTCCACTGGGGCAGTAACGCAAAAAAAAAAACGCCTCGTCGCGAATGTGTTAACAGAGAAAGCTGAGTTAACGCTAAAAAATAATCGTCATTAGTTACAGGTGTACAGGGTGAAACCAAATTTTTCTTACATCCAAATTTTTCTCTAGTGCGTAGCTCGGCCTAATAATTACTATTCAAAAAAAAGTAGCAAACAAATTAGGCTTTCTAAATTTAAAATCTAGTTATTTACAAGTGTTTCATCCATAATCAGATATTATTAAAGTAATTTTTTAAGTTTAAGTTCGAAATTTGGTCACAAAGAGCCGCGTCTCAGAGACTCTCGAGTTTTGGTGATTGGAAGCTCTATAGAGTTGATAATTTTGAGTTTCTGAGTAAATGCGAGACAACCCTCGTCCACTGGGGAAATAACGCAAAAGAAAAAGCCTCATCGCGAATGTGCTAAAACATTTAAACTATAAAAATTAGCATCGATATGAGAAATTTACATATAAAAACAAGTGCACAAACTAAGAAAATCTTAAAAAAAAACACTGTTTATTCGGAATTTTCATCAACGATGAAATTCTTTCACTTATTTCACTTAAAAAAACGATTTCATAATGTAACATTGAACAAATCTATAAATATCTATCTATAAAAATAAATATTATGCAAATTAAGCAACAAATAAGAATCGATTTCTTTAAAAAAAACCCCCATCTTTACCCATTTCGATTATCGATTAATCCATGAGTGATTTGGAAAAAAAGAAAAGAGTCGATTGAAAAAAATCAAATAAGATCAAAATCAAACTTTTAGGCCATCAAAAAGAAAAGTTCTTTCTTTTTTTTCCTTTTTTCCATTTTTTGTCGATGTTTATTTACCTTCTTCACTCACTTTTTCTCTTTTCATTCACTCAATTCCCATCTCAATTCCGACGATGTGATTCATCGTTATAAAGTGAGTGGTTGAGACAAATATTGCGATAAATTGGGTAATCAATCCGATAGAGTTCAGCAAATGTACTTTGTGCTCAAAAATGGAAACACACCCTTTCTAGTGGATTCGAATCTTTGCTTTCCTTTACTTGCAGGAAAATTAGGAATTCAGTGCACGAGAAAAAGTGTTTTTACGTTTTTGTGGGCAAATAAAACTCAAAGAACAAGTAAGAAAATGCATTCAGTGTGCCAAGGAAGGTATGTTTACGGTTAATGATTGATGACACAAGGTACATAGACCTTACTAGGGAAAGGGAAAGGCACCAGGTCAGTTTAGTCGTTTGGTAGTCGTTTTTTAATACAAGAGCCAGGCTTTATAGAATTGCTGATTCTGAATATGCTTTTACTTTTCCCCAAATGAGCTTTTTTAACGACAGATTTCTGGTATCAGAGTTTACCCCGATTTTCGAAGTTCTTATAAGCTTTAAGCTTATAGCTTTAAAGCTATAGCTCTTCCTTATAAACTTTTTCTCTATTCCTTAAAAAGATAGATAATGGCGCAGTGGAAAGTGAATAGTGAAGTGAATAGTTCCGGGAGCGAACTCGAACCCGGGCAAGAAGAAAAACTCGAACCGTTCCAGAGACCGTATCCACTGCGCCACTAGGTTCCGGCATAAGGAAGAGAGAAAAAGGTTATAAGGACTCCGAAAATCGGCGTAAACTTTGATGTAAGATATCTCGCGTTATAGAGTTCCTTTGGAAAAAGTAAAAGAATATTCAGAATCAGCATAGCCGATTCTATAAAGCCCCGTGACTCTTGTATTAAAAGGCCACTTTGGTGTGGTGCCTTTCCCTAGTTAGAATACTTACCGTGAATACTGTAATAGTACCCCACCCCACCGCCCTCGTACAGTCGCGTAGTCGCAAAAGTTTTTTAGTATTTCATTTTTTTCAAAGCGCCCGTACTTTCAAAAAATGCGTCTTTGGTTTCAAAAAATAGCTGAAATTCAGGGCTATTTTTTGATACCAAAGATAATGACGGCGCGGAGTGTTGCGTAGTCTAGCTTTGAACGCGTTTTTCTCGACCCTGGTTTAAGCTACAATGCAGGCTTAGGTATCAAAAAATAGCTGAAATTCAGGGCTATTTTTTGATACCTAAGCGCGCATTGTAGCTTAAACCAGTGTCGAGAAAAACTCGTTCAAAGCTAGACTACGCAACACTCCGCACCGTCATTATGGGGGTGGGGTACTATTACAGTATTTACGGTATGTCATACTGTCGGAGTTCAAATCTCTCACTGTATAACACGCTTGGGTTACCGTATGACCGAATATCTTAGTGTTAAAATTCGATTCATACATACAACAACAAATTCAACACTAGCAAATTCTCATTCTTTCTTTCTCTCTTTCTCTCTTTCCTCCTTTCTTCCTTTCTTCCTTTCTTCTTCCCTTTTGTCTTCCCTTTTTTCTCTTGGCAAGTTACCGACTAGCTCAGTGGTTAGAGCAATTGCTCAGTCGAGATCGAGATACCAAAAAGCCCCGGTTCAATCCCCTCTCCGGGAATCTATCATTTCCCAATTCATTCACTTTTTTAATACAAGAACAAATTCAAATCAGACAATTAAAAGCAATTTTCAGGGAATTTTCCCCATCAACGTGTGGAGTCTATGAATACTTTCCGTCGAAGGGACTCCAACTTTCCACCCTTCCATGTAACTCGTTTGCTTCCGTGATTTGCATTCATGCACCGACATCATCAAGTATTCGACGACCCACCCAAGTGCACAACTCAACTGATCCCCTACGGCCAACTGTTGCTCCGCCAGTCAGGTAAAACTTTTTGAATTTAACGCTAACAGATAGACTTTTGATGTTAAGCATCAAAAGCTTTTGATCGTTTTTAACAACTACAGTAATCTGGCTGCTTTCTAGGGTGAATTTTTTGAGATTGAGAAATTGAGAGTCCAGTAGAGTTAGGATTTCGTTGTTGTTGCCCAAAAAAACCAGAATTACGGTAGCTTTTTTGAGACGTATCTTTTAGAATAGAGCTTTGATAGAGCTTTGATAGAGCATTAAGCTGAGAAGCTCAGCTTAATGCTCTATCAAAGCTCTATCAAGATTACTGTAACTTTACTTGACTTTCTTATGTTTTCCTTGTTTGTTTTTTTTGGTTTATTGACTTTATTGACTTTTTGGTTTATTGACAACCCGTGAATTCAAAAACAGTTTTACTCATCATCAATTTCTTTAGAAATCTAGAAATATAGAAATCTAGAAATATAGAAATCTAGAAAGCTAGAAATATAGAAATATAGAAATATAGTAATATAGAAATCTAGAAATCTAGAAATATAGAAAGCTAGAAATATAGAAATATAGAAATATAGAAAGCTAGAAATCTAGAAATATAGAAATCTAGAAAGCTAGAAATATAGAAAGCTAGAAATCTAGAAATATAGAAATCTAGAAATCTAGAAAGCTAGAAATCTAGAAATATAGAAATCTAGAAATATAGAAATCTAGAAAGAAAGTTTATTGACAACTCGTGAATTCAAAAATGGTTTTCTCATCATCATTTTCTTTAGAAATCTAGAAATCTAGAAATAACAACTTCCAGAAACTCCCCAAAACATCAATCATTGTTTTTCGTTTTCCAAAATTTACTCACCGAAACCAAAAAGAAATCGGAGTATATCGGTAAAGTTTGTCTCAAAGTTTGGTCGAATATTGTTGCAAGTGAGAGTTGATGAAAACGGGGGAAACGATTGACGGGATGGCAGGCAAACAAATCGGGAAAATTTCTAGCGCTTCTCTGTTTCTCTTCATGAGAATTTTGCGGGCGAAAAACATTGAAATCCCCAATTAATTGGACAGGCGATCGGAAATGATTTTGACCCAGTTACAAGCAGGCATTCTTTTTTTTGTCGATGCTAGATATCTAGCAGCATTCTATTCTTATCCTATTCTTATTATTTGACTCTTCACAATCATTGATCGTTAAAATTCTTGAATAATCTAATTCGTCTTGTGCAAGCTTGCTATGTTTTAGCAGTAACTTACATCTTCTGACCGTACTTGATATAAAAACCTAATAGTAAGTGATCCTGTCTTGTAAGCTAAGCCAAAGTCAAGCCAAAGCCAGGCCTCTGATTGTCTATATCTATTATCTTTAGCAGCATTCGATTCTAAACTGCTGGGTAGCAGTACTTTTTGCTACCCAGGCTAGGCCAGGACCAAAGTTAGGTTAGACGCCAAGTCTGATTCTGGTTGATTCGGAAAGCAAGACTTTATCAAGACAGGTCAGTATTGGCAATAAACTAGATCACGTCAGAAGCTTGAGCCAAACAAATCAGCTTGAGCCAAGCAAATCAGCTTGAGCTAAGCAAATCAGCTTGAGCCAAACAAATCAGCTTGAGCCATGTCAAGTTGATTAAAAGTCGGGTCAAGCAAGTAGAACGTCAAGTCAAAGTCTTCTAGAGTCAATTCAAAGTCTTCTAGAGTCAATTCAAAGTCTTCTAGAGTCAATTCAAAGTCTTCTAGAGTGTCAAAAGCATGCCAAGACCTAGCTTCCGGAAGTTCGACTTTAAGCACGGCTTCTTGTAGCTTTAATGCAAAATGCAGAAAGAAATTGTGTATTTCTATTCGCAATCACTTAGTTCACCCCTTAAGACCCACTTCTTTCAATTCTCCGTCATGGCTTCCATTCTTCGTGATTTCCGTGTGACTCACCTTTTTTGCCCACCATTGAAAGAAAGGACAAAGTGAGAAAGACCGGTTTTCACCCTTTCCTCCCCATTTCACTTTTGTCTCTTTTCCCAGTCTCACATCTCTCCATCTTCTCTAGAGCTTAACTCTTTTTTTTTGTCAGTTTTCTTTTTCTCAACAAAAATCGGTATCATTGACCTGACACTCGGCCACGTATTGAGTAATTTAGCAGCTAATTGAGCTTTTGATTTTTTTTGCTTGAAAAATTTACAGTAATCTTTCCTAAAATTCTTGTACTTTATTTCTTAGATCTTTCTACAGTACTCTACAGTACTACAGTACTTTTCTTTCTAGTTATTTCTTTTTAAAGCTTTAAATCGTTTACAAAGTGACAATATTTACCAACAAAGATTTATTTGAAATTATTGTTTCAAAATTGTAAAGGGTAGGCAATTTATCACTCTTTTTCGAGATTTATTCAAAGTTAATCCGATGGTTAGTTCAACGAGAGATTCTTTCGTTTTAGAAATTCCAATCACCTCCAATAAGTTTGTGTATAACTCTTTTCCAATAAGAACTTGGAATCGCCAGAATTTGGAATCGACTCCCCAGAGTTTTGAGAGAGGGCAATAGTCTCAAAACCTTTAAATTAAATCTGTAGATGATCTGTAGATCTGTAGATGATCTGTAGATCTGTAGATGATCTGTAGATCTGTAGATGATCTGTAGATCTGTAGATGATCTGTAGATCTGTAGATGATCTGTAGATCTGTAGATCTTGATCTTGAAGCTCTAAGTGAACTCTTGACATTATCTTTGTCACCCATTACATATATTATATCGTGTTGCTTTTTATCGACCCTTTTCGTGTTATTTGTATGAATTCATGTGTTTTAACCTCAAATCTAGCGAGCTTTATCTCAGGCCCTGAATTAAGTATCTATATATATATATATATACCGTAACTACTGTAATAGTACCCCACCCTCCTGGTATAGGCGCGTAGTCGCTTTTAGTATTAGTAGTCGCTTTTAGTATTTCATTTTTTTCAAAGCGCCCGTACTTTCAAAAAATGCGTCTTTGGTATCAAAAAATAGCTGAAATTGAGGGCTATTTTTTGATACCTAAGCGCGCATTGTAGCATAAACCAGTGTCGAGAAAAACTCGTTCAAAGCTAGACTACACAACACTCCGCACCGTCATTATGGGGGTAGGAGACTATTACAGTATTTACTGTATATATATATATATATAAGATTTTGTAAGCTTTAAACCGTGTAGAAAGTTACAATATTCACCAACAAATATTTATTTGACATTATTTTCATTTTTTTATGGTATTTGTCGTTTATATCATTAATTTTGTGCAATTAACATTATTAAATTATTAAATTATTGAAAAAAACATTATTAAATTAGTCATAGGTTTTCAAATTTGCATTTATAAGAGTAAATTAGTTAATTAAAACCAACTTGATGCAATTTGAATGCAAATTTTTCTTTATCCTAATTGTTAAAAAGGAAATTTTGTGAATATAACAATGGGGAATAGTTTTTATTTCTTTAAAGCGACACTAATCTTTACAAGAAACTTTTTAAGGCCTATCATTTGTTTTCTTTTTCATCTTTATCTAAGCCTCTAAACAATAGCCTCTAAACAACAGCCTTCTTTTCTATCGTTACTACAATTTACATCAATCTACAGTGCCATTCATTTCTATGCGATTTCTTCTTCTATTATTCTTATTTCGACCTATTCTTGCCTATCCGGAGAACACGACCAATGTTGATCTCGAAACAACTCAAAATTTTCAACCTTCTACATCAAGATCTGCTGCTAGAACTTTTAAAACACCTACACCAGGAAGTACAACAAGAACAACAGCTACAATTACAACTACAGCGTAAGAAAACTCATCTTTCAGCAATGAGAAAATAGAACTTATAAATTAGATAAAGCTTTTTGACAAATATTTTTATTTATTTATTATATTTATTAAACGTTATTTATATTTATTATTAGATTTTTCAGAGCCGTAGAGCTTCGAAAATATTTCCATATAAGGGAATCATATGCGTAGATTCCGAATTTCGACAAATCAGACCTCGCTGACACGTCAAATTTGGGCTAAAAGGCAAAAACTGCGGAAAAGCGTTAAGTTGCGTAGTTTTTGCCTTTTACCCCAAATTTGACGTGTCAGCGAGGTCTGATTTGTCGAAATTCGGAATCTACGCATACGATTCCCTTCTATGAAAACGTTTTTGAAGCTCTACGACTTTTCCTAAGGCCTTTTCCAGCAAAAAAAAAAAGGTGCGCAAATGTCCGGGTGCGCAAAAAAAGGTCGCATTTGTCCCACCCCCGATTTTCTGAAAGACAAAAGAAAATTTGGTTTTCAAAATAATATACCGTATTCTCTCTAGTAGTAGTGCACCTCGCCGAGCCGAGTTGGTGACTATTTTACGGTTTCCAAGCTTTTGCAGAAGCTCAACCCTCTAATCCCCCACAAGATCTCATCGTTAGCTACATTTTCCGACCCCACATCGATAGGTTCTGATAAGCGGTTTTCGAGATTTCGAGCAATTTAGGTGACGCTCTGGGTGCACTACTATTAGAGGAAATACGGTAAACGTTGTTATAATCCTGAAATATGATCTGAAAACTGAAACTCTTTTCAGAACAATTTACGGGATATGTTGTTTCGTATCTTACGTAGTGTTACGTAGTGAACGTATACAGTTTTCAAATTTCAAAATAATATACGTTTACAACACGTATATTATTTTGAAAAGCTTACCTGTAAGCAGAAAATATTGTTCTGTTGTGTTTTTTTTTTAGATTATTCAAATCGCTTTTAGGCTCACTCCATCAGCTGTGTTTCCCGATGTTTGGTGTGCGGCGACGAAATGGAGAACGATCGAGTTCGAGAGAACGAGAGCCTGTCAAACGGCCACTGTCGATTGTCCCGACCCGGAGAATGTCGTCGGTTCGTTTGTGCAAACGAAATTGGAGTGCTTAGCAGTGCTTAACTTGTTAGAAGCTACTCTAATACCACTCGCCACTCGGCTACAGTCTCCCAACTTCTTTTTAGGAAAACATTTTTTCTCAGTATCTAGTTTTTTTTTCCATAATGCACTTTGCAATCAAAATACTAGATTTCAAGGGTTATCATTTGAGAATTAAAGGGTACTGTAGCTTAGGCTTGTAGCTTACACTGTAGCTTAAAGCAGCGTACTGTAGCTTAAAGTATGTACTGTACTGTAGCTTACACTGTAGCTTAAAGCAGCGCGTAGAACGGGAGGTTCAAATTTAGACTAAGCGACTGTATTTGACTGTCATTATGTGCAAGTTCTAAAGTATTTACGGCTACTTTTACACTAATATCTTATGCAGAATGTCTAGAAATGTTCATAAACTTATAGTTTCTAAGTTATGAGCAATTAAGTTTGATCAATTAACAATTAAAGCAAACTTTGATCGTCAAGTACTACGCTAGTGTTAGAGCCAGCCACTCAATTCGGCTACCTATAAAAATTCGCATTTTATCTCACTAGACTTAAAAGAATCAGAGTCTAAAATCGATCTCAGTTCTGAGTGAAAGATTCAACAGCTATTAATCTTCTAAAATTACGATACAAATTTCAGGTACAGTAACGTGGCGTTGCGATTGTCAATCGGGCAAATGGATAGGCCAGCCGAACTCCACCGATTGCACACATAAATGGGTGAGTTTGATATTAAAGATATTAGTAGATATTAGTAGATATTAGTAGATATTAGTTGATATTAGTTGATATTAGTAGATATTAGTAGATATTAGTTGATATTATTAGATATTATTAGATATTAGTTGATATTAGTTGATATTAGTTGATATTAGCAGATATTAGTTGATATTAGTTGATATTATTAGATATTATTAGATATTATTAGATATTATTAGATATTATTAGATATTATTAGATATTATTAGATATTAGTTGATATTAGTTGATATTAGTTGATATTAGTAGATAGATCTAATTTATCCAACTATTATATGTTGATTTCCCTTAGGTGAAAACCCTGGAGGCGGCGGTGGCTCGTCGTGAACCTGCAGAAGTGCTTTCAAATCAATTGAATCAGGAATTAGGGTAGTGTAATGTCAATATAAAATACCGAAAGATCTAAGCTCTCTAAAAAGATTGATCAAATCGAATTTCGCCTTTATTACAGAAAAACGATAAACGATCAGCTTTACGGCGGCGACATCAGCGGATCTGTTGGGGTGAGGGAAAGCTATTGCTTTTAAAACAAGAAAATACATAGTACAACGAACTTTGCATAGTACTGCATAGTACAAGGACGTAGTTTTAGAAGTAAATTTTGAATTCTCTAAACAAATTCCAGGCCAGCACAAATCTGGTCACCCTGGCGCGCAGTCAATTCGCGGCGCTCACCGACGACATGGAAAAAACGACGAAGAGCACGAATTTTACAACGGTAAACTATAAAACTATAAATAAAAGTTAAATTTTAAGATATTTATATAATAAGCTAAGCTTATAAAATTAGATATGATATAAATAAAGCTTATAAAGCTTTTTTTACAATTCATTTCAGAACATTGGCGGTGCTGGTGATCACCTCTTTTCCAATCCAGCTCAACTCGTCTGGGCTATGCTTGATCCGCAACAAAAGGTTTGATTACATGACCGACTGGTTCGGCCGGCATCACCGACTGGTTAGGAGTCTTGTCTCCTAGCCGGAAGTGTGCATGTATTATTCTAATTAAAAACAAAAAAGCCCTACGAACGGGTGGCATTTTCTATAAAAAAAATTCATCGATTTTTTGAAAAAGTGATGTTGCAAGACTTTTGCTCAGTACTGTAGAAGCATAAGAAAAAGGCTCTAATCAGTACTTATAATTAGCTTCAAAGTGTGGATTTTATCGAATTTAACTCCAAGTTTCAGAACAATATCGGCTCGATCCCACCAGCTAGATTATTCTTTTTCCCATAGGAGTTTTTACTTAACAACAGGGCTAGGGGTGTGTATTGTATTCTTTCTTTTTCCCACATTATTCATATCGAATAAATGTATTTTTATTCGTTTTCTAAAACATGTCCTTTTTCAAAAATAACCCTAATCTTATCTCTAGTTATTTTAGGTCTCTTTGGCGGCTCGTTTGATGGCTGTGCTTCAAGACTCCTCACTCCTTTGGGCCGATTACAGTAATGAGGCGGACAACAAGCTACAGTATACGCAATGGGGTTTGTGAAATATATTTGAAGAATTTCTAGATAGTATAAAATCATGTGCACTCTCTGGATCAGCCTGAGTCTAACCCATGCTACTGTAACCCAAGTACTGAAATCAGGCAACTGTACTGCAGCTGTTCTATAGCAAATAATATCCTATCGTACAGAATTGGATTTTTTTTACATAGCTTATATAAAAGTCAAGTAAAAACTGACCCTGGAAGTGAAAGGGTTCTACTGTACTCTACTATAAGGATCCTACTGTACTCTACTATAAGGATCCTACTGTACTCTACTATAAAAATCCTACTGTACTCTACTATAAGGATCCTACTGCACTCTACTATAAGGATCCTACTGTACTCTACTATAAAAATCCTACTGTACTCTACTATAAGGATCCTACTGTACTCTACTATAAGGATCCTACTGTACTCTACTATAAGGATCCTACTGTAGTCTACTATAAGGATCCTACTGTACTCTACTATAAGGATCCTACTGTACTCTACTATAAGGATCCTACTGTACTCTACTATAAGCATCCTACTGCACTCTACTATAAGGATCCTACTGTAGTCTACTATAAGGATCCTACTGTACTCTACTGTATTGCTAATAATGTCTTACAGTACAATCGTAGAAATTTGTACATTTGCTGGACATAATTTTACGACCACCCCATTTTCCAACAACTTTTTAAGAAAATTAACATCCCGTCAAAAATCATATTTTAAATAGTAGTTATAATTATGCCCACTTGCCGGAAGCGGTTTTTCAATAAATGTGGTTTTTATTTCAAAAAAATTGAATTTAATGCTCAGGTTTTCTCCTGTCTTCTTACATCAATTTTATAATTTTATAATTGATTTTTATAATTATAAAATTATAAAATTGATGCAAGAAGACAGGAGAAAACCTGAGCATTAAATTCAATTTTTTTGAAATAAAAACCACATTTATTGAAAAACCGCTTCCGGCAAGTGGGCATAATTTTACGATCAGTTGAGAAATTAACTAAAAAAAATCGCAAAACAAGTGAAATAAACTTTCAAAATCACAAATCAATAAACAATTGGGCCGCCCGAGCGCTGAATCACTTGAAACGAGGTTGTCGATGAGTTTTTTGATTCACAGTGTACCACCAGGGTAGCCTAGCTAAAACTTTAGCTGTGAACGTGCGAGTGAGTCGCCCACAAACGCTGGCTCCATCAATGAAAACGATGTCAATCAATGGAAACGCAGACGGGGCGACTATTCAACAATCCTCGTCAACCCTTGATGATTCCGGAGCGTTCACAATGATGAATAGACGTTCGTTAATAAATTAGATATCATATTTTTGTATAGCTACCGTATTTTTCCTCAACTACAATAACGAACTAACAAATAAGTTTGCATTTAAAGACCTATCTAGCTAGGGTGATCAAGTTCTGACTGTTTTAAAGCTCTAAGAATAAAATATTTTTATGCAAATCAACTAATAATTATCTAATCTTTCAATCTCTGAGTATCTTTTCAGCCTTGCCACCCGGTTTAGTCTCTGGCGGATATTCAAAAACAAAGGAAAACGTCTCGTTCACCGGTTTCTCCGCGTCCCCACTCATCTCGCTGCCCAGTTTGAGCACGATTCGTAAGTATCAAATCAGTACTTCAAACAAATTCAAACAAATACATAATAATCATTTCAAAATCTCAGAGGATTCTGTGTCAAAAACAAACAAACAGCGAGTGATGTTCGCGCCGATGAGCTTCAGTCCGGTGATGGGCACAAGTGCAACAGCGCTTGATGACACCGCCTCGGTGGACAGCAATTCGCTCAAGGTTCGCTTAAAATAAGCTTTGTTTTTAAAGTAAAACTGCTAGTCGTTTAAGTGTAAAAACTTCTTTTTATTACTTCAACCCTTGACGTAATCTGTACATTGATGGGAGAGTGGAAAAGTGGGAGTCAACGTAAAAAGTTGGCTCAAATTTAAGGCCAGTCTGGGTACAATAGGAAATATAATGTTACTTGAGTTGAGAAGTGTTTGGTAATCATTCTGGCTAAGGTATCTTTCTCAAATTTCAGCTAGCCTACTTCATCTTCACGGCACTCGGCGATCTCCTTCTAACAAATCCCTCCGAGATCATCAACTCGCAAGTGATCGGCGCGGCCGTGAACGATGCTGAAAAGTGAATCTTATACGCAATAAACTCATAACTGTTACTATCTAATATCCATTAAAACTGCCTTTCAGATCTGTGGCCCTAAACGAGAATGTCACCTTCAACTTTCCGCATCTCAAAACAGAAGGCGTGACGAATGCGCGCTGCGTTTTCTGGGATATTCATCAAGGGTGAAAATTTTAAAACAAACTAGCAAACATATTCGTTCAAAAATGAATTCACTTTAAACTTAAATTTCTAAGGTGCTAGCAAAAGCGCCAAATTATTTGCGCCAGAAATTTGTTTATGACATACAAGTTCAGGTGCATGTTTAACCAATGGTCAAATTTAGTATGTTTAAAATGTTCCAGCCACTGGAACAGTGATCGAAACTAACGTTTTTAACACTGACATTAATGTGGCGGATAAAATGGAATCACAGTTTATTTAAATGACACAAAATTTCAAAATGAAATATGAAGAATGCATTCACAAGATTTGAGACAAAAGAGACAATGGTATTTGCCAAATCACAAAATTCGAGGTATTTTTAAGCATTAATTCTGCGGTCCTTGAACTTCTCAGCGTATTTGTATTCGAGGGCTTGCTTCAAGTTTTGAAAGTTTCCGGTGTCGACTCCATTTTCCTCCCTAGACAAATATTTGCCGAAAACGGTCGTAACCGGGCATACCAGTGCTTAAGAAGGATCCGCTTTCCACGGTTTCCATACTCTTCGGCGATTCGCAGTGGAGATGGAAGTGCTGTGGGCAAGTTCACGATTTGGTGCATAAAGCACAAATCATACGTCATTGCCTAAATAAATAGTAAAAATATAATGAACCCGAGTATACCTCCAGGTAGGCCATTGTGCTATCGGAATCATCATAAAGTACGGTGTAGCGTGGCGTTTTTGCCGTTCCTTGCAATCCAACATGGGCATTCAGGTAGAATTCTCGATGATGTGGGTGCGTGACGCAAGTGTCGACAACGGTACCAGGACGGATGTTCTGCTTCGTTGGGTTTTCCCTTGCGACCTAAAGATAATTCATAAAAGTAATCACGTTAAAATCATACCAGATTCTTCTTGAAGAAGCGGACGGCGTGATCTTTGTGTACCATAATGTAAAGCAATCGTGCATCTTGATCAAGCTTCCCGCGAATTTCTTTGATTTCCTGTTCCATAATGCGCTTCATGTCGAGATCAGTGGAGCCCATGCGATAAATAACGACGTTTTTTGGCATCCTTCGCTTTGCTCCCGCCATAGCCTCACACACTTTGTCAAAGATTTTGGCGCCAGAAATCTGCAAACAGGGTATTTTAGAAGAGTAAATAGCGTTACTTTTGCATCGTCAAGCGGAAGATTCTCGATCATGAAGTCGCCAATAAGTGCATTTGGTACAGTTGAAAAGTTGCCAGCATACTAAAAAATCCATTTTCCGCAAAAAGCCATAATACTTACCGAAAGCACAACAGGGAGATTACCCTCAACTTCCAAGCCTGGCGTGTTTCCCAATGGCATAACATCACCGATTCCTAGCACAAAAATGTTTCCGTCCTTGAAAGACTCGTTAAATTGCGTGCCTTGTCTAAATAAGAAATAAGCTAGTTAAAAGTCACTTCGCTAACCTTGCCAAACTGTGGTTTAAACCGCCCATCTTGCAGTTGAGCTTTTGCACAATGTTTGCAACTGTCGCTGGACGGCCGGAGCTGCTAACAATCACCTCCACAGTTGAGAGCTTGACGTTTTGAGTTGCAACGCTGTATTTCCGCTCCAGGTACTTCAGCTGATCCTGCAGTTTGAGTTGATCATCCATAGCGAAGAAAGCAAAGTCGTACTCATCAACAACCAGTTTTTGGAACGTTGCTTCAAGTTGGTCAGATCGAATTAGCTAAATTAATATTGAATATTCTAAGCATCAATGAATATTCTAAAATTACCCCTGAGTGTGCAAAGGCCGGAACGCAAAGTCCTTTTGCATTGCACTCCAGGATCAGTCTTGCCATGAAAGGATTTGGCGCAAAGGAGAGTTCACCATCTTTAACGACGAAGAATGCCCACTTCCTAATGACCTTCTTTGTGATGGCGTATTGAGATCGCATGGGAATTTTCCAGCTTCCTAAAATTGAAACAAGTACATCATTTTTTACACTGCCAAGCTACCTCGTTCGTCAAGTGGTTGACTGACGGATTGTCCTTGATATTGGAATTGTGGTGGAGGAAGGATTCGTCCGTTAACTTCATAAGGATTCTGTTCCACAATTAATCCAGCCATCTCCTTTACACCGAGCACTTTTTGTTGATTTGCCTGGTCAATAATTGCGTTCATCCGAGCCAACGGAACCATCGCCGATGACTAAATATACAAATCATAATCTAAAAATTACTAAACAAAAGTTGCCTTCACAATCGTGGACATAATTTCTGGTGTTTGCTTTTCTGTGTGAACGACGTTGCCTGCCATGATTCCCAGAAACTCCAAAGGAAAATAGTTCTGGCGGCCGCCTCGAGTAACCTGGGCAAGAGGAGCGTACGGATATCTAGGATGAGACATTTTTATGAAATCAAACGAAATTTTCACTTGAGCGTCTCGTTACGTTGCGTCCTGAAATACTCTTCGACAGTAAACGTGGTCTCCTCAGACTTTAAGTCTGTCTTGAACGACTGCGTGCAAGCGTTTTCCATCACTATCTTGTCGATCTTCATGTTTTGATGAATATTCGAGTAGCGAGCCACAACCACAGCGCCTAAAGCATTTTATTTGAAGTCAAAAAATGAAAAAACCTTTTAGCACGCGATTGAGTTTCTCCACGTCTTCACGGGTAAACATGTTGGGCTCCTGGAAGGTCTTTTTGCATACTAGCTTCGCAGTCTCAATGGCAAAATTTGCTCTAAAAGAAAAAGGTTATTTTTAGAACACTTAGAGGTCACAAATTGGCTAAAAAAACTAACCGAATGAAGCAGACTTTGGATGCGTCCATCGGGATTCCAAATTCGACGTGTCCCCGTCCTTGAGTTCCTTCGATTAAATCAAAGGTCTTGCGCAAGCCGAGTAGTAATTCTTTGCCTTCGGGAAGCTAAACTTGAATTAGATCAAAGCGTTCAAATGCTAGTCTAACCGTTTCTCCATTAAGCGTCGAGTAGACTCGGTTTCCAGACAAATACAAGAAAGCGCTCGCTGCTTTATGCTGCTCGCTGTGATTATTGACAACGCCATCCAAGCAATATTTTGATGCAGCAATCTCCACGAATTTTCCGAGGAACTTGGCACGTGCAATCCCACTCGGAGCGCCATTCAAAGTTGAGATAGACTTCTCGGAGAACTAAAGAAAACGGTAAACCAAAGCTTTACTTTAACTTAGATACCTCAAGCTCTCCTTTGTAAACAAGTTCAACTTTTCCGTAAGCGAACGGCTTGAAGACTGGCTCGTCACGTTCCATCTCTTTCAGTGGAATTTGGCAGAAGATACTTTCTCCCTCCTTAAAAAATTAATTAAACTATAGCAAAAAAAGGCGCATCACATTGTCAATCCTCTCAGTGGTGAAGAGCATTCGATGGTGATCGTAGAAGACTTTATTCCAAGGCAGAACCTCTTCTTGTTTAAAGACGCACTCCATCAACTTGCCGCAGATTTCTTTCCCCTGAGCAGCACGAGCACTAAAACTTCACAATTGAATAAATTTCACAGCAAAGTATTACTCATAAATATTCATAAAAACTTGCCCGTGAAATGGAGTCCGGGTGACAACAAACTTGTCCTTTTCCTCCATGTCATCGGTGAATGGCTTCTTGGAGAGGAAGACGTCCACTTCATATTGATAAAGCTTCACACCATGTTCATGCACCTTCACAGGAAATACGTTGCTCCACAACGCCACCGGCTCTCCAAGAGGATTCGCTTCCATCGGCTTCGCAGGCATGAACACGGGCTCGCTCTCGGAAGAGGAAGTCGATTGCACACGCAGTTGACGAATCCCGGCCACCAAATCCATAGCAGTAGATACCTAAACGAATCAAAAATTATTTCATCAGCAACAACAGAAAATAGAAGGCAAGAAAAGACATGCAAGACACCGGAGAGCGGAAGTGGGAAGAATGATAAAGAAAGAATTTTTTCCGCCGTTAAAAAGATTTCCGACGGGATCCAATAGACAAATTCTTGTCAAAATATTCATTTCCGCAGCTGAAATTTCTTTTTCGAAAAGCTATATTCGGATCGAGTATATAAGGCGAGATTTGCGGACATTTGCGCACCTTTTTTTGCTGAAAAAGGCCTTAGGAAAGGTCGTAGAGCTTCGAAAATATTTCCATTTAAGGGAATCGTATGCGTAGATTCCGAATTTCGACAAATCAGACCTCGCTGACACGTCAAATTTGGGATAAAAGGCAAAAACTGCGGAAAAGCGTTAAGTTGCGTAGTTTTTGCCTTTTACCCCAAATTTGACGTGTCAGCGAGGTCTGATTTGTCGAAATTCGGAATCTACGCATACGATTCCCTTCTACAAAAACATTTTTGAAGCTCTACGACCTTTCCTAAGGCCTTTTCCAGCAAAAAAAAAAGGTGCGCAAATGTCCGGGTGCGCAAAAAAAGGTCGCATTTGTCCCACTCCCTTGTTTTCGTGAGCAAAAGCGCAAAAGCTTTTCAACACATTTTCCTACCAACTCTGATTGACCATTTATATTTTTTTCAGTTTTTCCGCATCCACGATCCTCGAGTTTTTTATTTTACCGCCTTCACCGAATCTGAAAATGTGGCATAAGAAAGATATATAGAGAATAAGAAGCCCAACCGGGGACACAAAAATGACTGTTTTTGGGGCCTGTATAGGTATTTAAACGCGTTTTCTAATTGGAAACAGTGAGAGCTAAAATTGTGAAGCAGAAAACTTTAAAAAAGTTGGTTAGAATTTGGGGAAAAGTGATTTGTCATAGTGATTTCATTGCAAATTTAGCGCAAATGACACTCGGCGCAAAAAATGAAATTGGCGCAAAGGATTTTGGTGCAAAAAACGCGGCGCTTTTGCTAGCATCTCAAATTTCTTCAAGAAAATTAATGTACTTTACAATTTCAGAAACTGGAGCCAAGACGGTTGCACCCTAGTGAGCACGTCGGTGAGCGAAACCGTTTGTAGCTGTAATCACTTGACAAGGTGGGTGGATATGGCTAATTATAAGCAAGATAATTGACAAGGTATTGTAAAACACTGCAATATTTTGATTTGCTATTTTCCAAGATTTATCTAATTTATCTAATTTATCTAATCCAGTTTTGCCATTCTGATGGACGTCTCCGGGAATGTCGGCCGCTTGTCGGGCGGGCTAGCAAATGTGAGTTTTAAAAAAAGTTTGATGGATATTAGATTTTTAAAACTTGCTATCACTCTTACTCAATTTACATATATGCAAATAAAGCATTTATTTAATCCAAGTTGAGCCTGCCAAATAGGCGTGGGCTACTACTCACTACGTAACTACTCACAAAGGATACGAAAGTGACCAAAGTGTATCAAAAACTAAATTACGACAGTTTTCTAAGCAGTGCTAAATCTACCGTAATCCTGTCGCTATTCTTTATCCAATTCAAATATTTCAGGCACTTGACGTGGTCTCTTCAATTGGATGCGCTTTCTCGATTGTTTGCCTCGTTCTCTCACTCTTAGTCTTCACTTGTTTCAGGTAAACTATTAGATTAGATTGAATTTCATTATTACAATTTTAGATCCTTGTACAGCCTTCGGAACACGATCCATCGAAATTTGTGCTTATGTCTCCTTATCGGAGAGCTTGTATTCGTCATCGGCATTGATCGGTTTGTGGATTTGAATACTTTTCGTTGATTTGAATATCTTTCGTTGATTTGAATACCTTTTGTTGATTTGAATACCTTTCGTTGATTTGAAATCCAATATAAAAATTTAGATAAATATGAAATTACAGATATAAAACTTAAAAGATATTCAATTCAATTGAAGATTTTGTAGAACCGGGAACAAAACTGGCTGCTCGATTGTCGCCTTGATCCTCCACTATTTCTTCATGGCCGCTTTCTTTTGGATGCTCATTGAGGGATATCAGCTTTATATGATGCTTATTCAGGTAAACAATTTCTGTGACTTTTGAAGAAAAAACATCATCATTCTAATCTTAATTTCTAGGTTTTTGAACCATCAAGTCGTCGCGTGATTCTCTTGGTTTGTTTGGCATACGGCACTCCGGCGATCATCGTAGCCATCTCGGCGGGAATTCGATGGAAAGATTATGGAACTGAATCATAGTAAGTTATATTGCTTGATGAAAAAACTAGACTTAAGTTAATTTGCATTTGATAAATGGTCCTGAAAATTTGTTGAAAATTTGTTGTGCAGAAATGTCCTGTTCTGTTATGCGATCTTTTGTCACTGTCAAACAGCCGATATTCGCAGCTTTTAGATTTTAGTTTCTTTATTTTAGGTCTATGATCTCGCAGCTAGATTTTCCGAGAGAAAAGCACTTTCCATATTTCTAATCAATGAACCACTACCACTAGATTTATCGTGTATTGTATACAACGATACGGCTATTTTTACAACGCTATGGCTTTACAACGATACGGCTATTTTCTTTCATGATTCGCAGGAATCGAACCCGGGTCACCCGTGTGGCAAGCGAGCATTCTAACATGGAACCAAATGCGCCCACTGAACCATGAAAGAAAATAGCAGTATTGTTTGGTTTAGTTGCTGGCTCAACACTTCCTCGCCAACGATTTGGGCCTTCGTCGCTCCGGTGATCGTCGTGATCACGGTAAAACGGTTTTAAGATAACTTGCAGCAATTATCAGAAGCAAATTTTTAAACAAAGTTATCAAGCTATAAGTTGCTCCCTCTAAGGACTGAGAATACGTAATTAGACACAGAAATCCATGCAAAAATATGCAAAATGAAACTGTTAGTGAACCAGATAAAGCTCTGGAAATAGATTGGCCAAAGAGAACTGATTGTCAATGATTAAACACTAAAATCAATAAAATCATCTAGTTTTTAGTAGTAGCATATAAATTTTCAGGCGAACATTGGCTTCCTGCTGATCGCTCTGAAAGTTGTCCTCTCCGTGAACGCCACCGATCGCTCGCGGTCGGATCGAGTCCGGGGATGGCTCAAAGTACGTGTTTTCGATTTTGAATTTTATATTATTGAACTTGGAACTTTCTTTTCTTCTTTGCGAATTGACATTTCCGAGAATCGACCTAATTATTTCTCAATTTAGGGCTCGGCAACGTTGCTCTGTCTCCTGGGAATCACTTGGCTTTTCGGATTTTTGACGGCCGTGAAAGGTTATTGCAAAAATAATTGAAGAAAGCTAAAACATGATTCAATTAGGAATCTGTAATGTGCTTTGATCCGGAAAATGCAAGCTACAGTAATCCGGAATAAAAATTACCTCATTTAGAGTATTACAATCAATGTTTCAGGATCAGGCTCGACAATGGTCTTTGCATGGATTTTCACGGTTTTAAACTGTACTCAAGGAATTTTCATCTTTATCCTGCATGTGGTGATGAATGATAAAGTTAGAGGAGTGGTTGTCAGGTATTTTGGAAAAGTTTTTCCACAAACATAGGAATTGTTTAGATGGCTTCGTTCTGGTGGTGGATCGTCGGCGGCCGAGTTCAACAGCAAGTCGTATCTGAGCAGTCGACAGAGGTTTGTTTAGAGTACAAGAGTCTTTCAAGATTGGATTTTGGCTTTAAATCATAATATTGTGAAAGTATCCAGGATAATATATGGTTTTTTTTTTAAATTTTGTACTCTTGAACCTGGGCTAGGCCCGGAAAGGTTTGGACTAGAGTGGGTAAACGATCCACCAGAAATCAGCTAAAGAATAGGGATCGATTGCTAAAGGATTTCTTACTTTACTGAAAAAAATTTAACAAGTTTTACACAAAGCAGTGTGATTCAAAGAATTAATAATTTGTAAGCTTTGTAACCTTTGTAACCTTTGATATCTTTAGAATGATGAACATGATCCGCGGTGGTCACTCCACTCCGGACACCGCGTCAACCGATGACACAAAGGGGGCAATTCATGAGATCCACGAGGTCACCCTGCCACCTGGTAATCAACAAAGAAATTAGAAAAGAAGTAGAGATTATAGATTTGTTTTTAGCAAAAGCAGCCGAATTGCTGAGGAGACTGTCGGCGTCGACATCGGAGGAGACAAGAGATAAGGGATTGGCTTACAGGTGCTGGCATTGGCTTGTTTGATAAGTCTTCTTTGATTTTAATTGATATTTAACCTAATAGATTGTGCAATTCGACTATAGCTTAGATTTAGCTAATAGATGTGTAAGAAGTTTAGACCATCGGTGAACAAAGCGCCGAAACCGATCGCACAAGCTCGAGCCGAAGGGGACACAAGGAGCACGGATAGCTCGGATCCAAGGTTTGAGCCTTAAACCATCCGGATTTGTATTTAACACAAATTTTCAGAGTTTCAATGGAGTTGGATATGGATTTGGCTGAAGACAGGCCGGCGGTGATGCGACGAAAGTTCCCGTTGGGTGCTCGTGAGAGTGAACGCGGCTCAAAAGGGCACAATGGACGCAAATTTCGATCACCACCGATTAGTCCATCGGAATCGAAAGACGATCACACAACTGCCCCGAATTCAGCAAAATCTGACGATTGGGAAGCGAACAAGATCATTGTTGATCGCTTTTAGAATCATAGCTGTTGACTGATTGTAAGTAATTTGTCTTGAACTTCAGGATGAACATTAGGGTCATGTGGAGTCCTATATTAGGGTTTTAAGGGTCCTATATTAGGGTTTTAAGGATCCTACATTAACATTAGGCTCATGTGGAGTCCTACATTAACATTAGGGCCCTTAATTAGAGCCTTTATGGTCCTAAAATAAACATTAAGGTCTTTAATTTTACGTGTTTTCTCTTCTCAAAATATTGACATCATTGAATTTGCTTTTCTGGTGGACCTTTTGCTTAAACATACAGTCGAACCTCTCTATAACGTAACTCACGGGACGGCTATAGCTTATGTTATATAGAGTGCCGTTTTATATAGCTAACGTCGGCCGGGACCGGTCCCCTACGTTTAGAGAGGTTCGTTTTTTTGGGTTCTTAGAGAGGTCGACCTTTTCTGATGCACTAAATTCAATAAAAATTATATGTTTCCTGTAATAAAGATTCGGTGCACCAGAAAGGATGGGTTTCCATTGATACAATCGAATGAAATCAAATCCAATAGATTTTCTTTTCTTTGTTACATCATCGTTACCTAGATTGTTATTTAAAGAAAAAGGAAACTCGAGCCCACGCAAAACATTGAGAATTTTTGATGAGCCTGGGATTTCTTCAGCCAAATACGTAGTTAACAAAAGTTTTTTTTGCTTTTCTTTACTGCTGCTTTTCTTTATTATTGCATTTATTTGTGCTAAAAACTTTCCAGTACTCGCTTACGCATAACTTTTATCATATTTATGTGCAAAATTGTACTGAAAACTTGTAATGAGAACTTTCTCACCGTTTCGCTACAATTTCCTTGTTTGAATGGCTTTTTTTTCCATTGTACATTTCCCCCGCTTTTCTCCAGTGGATATTCGTGTTGAGAAATCGGTTTTTTTTTCGCGTTTTTTTTCAAAAACCACTCAACCACTGGCCAATTAGCATAAAAATCTAAATATCTAACTTTAAATTCAATTCTAAATGTGCTCAAAGTGAAATTCTTAAAAAGGCTGTGAAATTCTTAAGATTTCTTTCGTTTCCTGAAACCTTTTGAATTCTTGTCATTTTTGTAAAACTTTGAGCACATTTAGAATTGACTTTAAAGTTAGATATTAGATTTTTTTTCTTTTAAAACACTATCAAGGAAAAAAAAATAAACGAGAGTGGGACAAATGCGACCTTTTTTTTTGCGCACCCGGACATTTGCGCACCTTTTTTTCCGCACCTTGCCCATTAGCGCACCTTTTTTCGCGTTTTAAAAAAGCTCTAAAAGCTAATATTAACCAATTTCTATTCCAAAAGTTGTTTTTCTAGGTAGTTCGCAAAAAAAGGTGCGCTAATGTCCGGGTGCGCAAAAAAAAGGTCGCATTTGTCCCACTCCCAAATAAACAGAAAACTCGCTGAAAATAGACTTTCTCAAGCCAAGAATTTCCAGAAAATTATAAAAAAAAACAGGAAAATCTTGAAATTCTATTTCCTTTTTGTCTTTTTTTTTTGTTTACAAAATTCGATTCGATTTATTTCCTTGCTCAAAAATCACTTAACCTTGATACGGGATAGAATTTGTTGTCTTTTAAAGTTTACATGTTTTATGTTCTTCAAATAAATCTTCAAAATCAATTTGAACCACTAAGTCACTAAGTTTAGAAAAATTAAAACAAAAAAAATCGAGTTTTGATTGAAAATTCACGTGTTGTTGAATGAAAAAAGTGACTCGAGTGACTCAAAAAGGTGCAAAAAAAGTGACGACACTACTGTCGTGTCGACGTGTCGACGTGTCGACTAATTGATGAATAAAAAACTTTCAATTTTCAATTTCTTTAGTCTTTTCTAAAAATTGCGTATAAAATCTTTGAAATAATCAAAAAAAATGAAAAAGTTTTCGATTCAACGTAATTTGCAAGCAAAATATTTTCAAGATCATTGCTTGTTTTCGTTATTTTCGTTTTCTTTGCATAATTATCAGTTGTTTCGATTTTTGAGCCGAAAAGCCGAAAAATTCTCATTTCAACCTAGAATTATCGTGTTTTTTTATAGAAATTTAAGATGTTTCAGTAATTTTTTCGGCAAAACAAGATTGTTTGATCTCAATTGTGACAAAAACAGAGCGAATTCGTAGGCTGAACTTCATCATTTCATTTTTCAGATAATAGGTTGATGCATAAGTCTTTTCGTTCCTTTTCGTCTGCCGTTTCAAGCCAACAAATGCACGAATTAAACTACGGTTGATTTCATTAGAAAAACCAATTATTTTTCTGCAAAATAACATTAAAACGGGTTTAAAAATATTTAATGCCTGGATTTTCTTGAGAGTATGAAGTCGGGTAGTCAAAAAGGGCTAACTCGATGATGCGGTTTAGACACCTTAGCTAAAGAAAACCTATCTTCGTGTCAATAGATAAAAGATAGAGAAAAAAAACGTTTGATATTTCGCCAAAATTTCAGAGAAATTCATTCAGCCAATTTTTCCGTAGAGTTTTTTATAGATTTTTACGAAAAAGGCGTTTTTCACTCTCGAATTTGCTTGAAAGTGAACCGAAATTCATTTAAAAAGATGCAAATTGAACAAAAAAACACTTTTTTTATAGAGCAAACTATAGATTAATTGGTGAATTTGTTACTTTTTAACAGAAGTACGAAAAAAACGAAAAGACTTATGCATCAACCTAATAGTTTTTCTTTAGATTAAAGGGAATCTTGTTTTCTATCTTGTTCACTTTTAATGTAAAAGTTATTTAATCATTTGGAAATGTTTTGTGCTTTTTTCTTTCTCTTTAACCTTCAAGAGATCACAATTTCTGATCATCTTGGAGTCAGGTCTACCTATAAAAAACGCTTTTCTTGAAATTTCTTGACTTTTTCTAAAACCTTGAATAGCATATTGTACACTATAGCGCTGAATAGTTAAAATGTAAATATAGAAAATATTTTATAAGACATCAAACTCGGTAACTCGTCATAACTATAGCTGAGATAAAGATCAAACCACTTACCTAACTTCTTCTCATTTAGAATTACCTTTGAAACTGACTGTGGATAGGTGAGGCGATACGGTTTTGCCCGATCATCAACTTGCGAGCTTTTCTCGAACACAGACTTTGATAGCCGCTCTAAAGCTACCACCTCAATCCAGTTTTCTCGTACTCTAATGCCAATTACCGTTGCATAGATTGACGGGATGGTAAACTATACTGGCATCACCGGCACTGGCATCACCGGCACTGGCATCACCGGCACTGGCATCACCGGCACTGGCATCACCGGCACTGGCATCACCGGCACTGGCATCACCGGCACTGGCATCACCGGCACTGGCATCACCGGCACTGGCATCACCGGCACTGGCATCACCGGCACCGGCTCAGGCATACCGTATTCTCTCTAATAGTAGATTCTGACACAACTTTTGAACTTTTGAACGGTAATCTTATGGAGCTTTCTCTAATCTACCTATTCTCTCTAATACAGATACGATACAGATTGACTATGAACATCGAAATCTTCAGCCATACTTCTGCTATTCTAATTCTCAATCCTTCAAATGTTCATGACGTAATTTCCCCCATTACCTCATTCCAAATCTGACCTCAAATTTCCCAGAATAGCCCACTCCTTTCGATCAGACTTTTTGATCTTTGTACCCTTTTGAAATTCCCAAAAAAACTCGATTTCTCGGAATAAACTTCCCTATATTATCAATTCAAAAAGCTTTGATTATACTAGGAAACGATGAATTTTTTTTTTTTAAAACAATGCCATCATTTTCTCATCTCATTCAAATCCTTAAGGAATTACCCAATTTTCGTCGACATTTCATGTTCTCAGCTCAATTTATAGCAATTATATAGAGACCATACTTCTAAAATCTTTTTTAGATTTCAATTTCAATTTCTTTTCAAATCAAAATGAAATCGTTGATCTCTTCAAGTTTAGTTTATAAACAAGTTTACGGTAGTTCTAAAAATTCACACGTTTTCGAAAGCCCGGCTGTTTTTAAAAGTTAAAAGCCCGGCTGTTAAAAGCCTTCTTGAATTTCTTAAAAGTTTCACGTTTTAGCAACTGAATTAGTCAAGAGGAACAAACACTTTCTTGTCAAACATTTATTCCATTGTACAAGTGCTTCAGCCATTCGAAAACTCTAGCATTTGCATCATTTCAAACAATCAACTCAGATTTTCAATCTTTCAATTCAATTTCATTTCATTCAATCTTTCGTCTTTGTCTGTCTGTGATGCTGAATCTAACAATAAGTCTAAACCATTTATTTCCATTCACCGAAAACCCTCCCCCATTTTTTGAAATCTTTCTAATCTCTCTGAATTCAACTTCTTAATCTCATCACTGAATGGGTCTAGAAATGGCTCTACATAATGTATAGAGGGTCAATTTTAATCCGTTTCCCGATCTAAGACAAAAATGTAAATCATAAATTAAAATTGGGTTCAAGTAAGATAAAATAGGAATTTTTTAATCGGGAAACGTTTCATTTTCTCGAAATTTCTCGAAAATAGATGATGATCTTTTAATCTTTATAAATCTTTAATCTTTATAAAATTCAACCTTGAATCTCGCCATCATTTTCATTCAAAACTCCGAAGTGATTACTTTATAGTTTCCCTGTATCAGGATACTGTACTTTATAGTTTCCCAGGGTGCTGTAAAGAAATAGACGAGATACAGTAGTGGGACAACGACCTCACTGCAGTACTAGAGCTGGGCTACTGTAGTACCGTGGTGGTGACATGTCTATTCAGTCTTGTTCAGTTCTATCTATTCTATTTTCTATCTATTCAGAAATTCATTCAGTCTTGACAGCTCAATACCTTTATGACTAAACTGTTTACAGAATTTTGCAGTCAAAATGTTGCTACCTAAGAAATTAAATCCAAATTTTCCCCTTGTCACGCAAACTTTTTGCTTCTCGTTTACCCAAGTTCACCAAAACACGAACTCCAAATTGGCAATGATCAATCCTTTCTCAGTTTTTGCTTCTATTCACGCTTATAGTTTGGTGGAGAAGTTGCGATTGCGATTTGTCAATTCCTTTTTTTTTTGTAAACGATTGTAGCCTCTTTTGTAGCTCTTTTGTAGCTCTTTGTGAACTCTCAGTTGAAGATTTTTCTTGTAATATCATTTGGCTATTTGACTATTTGGCTCTTACAATTACATTTACAATATTACATTAAGTTTCCAGGTAAAAATGGTGGTGAACGTGATCGTTTGCCTATTTGGAGCGTTGATCTCGCTCGACTATGTGCGAACGAAACCGCTCACCGCCCGAACCGCTCACATTCCACAGGTAAATGAGGAGAAAATAACTAAATGTCAAGAGTTTGTGTCAATGTCAAGAGCAACGAGTTTGATCAGTACACGATACTTCCATATTCTTGTGTATGAATCTCGTTTAGACGATCATTTTGACTGGGCAAGACGAGCCGCCGCTTCAACTGACAATGGTGGTCCCGAAAGAAGCGCTGATAGCCGAAGAGCTGCAAGAAATCCTTGAACAACCCACAAATCAGGATGCCTCTCCACAGTGAGTTCAAATTCCATAGCATTGCTTAATTAAAATACGTAAAGTAAGGAAATAAAGCCAAGTAAGTTAAAGCAAGTAAGTTAAAGCAAGTAAGTTAAAGCAAGTCTCTATAAACGCCAAAAATATACGAGAACTCTATAGCAGAGCTTAAAAATATATCTACTTTATGACAGTAACGAAGAACTTTATGACAGTAACGAAGAACTTTATGACAGTAACGAAGAACTTCTGAACGTTCTTTTCAGATACTCTGGTCACCTAGTCGCTTTGCGGCCCGACTACAACTTGTGGAATATGGTGAACGTGTTGAGGAATGTTTTCGATGGACGAGGAGGTCGCGCGAAGAAGCGATGGCTTCAATGAGTCGAGAAAAGACTAGAGTTTTTATATAGCTGCATTTGTGATTTTTTTTTTTGTGATTTTATAGACTGTTTTTTGAAAATTTCTTTGTAAAACTTGTTAAAAGATTCGAAATTTCAACGCGTTTCAACATTTTTCAAATGCAAAACAAGTCAATTGAACACATGTACAAAAAATCAGGCATAAAAATGAAAGAACCAAGAATTTTAAAAAGATAAAACCTTTACTTACAGTAAATTACAGTTTTTGGGGGAGTGGTACAAATGCGACCTTTTTTTTTGCGCACCCGGACATTTGCGCACCTTTTTTTCCGCACTTAGCCCATTAGCGCACCTTTTTTCGCGTTTTAAAAAAGCTCTAAAGAGCTAATATTAACCAATTTCTATTCCAAATGTTGTTTTTCTAGGTAATTTTAGGGCGTAGAATCGAAATTTTGACATAACAGAGCGTGTGGAACCAATTTGAAAGACCAATTTGAAAGACAAAACGGCTAGATCAAATTACAGAAAATTGTCGATTTTTCTCTTTGTATAACTCCGTCCGTTTGTTTCCACAAGCTCTGATATGCCAAAATTTCGATTCTACGCCCTAAAATTACCTAGAAAAACAACTTTTGGAATAGAAATTAGTTAATATTAGCTTTTTAGAGCTTTTTTAAAACGCGAAAAAAGGTGCGCTAATGGGCAAGGTGCGGAAAAAAAGGTGCGCAAATGTCCGGGTGCGCAAAAAAAGGTCGCATTTGTCCCACTCCCGTAAATTACAGTTTTTGGTGTTAATTTACCTTACAAAGTTGAGTTTTAATGCAAATTAAGCGTTTGCGTTCTCTATCTTGCGGATAGACATTTTTTCGACCGTAGCCCAGAGATTTTCATCTTGACCTCCCCTTTTTCATGCCTTTTCTCTTAAATTTCTCAACTCTTTTCATAGAAAAGTTTCTGTCGACTTTAAGTAGTAAATTTTTGAACTCTTTTAAAAACAGAAAATATTTAAAAATTACGTTTTTCAGGATGATCCCCGGTGGTCTGAACGTGCAACTCAGCCGAGGGCTCACAACTTCAGCGCAGGCACGAAACAAGGTAAAACTTTAACGAAAATATGGCTAAATTTAGTTTTTATACAAAAAAAAACTTTGCCTTTCAAGCAAATTCGAGAGTGAAAGCGTGTTTTTCGTTAGGATGCGATATGAACTTATAGCAAAAATTTTCGATTTTTTAGGTTGCCTACATCGTGGGCGCCGCACGAACACCGATTGGATCGTTTCGCTCATCGTTGGCCTCTTTGACCGCTCCGCAACTTGGTTCAGCTGCTATCAAGGTAAAGATTTTAGGAGAACTTTTAAATTAAAGTTACTCATTATTTCATTCCATTGTTTTGTTTAGGGATCTCTGAAACACGCGAAACTACCAGCGAATGCTGTTCAAGAAGTTTTCCTTGGACAGGTAGTGACTTTGAGTTTTCAGAAAGGTTGGTTCCTTTAGGTTTGTCAAGCTAACGTTGGACAAGCACCGGCAAGACAGGCGACACTTGGAGCAGGTAGTAGTTTGTTTTGATTTTTTGAAGTGAAAAATCGAGTATCGCTTTGTTGCATCGGGATAAAAGCTAGTCATTTGTTCAGTAAGCAAAAGGGTTTGTATTTAAGATTTATGATTTGTAAAGATTCAAGCATATTGAAAATATTTACTGAAATGTCTTTAGGATTGGAGAAATCGACAGCGGTAACAACGGTGAACAAAGTGTGCTCATCGGGATTGAAAGCTATCATTTTGGCAGCTCAACAGATTCAGACCGGACATCAGGATGTAGGTTTAAACCTAGACAGAAAAAAAATGAAGCAATAAAGTTGTATAGTGAGTCAATTTTGCTTTTCATTTAGGTTGTGATTGGTGGTGGGATGGAAAGCATGTCACAAGTGCCCTTTTATTTTCCACGAGGTGACGTCCCATATGGTGGAGCACAACTTGTGGTTGGTTTTAGGCAAAATAAATGGAAATAAATTTTGTTCTGAGCTTTAAATTATCTGTTAGTTAATTTAGGACGGAATTGTGAAAGATGGGCTCACGGATGCTTACGATAAAGTTCATATGGGTTTATGCGGGGAGAAGACTGCGCGGTAATATTTTTTTGATTTTAAATGAATTATAATTTGAACATTCAGCGAACGAAACTTTACTCGAAAGGATCAAGACGAGTATGCAATTGGAAGCTACAAGAAAAGCGCGGGTGCTTGGCAGGTTTATTCAAAATTTTGTTTTTTTTTAGTAAAGTTTTAGAGTGGAGCCATCTCTTCAGAAGTCGTTCCCGTGGAAGTGAAAGGAAAGAAAGGATCGGTTGTGATCGACAAAGACGAAGAATTCGGAAAAGTCAACTTTGATAAATTCACCTCATTGAAAACTGTCTTCCAAAAAGGTAAGTCAAGAATTTAATTTGGTATTTTTTAAAGTAAGATTGTTTTTTCGTCATTTTTAAAATGTTGTTTTAGATGGAACAATCACAGCCGCTAACGCTTCTACTCTCAACGATGGAGCCGCGTCAGTGATTGTAGCTTCAGGTTCGTTAAGATGTTTTTTTTGTCGATTACTAATCAATAAATTTCAGAAGACGCGATCAAGCAATACAATTTGAAACCAATTGCTAAGGTTTTTAACCTTTTAGTATTTCGATTTTTAGCTTTTTAGATTCTCTCGTACGGTGATGCTGCTCGAGACCCACTCGATTTCGCGATTGCTCCGCCATTGTTGGTGCCCAAGGTTGCTTTTTCTTAAAAATACTTTTTTATCAGCTGTTTAGCTTTTAAAAAAAGCCGGCCTTTCGTTGAACGATATTGATCATTGGGAGGTAAGCATTCTATGTTAAAAAGTTTAAAATTTTATTTTAGGTTAATGAGGCATTCTCCGTTGTGGTTCTTGCGTTTATTAAGGAATTAGGCATCGATGCGAGCAGGGTACGGAGTTTCTTTCAATTGATCTTTGTGTGCTCTGCACATCATGTCATCCAAATGCACCAAAAAAAGCAGGCGTGTAGACTAGACATTGTGAAAGGGAAAGAGTTTCAGAGAAAAGTTCATCAAACACTTTGATTTGAAAAGGGAAAAGTTTTAAAAGCTTGTGACAAATGTGAAACGTGATTGAGGGAGCAATGTATTTAGTTAAAAATTTAGCAAAACAGTAAAAATTTTAAATTTAGGTTAATCCACATGGAGGAGCCGTTTCACTGGGACATCCAATCGGGTAAATTTTCACGGATTTTTAGAGAAACTTTTTTATTAAAATAGTACGTTAGTTTATTAGTTAGTTCTACTTATACTGTTTTGATGGAAAATTCTAATCTGTGAGAATTTCAGAATGTCGGGCGCTCGTTTGATCACTCACATGGTGCACGCGCTGAAGCCCGGCCAAAAAGGTTTCGCCGCGATTTGCAACGGAGGTGGTGGTTCCTCGGGAATGGTCATCCAAATCTTGTAATTAATCTTGTAATTTTTGTTTTCACCTAGTTAAAGTTATTAGATATTGGTTTCTTTTTCATCTTTGTTTGTGTGATTTCCAGTCTCTGAGCATAGTCCTATGAGTTACGGTTGTGTGAGTATAAAAGGTTAAACTTTGTACTTAATAAAGTTCTGTTCAGCTTGTGTTATCAAGTTTAAAAGTCAAAAATACAGTCAACAATATCTTGCATAAAATCGTTTTTGTGGAAAAGTTCCATTGTCGGAGTTTTTGTGAGAGTTGGCCAAAAATTTTTCATGGGTAAGACTCATTTTGGTTAGGTGTTTGACTAGAACGTTAAATATTTGATTTTCAGATGAGCGATCAAAAACCTATAGCCTATCTTCTATCAGGAGTGCGCACACCAATCGGTCAATTTGATTTTTCAATGATTTCTGATTTGTAAGAATTATTTTCATTTTGATTTTTTAGGTTCATTCCGCGGTGCTCTCTCTACTCTATCGTCCGTCGAATTAGGCACGATCGTGGCAAAAGAAGCGCTAAAGCGGGCAGGTAATGCTTGTAAATTTTATAACTCGATCGTTTTTTTAAGATGCATCACCCAATCAAATCGAGGAGACGTTTGTTGGCTCGGTGTTGACGGCTAACGGAGGTCAAAATGTGGCACGACAAATAGCGATAGCTGCTGGTATTTTTCTGAATCATTCAGATGTGTTTTATGTAGAAAATTTATTTTTTTACGACGAGACTATGATATTTTTAATTGTCTAGGTCTCCCGAAAGACTCACAAGCCGTCACTGTCAACAAGGTTTGCTCATCGTCATTGAAAGCTCTCCAGCTGGCATGTTTATCGATTCAGGTGGGTTCCCTTTTTAATTTTAAGATAAACTTAAACTTTATAAGTACATTTTTTAATAATTTTCATTTTGCTTTAGGCAGGTTATCGAGAGCGATGTCTCGTCGTCGGAGCTGAATCAATGAGCCAAGTGCCGTTCTACATGCCTCGTGGTGAAATACCTTATGGTGGACTTAAACTTATTGTAAGTATTGCTACTAAAACCTTATTCTAACTTTTTATAGGACGGAATCGCGAAGGATGGTTTGGAAGATGCGATAGTTCAATGGCCAATGGGGCTATGTGCTGAAAAATCGGTTACGGTAAGATTTATCTTCCTAAACTTAAAATAAAAAAATATGTTTACTGGTCAGAATTATAGTGTAACTTTGTTTAGGATTATGGAATCACGCGAGAGCAAAGCGACACCTATGCGATTGAAAGCTACAAGAAAGCGGCCAATGCTTGGGAGGTAAGAATTGAACATTTTTTTATTGTTTCTAAAGGTTGTAAGCTTTCCGTTTTAGACTGGTCTTTTTGTAAACGAAGTCTTAACCGTGCAAATTCCGCAAAAACGAGGCGAACCGAAAATTTGTGCCGAAGATGAGGAATTCAAGAAACTCATGGAGACAAAGGTGAAATTAGTGAAATTACATGGTGCTAAATTTACTGATAAACTTTTAGGTACCAACTTTATCAGCATCTTTCAAAAAAGATGGTGGAACGATCACCGCTGCCAACGCTTCTTCTCTTAACGATGGAGCTGTAGCTGGTGTTGTGACGGCAAAATTGCCTCAAGGGGTAATAATCAGTTTTTGACTAGAAGTAAAACTGAACAAACGCATTTTTTTTCATAAGAGTCGCTTTTAGAGTGTGGCTTTGGCTGAAATCCTTGGTATCACCGAGGCTGGTCTTGATCCTGTCGATTTCACAGTGGCGCCCGTCTTTGCTGCTAGAAAAGTATTGATTAACTTTAAATGATATTTTAAACCAAAAAGTTTAGCTTCTTGCGCAGTTCAAAATTGAGCCCTCGGCTATTGCGCTGTGGGAAGTGAATGAGGCGTTTTCGGCAACAGCTTTGGCTTTTATAAAGGTAAGTACTATTTGTTGGGTTTTAACAGGCTAAAATTTTGGTCTTTAGGAATTGAATATTGATCCACTTCTCGTCAACGTGAAAGGAGGCGCTGTTGCTCTTGGGCATCCATTGGGGTTTGTATTTAAGATTTATGATTTGTAAAGATTCAAGCCTATTGAAAATATTTACTGAAATCAGTATCGTTGCAACTTTATAGAATGTCTGGTCTTCGAATTGTCGTCTCATTGGCCCACTCGCTAAAATCGGGACAACTCGGCGTGGCCGCTATTTGCAACGGAGGCGGCGAAGCGATGGCTGTTTTACTACGAAAACCCTGACTAGGCCATGTAACAAGTGATTCCATTTGCACCAGTAGGCTATAAAATATTTGTTCCTTTTTAGTTATTCAAATTCTTTTGTTCACATTTTGCTTTGTTGTCCCTATTTATTCTGTGATTGAGCGACTCTTGTGTTTGTGATTAGAAAAAGGTGACTGAACATTCCATAATAGTTTTTATTTAAGTCTTGGGGTAAATTTATGTGGGATAGGTAATAAAGATAAAAATATTTGCACATCTTATAAAAGTCAAGCACTTTCTAACTGCACATCAATATCCAGACCTTTCTTGTTTTGCTGTGCATTTTAACATGAGCCCAAGATTTATTCAAAGAACACATAGAAATTTGGTGGGCATTTTGTTTGAAGGAGATCGGTGGTTGTTGAATGAAGCGATGATCTCTCTAGATGGGTCCCATGTAGCAAGAAACATCAGTGCGAGGCTTGGTCACTCCGGGGGGAAGCTGTTGCTTTTGCTGTTGCGGTTGTTGCTGTTGTTGTTCACCGCCACCACCGCCCGATTGCTGTTGTCCTCCTCCAGCGGCACCACCGTATGCGTATTCCTCACTAAAAATGAAAAATATTATCAAAAGGAATAACGATATAAAAATAAACAACTTAATAATAAAAAAGTAATCAAAATAAGGTAAAGTAAAAAGTGAAAAGGTCTCACGGAGCATATCCATTTCCGGCAGTCGATCCTCCGCAATAGGCTCCAACTCCCATGTAGGCCGATTTGTCTCCCATGATGGATGAAGTTGAGATGTGTAAAGATTGGCCAACTGATGATTTGTCTCGAGAAAGCGTTTTCTTTTATTTGGCAAATAAATTCAAATTTTGGCGGATTTAGACGATATGCAAATTTCCCAAGAACTGTGTTTGAATTTGTCTTACAAAACGTACAACACAACTGTTCCGATGATCAGAATTACATTCCAAAGATATGAGCAATGATCATTCGGGATGCAAATTTCTCCTAGGTCTGTCAATGATTTGTGGGATGTTTCGATGGTATCTCCCCCGTTAACCCTTTGCCCTTATTATTGACCCTATCTTTCTTTGTGTTTCCTCTTCTTCTCAGAAGATATCCCCTCAGATCTGATCTGATCTCCGCTCTGACGATGAGACTAAGCAGAAATGGCTAGACATATCCCCACAATACGCATTGCTCATTCCCATTCAACTTTCTCGTATGATGAAGATTATATGGATTCTCGTCTTTGGCTTTCATTTAGTAGAAAGTGTTAGTTTATTGAAAATTATTATTTTTTTTATTTTCTAAAGTACTTTCAGGAAATAGCTACCGTAAATCCTAGTGCTTTAGTGAATTGAATTGAGCTGAGTTTTGAGTTGAAGTCATTGACTATCACATACAGGCTTTAGTGAATTGAATTGAGCTGTGTTTTGAGTTGAAGTCATTGACTATCAAATACAGGCTCACCTACTGGCGTAAATTGGAAAAAAAAACAGTTGGAGTACGGTAGCTTTTTTGAGTATGATACTTAATAAGAAAATATAGTTTTAATTGTTATGATGCGTGCAATCTAGATGCGTTAAAAATAAAAAAAATTCAGCAAGACAGCGTCGAAGATGCTCTCCTTGACGGGAAATCTCTCTTCACGAATGCATCGCTTCAAACGTATTTGAAAGATTTGGATCATCTCAATGATATTTATATGGAAATCAATGATAAACCTGTAACAGAATACAATATTTTCAAAATGCAAAACTTTTTAGATGGTGAGTCTTGGCACAGGCGGTGGCTCGGGAGGTGCTTTAATGCATGCGGTTGGTTTTTTACATTACAGTAATCCTGTCTTTTTGTTTCACTACAGTATATTGAAATTAAATATTCAGCTATTGGTTTAAGATTAAGTTGAATAATTTAAAGAGCTTTAATGCCTGAATTTGTTTACTTTAGACTATTGTAGTGAGACAGCTTGCAGGGACTTTATAGTACTTTATAGTACGTCTATAGTACTTTATAGTACTTTATAGTACGTCTATAGTACGTCTATAGTACTTTATAGTACTTTATAGTACGTCTATAGTACTTTATAGTACTTTATAGTACGTCTATAGTACGTCTATAGTACTTTATAGTACTTTATAGTACGTCTATAGTACTTTATAGTACTTTATAGTACGTCTATAGTACTTTATAGTACTTTATAGTACGTCTATAATACGCCTATAGTACTTTATAGTACTTTATAGTACGTCTATAGTTACAGTATACCTTTGTTTTTCTATGGAAATTCTGTAAAAATATATGGCAATTGTTAACATTATTTAGTTGAAAAACACGGGCACCAAGAAGATCATTGGAATCAACGGTCGACCCGATCAGCTACCGTATCTCTTCCAAGGAGACATCATCTTGACCGGTGAACAAATGCAACAACAGATCAAGTGAGTTTGATTGTTAGTTTGAGGTTAGTTGAAGTTAGTTGAAGTTGAAGTTAGTTTGAAATCTTTTACAAGCACTTTTCTAACAGAGCTGCCGAAGCTCAGCTGGCCAAGAAGAAAGGTGAAACGTCGAGACGCGTTCGAAGTATGACTTCAAATCTTTCACTTCGATGGAGACGCTTTCCCATTCAATACTACATCTCGCCTGGGGGTTAGTTCCATTAAAATCTACTAAATCAGCGTTTAACAAAAGTCTTTTGACAGTTGCAAATCGAGTTAACGATTTTTGAGTATTACAAGATATTTGATAGTCGGATTTTACACAAAAGTACCCTAAATTTCGAAAATCTTTATGAATTAAATTGCAAAATTGTATCATTCTTATTTGAATGAATAGATTGAGCAAAAAGTTTGTCATCCGCAGGATTCGAACCTGCGCCCTCCGAAGAGGACTGCGACATCCAGTTGCCTGAACGCAGCGCCTTAGACCACTCGGCCAGAATGACAGATGGGACAAACGGGCGTTTTTGCGACTAACTAACCTCAACCAGTGAAATAATGCGCCAACGAGATTAAAAATGTGATTGTAGAAATAGAAATGAACCTTTTGCAAGATTTTTGCTTATTCTTATTTTTCGAAATTTTTGCTCTATTACAAAACCCTATTTCAGCTCCAACGTCAGCCATTCAAGCGGGTGTCACGAGATGGCAACAACTCTCGTGTATCACTTTTCAACAAGTCCGTTTTAGCTAAGAGATTTTTATATTAAGTAATTTCTTTTGCACTTTATTATTGTATCGTAAACCAATGATTAGTAAGCAAAAACTAGGTTAACTCACCTCCATCTGGAAACGGATTGATTTTCATTCAAGGGAATGGGTGAGTTCTTTTTTTGTTTGTTGAAGAGTTTAAATCAAAGATTTAGATACATTTATATTTAGATTTAAATTTAGATTATATGATACATTTTAGTTGCTATTCATACATTGGAATGACTGGTTTCTCTCCTCAACAAATCTCCATCGGATTTGGGTGTGAATCGCTTGGAACCGTGATGCACGAGATTGGTTGGTTTAAAGGAAAAAAAAAGCCAAATTTCCAAAAAGATACACTTAGTAGTTTCGCTTAAAATGCAAGTTTTGTGAAAATTCGTAAATTTGGCAATTTCTTGAAAACCACTTTTTGAATCGTTCTGAAAATTTGGATATAAGCTTGATTTTTGATTCTCTACAACTTTTCCATTGACACCAGAATGGGTTTCTTTTGAAGAAAGTGCTCAAACTGTCACATATGACAATAGCGCGCAGTTTTCAATTCACCAACCCAATAACTACATCCCCAATTCTTTCTTTGGAAATTGTTTGTCTTTGTCTATGTTAATCCTCTTTAAAAATGCAAATTTCGTATGTAAATTTCTCGTACGCACGAACAGATAGAAATTTCTCTTTTATATAGTATATTTTGTGTTATTTTATATAGTAGATTTTGTGATTTTGTGTTTTGTGATAGGACAGTACAGTACAGTACAGTACAGTACAGTACAGTACAGTACAGTAAAGCACAGTAATATGCTTGACTAGAAGAGAAAAACCGGGCTGTAAGACTGTAAGAGTTGTTTTTTTTGCTTTAACATCTCGTACACTATCTTTTACAGTGGCCTTTTCTTTTATTTAAGAATTTCAAAAAGCTTTGAAAGCTTTGAAAACTGGCTCTTTCGTTTCGTCATACGGCAAAAGCTAAATTTAATATCCGTCTGACTTTCCTGAATTCCAAAAACGTTTCCAGGTCACGCTCTCGGCTTCTACCACGAGCAGGCTCGATCTGACCGTGACTCTTACGTGAACATTTTGTGGCAGGATATCCAAAGCATCTATCAATCCCAATTCAGTGAACAGGTGCCGAAATTCAAACTGTGAAAACTCGAAAATTTCCTATTTCCAGTCGGCGGCGTCAATGATCGATTACGGAGTGGCATACGATTATGGATCCGTCATGCACTATGATCAATTTGTAAGTGAAAAGAAAAAAAAGCGAAAATACAAGCAAAGCAGGCTTTTTCCTCAAACGGACAAGCGGCCATTCAAACGCTCGACCCAAACTATCAGCTAACTATCGGACAGCGAAATCAGGCTGCTTTCGCTGACGTGAAGAAGATCAATCTCGCCTATTGTAACGGTAGACTTTTTTTCTTTCTTAATACTGTAATGATAGCGGCCATTCAAACGCTCGACCCAGCTAACTATCGGGTAACTATCGGAACTATCAGCTAACATTCGAAGAACTACCGTAAACTTGCCCTTTATCCAAATCTTGTAACCTTTTCCACAAGTATCCACAATCTTCTATGCTTTAGACTAAGCAAAGCCTTAGCAGATTTTCAAGTGCTTGTTTGTTTTTCTCAATTCTGAACTCCAGCTAGCTGCTCAAATGTGTTGTCGTGTGTGAATGGCGGATACACGGATCCAATGAACTGTGAGCAATGTCGATGTCCGGATGGACTTGGAGGTAGATAATGCTAAGGATTTAGTGAAGCTTTAGAGAATAATATCTGAGCAATTATCTAATCCATCATCTATTAAGCTGTCCAGAAATCATGGAAATCATAGAAAAATTAGAAATCAGAAACCAGAAATCATAGGTTAATTATGGTGAATTTGTTTCAAAGAAAGTCGAAAGAAAAGAAAAAGACTTTCTGGACAGCTTAATATTAGTGCTTAATATTAATGCTTAATATTAGTGTTTAATATTAGTGTTTAATGTTAGCTAGTGCTTAACTCTAGGCACCCTCTGTGACCAAGCGGCTGCCTCCTATACGGGATGCTCAGCCGGCAATCTCCAAGCTACTTCAACCCTTCAAACGATCACCGCTCAGGGCAGTCTTGTCTGCAACTATTTGATTACGGTAGAAAAGTCGAATTGACAAGAAATCACGATTACTTCTAGGCTCCACCCGGAAAGAGAATCTATTTCCAAGCCAGCTCATTGTCTTTCCCATACCAAGCCGTTTGCAGTCAAGCCTACTTGGAGCTCAAGTACAATGCGGATCTCGGACGAACGGGTGCCAGGTAATTGATTTGTTCATTAGTACTGTGATTTTGCAATAGTTACAGATGACTTTAGTTCTAGATTAGCTAATACTGCGTACTGCGAATGCTAGTACGCGAATGCTTTCGTAGAAAATCTACTAATCTGACAATACAGAGATTTAGATTATGCCGACAGGCCTCATTGAGTGGGATGACAAGTGGCGGCTCGTCGATGGTGGTGATCTTTCAGGGTGGAAGCACCTCACGATTCACTCTCAGCTATAGATATGGTAAAATCAAAAGATCAGTTGATCAATACTTATCTAGAACTATCTAAAACTAGTGCACTTTCAAATGTTCTTTTCTAGAATAGCTGAAATAAAACAAAGTCGTGAGAGGATTTTAAGAAAAGTTTAAGCTTTTCAGATCCACCAGACACTTCCCCAACAACGACAACAACGACAACAACGACCCAGTCAACCCAGTCAACCCAGTCAACCCAACCGACCACTCGACCGGGCACAACAACCACAACAACCACAACTACAAGAACCACTACAACAACGACGACAACAAGGAGAATCACATGGCCAACAACTCAACCATGTATAACTATTAGAAAATTAAACTACAGAAACAATATTTAGCCAGATGTAGCCCGTGGAACTTTTGCAGTCAACCCTGTGGTGGCTGTGGAATCCAGTCGAGAGTGTGAGTTTCTGCTACAGTTTATAAGAAGCGACTTTGTTATAAGAATTGTGGTTTAAGTGCTTAGTCGTCTTGCACAAAAATCAATTCAGTTGTTCGGATATAAGCTTGATTTTTGATTCTGTGGAATCCAGTCGAGAGTGTGAGTTTCTGCTACAGTTTAGAAAATCGACTTTGTTATAAGAATTGTGGTTTAAGTGCTTAGTCTTCTTGCGCAAAAATCAATTCAGTTGTTCAACTGGAGTACAAACACAACCATGCAACCTCGTCGCTTGTCGGGGCTTCTTCTGTTGTTCGCCATTCATTGTCTCTCGACAAGGCACTTGTATAAAGCCAGCATCCGACAATGAGGTTCGAAAATTAACAGAATATTTCGAATATTTGACTTTGATTTACTAGACTGAGCCAACTGATTCCACTCCTGCTGTTCAGCCGAGTGAAGCGACCAAAGCGCTAACTCCAAAACCCACCACAAAGCCAGCCCCGAAAACCGCCAAAAAACCAAGTAAGAGATTATTTAAGCAGTAAGCAAGATTAATGAAGCACTAAGCAAGCTTTAGAACCAACCACAAAGAAGCCGAATGGTAAAATCGGAAAGAAAATCGGTCATCGAGCCGAATTCTTCGATGACGAAGGAAGTGGGGAAGAGCCAAACGCTGTGACTCGGAAACCAATCACGAGTGGGTTTTTAAAATGCACGTTTATCAGATTTCTAGAGTTAGAATTGTTTTTTCAAATTATACTTTAGAGCCCGGGAAACTAGCTGATAAAATTCGACGACCCTACAGAAAATCGGTGGGGATCTAATTAAAAAAAAAAAGATGATTGTCTCGTTGACTGAATAGCTTAATTATTGGGTTGATGGAAAAGTCCTTTCCGATTTTTTGGGAGAGTACCTTAAATTTGTCGAATTTTGACGTTTTATAGCTCATCCTAAAGCTGAATTCAAGACGGATCGATTGGTAAAAACCGTTTTGAGATATCTCTTTTCTAAACGTTTTTACAGCTATTTTAGTAAAGGCAGAGCCAAAAAATGGCTGTTTTCACGTTTCGTTAGTTTTCCGTGCAGAAACCTAGGCTAAAAACATGTGTTTCGTGATCAGCGTCAAAAATAACCCCTAGACACGCATTTTCAGAATCTTAGCGAAAAATTTTTGAAAAATATTGTCACCGGTGGAAGTCGAACCAGCGACCCTCAGATCAATAGCCTTTCCGCCGCTTTTCGCGATTTTCCTTCGTTTTTCTTGTTTTTTGTTGTTGAAGAATGTTTCTTCAGCCATTTTTTGGCTCTGCCGCCCTTTACTAAAATAGCTGTAAAAACTTTTAGAAAAGAGATATCTCAAAACGGTTTTTACCAATCGATCCGTCTTGAATTCAGCTTTAGGATGAGCTATAAAACGTCAAAATTCGACAAATTTAAGGTACTCTCCCAAAAAATCGGAAAGGACTTTTCCATCAATCCAATATGTAACTCTAAAGATACTCAACTAATCGAATAACTATTCTAGAAACTATAGAATATGATTTTTTGAAAAATTGACAGGCTGTTTTCGTTGACGAACTTGAGAAAAACGACTCTTCGACTGAAAAAACAGAAGCTTAAAGGATTTGTGTAAATTTTTTTATATAAATTGTTTTTTATATAAATATTCTTTTTTTTATTTATCAAAGAGTGATATCTTCAATCTAGTTACCCAAAAAAAAAACCAAGAATTGCACAACAATAACAAAAAAAAAAAGAGATCAGCACTTTGTGTATCATCACATGCAAATAAGAAATCGAGTGGGGGAAAAGCTAGAGTTGAAAAAGTTGACAGCGTTTACCCGAGAAAACGATATCATTTAATTGTATCGCAGTAGGAAATGTCTTTAAAATACTCTAGTGCTCAGCCGAGTTCGAGGTGGAATTGGTTTGGATGGTGTGATACGAGGTACAATGCAAGAGTGGCCGACCACCGCGGCCGAGAAGACGCAAATGCGCTAATAAACCATCACAACCCGAGATGGCGAGACTGGAAATTAGAAATCGTTTTGGAAAATTTGGAAATTGTTTCCTTCATTTTCATAGAATTTCTTTTCTCATCAGTTAATGAAGTCTTTCTGTAGGAGTATTTTGTTTAGACGTTAGTTTAGTTTAGTTTAGTTTAGACGTTAGTTTAGTTTAGTTTAGTTTAGACGTTAGTTTAGTTTAGTTTAGTTTAGTTACGTTAGTTTAGTTTAGTTTAGTTTAGTTTAGTTTAGACGTTAGTTTAGTTTAGTTTAGACGTTTAGAGCTTAGTTTAGATTTTTTAGACGAAGTTTTGATGTTTAGACGTTTAAGTCTAGAAAGTTTAGACGAATTTTTAATGCAAAAACGAATACAAAATCTTGACGGATTTAGCTAAAATATTCTTGAGTTTTGGAATCGCTTTTGATAGTAGATAGCTTGTGATTTTTTCGAGTACGCTAGCTTTTCCCGAAGTCATCTTATAGGAAATGAAAATTGTAGTCTGTTTATTTTAAAGAAGATGTGCAAAGATGGTTTTACCTAGCATCACTGAAACTCGCACAAGCTAATAGCCCACACCCCGACGGGATCGACTCGGTCCAGAGGGAAACTAAAAACATTTTTTGATTTTTAAAGATTTCTAAAGATTTCTAAAGATTTCTAAAGCTCTCTAAAAGCTTCCTAAAGATTTCTAAAGATTTCTAGAGCTTTCTAGAGCTTTCTAGAGCTTTCTAAAGCTCTCTAAAAGCTTTCTAAAGATTTCTAAAAATTCGCTAAAGATTTTCTAAAGATTAACATCTAAAAGCTTATAAAATTCAAGAGATTGGTCAAGATTGATGCAAAATTTTATACCTCCATCATCGAGACTCCAAACGCGGGCCGTTTGATCGAGACTCACACTGACGATCAGCTTTTTCTGGGTTACCTGTAGGATTTTGAAAGTCTATAGACTATAAGTGTAGACTATAAGGCTAATAAATCATAGAGTAAATCTAATAAATCAAAAAGAAATCATACACTTTGATGCAAATTTGCCACCCCGGTCACTGTGCTGTCGTGTCCGCTGAGCTCTTTGAACATTCGCTGCATTCGAGTGTCCCAGATCTGAAAAATGCTTGTAAGGATTGTATTTACTACTACTTATATATATGCTTTATTCAGTTGAATAGCGACAAAACAAAATCACAATAATTACCCGGGCCACCACTCAAAACACACCCAAAAGATAAATATTGGGTTGGTGAGCTTGTTTGATGTTTGATTCGAGCTTGTTTGTTTGATTCGAGCTTGTTTGATGGCCAGACATGCTACCAAGAAACCTCTAATGACTGCCAAGCACCGGAAGCTTCGTCTCGGGTTTGCAAAGAAGTACGCAGGTTGAACACGGGACGACCGGGTCAATGTGGTGTTTACTGATGAATCAAAAGTCAATCTTTTCCAGCCGGATGGCAATCAGAAGAATTGAACTTGATCAGAAGATTGATCGGACAGCGTTACAACGTCAAATACCCGCGAGCGCGACTACTATTAGAGGGGGCTACTATTGGGTTGGTGAATTGAAAACTGCGGGCTATTGTCATACGTGACAGTTTGAGCACTTTCTTCAAAAGAAACCCATTCTGGTGTCAATGGAAAAGTTGTAGAGAATCAAAAATCAAGCTTATATCCAAATTTTCAGAACGATTCAAGAAGTGGTTTTCAAGAAATTGCTAAATTTACGAATTTTCACAAAACTTGCATTTTAAGCGAAACTACTAAGTGTATCTTTTTGGAAATTTGGCTATAAGCCTAATTTTTGATTCTCTACAACTTTTCTATTGACACCAAAATGGGTTTCTTTTGAAGAAAGTGCTCAAACTGGGAGTCCTCCATTCTCCAGTCCTCGATTTTTGAGTCTCACACTTGTCTCACACACAAACCAAGATCCTATCACGAAAGAGGAATCCGCAAATTGCCTTTAAAATGGGCAGAAGTCGTCAATAATAATGGAAATTATTTGGAATGAATTCATGGTTTTATGTTGAATAAACTTTAGTTCAAAGTCCAGCAGTTTTCAATTCACTAACCCAATAAATACCTCAAGAAAGAATCACAAAGCAGTCAAATCACTTGCCGAAATTGCGGCTTTAAATCTAGCCAAGGTGGGAATAACACGAAAATGAAGGGTAAAATGTTCCAGAATTTAATAACTCGCTTAAAAAAGAAACTGTGCGAGCTTTTAGAGGAAACGGAAGGTTCGCGTATGAGAAAAGGCGCCCCGTAGAGAGCCGAATTCAAAGAGACCAGAAAAAAGGGCTGAATGATGAATGCCTTTAACAAAATTTTAAAGCATTCCACTATTTAGTACTATTTAGTACTATTTAGTACTGTAATTCTCATCAAATCTACCGTAATCGTGCACCCATCACCATTGAAACCGTTGCTCGTCGACATCACAAAGTTCGCGTCCGGCGTGAACTCACAATACGTCTAAAAGTGAGTAAATAAAGGAAATAACTATATTTTTAAAAAAATAATAACATTCTCAGAATACTATTTATACATAAATTTGAACTTTTTTCTTTTTTTTTGTTGCTTTCAAATATTTCTATTTGCTGTGTCAATATTTATAGGAATTTTTGAGCTCGCAGATCGTTTAACTCTCTCAAAATTAAACAAAACAATTAAACAAAACAATTTTCAAGAAAACACTGCATAGAAGTTAAAAGAAACTCAATTTTCTAGATTTTTTTTTGCATTTCATTCAATTTGATGTTAAAAAAAACGAAACTTGATCACCAAATTTCATCAAAAAATCAAACCGCAGTTTTTTTGTTTGTTTAACGATCAGAAAATCTTCACTATTTAACAATTTTCGAATCTACGAGACATTAAAAATGTTAGAATCACATTTCAGTTTTGTTTTTTTTTCAAGAAAGCTTAATGAGAGCTTGTGACAAACTCAATTGAGGCAATCATTTTGAAAAAAAGTAACTTAAAGTTGTTCACGTTTGGCGTATTGATAAGTGTATTTCATTGCACTTGTACATTGCACCTGTACATTGCACCTGTACATTGCACCTGTACATTGCACTTGTACATGGCACTTGTACATTGCACCTGTACATTGCACTTGTACATTGCACCTGTACATTGCACCTGTACATTGCACTTGTACATTGCACTTGTACATTGCACCTGTACATTGTACTTCATTGTACTGTTTCATTCATTAGCTAAACTTGTACAAAATGAGCTCTAAACTTAGTAATCTACTAGTACAAAAGATTTTGAAATTCTAAAAGACGCCTTTAATTTCTGCGTAGCTGCCCAGGCAAATGCAATCGTTCGGCAGCTACGCCAGGGATTTCAGGCACGTTTTAGAATCGTTAAATCGAAATTTTTTCGTTCAAAACGAATCATTGAATCAAGCTATTGAACACCGTTGATTTAACGATTTATTTTGAACTAAAAATTTCGATTTAACAATCCATCTGGATTCGTGAACAAAACCATTCACGAGTCGGTTTTCTATCTTCACGATTGTGAAGACCCGACTCCTTAAAACCCGACTCCCGACCCAATTCTTAAAACGGCTGGGGGAGACTCAAGATATTAGTGCGATCTTTGAAAGTATTTTATTGAGATTTCAAAAAAGAATCCTTTCGACTATCGCCTACGATTTTTCACCTGTATGTGCATCTTTCGTGGATACGTTTGCACGGCCTCCAACGATCTTGTGTCCCAGATTCTAAAAATCCAAAAAATTAACTTGAAATACGATTTTAAAGAAGGAAAAAACACCTCTTCTCTAAGTTTCTTTAAATTTCTTTAAGTTCTTTAAGTTCTTTAAGTTCTTTAAGTTTAACCTTCCACCTCAAATACTTGTCTTCTGAAGACTGAGCGATCCAGTTGTTCATCGAGTTGTAGGCCATGTGAGTTACCTGAACGAGTAAACTAACGAGTAAACTAACTAGTTAAAAGGTAGTTGTTTACGTTAAAAGTTAAAAAAACTAGTTAAAAGGTAGTTGTTTACGATTTTTAACATTTTATTTATTGCAAAAATTTGATTGTTAATTGATCGTAAAGTTGAAAATTCTCACCAAATTGCGATTTGTGTCATTTTGCATTAACACTTTCCCCGTCTCGAGATCCCATATCCGAATCGATGTATCGCGTGAACCCGAAGCGAAACGATCCTCTAAACAATTACTTTATCGATTAAAGAATCACAAATCGAAACACATAGAATAGAATCATAGAAAAGAATCATAGAAAAGAATCGAATAGAAATCACAGATAAACTAGATTCTAGCATTTGTTTTTTTTAAATACCGACTGGGGCTACCAGTGGTCAATTTATCGCATACACGAAATATATCAATCACAATACAACGACACACACAATACTAGGCTATATCTTAACTTAACCCACGTCATGACAGACGGCTCCCTAACCCTAAGCTCAATGGGGAACTAAATAGCTTTTTTGGTGGTGAAGGGAAGATGACGATGAAGGAGTGGCTTGTCACTTTAAAGAACTGGGGCCACAACCACCAGACTGCCCTCCAGAAAACCTCTCAACCCGAAGGGAAAGGAAATCCGAAGGGGGTGACCATGTCGCATGTGGGGTTCGAACCCTCGACCTTCCGATTAAGATAAAAGACACTTATTTTGTTTGTAGACACTTTTTTTTGTATTTTCTAATAATAATAATAATAATTAGGACATTAATCAGAGTTTTTTTTAAAAATTAATTTAAATTAATTTAATTTAATTAGAACATTAGTCAGAACTTCAAGTCAGAGTTTTTTTTATTTTTTATAGAATTTGGTTTAAAGAATGATCCTGATTATTGCATTGTGTTATCAGTAAGTTTGCATAAAACTTACGATCAAAAATAACAAGTCCTGTAACGGGCAACCGATGTCCCTTGTACAATTTCTGCGATTCGGCGGTGTTGAATTGCCATAAACGGATCGTTTCATCGCGCGACGCCGAAAGGACAAGATGTCGGCCACCGGTGTTACGGTAGGCTACCTGAAAGTAAATAGTTTCAAAAAAAAGAGTAATCGGTGGCAATCACGTGTCGGTGTAGCTCATTGGTAAAGTGTTCGACCGGTAAGCGATCGCGAGTTCGAATCCCGGCGCCGACCACCGTTTTGCAAAAGGTGTGTCCAGCTAAGACAAGGGATCTGTTTCACGTTTCATTGTACTTCATTGTACTTGTACATTGCACTTGTACATTGTACTTCATTGTAATGTTTCATTCATTAATTAGACATGTACAAAATGAGCTCTAAACTTAGTAATCTACTGGTACAAAGATTTTGAAATTCTAAAAGACGCCTTTAATTTCTGTGTAGCTGCTCAACCAAATGCAATCGTTGGCCTACGAACTGCCCAGCCAAATGCAATCGTTGACCTACGAACTGCTCAGCCAAATGCCAATCGTTGGCCAACTGCAATCGTTGGCCAACTGCAATCGTTGGCCAACTGCAATCGTTGGCCAACTGCAATCGTTGGCCAACTGCAATCGTTGGCCAACTGCAATCGTTGGCCAACTGCAATCGTTGGCCAACTGCAATCGTTGGCCAACTGCAATCGTTGGCCAACTGCAATCGTTGGCCAACTGCAATCGTTGGCCAGCCACGCCAGAGTTTTCAGGCACGTTTTAGAATCGTTAAATCGAAATTCTTTAAAAGAGTAATCGGTGGCAATCACGTGTCGGTGTAGCTCATTGGTAAAGTGTTCGAACGGTAAGCGATCGCGGGTTTTGAATCCCGGCGCCGACCGCCGTTTTGCAAAAGGTGTGTCCAACTAAGGTTCAACTAAGGTCCAACTAAGGTCCAACTAAGAGAAGGGATCTGATTCACGTTTCAAAACTTAATTCAATGAAACTGATCCTCGTTTGAAAGACGAATATTTCCAACTTGTACATGAATCAGATCCCTTGTCTTAGTTGGACCTTAGTTGGACCTTAGTTGGACACACCTTTTGCAAAACTTGCAACTCACCTTTGTCACCTCCTTTTCGTGTCCTCTCCATCGCATAATACTCTCGCCGACATCGAGATTGTTCAACGAGATTACCTATTTGAAAATCTTTTTTTTTTTTGAGAATTTCTTAATAACTGACTTTATCTTTACTTCCCGATATCAACATTCCCGGTCGAACAGCTGCTAGGGCGGCTAAAAAAAGATTTTCGAGATTCTATGCTGCTTTATCTTTTTTTTGCATACAAATATTGTCAATATGCGGTGAGGGTTTCCTTTTTGGTTGACGGCAATTGTAGGCTGAAGCCGATTTGAGTAATCTGAAACAAGGAGTTGAAAACTAGAATTTAAAAAACAAAAGTAATAGTCCAGCTTTTAGCAAGAACCCCGCCAACTATTTCATATCTTAATTCGTTTGTTCTGGGCACACAGAAATGTTCTGAGCTTGGAAATCAAAAGAAGATAGGCTTTGTTGTCTTTTTTTGTTAGAAAAGATAAATTCAAAAGATTTTTTGATGATTTTTGATGATTTTTGATGAATTTTGATGAATTTTGATGTGTTTATTTGTATAATAATTTAAAGATACTCAGCTATTCAATGAATCTTTTATCTCTTTATCTCTTTATCGGGGGTGGGACAAATGCGATCTTTTTTTTTGCGCACCTGGACATTTGCGCACCTTTTTTTTTGCTGGAAAAGGCCTTAGGAAAGGTCGTAGAGCTTCAAAAATATTTCCATATGGAGGAATCGTATGCGTAGATTCCGAATTTCGACAAATCAGACCGCGGAAAAAAACTTGAAACCGCGGAAAAGCGTTAAGTTGCGTAGTTTTTGCCTTTTAGCCCAAATTTGACGTGTCAGCGAGGTCTGATTTGTCGAAATTCAGAATCTACGCATACGATTCCTCTATATGGAAATATTTTCGAAGCTCTACGGCCTTGTCTAAGGCCTTTTCCAGCAAAAAAAAGGTGCACAAAAAAAGGTCGCATTTGTCCCACCCCCTTTGATGTATTTATTTATATAATAATTTAAAGATACTCAGCTATTCAATGAATCTTTTATCTCTTTATCTCTTTATTTTCTTTATTACCTCGGCGAAATGAGCTCACTCGGGTCAGCTGTTTGCAGTTGGGAATACTGTGAGTTACCCATTCTAAAAATGATTTATAAAAGAACAAACGGTTACAAAAAAAAGCAATAAATAGACCTTAAAAAAGACACAGAAATTTTTAAAACTTTTCACGATAGGAAGAAAAGAAAGATCTCTAAATAGTAGAGTGAAGGGAGCTGATCAAAAATGCAAATATCGCTACTCGAGTCTTTCCCCTTGCTTGATGTGTGTTTCTTTGCAAAACACGAAAACACACCCTTTCTCATACACTAAATTCTTTGCTTTTTATGTCATCAGATGACGTTTTTGTAAGATAAGAAGAATTCAATGCACTAGAAAGGGTACGTTTCCAGTTTCCACATGGTACACAAGCAAATGCATTTGAACATACATTTAAATATGCATTTGTAGCAATTTCGTGAAAGAATTTACAATATTTCCATATCAAAATGAAGCATCTTGGTATTGAGCTTTACAATTTAAATAGTTTTTATACCAATCGACAGAGAAAGAATTGGTGCGTCTAATGATGTTAAGAATATTTAGATTGAATGACAATCGAACTTTGAGCTCAAATATCTTAGTGTTGGGCTTTTCGTGATGCAAGTACAGAAATCGGGAACACGGTATTCGAATTAAGTCTTAGTGCGTGGAAAAGAAGCGTGGCGCGTATCAAATCATTGGGAAAAGGTTTTACTTAAGTAAAACAAGAACAGAACAATAGATAGATTCAGGCCTGCTTTAAACCTTTTCCCAATGATTTGATACGCGCCACGCTCCTTTTCCCATTGGCAATCCAACTTTAAGCTCAAATATCTTGGTGTTGAGCTTTTCAATTTAAATAGTTTTTATACCAATCGACAGAGAAAGAATTGGTGCTTCTAATGATATTAAAAATATTTAAATTGAATGACCCAACATCAAGATATTTGAGTTCAAAGTTAGATTGTCAATGGGAAAAGGAGCGGGGCGTTTATTAAATGTTCGATAAGCTTTTCTAACAATTAGTTCGTGTACTTTCTAACAATTAATTCTTATAGGCTAGGCTAGACACATGTTTGGAGTAAAGTCAGCTTCAGTTTTGGGCCAAAAAAAATGATCCTAACAAACTTTTATATATTGTGCTTTGATAAAGAAAATGTATTCGATAAAACCAAAAACCAGGATGTGTAAAAAGTTTGAGTTAAAGTTGTTTCGAAGCTAACTTTTCTCTGCTCTAATACTACAAAAGTTTTTCAGTCAACAGAAACACACTTTTAAGCTTTAAAGAAAGAGATAAAGAAGTGAAGTTTTGAAAAAAAATAAAAGAAAAGAAGAAAAGAAAGCAAGAAGACAAGAATAAAAGGAAACAAGAATAAAATAAAATAAGAATAAAAGAAAACAAGAATAAAAGAAAATAAGAATAAAAGAAAACAAGAAAGCAAGAAAAAAAGAATATAAGAAAACAAGAAAACAAGAAAGCAAGAAAGCAAGAAAACAAGAATTAAAGAAAACACAAGCTTCAACAAAAGTAACAAAAGGTATTCGAATTAAGCCTTAGTTTAAGTAAAACAAGAACAGATCAAAAGCTAGATTCAGGCCTACTTTAAACCTTTTCCCAATGCGCCACGCTCCTTTTTCCATTCGCAATCCAACTTTAAGCAAGCTCAAATATCTTGGTGTTGGGCTTTTCAATTTGAAATAATTTTTATACCAATCGACTAGATTAACTAGAGTAAAAGATGAGTGACATTAAAAACTCGGATTTTGAAAATCAAAATGCTTTCAAAAGCTTTATGTCACATGTTTTGACGCATAAAGGGCAAAAGAAAGATTTTTGTGAATGGGGATATTGGCTTCAAGGGGGAATGGAAGGAATCAAATGGGCAGAGGGGAAAGCTCTGTCTCTCAGTGACCATGGAAACCGACTTTCTATCCGCATTCACTCTTTCCCCCCTCCCACCTTTTTCTCTTTACCAATCTCTGTCTCTATATTTGGAACGTTAAATTCAGAGAAAATACTTATAGGAAACAGTGAAATCTTTTAAAAACGACTAGCTGTAGGTAGTTCAATGTTGACTAGTTTAATGTTGACTAGTTCAATGTTGACTAGTTCAATGTTACGACTAGTTCAATGCTGACTAGTTGAATGTTACAACTAGTTCAATGTTGACTAGTTGAATGTTACGATAATGTTAAAGAACAGTTTGTTCCTCTAGTCAACTGTATTTTCTAAAACAAGCCAAGTTTTTAAAAATATCGTAATCTTGTTCATACTTTTATCTTTTATCTACTGGCTCTTATAATTCATTCGCAAAGGACAAACAATTGTAAATACCAAAAGCCTTCTGTTTTTCAAACTTTTTACAATAACCCGACAAAACGTTTTATTTCAAGGACACAGAGATTTGGAAAAATTGCGCTTCTTGAATGAAACGATGATTTCTCTAGATGGGTCCCATGTAGCAAGAAACATCAGTGCGAGGCTTGGTCACTCCGGGGGGAAGCTGTTGCTTTTGTTGTTGCTGTTGTTGTTGTTGTTGTTGTTGTTGTTCACCGCCACCACCGCCCGATTGCTGTTGTCCTCCTCCAGCGGCACCACCGTATGCGTATTCCTCACTAAATGAAAAGAAATTATCAAAAAGAATAACGATATAAAAATAAACAACTTAATAATAATAAGAAAGCAATCAAAATAAGGTAAAGTAAAAAGTGAAAACAGAAGAGGCCAATCGGAAGACCAGCAACGAGGTGGAGCACAAGAGTGCACAATAGGAAGACGCAGCTCGACCAAGACCTAAGAAGTACGGATATGCGCCAGCTCTCGGGACTCAGAGATCCAGTGGATGTGATCGAGAGAAAAAGACTCAGATGGGCCGACCACGTAGCCAGAAGAACAGACGACAGATGGACGATACGGATCACACAGTGGCTACCACGAGACCAGAAGAGGCCCATCGGAAGACCAGCAACGAGGTGGAGCACAAGAGTGGCAGGGATGGTCAGAGAAAGGATGGCTAGAGTGCAACCACCAGCACAAGCAAGTCGAAGACTTCGAACCAGGAACAACCAAGATAGGAAACACTGGATGACAATAGCAAGGGATAGAGAAATGTGGAAGCAGGTTGTGATCTGCGCAAATAGGAACACCTAAGTGCGAAGACAGATCAAAAAAAAGAGTGAAAAGGTCTCAACGAGCATATCCATTTCCGGCAGTCGATCCTCCGCAATAGGCTCCAACTCCCATGTAGGCCGCATTTGTCCCACCCCCATTTTGCGGCATTCTTTAAAGTCAAATAACGAACAAAATAAGTTCTTTTCATCTAAATTTTGATCTTTCTTTTAGATAAACTTCTCTTAATCTTTAGTTTAAAAATATTTATTATAGGTAAAATTTTGAAAAACACATAGAAATCACCGAGGAGAATCAATGCGATGGGCGATATGAAATTGGGAGACAACAATGAGCAATTGTATTGGAGATTATTTGCACAAGAAAAAAAAATCGGTACAAGATCAACAGTACATTATAAATTTGCATACCGTAAAAACTCTAATAGAACTTTTCTAAGGCCTTTCTAAGGCTTTTCTATTTCTAGCCTCAGAACCTTTCTAAGGCCTTTCTATTTCTGCCTTAGAACCTCTCTAAGGCTTTTCTATTTCATTATTTCATTATTTCTAAGGCTTTTCTATTTCTAGCCTCAGAACCTTTCTAAAACCTTTCTATTTCATTATTTCATTATTTCTAAAACCTTTCTATTTCTATTTCTATTCCAACCCCTCAAAATCGGCCGGTCAAACAAAGTAGGTAAAAGGGTCGGTCAAAGGGTCGGTCAAAGGGTCATGAATCAAAAATTTATATTTCTTTTCTTGAAAACTATTTAAAACGAAAGCCCTTTGCTTAGAAAATATATAGAAAAGGTTTTAGAAAGCAAATATTTCAATATTTCCTTAACCAGAGCCTCCAGAAATTTTCCTGAACAAATCCCTGTGCCCCTGTCGATTTTTTCTAGAAATTTTGAAAACTGTCCAACCAATTTTACTGCCGATAATATATTTTTATTTTTATAATATTATAATACTATTTTTAGCATATTTATGCCCAACTCGATCTATTTATCTATTTATAATATTATAATACTATTTTCTATTTATCTATTTATCTATTTATCTATTTATAATATTGTTATACTATTTTTAGCCCAACTCTATCTATTTGCGTCAAAAAATGTCTCAATAAATCGAGATTTTGAAGGGAGCCGTTCTATTAGAGTTCTATTAGAGTTCTATTAGAATTTTTAACGGTAATTCGCAACCAGTGCGCAGTGTTTTTTTTTTGGGAAAAGCAAGGACTAATTTCGTTTTCTAAAAGATGGAAAAGCTTTGGATTTGGAAAAGCTATCGTAATCTTTTGAGCTTTCAATCTTTATCCCATTGACAGTTTGGTTCCTTATTGAATGAGGTTAAAATTCGGAAAATCGATTTTATGTAGGGTAGAGAAAGATTCCTGATTACTTTTCCAAGTAATTCATCTTTTAGAAAACTCAATCTAATAGGTAAATGCATGAGAAATGCGGATTTCAACATTTTCATTTTCACATTTTTTTTTCATCTTCATCAACATTAAATTTCCAACGATAGAAACGTGATATCGATGAATGTTATAAACTATTTGAAAGTTGTAAATCTCCTCTACAAAATCGGCTAAGACGCTTTTCAATTGATCGAAGCATTGAAGAAATTTCGAGGCCCAAATGCGAGTGACCAAAAAAAAGGAATAGAGTCATTTTAGAGACAAGTTTAGTGTGGTCAAAATAGAGTTAGCTTCCCAAAATTGAAGATTTAAAAAAAAGGATAACTATATATCAATTCAGCAAAAAAGTCTAATGGAAATGCATTTACAGAAATGACCAAAAAAAGGGCACTTTTTGAAAACCCCACTTTCACAAGAGTTCGGTTTTGACTATATAGGGGAAAATGAGCGCCCTAAAATCATTATCCTAAAAATATCATTCAAAATAATTAAGTGTTGGGATCATTTCATGGGGAAACTTTTGTTTTTACAATAATTTTTCTTTTTTGTGAATTGATCAATTGATCGAAGCATTGAAGAAATTTCGAGGCCGAAATGCGAGTGACCAAAAAAAGGGAATCGAGTCATTTTAGGGACAAGTTTGATTGATTTTGACCACACTAAATTGGATTTGGAAATTGATGAAAATGTTGAAATCCGCATTTCTTATGCCTTTTTACCTAATAATAGATTTTAAAAGAAAAAGAAAATAAAAATAGAACTCTTGTGAAAGTGGGGTTTTCAAAAAGTGCTCTTTTTTGGTCACTCGCATTTGGGCCTCGAAATTCCTTCAATGCTTTGATCAATTGAAACACGTTTTAGCCTATTTTGTAGAGGAGATTTACAACTTTCAAATAGTTTATAACATTCATCGATATCACGTTTATATCGTTGGGAATTTATGAAAATGTTGAAATCCGCATTTCTTATGCCTTTTTACCTAATAATAGATTTTAAAAGAAAATAAAAACATGATTAAATCAAATAAATTTTAAAAGTAAATATAGAAAAGAAAAAAAACATAGATAAATATAATATAATAAGTTATTTTTATTAGAATCTACTTTAATTTAAGGTTATCGATTCCTAATTGCGAAAATTTGAATTCAATAAAAGAAAACATATTTTAAGGTTATTGCTTTAAAGGTGAAGAATCGGTACACCATAAAGTGGTGCCTTTCTAGAGCACAAAGTATGCGTTAAAAGTCAAAAGCGCATTCTCGGTTGCACATAGGGAACTCGAGAAGGATTCGAGCGAGCTCGTCGCCGATTTTCGCGTCGAATCGTTTGCTTTTCTTCTTGCTGACGATAGAAATCCCCGCTAGGCCATCGAAATTGTGTGGTGCTGATTTTGAGTTGCTCTCGAGATGGCCTGCCCAGCGCGGTGTTTCGATGGGATTGCATGTGAGCGGTGAGGGGTGGAGTCGTCTGAAGGGGATTCATTGGGTTTAGAAAATTGATTTTCAAGTACCAAGTACCAAGTAATGTGTACATGGAATCTATAAGAACATCAATATCAATTTAAACTTTAACATCAACTTTAACTTCAACCTAAACTTCAAGTTAAACTTCAACTTCAATCTAAACTTCAAGTTAAACTTAAACTTCAACATCAACTTCAACTTAAACTACAACTTAAACTTAAACATCAACTTCAACTACAACTTAAACTTAAACTACAACTTAAACTTCAACTTAAACTACAACTTAAACTTAAACTTCAACTTAAACTTAAACTACAACTTAAACTTAAACATCAACTTCAACTTCAACTTAAACTTCAAGTTAAACTTAAGCTTCAACTTCAACCTAAACTTCAACCTAAACTTCAAGTTAAACTTCAACTTAAAAACCGATCCAAATACGTTTCCTCTCCAGAAAGCTCCAATTCTAACTGTAGCTCTTATTAATACAGAACAATATTAACTATTATCTTAATATGACCCTGTTTTATAAAGTCTATTGCCTTGAACTGTGCCTGGGTGGATGCGAGCGAGGCTGTTCGGTCTTGTAAAAAAGACAACTCTTACTGTCGATAATAAAGTTCTTATTGTAACTCTTGTCCAGTATTCCACCAAAAGCTAATATGTTTTAAGATATTCAGTTAATAATGTTGAATATTTTGAGTTTTGATTGAAGCACTTAACACATTCAAAGTACATTTTGAAGTACTTGACAGATTCAAATGCGATGCTACAATGCGATGCGATGCAATGCTACAATGCAATGCGATGCGATGCTACAATATTTCTCACCACTTTTCAGAACTTTTTTTTGATCGATTAGGCTAAAAATATTTCTATTCTAGAGTTTTTAGAGTCAAAGAATTCGAATCCGACATTATTAACTTGACTAAAGTAACTCCTAATTTCGGAAATAGTAGTGATCCGTATGTAATGTTGGATCTCTCCTTAAATGAAATTGGTTCCAGGCATTTAATCAATTATGAATCAATATTTTACAGAAAATGTCGGGTCGACTTTTGGATAATTGAATCGGCTTGAAAAAGCGGTTTTTGGATAAGAAAAGTCTAGTTTTTTACAACGGATTCGAATTCCTCACCCTCGAAAACCCCCTAAGTACAAATTTGGCAGGCACTTTTGAATAGTTGACCCTATAGTACGGAGTATTACTGTTTCTGGTAGTATGCTTGTGAAAAGGTAGTACTGAATTCGAATTCCTCGCCGTCGAAAACCCCGAGGTGCTAATTTTAAGTCGAAAATGGCTTTGTCGTGAACGTTTTCAAATAGTGACTTGAAGTGTAATAGAAATTCAGCTTTGTTAATTGAATATTTGTTATGATTACTTTAATGCTACATTAAACTTAACGTTGGCTTTACAGCTTTATAATTACCGTAAATACTGTAATAGTACCCCACTCCCATAATGACGGTGCGGAGTGTTGCGTAGTCTAGCTTTGAACGAGTTTTTCTCGACACTGGTTTATGCTACAATGCGCGCTTAGGTATCAAAAAATAGCTGAAATTCAGGGCTATTTTTTGATACCTAAGCGCGCATTGTAGCTTAAACCAGTGTCGAGAAAAACGCGTTCAAAGCTAGACTACGCAACACTCCACGCCGTCATTATCTTTGGTATCAAAAAATAGCCCTGAATTTCAGCTATTTTTTGATACCAAAGACGCATTTTTTGAAAGTACGGGCGCTTTGAAAAATGATGAAATACGAAAAAACTTTTGCGACTACGCGACTGTACGAGGGGGGTTGGGGGGGGGGTATTACAGTTTTTACGGTAGGTTTTGATGTATTTTCTTTTCTCAATACTTCTCTCTTTTTATTACAGTATTTACGGTATATATTTTGAAATAAAAACCTAAAAAGAATCTTTTTCTTTCTTCAACTCACCACCAGCTTACCTGCTTTGATTGGTGACTTGAATTTGACTTTTTGAGAGTAAAAATCATCGATCAATTGGTAGCACAAATATATTGAAAAGAGAAATTATTCAACGAATTATTGTTTTTGGGGAATCACTGAAGAAATGGTTAGTGGATTTGGGAAAGAAATGAAAAATTGACGATGAAACTTACATTGGCGAGACTGGCAGCTCGTGGAAGAGGTTTAGTGGACGTGGACGATTGTTCCACGGTGTTTGGGCTTCTAAAAGAAGCGATAGTACAATACACTACTACATTACAGTACCTATTATTAATAAAGAACAATATTAACTATTATCTTTAATATGTCTCTGTTTTATAAAGTCTATTGCCTTGAGCTGTGCCTGGGTGGATGCTGTTCGGTCTTGTAAAGGTTAAAGGTACTTCAGATAAAGTACTTCAGATAAAGTACTTCAGATAAAGTACTTCAGATAAAGTACTTCAGATAAAGTACTTCAGATAAAGTACTTCAGATAAAGTACTTCAGATAAAGTACTTCAGATAAAGTACTTCAGATAAAGTACTTCAGATAAAGTACTTCAGATAAAGTACTTCAGATAAAGTACTTCAGATAAAGTACTTCAGATAAAGTACTACCTTCCTTACTGTACTTATCAGTTTGTTTGACATCAAATAATCAACTACTTTTTAAATATCTTTAAAATCATTTGTTTTTTGATAGCTTTAACCGTTTTTCTTAAAAATCCAAATTGTGACGAGTACTTTTTCTTTGAGCCTCTGTATCTCAGTCTAGAGATGAGATTAAAGAACGTTTTTAGGCTCAAAAGAAAGCCCAGAGTCTTTAGATTTCAAATATAATATTAGTTTTTGAAAATGATTGCATTTTGAATTTTAAAAATCAAAAAAACTGAGCGCGACTTGGAGAAAAATGGCCGAGTGGCCGGGTGGGCTGATGGCTGAGTGGCCGAGTGGTCTAAGGCGCCGATCACCAATCCAACCGGCCACCAACAAGGGATCAGGTTCGACTCCACTTGGCGCCAATTCTTTTGCATTTTTTTGACAAATGTTTTTTCCATTATATTAAAATTATTATTTAGATTCAGATCAGATGCATTACAGTACTTAGCAGCAAAGCAAAGCAAGCTAATGTTTACAATCTCTCTCTTCGGTATCAAAGCTATTTACACCAATTAGACTATGGGGAATTCTTGATGCTCAAAAGAACTCCCAGAAATTAAGAATTGCACCAGAAAGGGTGTGTTTCGATTAGCACAAAGTAGGCTATATGAATGCCTTCCTTACCGTTGACCATCTCGACTTGCCACAGATCGAGCATCTTTCGGGGTACGAGCTTCCAAAAATGAATCATCGTCAGACATTAAACTGAAGAGGTTTTTAAAATAATCTCATCTTCTCATCATTCTTACGGTGGTGGTCCATCTTGTATCATATTGTACTTTTTCCCGCGAGCATACATTCCCAATTGTTGAGCAGTTGGGGAAAGTTCGGGCTCCAATTGGTCGTCATTTCTGAAAGATATCGAATTATTATCAATAATAGCTGAACAGCAAACAGCGAGTTTTTCACGATATTTTGAGACCGATATGGGACCGTCGCCGTTACTCAGTCGGCAGCGCGCTTCTCTACCGCCCAGCCTACCCGGGCTCGAACTCCCGTAATGTCGGATGTTTCACCAAGCTTTACTTCTTTAAAAATTTTGTTTTAAATAACACAATTACAATATATTCTAAGGTTTTCTAAAGAAGTTCTTTGTTGGTCAAAACACAGCCGAGAAAATCCCGGTACGGACAGACGGACGTACAGGCGGACGGACAGACGGACTGACAGGCGGACTGACAGACGGACTGACAGACGGACTGACAGACGGACTGACAGGCGGACTGACAGACGGACTGACAGACGGACTGACAGACGGACGGACAGACGGACTGACAGGCGGACTGACAGGCGGACGGACAGACGGACGGACATACGGACTGACAGGCGGACTGACAGACGGACTGACAGGCGGACTGACAGACGGACTGACAGACGGACTAACAGGTGGACGGACATATGGACGGACAGAAACTGCTCTTTTATAAATAGTAGATTTTTTAAAAACTCACCTCAATAGATCATGTAGATGTTCGACAATTCTCTCAATGACTCGAGCTCTTAACTCTCGTCTTTCATCCGGTTTCATCTCATTTCCCGTATTTTCAATCTCGTAATCAGATTCCAGCAACTCGAACACGTAAGATGCAACTTTTTTAAACTAAAATTTAACAAAATTACAAACGAATTTAAAAGAAGCCCCAGCTACAGTAGCCCCAGATATCTTTGCTCTACGTTAGCTGATGTTATGGCAATCTGTATGACCTCACTACAATGACAATTGGGCTACTGTAACTGTTGTTACGAGGTACGGGAACCGAGTCATGCTTTAAGGCTTTTATCAGAATCTTTCACCTCAATTTCTCCAGCTTCCATCTCGGCGTTGAGATCGCCTGATGTCAGATCGCAGCCTTGATAGCAACTAAATCTTTATAAATATTCGATTTTAATAGATATTCGAACTGTATTGTTAGAGCTATTTATGAAATATTAAAGCAATATTAAAGCAAGCAATTTCACTTACATATCCGGATTCCAAGCACCAAGTCTTTCCTCGAGATTGTCCTTGATATTGTACAATTCTCGGACTTGATCCGACAGCAATTGCAGCTCGGCTTTTGCGTCTAAAATTCTCCAATAAGCAGTACTGTGTTAATTTTCAATTTTTCAATTTCAATTCTTGAAAAACAAACCCGGCTCTTGGAAGTATTGCTCTTGACTTTCCTCTTCGGCTTCAGAACCGGATCGACTCGATAATCGAAGGGCTAAGGGTTCGATTTCTGGTGGTATCTAAAAAATGATGACTCAGATTCTATCCCAAGAACGGCAATCCCAAGAACGGCAATCCCAAGAACGGCAATCCCAAGAACGGCAATCCCAGGAACGGCAATCCCAAGAATGGCAATCCCAAGAACGGCAATCCCAAGAACGGCAATCCCAGGAACGGCAATCCCAAGAACGGCAATCCCAGGAACGGCAATCCCAAGAACGGCAATCCCAAGAACGGCAATAGATTTCCCCTTTTTTGTTCAATTTTAAACCCAAACCTTTACCTCTTTCTCTTCCTCAGATTCTTGTGGTGAGAAAACTTCGTTATTCGAATCGCGATTCTCCTTTTCTTCATCGTCAGACTCTGGTGGAGTGCTTCTTGCAGAAAGGATTCTAAAAACAATCCAGTTACAGTAATCTGATTCATGCTTACCTCACGATCTCATCCGCTTCGACTTCTTCTTTCGTAATCTCCGGATCTGGTGAGGCTTTTCTTTTCTCTCTTCTTTCCGTATTTGTTAAATCGTACGGATCATAGCCTTGGCTTGAGATACGCGATCGATTTGAGCCTTCCTAAGGTTGTTTTTGGTTTACTAAATATATAATTGCACACTAATCTGTTTCTCTTGAGCTAAGAGACTGTAAGACTAAATTTTTGAAATTTTAGGAGCTTTATGTGGCTTATTAATGTCCATAGACACTTTAGAAAGCTTAAAAATTGATTTTTATAACTTAACTTGTAACTGTTTGTAAGGAAAAAAGAATTGACAGTAGGAGGGATCGAATCAGGGCTTCGGGGAAGTGTTTGGTCGCCTGACGTCCTATCGTACTATCGTACTATAGTACGATACTATCCCCTAGGCTATCGGGATAATTTCAAACGAAAGTAATTCGGGTCTATATCATCAAAAAAGAATTGACAGTAGGAGGGATCGAACCAGGGCGTGGGGAAGTGTTTGGTCGCCTGACGTTCTATCGTACTATCCCCTAGGCTATCATAATTCCAAAGGAAAGTAATTCGGCTTTATATCATCAAAAAAGAATTGACAGTAGGAGGGAAAGTTTTTCCAAAACTTCAAAAGCGTTTTTGATTAAAAGACTAAAAGTTACCGTAATCCAATTGTCTAGAAAGTTAACGTAAGTCAATGAGCTAACTTAAACCATGATTTCCAAAGGATTACATGGAAAGAAAGGCTTTCTTGTCTAGTAAACTAAAAATTCCAGTAACCTTTTCCTTTTAGTGCACCACATTTTAGAATTTCAAAAGTTCAGAAGAACTCTAAACTTTAGATAAAACACACCTGACTATGTGATGTTGAGAGCCCTGGACTTTCCTTGATTGGACTCAAAATGTCGATGGATCCATTGTGATTCCCGTCATTTCCCTCCTCTCCACTCTTTTTCGTCTCATCTGTGCCTGCACTCTCAAAACTTTGACTTTCACCCAAATAGATGGCTGTTGTGCCGGTTTTCTCCGATGAAACGCTATTCTGCTCGTGAAGAGTTTTCACATTTTCGATTTCTTCTTCAATCTTTATCAATTCTGGCTCTTCGATAAGCGCGGATAAATCGTGGTGATCGTTTTCGGAGTTGATTGTGGCTCTGGAATGAGATTTTCAATTGTGATTCTAGGTATCGTGCTTTTAGGTATTCTAGGATAACACAGCCGAAAGCTAACAATTTGAATCCTTATGTTTAGTGAACAGTGATCTTCCAAGAATAGGATCTAAAGCCTATAAACCTAGTCAGAAGCCAGGTCAAGGGTCAATGGGTAGTTCTACAGTAGGTCAGCCGATCTGGCTGGTCTACTGTAGTGGTCTTACTGACCAGATCAGTACTGTAGATCTACTGTAGGTCTTACTGACCAGATCAGTAATGATAAGAAGACAACCTAGAGTTTATAAAATAGGCAAGAACCCTGTAACAAACAGCATAGGCCTAAAATTAGCTTACTAGGTTTAGAAGTAAAAAAATGAATAGGTTCAATCGATTCCCCGACTCTGAAAGCTCCTGGGTACAAATTTACAGCTAAATATCGTCTTTTTCTCATCGGCAAAGCAAAAGAATCCCTATGCAAATGACTGGCGAGGTATTCTTTGTGCGCCCGCGTAATCGCTCGCCGTCGAGCGCACGTCTCTGATAGATATCTTTTTGGAAACCGATATTACAAATCTTTGCACTCACTTTGAATCAAGAGACACCCCATCAGCGCTCGTCGATGAGCTCTTCTTCCTCTCCACTAAATCGCAATCCAAATGACTCGATGCACTGATCTTTCTTTCATCGTTGAGTTCATCAATATGTTTCTCGGCTTCCTCTTGTACTTTTTCGAGTACCTCGTCAACGAGTGGAGCAGCCAATTCACGAGCTGATCCCTCATTTTCATTTTTTTCCTGAATTTCTTCAAATTCTTGTTCGGCCGATTCATTCTCAATGACTGTATTCTGATCATCTTCTTGTGTTTCTTCAAGTTCTTCCATTTCTGAAGGGATTTCTTTGTTCGGCAAGCTTTCAGGCTCACATTCTTCACTTTGAATCAAATCGGCTTCAGACTCGGGATCGACGGGTGGGAGTACCTGGAAATGAAATCAATTTCTGAATTTGTTTCGAAGCAATTGCTCTAACCACTGAGCTATCCGGTATCTTAACTTGTCAAGAGAAAGAAGTTTATACGATGAATTCAGTGTTCAAATCTGCTTTCTCAGCTGTACTAGACTTTGATAACAGAACTTCAAGCCAAATCTCAAATTTTGATGGCCCACGTAAACTTGTACCTAGCGCATGCACTTCTCTAACTTTTGCCATAAATGAGAACACAAATCAGTGCACTAGATGGCAAATGTTTGTACGAAGATTAGAGTCGGCTAAGTCTAAGATTAGAGTCTTTTCCAGCTGACCTGTCTGAGACTCCTCTGTGATTGGTTCCCTTCCTCATCCTCTTCCAAAATCGTTTCATTGATTAGACATGGAGATGATCCAAGTGGATCCAATCGACTCATTTCATTTGATTCAGGATCTTGTGGATCTCTTTGCTCTTCTCCATTTTCTTCTTCTCTTGGGCTCTCCTCGATTTCAGCTGTGTAACCGTTTCCGTGATCGTCGTTGGATACTGGAAATATTGTACTTGTAATGATGATAGTACTTTAGAAATTTACTGTATCTTTTCCAAATAGTACTATGCATTAATTATAAGTACTTAGATATCACATCCACTTAAAGTCCTCTTGATTAAACTCACATCCACTTAAAGTCCTCTTGATCCTTTGCAAAGGGTCAACAGCCGATTGGAGTCTTTCCTGCAGCAACTCCACATCTTTTTCGATATCCGATTTTTCCTAAAGTTTTTTTGTTAAATTTCTGTAGATTATATGCTTTTTCGTCAGCTCTTCTTTTTAATAATTCCCTCTCTTCAAAGTTCTTTGCAACTTTCCCTCACGGTACTTGTTTGCTATCGGTCTCGTAGCCATATTTAGCCTTAGATGAAGTTTAACACCCGCTTAAGGCTGCGTTCTCAGGCAACCCGACTCCGTTACCACTCGTACAGGACTTGCATCTTCGCTGGTCTATGACCCCAGTCAAAGGGACTTTGAGTAAGTGATGGCGCCGGATAGCCGCACCTATACGCTGCTTTTTAGTCAGCTCTTCTTTTTAATAATTCCCTAAAAACTCCCTAAAAACTGACCCTTTTTACCGTATCGAGTTGCGCCATCAGATCCTCGACGGTTTCATTCAAATTCGCGATCTCCGCCTCTCGATCGGCCACCAAACTGTTCAATTCGGTGATCTAAAGTTGGATAAGTGTTCTAAGGTAGGTCATTTAGATATTAGCTTCAATTTAGATATTTAAATCCAAAATTTACAAAACCTCTTGCTGCAACGAGGTGGTCAGATCTTTTTCAGCCTCCAACGCGATTGAGGCCTCATTCTAAAGGATTTTTGACAAAATACTTTATAATGTTAATTTTATCTTTTTTTAAAGAGAAATCTTTTCTAAAAATGTCATTCGAATTTCACAAACTTTTTCGAATTGAGCCATTTCCATGTGCTTTTTGAGCATCTCCATTTGATCGCCCATGTCGAGTTCGGGTGATGAGAGCTCTTGATCACTTTGGCGAACACTGGAAATGATTTAATAATTAGCTCAAGATATTGGATAATGGTTATTGGACATTTGAATATCTTTTACAGTAGATCTCACCTTGTCAATGGGATTTTTCGGAAACGATCACCACTTCCTCTTCTTTCACCGGCGCCAGTGAGCTTTCTGAATCTGCAAAATTCTGATCAACGATAGCTGTGTTTAAATAGATTTTGAAGCTTCGGCTAAAACTATTCCAATATAGAAAGTTAGGCAGTAGTACTGTAGCTCGGTAGTTAGTACGGTAAGTACTCTAAGTCAGTAGTTAGTACTCTAAGTCAGTAGTACGGTAGGTCAATTACAGGCATTACGGTAGACTTAGCATGGGTAGTAGAGTAGAGTACGGTAAGTCAGTGGTACGGTAAGTCAGTGGTACTGTAGGCACGGGTAGCAGGTATTGTAGATTAAGCCATAGATGTAGCTCATCACTTTTCCCAACACCAACCTGTATTACTCTGTCTCGCACTGTCTCCTGGTTGTTTTCCCTTTTTCTTCAGATCTTTCTCCAGTTCGGCATTTCGATTCTCTTCCTTTTGTTTCTTTATCTCCAAAGCGGCCACTCTCAACAATGGAGTCAATGATGGGGGTAACCAATGACGACCCATTCGATTGATTGCGAATTGCTCCTAAAAGGGATCTCTCAACGAATTAACTCCCTTCTCCTTCGCATGGGTTTTTATGAACCAATTTTATGGCGATACACGAACTAATTCCCTTTTGGCGTCTCTCTCGAGCCCACACAAAAGCCTTCCCTTTACCCCCACCACCAAGCGCAGTTGGTTCAGTGGTAGAATGCTCGCCTGCCACGCGGGCGACCCGGGTTCGATTCCCGGACTGCGCAAATATCTTTTGCTTTTTTGCGTTTAGTATTAGCAACATGTTTACTCTCAATTATTGTTAGCTCGTTACCTTTAGTGAATCGATAGCCTCGAGAAGGATCTCTGCTGAAAGACCGCGACTTCGAATCTCGTCCTGGAATTCGATATTTTGAGTTGAAATCATTTCTAGATTTACGATCATTATTTGACGGCTTGCAGCTTTTCAAAAAACGCAAAATGAAATTTTTAAGAAAGTATATTGATTCGACACGGATAATGAATTACAACACAATGGAGGAAAAAGCTAATTTTTACCCTTACAATTAGTTACCCCTATTACTATTACCCAAATGTTGTTAAGAAAAAAACCCATAAACCCATAATAATGCCAAAAAGGGAGCAATTTTTCTAGCCGCCGGGATCGAACCTTTGACCCCTCGACTAAGAGACAAGACTCCTATCCGGTCGGTCCGCTGAGATCGAACCTTTGACCCCCCGACTAAGAGACAAGACTCCTATCCGGTCGGCTACGACGGCCCTAGATTCAAATATTCAAAGAAAAGAAGTACGGAAAAATTTTCAAAGCACTTCTAACTCACTTATAAACCAAGTTGTGATACTTCTTTGTGAGGTGAAATCTCTTGCTGTTAGATTTCTGAACGAAAACCAACCCCAATTTGTCGACTCCATTGCGTGAAGACAGCACAGACACGGATACTTTCGCGAGCGATCGCCGCCGCATCGCGCACCACCGGCAACAACACCTCCAACTGATTGCACAGAAGCTAAAAAGTTGATTTCAAACTTGAAACATCCAAAAAATCAGTCTAAATTTGCATTTTAAATAAGCCTAATGCAAATTTGGATTTAAATTTCACAGCCATTCGCCTTTTCGCGTCTCACATTTCTCATTTCTTTTTTACGTCACTTTCTTTTTGTATTCGGCCTATTCAAAAAACGATATTGCCGTTTCATTCGCTTGCGGAATGCTTCAAAAAACGGGTAGATTTTTAGAATTTTATCTTAAAACGTTCCTGGTTTTGAACACGTAAAATAATTTTTTTTTCTTGATAATTTGCAGTTTGTTTTTGATTTCTTTTTTGGTTCATTCTAACTTTAGAACCCCATCGTCTTGCTTGTGGATTTGTGATCGACTCAAAGATTCCTCTATGGGCGGTTGGTTTTTTTTATTTTATTGCCGCTTATTTCAATGTTCTGGAGCTTTAAAGCTAATTGTAACCTCTTGTTTTGAAGTTTATTGAAAAAAATTTACATTATATAGGAATTTGTTGCTTATTTGAGTTGGTTGACCTTTGAGTTGGTTGAAAAGTTTACCATAAAGTGTATTGCTTGTTTTTCATTTATTAGAATTGCTTTTGTTTAGTACCGCGAAGAAGAGCGACTACTCGGAGCCAGTTTGACAGTGAATGCCGTTGAATGTGGTTCGTTTTTATCTTTATTTGTTAAACTTTTAAGCCAAAAAAATATCCGATCAGTCGGTTTAAAACATTTGATAAATTAACTATAATGACTCATCAAAAACCTTAGAACAAGACGTCGTCTACAAGGTGCGCGCGCACGGAGTGAAAGATCCCATCGAGAAGGCCAAAATCAAAACGACCGCAAAAGGAGTGGTGAAAGCCGGCGATCTTGAGCATGTATTTGTAAGTTATTCATTATTTGACAAAATCTTTGTTGTTTAGGTGCAATTCTCAAACGAAAGCTTGAATTCGATTTGCTTGACCGTTTCGGTGGACGGAGTTGAATATCCGGTTGACATTGACCGCAACGAATGCTTCTTTACTCCAAAGAAAAAAGTGGAATGTAAGTTTTAAGATGTTTAGATTGTTTAAGCAATTGTAAAATGTCTGATTACAATACAAACTTTGTTTAATGATTAACAAGCACAAACTGATATTCTAGAGTTATCGGGATTGTAATGGCCTATTTTTTATTACCATAAATACTCTAATAGAAGCTCCCTTATAGGAGCGTCGCGTAATCAAAGTTTCCTCTCAAACAAACGCTCATATCTCAGCACGAGTACATTTGTTTCTGCGTGCTTATGTATCAAATTAAAGTAGAGAGGATGGGTGACTTTTTGAGATATAACACATATTTTTAGCATTAACCAGCGCTTAGAAAAGAATGAAAAATCGGCTTTTTTGCCACTTTTCAATCATTTTGTTCTAAGCACTGGTAAATGATAAAAATATGTGTTATATCTCAAAGAAAATCACCCATCCTCTCTATTTAATTTGATACCTAAACTCGCAGAAAGAAAGAAAGAAAGAAATGTACTCGTGCCAAAATATGAGCGGTTCTTTGAGTGTAAACTTAGACTACGCGACGCTTCTATTAGATTATATACAGTATTTTAGTATCTAAAACTATCTATTTATCTTTAGTGAATATCGAGCGTCTTGGTCTCGCGACCCCGCTGCGTGCCGGTCTCTCCTCGCATCCGACTCCGATGAAATCACTGGCTCAATCGGCGGCTCGTGTGTACAACTCGTTGAAACCTCCACCCTCAACTCGTTCCACCTCTCTTCCACCATCATTAGGTCGACGACTTGTCTCGCCGAGGAATCGCCGTCGATCGCAGACGCCAATCGTGGGTTTTTATGAACCAATTTTATGGCGATACACGAACTAATTCCCTTTTGGCGTCTCTCTCGAGCCCACGGAAAAGCGTTCCCTTTGCGACCCTCTCTCAAGCGCAGTTGGTTCAGTGGTAGAATGCTCGCCTGCCACGCGGGCGACCCGGGTTCGATTCCCGGACTGCGCAAATATCTTTTGCTTTTTTGAGTTTAGTATTAGCAACATGTTTAGGATTAGTCTGCCAATCATTTTAGATGCAAAAGAAATTTAGATGTTTAGTATTACTGCTTTACTTAAAAAGTTTTCAATGAATATTAGCACCCACAAGTAATAATTGAGTTCTATTACAGTGGATAAGATTTGTAAGAGTTTGATTATCTGAATTTTCTCTTTTTAGAAAGCACCCAGTTTTGAGGACACGATCACCACGCAGAGCCACATCTCCGTTTCGACAACCACGTGTGGTTCGCTGCCGGGAGTCACCGAGGAACACTTTAAACGGCTTGAAGAGTTGCTTCCGGTTGGTTTACGGGTTATTTTTATGCACTGAACATTTAATTTCAAGTCAATGACTAATTTTTTAGAGAGCCGGCACTGTGACGACAGACGAATTATGGATGCTGACCTACTACTTTGTCATGGATGTGTTTGTGTCGGTTAGCGTTTTCTGTTTATTTAATGTATTTATTTAATCTTAGATGGGCCACTATTCAAGGCAATGGTTCATGTCGGGTGGACCGGAAACGAAATTTTTGCGCCATGCATGTGAGAAGAAGATTTTCTGGGAACCAGGTTTAGTCTATTATTTTGGAACTTTTTTAGATCTGATGATAAATTGATTTTTCTACTTCAACATTTGCAATTTAGAGATGACACTCGAGTGCCTGGTGGTGACAATGATGATCGACTATCTCGAGAAACACGTGGCCGACTTGGAGAGAGAAGACCACGAGGAGAAACCCGCTGACCCTGTCAACCCAGCCGAACTTCAAACCACACCCGCTGTCGAATGGTTCAACAAATTATAAGGATTTAAAAATTTTTAAGAGATTTTCTTTTTTGTGATTGTCCTGTGCCGTAAATAAAACAATTTTGCTTGCGCTTGGCTTACACTTATTTTGTGGTGTTTCTCGTCTCGAACGATGTGCTGCAATCTTTCAGTAACTTCTTTGGCCGCACCCAGCTCTGTCAAATAAGCCTCACAATCGGCCTCGATTTCCTAAATGTTGCTTTTTATTAGCTGTCAGGTCAGGTATTGTAAATTTTTGACCCACCATTAGCTTGTAAGAGAACGGCTCTTCGAGAGCTCTCACAATTGCTTGAAAAACATCCGAATAGTCTCTAACTGGTTGACGGAGTACTCTAAACTAGGTTAAAAATATTTTATTCATGGAAAAACCTGTCGTTAAACGATTGAAGCTCATAAGCCAATGTTCGCACAAAAGCTCGATACACTTCAACTTCTGCCTAAATTTAACCTTTGTTTACAAAAAATTTCCCCAAAATCAAACCATTTTCGTTCTTGCTAATGTCTGTAGTTGATCTGGATGAGAAGCGTACATCTAAACAGTTCTAGTAGGACTTTTAAAGAGATAACAAACTGCATCTTCAAATTGGTCTGGATCGATGCTGAGTGCCGAGCGAATTTTCGGTCGGTACCGAGGATTTGGTGAGCTGAGCGGCTGGGGAATGCTTGACGAGGATTGCAAAAGTAAATCTAAAAATGATTTCAACTTTTTGAACAAAAAGCAAAAGATATTTGCGCAGTCCGGGAATCGAACCCGGGTCGCCCGCGTGGCAGGCGAGCATTCTACCACTGAACCAACTGCGCTTGAAAGAAGGAGGGAAAGGAAACGCTTTTGTGCGGCTTTCCTCTGTGTGTCGAGCGGCTCTTTTGGGAATTTTTGGGGAAAAGAACGCAGGAAACGCAGAAAGCCAATGAAATTTCAAAAATACAATGTTTAGCAGCTTTTTTCTTTTTTATCTTTTTCTTTATTATCTTTATTATCTTTATTATCTTTATTATCTTTCTTACCTCTAAGCCTTTCCTTTTCCCGTTCACTTTGCTCGAGAAGACTTCGATATCCACTCAATTGCTCGATTCCCATCGGAGTCGAGCCGGCTCGAAGCTCTCTAAATGTTTTTGAAAGCTTATAAAAGTTGGATTTCAAAAAACAAAAATAAATGAACTTAAAATGTTTTCTTTTAAAACATTTGTTTACCTAATCTCTTGATCTTTCCTTGCCAATTCGCTCTGTAAACGAATCACCCTATAATTAAATGAAATTTCTATTTTCCTATGATTTTTTTAAAATACCTTTGCAATAAATGATTGCCGACGCTTCGAATTCGAGTCGGATTACCGGTTAAACGAACTGAATTTTCACTCTTTAGAGTTGGAATTAAATGAAAAAATTACGCTCAGGTCCAGTTGAATAAACGTTGACTTGTGGGGAATCGCTATCTGGTGGAGTGTCGGCTCGCGGAGATCGAGATGAAGCTAAAATTTTCATAAGATCTTATTAGCTTGATCTATTGTTAGCATGATTGGTTTTAGCTAGCTTTCCCGCCGAGCACCGTATCCCTTTCCACCACTAAACGCTCACCTCGACTACTCGTGTTCCCCTGTAGAACCTTGTCCGCACTGCCGGCTCTTTTCTCCTTTTGCCGATGTCTTCCCGTGATCACTCGTGTGTCTCGACTCTTCCTCGCAGCTCCTCCTCCCAAACAATCGTGTCTCATTGGCGGTTCTCGACCCGAGCTCAACGCCTCTCCCCGTCCACCCGATTGTGGAGTTTGACGACGCTGAAAGAGTTTCTTCAATAGTACTTAGCACTTCTGGCTTTTGATCAAAGAGAGATTGTTTTGACTTTTGAGCTTTTGAGCTTTTGAGCTTTGACGACCACTCTACTGTAGATTTAAATCCTTCTAGCTGAACTCACTGGCAGAGCCGGAAAATGCACTTTGTCGATGGAGGCTTGCTTCTCGAGAAACATATCGTGATAGTCGGCAGTGACTTGCTGAACAGTAAAAAGTGATCTATGCTTTAAAAAAATAGAAAAACTCACATGTTTCACAGGAACAAGTGTCGAGTTCTCGAAGACGAGCGGCTGCGAGTCGCCGAAACACACCAAATCACCAGTGTTCAACTCGATCTAAATGAAAAACCCTATAATGACGGCCGGACCATCTCGTAGTCTAACTTTAAGCGCCTCATTCTCAGCGCCGTTTTAAGCTACAGTTTGCGCTTTAGTATCAAACGACAGCGCTAAATCTCAGCTATATTTTGACACTAAACATTTTAAGGTCATAGATCTCTGATCATCAGTTTTTCATGGTTGTTTATTTCTTTTAATTCAATTCTTCTTATTCAATTCTTTTACCTGCCCATAGACGGTGTTCCCATTGACAGTTGTGTGAGCGGTAAGCGAGTGATCTTTCAGCCAATAGCTTCTCGTCACCGAATTATACTCGAGAGACGCGTGGATTGGTGCCACATTTTTCGCCTAAACTTCTTTATTTAATGGTTTAAAAGCTAACTAGATCTATCTCTGAATTTGGTTCCTTAACTCTCTAAATTTTGGTTCTCTATCTCCTTATCTCTCTAAATTTGGTTCCTTAACTCTCTAAATTTGGTTCCTTTTCCCTCTAAATTGGTTGATTCTTTGGCACTATTGAAACAGCAAATCCAATGACATTAGTTTCGTTTTTCTGAAATCCCGACTTCCGTCTCGGCAAGTAGAAATGGGTTTAAAAGAAATTGAAATCGAAATTCATTAGATATTGATAAGTTTTTTTTTGAAACTTTAAAGAAACAGGCTAAATGGGAAAGCTTTCGCCTCAAACCTCAACAAATCCGAATTTCTCCGTTTCTTCCTCGTCGGACTTTTGCGAGAATTTTGCGAGCTTTTTTGGAGTAAAAGTCGGAATTGATTTCTCGTGTTTATCTGATAAAATATTAGGGTTTTTAGAAAAATCTCCCCGTGAAGAATCGGTTTCGAAGATCTTCAGGTCATATGCAGGGGAATCGAGATCGGAAATCGACATTAGTGGAGCGGAAAAGGGAATTTCGAATACGAGAAATACGAGAAAATCCGCTTAGATATTTTTCGAGCTCGAGAAAATATATTTTTTTTAGAATCTACACAAAAAGCGGGTATTCAGGTGGGGAATTCTTGAATTCTTGAAATGAATAAATGAATAGAGAGATTAGTGCCGATCGGGATGAGTCTCTCTCTGCACGTAAAACGGTCCATTGTTTCCCGTCCCCCGTCAGAGAAATCGAATTATTGTGCACTTGAGGAGAAGATTTGAATTCTGTTTTTTTTGCTAGTTAAGTGATTTTTAGCGAGTTTTTCGTTTTTGTAATTAAGAAGTGAAGGAATTAGCAAAATTAAGTTTCCGGTGTTGGAATTGGAATCAAATAAGAACAAATAAGATCTTGAACTTGTTCTACTGCTTTATTGACTTCAGGAATCGGGAACTAACCCTCGACCTTTCCCCTTTCGGGCACTCAGCTCTAACCACTGACCTATCTGATGCCTTAATTTAGGGAGAGAAAGAGGGAAACACAAGGGGGAGGGGGAAAGAAAGGAAGAAAGGAAAAAAGAAAGAAAGAAAGAAAGGAAGAAAGGAAAAAAGGTTAAAGAACTTAATATCGTCTCAAACCAGAGTTGAAAAAGATCGAAATGGTACTGCTGGCCCAGTCCAAGCCCTCTCAGAGTGAGCAGAAACGGATTTTTGTCAATAGAACAAATTTAGCTTTAAAATTTAACTATAAAATGAAAATGGTTAGTATAATAGAGAATTTGAGGATACTTGGTTTGTTTGGTTGTTTGCTGAAAGGAAAAGACTACAGTCCGTCTGTTAGCGACTACAGTCCTCTGTTAGCGACTACAGTCCGTCTGTTAGCGACTACAGTCCTCTGTTAGCGACTACAGTCCGTCTGTTAGCGACTACAGTCCTCTGTTAGCGACTACAGTCCTCTGTTAGTCCGTTTGTTAGAGAAAATCTGTTAGCTCATGTGGTATTTTTGAGCCATTTTCCAGCCCTATAGCACTTGATTGAAAGCTTTTATGCAGAAAAGAAATTTTAAAAAGGGCTGCTACGCAGGAGTACGCGATCATACTCTTTACCCGGTCTTCTATTCGAAAAAATACGGTAATTTATTGAGCAATAGATAGATCGATTTGCTGTTTTGAAGTTATTTGATTTGTTATAGTGAGATAAATAAGTCAAGAATGAGGATTTTTATATAAAGATTCCAGATTATACTTAAGTTTTGATGTTTTCTTTTTTCTTAACTTAACAAAGTTTTCTTAACTTTCTAGATTCTCTGTTTTTGAAGAGAATTCAAAAAAGAGTTGCTAGATTTAGAATGGTAGAGATGTTTAACGATAAATTTATGATAACCAAGAAATTCTGAAATCTGAAATAAGCCTAAAAGAAGTTACCGTAAATACTGTAATAGTACCCCACCCCCATAATGACTTCCAAGGACAAAGATTCACCACGAATCTCAATCTAACAGTACGTTTAACTATAAATTGTACTATAAAATGTACTATAAAATGTACTATAAATTGTACTATAAAATGTACTATAAACTGTTCATTTTTCGTCTGATTGTCAATAGGTGTACAACGAAACAACAAGATTTGAATACTTCAATGTCTACTTTTTCAGGATTTCTTGCAGGAAAGGTAGACTTTTCCAAGCTCTATCTTTTGATCTGAAAAAGTTGCTGTTGAAGTGGTTAAAACTCGTCTTTCCATTGTACACCTATTGAGGATAAAACAAGAATGCACTAAAGCTTAATAAACTACTTTGCCATGGCGAAAATCCAGGATTCAAAGAGATGCATAGGGATTGACCAAGATCATGGGAACAACTGCAATTTGGACAGCTTTAGTTTCGGTTTTCGGAGAAGGAAAAGTGAAAAGCAATGGAATATAAAATAATTCTCTATTTTTTAAAAATCCAGTCGTTTTTTTTTAACTTTTTTTTAAAATTTTATTTTTTAATTTATAAATTTATTATAATCAGAGAAAAGAATTAAATCCTTTTTATCAGCTTTTAAATTTGATTCTCTTAGAATTATTGAGCAATAAGTTATCATATCGATTTGATGTTCGAAGTGGGCGGATTTGTCACCGTGGGACAACTCAAGTCAAATTTTATTTTTTTATTTTTTATTCATTATTTTGTTTCTTTTTTTTTCTTTTAAAAGTTTTCTTAACTTTTTGTTCTCTTTTTTTGAGGTTAGGGTTCTATTTGAATGTAGAGATGTTTACGGTCCTTATGATAACAAAAATCTCTAATTGCCCTAAAACATTATACCGTAAATACTATAATAGTACCCCCACCCCCCCATAATGACGGTGCGGAGTGTTGCGTAGTTTAGCTTTGAACGAGTTTTTCTCGACACTGGTTTATGCTACAATGCGCGTTTAAGTATCAAAAAATAGCTGAAATTCAGGGCTATTTTTTGATACCAAAGACACATTTTTTGAAAGTATGGGCGCTTTGAAAAATGATGAAATATAAAAAACTTTTGCGACTACGCGACTGTACGAGGCTGCTGGGGTACTATTACAGTATTTACGGTAGATTTTGATGTATTTTCTTTTCTCAATACCTCTCTCTTTTTGTCAACCCGTTCGGCGGAGGCAGACGAGCCGCGCAAAATCGGCAACCGCGATTTCCGCTCAGCACTCTGACGATCTTTCGGCGACAATCCAGGGATTTCAAAGAAGATATGTTTCATTAGAGGCATTTTTGATTATCAAGAGATCAATATTTGAGGAAAAAAAAACTCTAAAAGATGAAGAAAACGAATGAACTTACAGCAGCTTTACAAGTCAAACATTACCGTATACCTTTACCAGAGAAGAATTGTTTCAATAGGTAAATGAAAATCGCAATTATATGATTATATGCTTATTCCAGTGATCATTTAGAAAAATCTGGAATTTAAATTATTTAAATTTATAAGCAAAATAAAATGGAAAAGGAAAAGAGAAATTTCATGAATTTTTTTGAAAATCATATCTTTTCAAAAGAAAAAACAATTATAATAAATAAACATTTCAAATTTTTTGAGATCTTTATGGGTTTATTATAATAATATTTCAATAATTAGGATATGAATCAATGAATCAACGCTCTAAGCACAGGGGAAACCTTTTGTAGTCGTTGGGAAACATGAGTGATCTATTCTGGTACGAAATATCTTAGTTTTATTCGCAACTTATTTATTGGGTTGGGGAGAATGAGTCGGCGCCGAACTTTAAAGGGACTTTTTGCACACATAAAGCCTTCTTTAAACATACGTTTGGTTTCATCAAAAGGATCCACTATTTCTCTACAAAATCACTTTTGAGAGATTCCACAAAGCTTTTCTTTCGTGGAGTTTATGAACTTCGAAACGCAGCTGGTTAAAATGGCAAAGAGTCCGACTCATCATTTGAACAGTTTCTTTCACATAAACCTTCTTTGGTGTTTATATAAAAAAAGATAGGAGCACATTCAATTACTTAGTTGCCAAATTTGCAGGAAGATCCCACCAATGGTTTTTTCTAGATCACAGTTTGTAGTTTTTGTGAAAAAATGATCCTTTGTTGAGTTGAGGCGCTGTTTGAGTTCTCTTTTAAATGTGATTTTGTAGAGAATTAGTTAACCATTCTACTCATATCAAACGCATATTATTTGACGAAGTCGAATAGAAGTTTTAGACATTTTTTTCATTTTCGGCGCCGACTCATTCTCCCCAACCCAATAGCTATACCATTATTACCGTATTCTCTCTAATAGTAGTACACCCGAGTTGATCACTAGTTGAGAGCCGAGTTGATCACTATTTTACGGTTTCTAAGCTTTTTGCACCTATGGCCACCAATGGTTTTTTCTAGATCACAGTTTGTAGTTTTTGTGAAAAAATGGCTTTTTCTTGAGTGGAGGCGCTGTTTGAATTTTCTTTTAAATGTCATTTTGTAGAGAATTAGTTAACCATTCTACTTATATCAAACGCATATTATTTGACGAAGTCGAATAGAAGTTTTACACATTTTTTTTCATTTTCGCCGGACGACTCATTCTCCCCAATCCAATATTAATTATTTCAATACTAGGCCTTAGAAGAGATTTTTCATGTTCAACTCTTAAACGATCATCTAAAACTCTTTAAAGACTTCAAAGTGCTTTAGTTAAAAGTTACAAGCTAGAAAACTTGATGACGAACCGGATAAAACGCACAATCAGTAAACTAGTTTTAGAGTCGAGTACAACAAGTAGAACAAGGAAAAGGATTAGATTTCGCCAGCACAAGTTCTGATCTGACTAGGGAATGATCAGATTTCGAATCCGAACCAGAACCAGAACGGTCAGATTTTCGCCTAAACGCTTTAGATTTCTGTAAAAACGAATTTTAGATCTAACTGAGCGACTTACAAATTTGTAAGGGCTATCGTCGCTCTTAAACGATCAAACTCGAATCGAGCCAAGGGGGATCGAACTCGGGTGCCAAAAATGGACGACCACCGAGTCACTACCACTGTACCACCGAGTCTTTTGTTTTCCTGGCGACAATAGCCCTTAAAAACTCATAAGTCGCTGAGTAGGGGTTCAAATTTCAAATGCGTTTTTACAGAAAGCCTAAGGCAAAAACTAAAAACGCCATCGTGTTGCTCGTATCAAATTTGTCATAAAGCTTTGGTTCGAATTCGAAATCTGACCATTCCCTAGTCAGATTCGAAGTTGTGCTTGATGATCAGCATCAAAAGTCAACAATTACCTTTCTAGTCTAGTAGACAAAGACAATCCATTACTATCAAAAAATTAGAAACTATTTAATCTCTAAGATAAAATCTTTGAAAAACAATAAAAATAAAACAATAAAAATGGAGATTTTCTCTTTCACAGTTAGACAGAAAATTTGTAGTCATTATCGAAAAGTCAACGAAATTCTGAGAAAAGGGAAGAAGTCGGTGAAAATCACACCAAAGAATTGGAATCTTTGGTGGAAAATGCCCGAGTTTATTATGCTTGAGATTGAGTGAAAGGAAACGGGAAAATAATTGAATTTTGCGCCCGTTTACGATTCGCTTTGCGCTTTTTTTTTTTGGATAATTTTTGAAAGAAATGCAAAGATTTAAGTTTCTCTGATAACAAACTCGATTTTTAGATGTACTTTGCATTGAAAAATGTAAACGCCTACTTTCTAGAGCACTGTTAGTGCTATTTTTTTTCTTCAAAACGCAACTTGTTTCTGTGAGAAAATGCAGAAAATGTAGAAAACGCAGAATTGAAAAGCGCAAAGTGTAGCCAAAAAAAAAGTACAAAAAAGTACAAAAAAGTACAAAAAAGTACAAAAAAGTCCAAAAAAGTCCAAAAAAGTCCAAAAAAAGTACAAAAAAGTACAAAATCTTATTCAATTTCTATTTTGTTTTTTAAAAAAGATAAAGTTTAACTTCTTTCTATTGTATTATCTTTATCCTTTTCTTCCAATGAAACCAGTTGGCCGACTGGTTAGGAATCTTCTCTCCTAATCGGAAGATCCAGGGTTCGATCCAGCTGGCGAAATCAAGTGTGTGTTCTTTTTCCCATTAAGTTGGGTTTTTTTCTTAACTACATTGTAGGGGTAAAAATTGTGTCCTCCGTTCTGTTGTATCCACTTATTCTTTTAAATAAAGAAAATTTAAATTGAATAAAGTATCTTTTACAAAACCTATTTTAATGAGAATATATTTTTAGAATTAGAAAGAAATTCACGAATTTATTCACCCTTGAAAGCACTCATTTAGAGGCGACTACGCAAAACTCAAAAATTTTTTTACTAATGATCTTAAAAATGGATTAAGAAAAGAAAAGGAAAAAGATTTGGGATTAGTTTATTTTGTGAAAAATCATTGATTCGAAAAATTTGGATGTATAGAAATAGAGATTTTAGTAAGAAATTGATCGTTTAACACAAATTTTTGTCCCCAGAGAGATTCCCAGGGGAATTTTCGGGAAAGAAATTTCAAAGAATACACTAAAATATTTGCAAATAAAGAAAAAGTAACAATGAGTAGTGAAAAAAGAAAAAAAGAAAAGAAAAAGAAAAAAAAAAAGAAAAAGAAAAAAAAAGAAAAAGAAAAAGAAAGAAAGAAAGAAAGAAAGAAAGAAAGAAAGAAAAAGAAAGAAAAAGAAAGAAAATTGATTGAATGAAATTGATTAAATGAAATTGATTAAATGAAATTGATTGAATGAAATTGATTGAATGAAATTGATTGAATGAAATTGATTGAATGAAATTGATTGAATGAAATTGATTGAATAGAATAGAAAAGTTTGGGGGGTGATGACGTCATGATAACGTCGATTGGTTAAAGCTTTTGTTGGCTAAATTTTATGAAAAGAAAGCTTCAAGTTTTAAGATAATTTTAAATCTTGTTAATTTAGGCATTTCATAAAGGGAAAGGAATTTAGAAGATACTAAAAGCGCTTAAAACTAGATTTGTTGAAGATGATTGTAAGAGCTTAGAAAAAGTCAACGGCTGGCAACGATTAACTACTTTAATCTTTATTAGGTTTAGCTTAAAACTAGATTTTGTTTGAGATGATTGTAAGAGCTTAGAATTGCCTGCTGGCAACGATTAACTACTTTAAACTGTCTTAGGTTTAGCTTAAAACTAGATTTGTTGAAGATGATTCTAGCTTAGAATTGCCTGCTGGTAACGATAAACTACTTTAATCTTTATTAGGTTTAGTACTAAGCTCATTCATTCCACCCAAATTCATTTTCTAATTGAATAAGTCTCAAGCTATCAAATAAAATACAGCTTTTCATTACCCAATGATTTCTTTTGGCAAATAACTTTTTAAAGTTTCTAAAAAGCTTTATTTTAAAGGTTTTTCATTAGCAAGATAGAGATAATAAAGAGTTTATAAAAAGGAGAAATAGAACAATTCATGGGGGTGACTACTTTGCGTCAAATTTTTTTGTGCAACTGGATCATTTGCGCAACTAGGTCGTTTGCGCAACTCGCCATAACTTTCTTCTAAGTGGGCCAATCTTTATGATTTTGATGCCATTTTGTAGATCTCAACAAGTGAAATACAGTTTTTTCATTTTCCAATGATTTCTTTTGCAAATGACTTTTCAAAGTTTCTAAAAAGCTTTATTTCAAAGGTTTTTCATTAGCAAGAAGCCGAATGTTTAAAAACGATAAAAACGATGATACGATTTTAACCTTTTCTTCCAATGAAACCTATTTTAATGACAATATAAAAAGATAGCCCAAAAAAACAAGATAGCCCATTAGATCTAAAACTAAAATTTTAGAATAATCCGTTTACGTGCTAATTTTCTCGTTTAAGCTTCTTTTTCTTCTTTCTTTTTCAATTTTTGATCACTGACTTTACGGAAGTTTGTGCAACGAAATTCTGCGGAAATTTGTGAATTTTTTTTCGAAAGTTTATCCAATAAATTCAACAAATCACCAAATTCCGCGGGTAAACCAAGTATCTAATCAAGTTTCGGAAAAAGTTTCTCAAATTCACATTTCCTGGATCGGTGCACATTAATCAAAGATCTTTAGAAAAGAAAATTGCAGCAGAAAACTTTAGAAAAGAAAATTGCAGCAAAAAGTTTTCAAATGTTCTTTTATGGCATTTTATGGCAAAAAAAAAGTCATTTTACTAAATGAAATCGGGGGAAAAGTAAAGTTTTCAATTTTTTTTTCTTGAAAGTTGTTATTTAGGGGTTAATTAGTGATGGGGGAAAAACGTTACGGTAATTATATGGTTTGATGGGGAGATTGAAGATGAAATGGAATGGAAAAAGCAAATCATTCTCATTGCCGAAGTTTCGGAATTCATCTAAAAGTTTAGACAATCAAAAACCGAGTTCTAATTGATAGTTGCAATCAATCAAATGCATAGTTCTCCACGAAATACTCGACAAAATGAATAGCTCCAATCGATTTCCCGATCCCGAAAACCCCCGGGCACAAATTTAAAACGCAAAATCTTCTTTTTGTGCAATCTACAAAGCAAAAGAAGTATCCTTGTGAATGAGTGGAAATGTCCTTTGTGCGGCCGCGTAATCGCTCACCGCCTGGCACATGTCTCCGATAGATACCCAGCCCCTCTCGAGATCGATGACCGTTCGTAATTGAGCCGTTCTCGCTGTTTTTGTCTCCATTATTCCCAAATTTCTATTCCCATCCCAGCCCCGCTACTAGGTTTAACCAATCTCCAACTCCAATCCATCCATTCCCGTTTCACTATGTTTTTCTCTCCTACTCCTTCCACAAACCTGCACAATGATGTCACAATTTCGACTCCCGATCGTTGTGATCGCTTGTGGGAGACGAACGGTGAGCAGACCCCGCGACGAGTACCGACGAAGCATTTACCTCTAAACTGAATAAGCTTTCATGGTTTACTTTGGCTCAAAGATGTAAAAACACCCCTTCTGGTGCACTCAATTCATTCTTCAACTCACCCTTAGACAAATCCAGCAAAAAAAACTCCTTTGAGGCCTAATTGAGCATTTTTCAGCACAGAGATTTCTAAAAAAATTGAATTGCTGAAAATTTTCACTGATTTCAATAAAAAAAAATAGAAAATTTAGAAGAATAATGAGAAAATCGTTACGATTTTCTCGTGGTAAACTTCAAAAAAAGAGAGGAAAATGGGGTTTAATTGAGTTGAATGAAAAAAGAAATTTGTTCTTAGTAAGATACGTACAAATTTCAATATAAAATCTTTACTTTAATGTTTTTTTGTGAAAAAATATGGCAAATATGGACAGAGTCATTTTCTTTTTGGAGACCAATTTAGGCACTGTTTTTTTTGACATCTTTTTCACTGTCGAAATCCACTTTTACAGCTTATAACACCAATTATTTAAATGAAATTGTCTAAAATTGAAATGAAATTTACTTTTTTTATAGTATAATAATATTTTTTTTTACATTTTTTACATATACATGTCAAACTTTTGTAGTTTTAGAGTCGAATTAGCCAGAAAATCGTCACCAATTTCTTATAAACTCAGATATTAGGCAAGTACTAAGATTTGATTGATCATAAATGATTACCGTATTTTCTCTAATAGTAGTGCACCCTAAGCTTCGTCTAAATTCCTCAAAATCTCGAGAACCGCTTATCGGAATCCCTTACGGAATCGCTTTATCGCTTATCGCTTACCGCTTACCTCTTATCGATGTGGGATCGGAAAATGTAGCTGACGATGAGATCTTGCGGGGGATTTGAGTGTTGAGCTTCCGCAAAAGCTTGAAAACCGTAAAATAGTCATCAACTCGGTTTGGCGGCATGCACTACTATTAGAGAAAATACGGTATAGAATTAAAAGTTTCAACAATATAATAGTTGATAGATACTTTATTCAAGAAATGAAATAAAGTGTGCAAGATTTACGATTTAAAACACATGACTTCATACACATAAACACGAGAAAAAGACCGATAAAAAGCAACACGATATAACGTATGTAACGAGTAGCAAAGATAACGTCAAGAATGCACTTAGAGCTTTAAGATCAAGATCATCGACACTATTCGACTCTCTCAAAACTCTGGGAAGTCGATTCCAAATTCTGGCAATTCCAAGTTCTTATTGGAAAAGAGTTATACACAAACTTAATAGAGGTGACTGGAATTTCGAAAAAGAAATGGTAAAGCGAAAAAGTTGCTCAAAAAATTCAGATATCTATTCAAAACAAAAGAAAAAACTGAAAAAAAACCTGAAATTTTCAAGGGTATAATCATTTGGAGATGAAGCTGGGGTGATGAAGGAGATCAGGCTGGGGGTAAAGGGCATTAAGATGACTGAGACGCGGTGCCCTCTTTTACTCATTCCAAAATTGCCCGTTCTCAATCTTCAATCCATCTTCTTCTACAATTCTTCCTCGTCTCCTCTCTCTTTTCAGCGCAGAATCGAATCTCTGCCACGCTTTCCCTTCTCCCTTCATCTACCTGATTTTCTTTCCCATCTACCTCTTCATTTCCACTCATCGTTCTTGTTCTCATTTTTCTTTCTTCTCAACTTATGCCTCCTCTTTTCCATCTCCGTCTTTTCTACGTCTACTTCACTTGACTCTTATCCCCCAGCTACAACTCCATCATCTCTCTCACCACCATTTAGATCTTCTCTTTCACTTTCTCTTCATCTTATCTCATTTCCCTTATTCCCATTCTCTCGTCTCTCCTCTTTCTCGATCCTCTCTCCATCTCGTTACCCTTCTCGCACTCCTTTCCCGTCTCCATCTCCTCTCCATCCCGTCTCCATCTCCTCTCCATCTTCTCTCCATCTCCTCTCCATCCCGTCTCCACCCCTCTCCATCTCCTCTCCATCTCCTCTCCACCCCTCTCCATCTCCTCTCCATGGCAACTTCTCTCTCTCTCTTTCCCCAGTCATCATCTTCAGTGCTCACTTTTCCCTCCTTCGGAAATGTACAGTTGCAAAAAACTCGCTCCTTGACCAACACCTTGCCCATTTAACTACTTCGACAAATTGTACTAAATTCTTTTTCGATTCAATATAACGTTTTCAAAGGGATACTTTAGCAATAAACTATCTAAAAAAACTGTTAAGGCAATATGTAATCTGATATGATAGATATGTAATCTGTTGCTTGTCTGCTTGTTTTTAGTTGAAAAAGTCTATTTAGAGAATATTTTAAGTGCAACTCTCGATTTCTATTCTTTAAATCAAATTCTAGAAGTGATTTTTGTAGATATTTCATGTCAACAAACTAGAATGACATAATTTATCCAGACAATAAAACATCTGCGCAAAAAAAAACGTGTCAAAGTGAACAAAAATAAAACAACGGTAATTGTGGTTTTTAAAAACTAAAATTGATAGAGATAATAAAGAGTTTATAAAAAGGAGAAATAGAACAATTCATGGGGGTAGCTTGTTTGCGCCAAATTTTTTGCGCAACTGGATCATTGGCGCAACTAGATCATTTGCGCATCTCGCCATAACTTTCTTCCAAGTGGGCTAATCTTTATCTTGCCATAACTTTCTTCCAAGTGGGCCAATCTTTATCTCGCCATAACTTTCTTCCAAGTGGGCCAATCTTTATCTTGGCATAACTTTCTTTCAGGGGGGCCATTCTATTCTTGCCATAACTTTCTTCCAAGTGGGCCAATCTTTATGATTTTGATGCCATTTTGTTGCACTTGTTGCGATCTACAAAATGGCATCAAAATCATAAAGATTGAATCACTTAGAAGAAAGTTATGGCAAGATAAAGACTGGCCTGACTTAGAAGAAAGTTATAGCGAGTTGCGCAAATGATCTAGTTGCCCAAAAAATTTGGCGCAAAGTAGCCACCCCCAATTCATCAAAAAAGTACGATATTTCAATTAAACTCCGATTTCCTTTGCGTTAATCTAAAAGAAATTTGATGAGCTCACTTCTTCAACTCTAGCTTTTCTAATTTATCAAAGGATTAGAAATTTTTATATTCTAGACTGATATTTTTATAATATTATTATGATAATAATCTAATAATTATCCGAATAATATTATCATGATAATAATTCCTTAGCTATAAACTATCGAAAAAAACTGTTAAGGCAAAAGATGTATACCGTAAATACTGTAATAGCACCCCACCCCCATAATGACGGTGCGGAGTGTTGCGTAGTTTAGCTTTGAACGAGTTTTTCTCGACACTGGTTTATGCTACAATGCGCGCTTAGATATCAAAAAATAGCTGAAATTCAGGGTTATTTTTTGATACCAAAGACGCATTTTTTGAAAGTACGGGCGCTTTGAAAAATGATGAAATACTAATAAAACTTTTGCTACTACGCGACTGTACGAGGGGGGTGGGGTACTATTACAGTATTTACGGTATGTAATCTGTTGCTTGTCTGCTTGTTTTTAATTGGAAAAGTAATCTATTTAGAGAAGATTTTTTTAAGTAAAAGTCTCGATTTCTATTCTTTAAATGAAATTCTAGAAGTGATTTTTGTAGATATTTCATGTCAACAAACTAGAATCACATAATTTATCCAGACAATAAAACATCTGCGCAAAAAAAAAAGTGGCAAAGTGTCAAAGTGAACAAAAATAAAACAGCGGTAATTGTGGTTTTTAAAAACTAAAATTGATAGAGATAATAAAGAGTTTATAAAAAGGAGAAATAGAAAGATTCATGGGGGTGGCTACTTTGCGCCAAATTTTTTGCGCAACTGGATCATTGGCGCAACTAGATCGTTTGCGCAACTCGCCATAACTTTCTTCTAAGTGGGCAAATCTTTATCTTGCCATAACTTTCTTCTAAGTCGGCCAATCTTTCTGCTTTTGGTTTCATTTTGTTGCACTTGTTGAGATCTACAAAATGACACCAAAATCATAAAGATTGATTCACTTAGAAAAAAGTTATGGCAAGATAAAGATTGACCGACTTAGACAAAAGTTATGGCGAGTTGCGCAAATGATCCAGTTGCGCAACTTGCGCAAAACAAGAAAAAATTTGGCGCAAAGTAGCCCCAATTCATCAAAAAGTACGATATTTCGATTAAAGTCCGATTTCCTTTGCGTTAATCTAAAAAGAAATTTGATGAGCTCGCTTCTTCAACTCTAGCTTTTCTAATTTATCAAAAGATTAGAAATTTTTATATTCTAGACTGATATTTTTATAATATTATCATCATGATAATATTATAATTATCTAAATAATATTATCTAAATAATATTATCTAAATAGTATTATCTAAATAATATTATCTGAATAATATTATTTGATAAACCCAGTCCACTTACAGCTCCCAGAATTTTCCCTTGATTGATCGCGACGAGATTCTCAGCCACCTCGGTGGCCACTCGAAGTTGAGCGTCTAGCTGCAAAATGGTACTGATAGCTGAAGAAATATGAAAGAAATATGAAATATTTTGATCTTATAGTTATTCATTTGTTTATCAAAATCAAAACTCACCGTTGAGGCACCAAGATGCGGAGTGCAAATGGCTTTTGGGTGATTGATCAACTCGCGATAGATGGGTGGCTCCTAAGGAGCTTTTAATTATCAATATAACATCAATATAACATCAATATAACATCAATATAAAAACAGAATTCAACGCTACGGTTTCTCAGAATATCGTATTCGATTTTGAGACTAAATTGCTTTCAATTAAAGTTCAGTTTTGATATATTTCGAACTGCAAAAAGTTTAAACAAAACGAACTTTTCACTTTTCTTTTTGGTATCTAGAGCCAAATTTTGGCTTTAGATTTGCTAAAATTGAGTTAATTAATTGTTCTATTTATCTAAAAGCTCTTCATTAGATAGCAGAGTTTTAAATCGACAAACTACATGGTGGCTCACCGCACTTTAGAGGGCTTAGATTGGTCAAAATTGAGTCAATCGTTCTGGTTTTTCGAGAGATAGATCATAAGTATGTCTCCTTTCTATTGCCCATTCTCTAATCGATTCATTCTTTCAACCCTTTTATATAGCCTTCAAAAGTTGAGAATTTTGCTCGAGTTTTGCTCGGCATTTATGGGATCTTTGAGAGGAATCTTGTCAGAGTTTTGTTGAGATTGAATTTATTAATGCGATGAAGAGAAATACTCTTTACTTGTTCAAAGACATCAAACGCGGCTCCTTTAGCCTTTCCACTGTTGAGCGCATCGACCAGATCGATCTCATTGACGATCCCTCCACGAGCCACGTTGATGATCCGAACACCATCTTTGCATTTGGTGAGTGCTAAAGATTTGAATTCACTTAGATAATACGATAAATGATATCAAAAAGGCCTTTGTGAACGCCTATAATTCGTTAGAATATAAAAGGAGCTTGGGATTTGGATTTGGTTTGGATTTGGTTTTGGATTTGGTTTGGATTTGGATTTAAAGATTTGAATTTAAAGATTTGAATTTAATTTTGAATTTAAAGTACTCTTAAGTAGGCTCAAACGCTTCCTGTACTTGTACGAGTACCTGTACAAAAGCTTCCTGTAATTGTACAAGCACAAGTACCTGTACAAAAGCTTCCTGTAATTGTACAAGCACAAGTACCTGTACAAAAGCTTCCTGTAATTGTACAAGCACAAGTACCTGTACAAAAGCTTCCTGTACTTGTACTCGGTTTATCTACTTAAAATCAAAATAATTCACCTTGTCGATTAATCAAATCCTTTGTCGACGGGATGAGTGGCACGTGAACGGTGATGTAGTCAGCTAGTGGCCAAATCTCGTCGAGACTCAACAACTCGATTCCACGCTCGGCTGCTTGCTAAAAGTCTTTCGATTTATATTTTCTTGTAGACTGCTGCTGAATTTCTTGTAGTCTGCTGAACCTCTTTATTCAAAACGGGATCATATCCAATGCATCGCATTCCAAAAGCTTTCAATCTCTGCGCCACTTCCGATCCGATCCGGCCGCATCCCAGAATCGCGACTGTTCGCCCGAAAACCTAGAATTCGATTGTGAAAGGGAATTTGTTGTTAAGAATGCAATGAGACAAGACTTTACCTTATGAGACAAGACAAGCAATGAGACAAGACTTTACTTTACTATACTTAAATGACATTACAACTGCAGGAACTAGAAAAGATTCTCTAGTTAGTTTATGGCTTGACTTTATCTCAGGATTGGCACTATGATCAGAAACTCTTGAGCTTTGAGAATTCAAGTTTCCTTTTTAGCAATTAAATTTGCAAAAAAATGAGCTCTAAACCTAGTGATTTCCAGAAAGATAGAACAACGTGTATTTATCAAAAAAAAAAAGAATCTCAACTACCTCTTCTCCCATGAACTCTTTTCGCAACCATTTCCCCGCTTTCATCGTGGCATCGGCTTGAGCGATGTGTCGAGAGAGCGACAAAATCAGAATACATGTCAATTCGGCTGCTGATCGAGAGTTTGCTTCTGAAATTGATGTAAAATTTAAAGGATTTAAACCAGGATGAAATCTGAATGAAATCAGAATGAAATCAGAATGAAATATGAGTGAAATCTGAATGAAAACTACAGAGTAATCTCGGAGTTCCCGCAAACTTTTTAAATGATTGATTTCCTAAATGAAAGCTGAAACAAAATTTCCCGTGTTTTATAAATAGCAAGCTAAACAAGCTCAACAGCTTGCTATTTTGAATAGCAAGCTTTCCTCTCTTTCCTCTAATCCTCTGGAAATCTTCATTTTCTACTAAATCTCAAACTGTTTTTAGAGAATTCTTTTAAGAGAAAGAAAAACTGTCATAAGCGCATATAAGTCGAGTAATTTTTGTTGATTTTCAGCAGATCAAAAGTTAAGAAATCCAGGAAAATGTACAGAGTGATCCCGGAGTTCCCGCAAACTTGTAAAAAATCGAGCTTCTTTTGTAAAGTTGGCGGGAACTTTTTAATCACCCTGTATCTTATTTGTGTACTTACGGGGTGTGTTCATGACGAGAACTCCATGTTGACTGGCCGCCTCGACATCGATATTGTCGACGCCAGTGCCGGCTCGTCCAATCACTTTCAGTTTCCCCGCCGCAGCCTCGATGATTTCTTTTGTAATCTAGAAATGGAAATGGAATGTAATCCAGCGAGGCTTTGGTGTTTCATTTCATTTTCCTAGAGTTTTTCGAACATTAAAATCAAATCATGTGAAAGCCCGCCATAGTTGGCTAGTTGGCTAAGATCCCTGTATCTTAATCGTTAGCTAAGATCTCCATACCTTAAACGTCAGCCAAGCTCTCTATATCTTAATCGTTGGCTAAGATCTCTATATCTTAATCGTTAGCTAAGATCTCTGTATCTTAATCGTTGACTAAGCTCTCTGTATCTTAATCATTAGCTAAGATCTCTATACCTTAATCGTTAGCTAAGCTCTCTATATCTTAATCGTTGGCTAAGCTCTCTTTACCTTAATCGTTAGCTAAGATCTCTATATCTTAATCGTCAGCCAAGCTCTCTATACCTTAATCGTTGGCTAAGCTCTCTATATCTTAATCGTTGGCTAAGATCCCTATATCGAAAGGTCAAGGGTTCAATCCCGCCGGCTAGATTATTGGTTCTTTTCTTCCCTCATATATATGATTTTTTTCGTCCCTATATTTAGGGCTTAAGGGCTATGCTTGTGTATTGTTTATACCACATTATTCGTGTGAATAAATGTATTTTTTTATATCTAATAGTGGCAATGCACCGGTACCACATGATCTTCACATGTTAATCTTTCCCATCTTTCCTATCAGCAATCGCCATCAAGGGGGCGTAAACGGTAAAACTGATAACTGCTTTGCCCGCCAAAATAAAGAGCTCGTTCCCGGTCTGAAGTTGTTAACCCAGTCAAAAAATGATTCTAATTTTGAAAAACAGAAATTAAAATTTTAAGAATCCCTTTGATTCTAGACTTTTGATAAAATCGAATTGCAAATTAAAATAAAAAGGAAACCTTGGTAGCTGAGCGAACCAAAACAGCATCGTGTCTTGGCACCGTCTCAAGCAATTCCTCTTTCGTTTGTTTAATTTTGTAGGTGATCTGGAAGTAAGATAACTTTCGATGATGTCAGAAATCTCTTTTAAAACAAATTTGATTTCTCTATAGTGTTTTAGAATTTAATTTAGAATAAAAATAAAAGGTGGGAGAAGTGAATTTGTCACTTAAGACCTAAATTGTTCACCTAAGTTCACTGTTCACCTAAATTGTTCACCTAAATTGTTCACAATTCACTTAAGACTGCTTAACAGTAGAGTTTTAAGTGAACAGTCTGCTCTGAACTGTTCACTGTTTATAGTCTTAACAGTCTGCTTAACAGTCTGTTCTTGTTCTGTAACAGTTGTATATATTTTTTTAAATCTTAACCCTTAGCAGACTGTACTTGGAAACCATTTTGAGTCAAAATGTCAACGCATTCCTGTTCGATCTCGTCGGCAATCAAAACGCTTTTGATCTCCATTCTAAATGTTTTTCAGAATTTCAAAATTCAGAATTCTTTTCAAAGGAACAAGTAAAGAAAGTTAAGGAAAAAGTAAAGGATATGATTTTTTTTTTCTGGATTTCATTTCTAGATTTCAAAGTTCTCAAAGATTTTAAAGATTTCAAAGATTTCAAAGTTCTCAAAGTTCTCAAAGATTTTAAAGATTTCAAAATCTAGTTCGCAAATCGCAAAGCCAACGAAGTACCAAATGTATCAGAGAATCGAATTATCACTCCTAAAATAAGACGGGATTAGATTAGAAAAAAAAGTTGAATTTGATCAAAGAAACGAGGAAACGAGTTGAACGGGTGAGTGGGTGGGAGATAAGGAAATGAAAAGGAAGGAAAGAGAAAGGAAAGAGAAAGGAAACGAACGATGACCCCACAGGGCATTCAAAAGAAATCGGATGGCTGTTGGCTAGATTGGGGGCAAAGGATCACCCGATAATTTGAAATCAGAGATCGATTATCATAAGGATCAAACGATGAATAGCTTAATGCAGCTCATATAGATCAAAGATTTATTGAAGATTTATAGAAGAGATGTTACTCGATTTTTCGGCTACGGCTTCGGCTACGGCTACGGCTTCGGCTACGGCTTCGGCTACGGCTACGGCTTCGGCTACGGCTACGGCTTCGGCTACGGCTTCGGCTACGGCTTCGGCTACGGCTACGGCTTCGGCTACGGCTTCGGCTACGGCTTCGGCTACGGCTTCGGCAAGATTTGATCAGCAATATGAAACGCAAAAAGATAGAAACAGAACATTTCTATTGCAGAACACAAGCAAGATTTAGATCCAAAAATCCAGACAAGATTTTGGGTGAAAAAAGTCAAAAATCCAGCTTTTCCTTCGCAGAGAAACAGGTCCTTTCCTTTTCCGAGCCAATTTTTTTCCTTTTTTCTTGCGTTTCACTTTTTAGCTTTGTAAAGCTGAAAATCCCGATTAACATTTATTTGCAAAAACACCAATAAAACAAGGCACACATAATAAAACACAAGAGAATCATTTCTTAAAGTTTCTTAAAGACAATGTAACCTGATTCTCCGCCATTGGGAATACCATAGCCATAACCACTTCCACCATTATTGGGAACATCATAGCCATAACCATTTCCACCATTATTCTCATGATTGTCACCATTATCACCGCCATTTTGTCCTTTGATTGGCCAGAATTTCTAGTAAGTAAATGGTTATAATAAAGTGAATCTAGTAGTAAATCGCTATAAGTCTAGCAGAACGAATTCGCTACAATATTTGAGAACTTCATCGTTGACTCCGTTTGACCTTACTGACGTACCTTTACTCCACTTTTCGTAGTATCCGTTTGCACAATTGGCGCATTCGATTTCATAGTTGAAATAATTGGAGTCTAATTAAATAGTACAATCAATTTCTAAGCAACTCTCGATTACCGTTGAATTGATTGGATTTAATTGATTCCCCAAGCCCAATTCCACTATTTTCATCTAAATCAAACAATAAAAGTTGATTTTAAAGAAAAACAAAGAAAAACAAAGAAAAACAAACAAAAACTCATTCCTATCAGACAAGTGTGCAGACTCTAAAGACAGCAACGGGTTTTGTTACTAGCTTTATTATTGTTTTATTCGTTCTCTAGATAGAATTCCGCTTTTTGCTTTGATTCAACTAAAGGTTTGATTCAACTTTGACACAAAGTTTATCAGATAATTGTCGTCATGGTCTAAAAATGCAATTCAATAGTTAAATCGAATTTCAATAGTTAGAATTGAACGAGTCTAGAACTACGGGGTTAAACGGAAAAACATTAGGATCAATCGTGGATAAAGTATTAGGATAAATTTTCTTACTCTAGTAGCAGTAGAAGTGGTAGCAGCAGTTGTTGTTGTTGTTGTTGTTGCTGTTGTTATTGTTGTTGTTGCTGTTGTTGTTCTTGTTCTTGTTGTCGTTGCTGTTGCTGTTGTTGCTGTTCTTGTTGCTGTTCTTGTTGTTGCTCCTGTTCTTCTAGTTGTTGACTAAACCATTTTCAACTTAGCTTTCTTAAACTTCCAAACTGTTGTAGTTGTAGTGATTGTCGTTCTAGTAAACTAAACATCAACTAATTTGTTCTTCAAATATAATTCAAATCCAATACGGTTCCAATATGGTTCTTGACCAAACTTTTTAAAAGTACAAACCGTAACTTGAACGCCGACCACCGACAATTTGATGCTAACACCCGTTGCTAAAAAGGCAACTTTATAGTTTTATGAAATATCTAGATCTTCAATATACTTTCTATGAACCAACTTGTTTTATTGGCTTTATTGAGAAACCACGAGTTGAGGTCACTGACAGACGCGGTACCCGTCACCGTCACACACGTTCCCGTCCAGTCCTCCTAAAATCGACAATAGCTAAGTCAGCCAGCCTTTCTGCTTGAATTTCTTCTGCAAAAGTCAACCCGTGTATAGTCTTGGTTTTACTGATGAGCTTTCAAAAGTACTTGGTACCAGTCAGAAGCCTGATCCAAGTCCAGAAGTCAGGGATGAATCTGACTTCTGGCTTCTCCTTGTTTTTAATTCTCACAAGCATCCTGTAATTTGCAATTAACTCCTTTAACGTTACATAGAAAATAAATCTAACTTTAACTCACATATTTCACCAAATCCATTGATGGATTCACATTCTAAACTCAGGCTTTCAGCGAGTTTTTAAATTTTTAACATACCAGAATTGTCTGTAAAGCCTTCAGCTGAGCCGCGGCGGCTGTCTAAATCGTTTATCAGATTGAAAATTCGAAGTGTTTTCATCGCCAGTAAGTAATTACTCGAGTAAAATTTGTATGACTCATTTTTCACTCGATTAATCGACGTTTTTCGTCGAATAACTACGAGGCAATCCTCTTTACACGTCGAGTAAATTGAATATCTTTACATTTGACGGGGTATTTGGTGAGTAACTACGAGGCAATCCTCTTTACACGTCAAGTAAATTGAATATCTTTACATTTGACGGGAATTTGGTGAGTAACTACGAGGCAATCCTCTTTACACGTCGAGTAAATTGAATATCTTTACATTTGACGGGGTATTTGGTGAGTAACTACGAGTGATCCTCTTTACACGTCAAGTAAATTGAATATCTTTACATTTGACGGAAATTTGGTGAGTAACTACGAGGCAATCCTCTTTACACGTCGAGTAAATTGAATATCTTTACATTTGACGGGAATTTCCCACCAAATCATTTAAACGGCTGAATATCTTTAAAAAGAGTCTTTTTATAACGTGACGCTCGTCATTTTTTTGCAATAATTTTTGCTAAAAGTGCGTTAATTTTTTTCCGAGTGTGCGTTTTAAAAAACGCATTACTCGCGAGGAAAACACTCTAGTCATGACAGCGGTTTCAAATTCTACTTGAATCTCTACCTAGTAAGTACTCTACCAGTTTTACCTTCATTTTACAAGCTCATTGATATTACTGCTAGAGTTTTGGCTTTTATAGACTTTTATAGACTTTCATAGACTTTCATAGACTTTCATAACTTTCATAACTTTCATAACTTTCATACCATTTTTCCCATTTTTCCATTTTTCACTCGATTAATCGACGTTTTTCGTCGAATAACTACGAGTGATCCTCTTTACACGTCAAGTAAATCGAATATCATTACGTTTGACGGGGAATTTCCCACCAAATCATTTAAACGGCTGAATATCTTTAAAAAGAGTCGTATATAACGCGGCGCTCGTCAATTTTTTGCAATCATTTTTGCTAAAAGTACGTTAATTTTTTTTCCAAGTGTGCGTTTTAAAAAACGCATTACTCGCGAGGAACACACTCTAATTCAAATTGTATCATCAATATCAATGATATCAAGGAAACAAATAGGTATACAACTGTTGTATACCTATTTGTTTCCTTGATATGTCATCACACTGTATGCGCGCACTTTGGAGCCCCGAAACTCGGCTTTAAACGCCTTTTCCCATGTTCTTATTGTGTTTTTCGGGATCTACGCATAAAACTACCCCAGGAAAAATGAGTTTAAAGTAAAAAAAAAATCGTGTAAGAACTAGTATAGTACTTGTATTCTTTTCTGTTCTAGATCAATTCCAATATCAGTTTTCCTAAATCGTTTTTTTAGATTAAACAACATTGTACTATGCCTACAAGTTGCTCTTTTGTGAATTCGATTTATATCATTTCCCAAAAAAAAAAAAAAGAAAAGAAAAGTAACAAACATTTGCCGAGTCGTTGACATGGAAAAGTGCGAAGAAAAATAGAGAAACGATTGGGAAAATCGTTTTGTTCTTCGTAAATTTCATCTATTAGTATTTTTGTCTTTTTTTTCGAAATGATTTCTCGTTTTTCTTATCCATTTCGTTCGTCCATTTCATGACCGTTTTATGGGTGGGAAACGATCGATGTTTTTCTTATTCAGACATTCAGTGAACATACAGTATTCTGATTGGGGGAAATACACGAAGAAAACCACTTGAAGCTGAGAAATATCGTCAAGGAAAACGAGATAGGAAGACGCAGCTCGACCAAGACCTAAGAAGTACGGATATGCGCCAGCTCTCGGGACTCAGAGAACAAGAACAAGACTCGTCAAGAACAAGAATAGCCCAAAGAATCCCCCAATACCTTGCAAAAGAATACGATTTCTTGTTTAAATATCAGTGTCAGTGTAAACGTTCAAAAACCGGATTATGATATTTAGGAAAGAATACTGTAGGTTTAGAGCTGAAAATTACAATACTATCGTCTTCATCTATGCTATTTTAGCTATTTTGACAATTAGAACAATTCCCTAGTCTTCTCCACTCCGGTGTTCTTTGTGCACGCACGTAATCGCTCGCGATCTGGCGCACGTCTTTTGGTTAACCCCCTCTCTCGGTGGCCTTGAAACCGACCCGGTTAGAGGTTTACGTGGTCACAAAGGCAGAAACCCTGTGTTTAGGTGCGATCATTGTATTGTTTGACTGTGTTGACCCGTGTGGCAGCTCCGATTTTGGGGTTCGCTAACAGCTAAATTTTTGCATGAGGGTCTGCGTTCGCGCAGCCCTGCCAAACTATCAGGAATATTAATCTCCATTTTAAGCTGGGGGTTCGCTAACAGCTAAATTTTTGCCCTCGCGCGGCCTCGTCAAATCATGGAAAAATTTCGTAGCCTGTAACTTTCAATTCAATTCAATTCAAGAATCGATCTTTACCAATATAAGTGGCAATCAAAGTAATGTATCATTGCCAATTCATTCGCTCAAAAAGTTTCACCCAAACCATCAACATGAAAAAGTTTGTGTTACGAAAAACCCTCACATTTAATGTTTATAAAGTCGATTCACCGAGCAAAACAGTTACAGAGAGGTCGATTTTGTACGACAAAAGAGCATCGAAAAAGAGCAAAGTTTTTAATGAGCTCTGCTAGGTTTTTTAACTTTCACTCCTGTATAAGTTTTTTTGCCTTTTAGAACCTTATAGACAGTCAAATAGCAGTCAAATATCAATCGGCTTTAGCTCTCTGGCACATGATTTTAGTGAAAATCATCGCTAAAAGTCGGGAAAGCTTTTAGATTTCCTTAATGAGTCAAACTGGTATTTGTTCTTTGGTTCTTTTGTGCCAAAGACTCTGTCCTTTTCATCACAGATTGATTCAGTAGCCAAATAAAAAAAATACATTTCAAATTCCACTCTTTTTTTTTTCTTTTCTTTCCAAGACACATCTTTGATAAGAGAGGGTGAAAGTCTATTCGAATCGCCTCGTGCTTTTTTCTTGGCTGAAATTTGGCAAACTTGAAAACTCCAGACAATTTTTAAACTTTTCCTTAACATTTTGATCTTTTCACTTGTACAAATGATGTTTCTTCAACCCTTTTTGTTAATTTGAAAAAAAAGTTTGATCATTTCTTTAGTTGTTAACGCTTTATGCAATACGCTATGAGCTTTGTAAATGGACTGTTTGTGAATGGACTAGCTCGTATGAGGATTTATTATCTTTCATTTTGCACTAATAATCAAGAAAAACCATCTTCCGCTTTATTTTAGACAATGTTTATTGTTTTAGAGAAATTTTAAAGAAAAAGAACTTCTTGTAAAGTTCTTTTTCTTGTAAACAAAGCAAAAACAAAAAACCCTTTTCTTTCTAGAGAATGCCTCGAAAAGAGGTTCTCTTCACGTTCACCGTCGGTGTCGCCATTTCCCTGTCAGCCAACTTTCAATACGGTTTCTCGTCCACTTATCTAAATGATCCAGTCGACGAATTCAAGGTAATCAAAGGGAATTGCAGAGCCTAGATTCGTAATCTAACGTCTTTTAATAATAAGATGAACAATAGCATATTGGCAATATGGCAATGGCAATGTGAGGCAATAGAGCAAACTAGAAAACAAGCTTTGACTGAATATCTTAAAAATTACATTTAAATTACTTCCCTTTTACCGTAATCATTTCCTATTTTGCACTAATAAACAAGAAAAACCAAAAGTGCCGGTGGTTACTTTGTGTCAAATTACTTTCTTCTAAGTGGGCCAATCTTTATCTTACCATAACTGTCTTCTAAGTGAATCAATCTTTATGATTTTGGTGTCATTTTGTTGCACTTGTTGAGATCTACAAAATGAAACCAAAAGCATAAAGATTGGATGACTTAAAAGAAAGTTATGTCGAGCCAAACGACCTAGTCGTTTGTCAACTGGGTCGTTTGCGCAACTCACTATAACTTTCTTCTAAGTCGACCAATCTTTATGATTTTGGTGTCATTTTGTTGCACTTGTTGAGATCTACAAAATGGCATCAAAATCATAAAGATTGATTCACTTAGAAGAAAGTTATGGCGAATTGCGCAAAAAATTTAGCACAAACCAAGCTGACTCTATGAAAAGTTTCGCACAAAGCTCTTCCATTTAGGCGTACATCAACGAGTCGTTCACAAAATGGGAAAAGCATCTCTCGTCAAGTCAAATCGATCTAGTAATCCCCATTCTCTACAAAAATTTCCAAATATTCCAGGCTTCAGGTGTTCAACTTGATCTCGAACATTTGGTTTGTCGGGTTTTTCTGCGGAATTTGGTTGAGTCCACTGTTGAATGATCGATATGGGAGAAGGGGTGAGTGCAAAAAAAGAAAAAGCATCGATTAATATTAATTCTAGTTGGTTTCATTTCTGGTAACACTTTCTCTTTGTTAGCCTCATTTCTCCGTGCTCTCTCAATTATCACGCATCAACCGGAGATTCTCTTTTTCGCCCGACTATTGGCCTCAATATGTACAGCGGTCACCTATCAATCGTGTATCCTTTATCTACAGGTTTGCATTGAGTGTTGAAGTGTTGAAGTGTTCAATCTACTTTAATCAACAATAATAATATCAATGAACTTTCAGGAAGCATCACCAACTGAATACCGTGGCGTGATGTCATTCATATCAGAAATCTGTTATGCCGGGATGACATTAGTTGGAATGGGCTTGGGCACTGATCAATTGCTCGGCAAACATCTCTTCTGGTTGACCGCTTTCGCCATCATTCCATGTAATGAAAGACGAAATTCCGAAAATCATTTGATTCTTAGCGTTTCTCGCCTTGCTCGTGCTCTTTTTCATCCCGGAAACACCCAAATTTTTACTCATCGTCAAAAAGGATAAAGAAGCTGCGCTGAAATCGGTTCACTTCTTTCACGGGAAATCGTCGAATGCACGTGGTGTACTTGATGAAATTGAAATGGTATTCGAGAAATTTCTTGCCTAGCCCACTCGCCATATTCAATTCATTCAATCCATACAATCCATGCCATAGTTTTAACAATCTTCTCACATCTTCTAACAACTCGTGAATCGAGTTACGATAGCCTTTTCTTAAGCGCATTTTTTTAGAAATTCGTTTTAGTTTTCGTTTTAGCTAAAAGAAACAAAGTCCAAGTAAAAAAGACTGTTAAATAAAATGCTAATTGATCAAAAATTGATCAGTGTTATTGCTAAATCGAAATCACAGCTATCGTACCCTTCCACCGTAATCCGTTTTCTATTCTACCCTAACTCTTGAGGAGTATATTTTATCAAGTAAATTTTAGGAAGCCGAAGCCGACAAAGACGAGGCCTCATTCAAGCAGGGAACAATCGACATGTTCACACAGCCACATCTACGAAAAGCTCTTCTTTTGAGCTGCGCAGCACTACAGGTTTCAAAAAATCATTTCAAAGTTTCAAAAGCAAAAAATCAAATTCAGAACACAGTCGCTTTGTGGTCAATTCTGCTGAATTCGACTCAATTTCTACAGGTTTGGCGTAAAAATTGCAAGTCTAAGGACCTTTGAAGGACGCCGGTGTGACCGATTGGGACAATGAGCTCTCAAAATGGACATCAACCACAATGTCTCTTTGCTATTTCACAGCCACCATCATGGCAAGCGCATTGGTGGAGAGGTGTGATTAGAAAGCTATCAAAAAAAAAGAAACTCCTATATCAGAGCTGGGAGAAGACCTCTACTACTCACATTCACCTCAATCAACATGTTAGCTCTTGTATTGTTTACCGTATTCGCCGAGCTTCGTAAAGCCGTCGATGGTATGAAATATGGATGTGTATTTGCTCTATTATTATATGGCTTCACATATGGGTAGGTTGACACCAAAAATCGGTTAAAAGTTAAAATTTCAGCGGAGCTGTTGGCCCAGTTTCTTGGTTCATTCCAGCGGAGTTGGTTCCGCAACGATACCGCTCCTTAAACCAATCGTTATCCTATGCGATTAACACGCTCTCTGTCGTTATAACTACATTCACTGTTATTCCTTTCTATAACGCGATAGGTTAGTTGAGAGTCTGATGCCTAACCAAAAAAACTCCAGGTTCCTACGCTTTCCTCATTCTGTATATTGGACCCTCAATTATTTGTATGATCTACTTGTTTTCATACTTACCTGAGACTACAAACCGGGAAATTCACGAGATTGTCGATGAGTTGAAAGGCAATAAAAAGAAATGATGTTTTTATTTTGTTAGAGCTGATTAAGCTGATTTTTATTTTATTAAATGAAACAAATATATGCACACCTCAAAAACACAATAAACTACCCGTGAGCTAGTAAAGACTTAAATGTTACTCTGATCCAGATTCACTTTCGCTTCCATAATCGACAAGTCCAGTTAATGAAATCGGTGTCGTTTCTGAAGATCGACCATTTGATGAAGCTTTTTCTTCTTTAATTTGAGGCACTTCTGAATCACCAACCTTAAAGATCTTGTTTGGAAAAAATATGATAACCCTCGTACGTACATTGTTCAAGTCTGATTCAAATTTTACTTCATCTGCATCTTCTTTAATTTCCTCTATCGATTCGCCATCCACTTCTTCTTTCACTCTTTTGCGAATAATTCCAAGTCCGTTCAGCTTTCTTTTTTCTCCTATTCCACTTCCACTTGCACTTGCAAATTGATCATTTAGCCATTTGTTTCGCTGAAAATTTCCCAAAAATTAAGCACATACAAATAGATACCAACCGTTTTACGCATTGAATCTTTCAGACGATCTTGACTGGTCAAATTTTTGTGTAAAATGTTGACAGATGAAGTAGAAGGTTTGTTGAAAATTCTGCGTCCTTCAACAGCATCTCGTGCTTCTTCTTGTGTTTCATCAAATGCTAAAAGATTAATTTTATAACCAAATAACTTTCAAAAAAACCCACTTTTTACTCTAGATTGCTTCATGACAAGACCGGCTATTCGTTTATCATCGGGCCTTTCCGGCAGCAACTCAATAGTAAGTCCACCACGAGCCTAAAAATTTAGTAATTAAACCTTTTTATCTGGGACATATAAATAAAACCAAGACTTTACCTTTAGAGCATCATCTTTTGCTCGTTGCTCATTTAAGTCATTCTTCTGAGTCCGAAATCTTGCTCGTAGATGAGAGTTTGCCGAGTAGTCGTCTCTTGTTCGTTCTTGAAGCCATTCCAAAGTGTTCAAATCTTTTTCTGTTGTATCCGCCTTCTCTTTGTCCTAAATATGTAGCGTCATATCTATTCCTATAAAGTTTTTACCTTTACACCGTGCTCTTGCTTAAACATTGCATCCGCTGCCAACTTTTGACTCATCGCACTTCCAGCTTTAGTTCGCTCATATCCGGGAAATTGTCTAAAATTGAAGTAAATATTAAAAAAATACCCTTATAAAAATATAAAAATCATTGATAACTTACCCATTTTCCTCGGGTTCCCATTGTTTCTTTTGTCGCGACAAGCCTTCGAAACATTCGTAATCAAGATTCTAAAACGATCAAGTCAGAGCTTGGTTCAATTTAATCAATCACCTTTGGATCTGTTCGCATGACATAATAGTTGTCGCAAAGATGGCACTTCATTCGAAATTCGTAAAGAGGCGTTGTATAATACATTCCGATCTAAATACATAAATGGTATTTTCAGAACTCTTTAAACAAACCTTTTTCTTTTCAGCATTGTATCGAACGCCCATGCCTACGTGATTTCTGCATCCAAGACACCAAACATTGTAGGGCATTTCAAATCTAAAGTTTTGAAACTTAGTTTTGCATATACGGATCAGCTTACCTGATGACAAGAATTCCCTGCCCAATTTTGCTTGCCCTTTCGCGCAAAGCGTGTGTTCCATGGTAAGCGTTAAGCGTCTTGTGCTTCTTGTAATCGAAGTCGGGCGGGTAGTAGTGATTTTGACCTAAGTAACGATGCTACTTTAAAAAGGGCATTCAATATACGATATTTTGAAAATGCTAAATCCAACCTTTGCGTTCACCCATTTTTGAAAAAGCTCAGTCGTTTAATGACACGGAATCTAAAAAAAAAATACTCGTTTGATAAATAGGTAACTGCTACAAAATAGTGTCAATCTCAAAAAAATAATCGATAATCTTTGTTCCAAACTTAGGTGATTTTTAGAACTCAATAGCACCAAATATTTATTATCACCCGTATTTCGAGACAACCTGTAACAATATTATGCATGGCAAGAAATTTGTACGCGGAAATATATACAGAAGCATAATTTACAATCAAAGACAAACTAACAACATTTCCAATAGAAAGCTACAAAAACTATGCAAAATAACAAAAAAACTACAATTCTAAACCTAAAGCATGCGCCTCCAGCGGAGCAAAATCAGCCTCTTCGAAATTGATCACTTTTTCTTCTAGTGGTTTTTCCAATACGCTTTTCTCAGTACGTGTATGCCAAACATAAACCTAAACAACGATTGTAAAAAACTTTTGGTCCCGTTACCTTAGTGCAGAGATCAGCTTTCGCCTCTAAATCGAACTTCTCCAAATTTAATCCTTGTAGAAAATGTGATTCCTAAACTAGTTTTACTGGTGTAAAGGTTTATAAAAAACCTGATAGCCGCGTGGTACAGAATAGGAAAATTCGACACCGGGATGATCAATTATCTAGAAACAAATATACATGTTGTATTAATGATATTAAAATAGTCGACTCACTAGCGAGATGTTAACGGCAAAAGCTGCCATATCGATTGGAAAGGGTCGCTCGGGTTTCCACAGGGCATTAAAATGAGAAACAGAACCTGCAAGTAAAAAGTTAAACCAATTAAAAATCTCCCACCATTATCGAAGAGTGTTGGTGCTTCAGCAAGAAGGCCACCAACTATGCCCACCGGCCAAATCCCAGCTTTCTTGATTGCTAAATAACTTTGTTAGGCGAAAATCTTTAAAAATTACTTCGCATCTCCGAGAAAAGCCGCCAATCGTACGTGTTATCGTCATCACCAAAATAGAGAACCCCTCTTCGAAGCGAGGAAAATTGAGTCCTTAAAGAAATTTGCACAAAATTCTTTAATTAACAAGAAAAGACCCTCTTGCCTACCTTATCCAATGTAAAGCGGCATTTCTTTGTTCGACGCCACGCGGTAATTTCCAACTTGGATCCGAATATTTCATCTTCTTTTTCGATGTCGTTTTCGCGTTGATATGCGTGAATTGAAGACGTGTTCTAAAAATTCAAAGATTACCACTTCAAACATCTTTTTTTATTTTATTACTTCTTATAAAAAGCTACCTTTTTAAAATCTCCCCAATTGATGGAGAAGTGGTATCACTATCCTCGATGAGAATCCAGTGTAAATTTGGCACCTAAAACAATTCAATTTTTTTAAAGGTATTAAAATAACCTGTGCCAGTGTTTGTGATAGTCGAATCAAGTCAGCGCGTTGAGCCGGACGAAAATGCGTGGGTGTAACAAAGTAGATCATCGGCATTTTGTCGTTAGATGACCCGAGCAATCGTGTATGATCCCGCAATCGAAAAATAAAGTTTGAAAGTTACAAGGTTTCCCGTGATACTTTAAAATTACTGGTAAATGTTCAACTCACTTCATTTCAAGTTGTTGCAGCTTTTTCTCGCTTCTATAGGCCTCTCTTTCCAAATCGTTTAGCCGCATCCTCACCGAGTCACGTTTTCTTTCCAACATGTGCACCTCGGCCTCGAGTGTCATTTTTCCGTCGTCAAGCGTTTCCACCTTTGAGAAGACGTAGAAGAGTTGCACGATGAAGAACAACGCAATAGCGCCAACTATTCGAAATGCAAGGCTGTTCGGATCCATCTGAAAATTTATTGTAGCATCAAAAACACAAGAAATCATAAAACCATAATTGACAAAACGAAAAAGATCACACCGGTAATTAAATAAAATTACAAGAATTTTGAAGAACGAAATAAATATTCGATTTGCCCGTTTAATGCCCGTATTTCTGGAATTCCCAATCGCGATTGTCTAATGGGCAGACTTGACGCGTCTTCAACCATCGGGAAATACAGTGAAAGTGAAAGGCGTGGTTGCACGATCCCCAAGCGACGGTGCACTCCTCGTTGGTGCCGCGTGATTGATCCGCCTGGCACTCGATGCACAGATCCATGATGTGATTGCGACAAATGGCACAGTTATCGACGACGATGTCCCAGCTCCAGAGTGCAACCGCCGACCACTTCTTGATCTCGAAACGTGCCTTCTTGGGGGCCTCCTCGACGGCGTTGTCAGTGCTGTCCACTTCCATCATTTTGAAGCTGGAAATAAGAAAGTTAAGGAAATAAGAAAGTTAAAAGTATGGTTTTAAGAAAAACGAGAACGATAGAAAATAGAAACGTGTTTTCTAGAATAAGGGGGCTATTTTCAACTCGTGAAGATGTACATTTCCTAACAAAAGCAGTATAGTTGTTTTTGAGTAAAAATAATACATGTATTAATGTGTGAAAGACGACGGTTTTAAGTGGGTAACTTTAGAAGCTAGAAACTTATCACCGAACAATTAAAAAGTTAGTGCTAGAGTCGTGATTAGACTTGCTCGATATTATCGATACAAACGGTATACTCATGTTTGACGGTTCAGATCTCAGTTTCTAGAACAGCTATCAATCAGGAAATTGTTTCATTAGAAAGTCAAGAATGTCAGCTTTTGATTGCTATTTTATACATAACAACTTTTAATCAGTAAGACCTCATAAACCTTATCGATAAGTATTGATAAGCTTTTTAAGGCACTCACCTATGAGAATTTGCTATGCGTGAGATAGCAATCAAAAGCTGACATTTTTGGCTTTTTAATGAAACAATTTGCAGATTGATAGCTGTTCTAGGAACCGAGATCTGAACGGTCAAACAGGAGCATGCCGATAATATCAATAAACAAGTCTAGTCGTGATTGCGGGAGAAATGCCAAAGTTTTTGGGATTGATGACCCGGAAACTTTGGCAAATATAAACAAAAAGCATTGAATGTTCAATTTTTAAAATGAATAGCATAAAGCCAGCTTAACTATAAACTATGTACTCAAATTTTCGGATTTTGATTTCGAACGTGCGTAAAGTTCATAGTTAAGTCGATTTCCAACAAGGTCACAAGTTGAATCATTTTGATGATTCAAAATGATTCAACAAAAAACCATGAAACAATTAAAACAATTAAAACAATTACGAGGAAACAATTACGCAACTCAGGCACAAATATCGGAAATCATCGGCGCCAAAAAAAGTTGTGTAATTTTATAAGATCTCTAATTTTCCTAAAGTAACGAAATGCGCCTTTTTGCTAAAGAGCACTAGTGAACAAATGACCGTACGGGGGTGTCGGTGGGTACTTTATCCAGAAGGGTGATCGTTGTGAGACCCATTTCTCTTCGAGATATCCCCGCAAGAAGCGACGGCGATCGATAGCACATTTGGAGATACGCCAACAATAACTTCTCGTACACTTTGTGCATTCCATCACTTATGATTTAGACCTCCGTTCACCTGTTTTTGCTGAGATCGTTGAACGGGACCACTTTTTCTGACCAATCTTTTCTGATTCTTTTTTTTGCACTTCTTGATTGGACAAAACTTCTTGAATTTTGAATTTTCAGAAACTGTGATGCAAAAGAGTAGAAGATCGACAATTTGAGAGTAGATAGAGAGGATAATTTATGTACAACTCACAACAAATACAGGTTTGTTGAGGACATTGATTCGAAGCTTGAGTCTAGGTCGATCCTCAAAACTTTCATTGATTATCTTTACACTATTCATTACAATAATCATTGTGAACGATTTAAAATTGTAAGTGTTTACAATTTTAAATTTCAGATTTGCTATTGTATAGCTATTTGCTAATACAGCTATTGTATAGCAAAATCGTTCACAAATCTCAGGTTTATAAATTAATGTCAACAAATTGCGATCAGGGGTATAAATTTGGTTGGACCATCTAGCTGTTAACTGCTGGTACTAGTAGTTTAAATATAAAACATGTATATGTTGTGTCCGATTTAGATTTCCGTCCGATTTAGATTCAATCTAAATTGGACGGAAATCTAAATCGGACACAACATATAAAACATATATAAAAATAATGTTTAAATATAAAACCCATCTTTCAAATACATTTTCTTATTTAAAAATCCATTTCCAATTTCCAGGGCCCGTCTCGACCTCAGCAATTGGGAATGCAATCGGGCGCTCAGACTGGCCCTCAAACCGCCGCCCCCAATGAAATCGCCTCGAAAGAAAAGTGAGCTTCAAAAATAAAGATATTCAGCTATAAAACATTTAATTACCCTTCAGATTAGCGGCTTACGTGTATGAATATTTGGTGCATTCTGGTGCTACGAAAACCGCCGAGACTTTCAAAGCCGAGGTGTTGGCGGTGAGTTGGGAAAACTTTTAATAGATAAAAAGTAACTTACAATAGTAAAAAAAGATGTTATTGAGGTTAGGAACTTGAAATTTTTATTATTTTAACGATAATTTTCCTTTTAGACAACGCAAAACGCGAAAACGCCACCGGTCAGCGAGACGACGCCGGGTTTTCTGCAAAATTGGTGGCTGTGAGTTTTTGAAATATAGAATGCTTAAAATTTAATTAAAATATGAAAAAAAATCATAACTAGGCTAGTGTTAAAGATAATTTTTTCAAATCTTTTCAGAGTTTTCTGGGATTTATATTGTGCTGCACCAGAGCGGCGAGATGAAAATCCTCACAGTCAAGAGGCCAAATATTTCTATCAAATGGTAAGTTGGGGAGAAATTTTAGATCATTTTCAAAAGGAATATTCATTCTTAAATAAAAATGATGCTAACAGTCACTACTGTTACATATTTTTAAGGTTTAAATGGAAAGAGATGAAGCTATCTAGAGATGAAGCTATCTAGAGAAAAAGCTGAGTCACATTATAGTAAACCACCGTTCAGCAGTCTACCGTATGCTGCAGTATTAAGAGTATTCAGGCAATAAAACTGTCGACCTTTTGCTTAATTTAATGACTAAAACTTTTCTGTAACTTTGATGGGTAAAAATTTTCTGTAAAGACTATAACTAGACAAAAATTGAGGCTTACAGTTCCTTTAAATACCTTTTTTTTTGTCATTATTGTCCCATTTCAATTTGAAAAAGTGACTCAAATGATTTTTTTTGGTAATAGACTCAACCTTATAGTCCTTTATGTGTATATTTTTTTATTTTCTCATTTATTTCTTGTTTCCAGTTTGTCAGCGAGAACCAGTTTCACGGGCCTCCAATGATGAATGGAATGGGACAGGTGAGTGCTTTTTAAAAGAGATTTACAATAGAAATTTGCATAGAAACTGATCAAGACAAGAAAATTAAACTATTTTCTTCTATTGTAAACCATTGTAAGCTTTGCACAGCTTAAAGCTTACATTTCCTTGAATTTTGAAAATCTGAGCTTGAACTGAAAGATGCTATCAAAATTTCTGGCTCTTGTCTCACTATACCCGGAACAGTTACAGTTACAGTTACAGTTACAGTTTTACAGTAGAATGTTTTCTAAATCTAAGTCCTGTAAAGCCGCTATACTGTAGTATAGCGGAGAGAAAAGGAACAGACTTTAAAGGAGGTTTTGAATCAAATCGAATGGAAAATGACGATTTGCTAATTGTTGGAAGCTTACAGTAACCCGGAACAGCTACAGTTACAGTTACCGTATACTGTAGCATAGCGGATCATTTCAAGATCATCAACAACTGGCTACTTTTCGAATTTTTAAAGTGAAGACTTGACGAAACATTTTCAATCTCAGTAGCACTATAGCAGGAAAGAGGCTGGGGCTTTACAGTACTTAGATTTAGAAAACATTTAGCTGTAAAACTGTAATTGTAACTGCTCCGGGTTACTGTAAGCTTCCAACAATTAGCAAATCGTCATTTTCCATTCGATTTCATTCAAAACCTCCTTTAAAGTCTGTTCCTTTTCTCTCACTTTTTGCTTTTTTTTCCCCCAGTTTCCCCCAGAGATCACCCCTCCACAAAAAAGAGGAAGAACTCCGAAATGAGGACAATCTCGCAAAAACAAAAGACAACCATTTCCATTGACTTTTTTTTAATGAAAAACTTCATGATGATCAAGATCCGGACTCTATTGTGTATCTATATGCAAATTTACAGTTTGCAATTTGCAAATTTTACAGTTAGCTGACTAGGCTGGCTAAAAACACTGTACCTATATTACAGTATATTACAGAACTGTATAATTGTAGCTATAAAGCTGCTGGAACAAAAGGTAGCCCTGTAGATAAGGTTTTAAGTATCAAAAGTACTGTAACTAAGGGTGGGTGCTGTAGGTTGCCTGAACTGACTCAAAATAGTACTTTTTCGTACAGCTAACAGTGTAAACGATGTACAGGGTGCGGCATAAGTATGGTTACAGACTCAGAACCGTGTATCGTAATGAAGTATAAACGGATTCATGTAAACTTTATTTCTAATTAACAACAGTAATCATATTCATTTTAAAAATGTACACTTATAGTTTTGCATACCAGGTTCTTTTGTGGACTGAGATTAGGATACAAAAATGAACAGCGCCGGGAAATGAACACAATTTTATGCTGATTTTAAATATATACTCCGTTTTTTAGGCTCTTGACAAAGTTATGTCTTTTTTTCATTTTATAAAAGTGTGACAACAAGAAATATGTGGTGCGCGAGCACAAAGAACGCTAGTGAGCAGTTCTTGAAAAAAGGCAAAAGAAAAATCCGAAGTCCGGATCGAACTTGCTAGGTCTGGCTCCGGAAACGAACCCCGTACCACTCGGCCACGCCTGCACTGAATCGAGCCGGCAAGGAGACCATTAAGACCCAAATGACCACATTTTCAGAACAAAACTTTAGATGCTAACTCCTGACAGATTGTCATTTAGCAAAAACGGAATATATATTCAGAATCAGCGTAAAATTCTGCGTCAAACGGTATAGTTCGCATAGCATTTGGCTCAGCCATTTGTCCTTCCCTGTTAGATTTAGCAACACAAATTCTCAGATGTGCTTAATCCTCAAATGTGCTTTGTGCTCACAAGGTGAAACACAGCCTTTCTAGCGCTCTCGAATGCTTCATTTCTCTCGCAAGAACTTATTGTGTCGCATAGCATTTGGCTCAGCCATTTGTCCTTCCCTTGTTAATTTAAACCAATTGATCACAACTAACTCCAGCATCCGTGGAGTTAGTTGCCGAGCGGTTAGAAGCCATGTATGCTAGTCGAGAGGTCACGGGTTCGATCCCAGTGGCTAGCTGGGATCGCTGGGATCGCTCGGCCAGCTGGGATCGAACGGATCTCGCTCTTTTTCTCATATTTTTCTCTACAACATCTACAACATCTACAACATCTTTTAGGGGTATTAGGGCAATAAGATAAATATTTGTTTGTTTCACATTATTCAATTTGAATCAATGTATACTTTTTTATATATCTCTGTCACCTCTCGACTCTACCCTCCACCCTCAAAAGCATCGAATCATAGTTTTGTGGGGTGAATTGGGGAAAGAGAAAGAAAGAGGAATAAGGTCCGCGCAAACAAGCCCATCCCCTGTCAGGGCTCTCGCCTAGTCTCCCAATCTTGCCCTCAAAATGTCTGCACCTCAAATTCCCCCTTTGACCCTCATTCCCCCATCTTGACCCATACCCCAAACCCTAGATCTCTTCATTTCACCCACTCTTTCCCTAAAATCTCTCTTCTTTCACTCCTTTTTTTCTCTCACTTTGACCTCTATTAGCCTCTTTTCTCTTTTACTTTCCCATTGTCCTTCTGATTAACCTTTTCTATATCTTTTCTTTTTTTCTATATCTCTCGGCTTCTTCGTCTTTCTTCTTCCGGTCTTAAAGGGTTAGACACATAGAGGTATTCGATGTGCAACGATGCGAATGGATGGGGGGAAAAGGAGAGGTGAAGAAAGGAGAGAAGATGAGATGAGTAAAGGAAAGACGGGGACTCACCCCTTATAGTCATTCCCTCACACAGGATCTCGAGACTTTCAAGAAAGGGGAATAATCGGAGATCGAAGTCGGAGATATTGTTTCTAGAGAAATGCGGAATGAATCAAAAATGAGTTATTGAATTTGGAAAAGGGATGCTTTTGATTATAGATCTTAAAAGCCATATATCAAAAGGACTATATTCGTTTTTAAAAAGCGCTACACGCTACCGTAATCCGTAGCTTATGCTGGTGAAACTATTTTGTAGCTGGACAATCAAAAACTATACAAAAAGCAAATCTGGTTTACTTTTGATAAGCAGTCAGAGTTTTGATAACCTTTGACAACTTTTAGAGAATCACACTGTTTAGTTATAAATGATTTCTGGTATACTGGTAGCTTTTTCTTTTAGCAAATACTTTGATTCAGAAAACGCAATAGATTTAGCCATTTATAGCTGCTAAATCAAAGTAAGAAGTAGCTTTAGTGAATACAGTAAACTATTGGGTTGGTGAATTGAAAACTGCCGGACTTTGAACTAAAATTTATTCAACATAAAACCATAAATTCATTCCAAATAATTTCCATTATTATTGACGACTTCTGCCCATTTTACAGGCAATTTGCGGATTCCTCTTTCGTAGTAGCATTTTGGTTTGTGTGTGAGACAAGTGTGAGACTCAAAAATGGAGGACTGGAGAACTCCCAGTTTGAGCACTTTCTTCAAAAGAAACCCATTTTGGTGTCAATAGAAAAGTTGTAGAGAATCAAAAATTAGGCTTATAGCCAAATTTCCAAAAAGATACACTTAGTAGTTTCGCTTAAAATGCAAGTTTTGTGAAAATTCGTAAATTTAGCAATTTCTTGAAAACCACTTTTTGAATCGTTCTGAAAATTTGGATCTAAGCTTGATTTTTGATTCTCTACAACTTTTCCATTGACACCAAAATGGGCTTCTTTTGAAGAAAATGCTCAAACTGTCACATATGACAAGAGCCGGCAGTTTTCAATTCACCAACCCAATAGAAATTGATTGCTTTCTCATTTTAATACAAAATTTATCAATAAAACCAAAAAAACAACAAAAAAAACAAGTAAAACAATACTTTCAATCGAATCTGACAAAGCAAATGATTTGAAAACAAAAAAGAAACGACGACGCGGCGCTCCCATCAACTAGCTCCAAATGGCGGCGACGCCAATTGGAATGCGACGTTGCGCGAAAATTAAGCCTTAAAAGGGCTATAAGCCTAATTTTTGATTCTCTACAACTTTTCCATTGACACCAAAATGGGTTTCTTTTGAAGAAAGTGCTCAAACTGTCACATATGACAAGAGCCGGCAGTTTTCAATTCACCAACCCAATATAAGTTTATCTTGAAGAAGATTTGAGTAAGAAATGTTTTATGGTAGGCTGAGATTAAGTATAGGCTGATACCAAGTTGAAAGATATGTTATTTATGGATAAATTTTAACTTTTCAAGTACTAGATAAAGATTTAAAATTCGCTCAAAAGAGTATTTTAGTTTCCCACCGGACCATCACCAATGGGAATGGCACCTGGACCGGATGGGATGATACCTGGTTAGTTTTAGATGAAAAGAAAAGTGATTAGATATTAAATATGAAATATTAAATGCAAATATGATTAGAATTTGATAAGTTTTACAAAATAAAGTATAAAATTGAGGAGCCGGTTTCCCCGGTCGTTTCCCTCCTGGACGAGGGCCCCCGGGTCCCCCGCCTGGTGCTCCTGGAATGCCGCCTGCAGGTTAATTTTTCTAAATTATAAATTTAGATAATAGATAGATATAGATAGATATAGATAGTAGATAGATGTAGATAGTAGATAGATATAGATAGTAGATCGATATAGATCGTAGATAGATATAGATATAGATAGATATAGATATAGATAGTAGATAGATATAGATATAGATAGTAGATAGATATAGATAGTAGATAGATATAGATATAGATAGTAGATAGATATAGATAGTAGATAGATATAGATATAGATAGTAGATAGATATAGATAGTAGATAGATATAGATAGTAGATAGATATAGATAGTAGATAGATATAGATAGTAGATAGATATAGATAGTAGATAGATATAGATAGTAGATAGATATAGATATAGATAGTAGATAGATATAGATATAGATAGTAGATAGATATAGATAGTAGATAGATATAGATATAGATAGTAGATAGATATAGATAGAGATAGATATAGATAGTAGATAGATATAGATATAGATAGTAGATAGATATAGATATAGATAGTAGATAGATATAGATAGTAGATAGATATAGATATAGATAGTAGATAGATATAGATAGTAGATCAGATATAGATAGTAGATAGATATAGATATAGATAGTAGATAGATATAGATATAGATAGTAGATAGATATAGGTAGTAGATATACATCTTGTATAATAGAATAATAGATATATATCTCTATCATAACTTCAATTAGGCTTCCCGATGTTCGCCAATGATCCGCGGATGGTGCCTGCCGGTCAACGAATGCCTCCACAAGCTGCGATGAGAATGTCTGCTGGATTTCCCGGTTTGTTTAGAAATTTGTGCATTTATGTTGCTTGAATATTCTCCAATTACGATATTCAGGAATGCGGCCTGGGCAACCGGGCATGTCTGGACCATACGCGAGGCCCGGCTACATCGACTCACCGGGGACAGCATTCCCGCAAGGAATGATACCCAATGGAGGAGTCATGTGCTCACAGGTGGCTAATAATCTGAAGAAAAGGATAAGCTAAACTTTGAAGACTCAAAGCTTGAGAAAACTTATAAAACTTATTTGTAAATTGTAAGTTTTGTGGCGCTAGCTAGTGGCTAGAGCATTTGCCCCAGAAAGCAGAAAGGTCGAGGATTCAATCCCCTCTCTCTGAAGTCTTTCTTTCCCATCCCTTACTTTACTTTATTCATTGTCAGGCTCAGTTGCTTTCCGTAATAATTTCTACAGTAAGCTCTTGTTGATAACAATTGAAGAATGCCGAAAAACTTTACTTCAAGGCTTATTCAGAAGTGTTTGGATAAAATCGGTGTATCAAAATAACAACAAACCAATAATCGGCAAAATCTTAGAGTGCCATGTCTCTATCATCTCCATCAGCTGGCCCACCAATCTCTCAAGCCAACCCGCAAGCCCCCGCCGACCCAAACAATCCTGAACAACGCTTCATGATGATGCCGACGAGTTCGTCAGCGTTGGGGGTTAGTGAATCGATTACGATATGGAAATACTAACATCAATATTTCATCAACTACATTCTTTTTCTCTAGTTTGGAATGGGTGATCAGATGGGCGGCACGCCGATTAACTCGATGGCGCAGAGCACGTCAAATGGAAGCGCCCACGAGAATCCACCGCAAATACCAGTAAATATTAATAAAACAAAAAGAAACCTTAAATATATTCTTGTCTATAAACTCTTTACAGATGATGAACGGTGAAGAGATCAAACAATCGCCGGCGAGCACTCCTAGAGGCGCCAATGGAACGGGGACGCCTGGGGCCGGACCGGGAAGTCAAGTGAGTGAAGGATTGATGAAAAAGCTTTAAATGAAACGAAATATTAATGTCATTTATTAGATTTAGATCATATCAATCTTTTAGGCGCCTGGCTCCGCGCAATCCGGTGGCGCTCAATCGGGTGGAAGTGCGATGAATGGACCGGAGACAAACGTCGAACCGACCGCTCCTTCAAATCCTCCGCAATCCGGTGGCCCACATGTATGTTATAAAAATCCTGAAAAGCTAATGTATTCTAATTCGATTCTAGTTCGATTCTAATTCTAATTCTAATGCTAATTCTAATAATTCGATTCTAAAATTCAAATGTGCATTACCAAAATATTAGGTACATGCATAAGAAATGCAGATTTCAACATTTAATTTAAACATTTAAATTTCCAACGATAGAAATCTGATATCGTCGAATGTTATAAACTATTTGAAAGTTGTAAATCTCCTCTACAAAATAGGCTAAAACGTGTTTCAATTGATCGAAGCATTGAAGAAATTTCGAGGCCGAAATGCGAGTGATCAAAAAAGAGCACTTTTTGAAAACCCCACTTTCACAAGAGTTCGGTTTTGACTATATAGTGGAAAATGAGCGCCCTAAAATCATTATCCTAAAATCATTATCTTAAAAATATCATTCAAAATAACTAAGAGTTGGGATCATTTCATGGGAAAACTTTGTTTTTACAATCATTTTTCTTTTTTTGTGAAAAAGCCGGTTTTTTTGACAATTTTGAGGGTTTTGAACTTACGCTCTATCTAAATTTCTGTAAATGCATTTCCGTTAGACTTTTTTTAATGAATTCATATATAGTTATCCTTTTTTTTAAATCTTCAATTTTGGGAAGCTAACTCTATTTTGACCACACTAAACTTGTCCCTAAAGTGACTCGATTCTCTTTTTGGTCACTCGCATTTCTCCCTCGAAATTTCTTCAATGCTTCGATCAATTGAAAAACGTTTTAGCCTATTTTGTAGAGGAGATTTACAACTTTCAAATAGTTTATAACATTCATCGATATCAGATTTCGATATCGATGAATGTTATAAACTTTTCTTTACTTAATACTATATAATACTTTTTACTCAACTATACGGTAGAGTAAAAACTTTACTCAGTAGAGACAAAAGAACTCAACTATACGGTAGAGACAAAAGAACTCAGCTTTACTCGGTAGAGACAAAAGAACTCAACTATACGGTAGAGACAAAAGAACTCAGCTTTACTCGGTAGAGACAAAAGAATCGATTACATCGATTGTTTCTCTCAAATTCTAAATCTAAAAGCCTAAATTTAATGCCAAAACTCGGATTTTCCAGGGTGGCGAAGACGATGAGATCAAAGCGATCAAGCAGTCGATTTTCGAGGACGCGAAACAATTCGACTCAAAAGAGGAACAAATGGAATTCTATCAATAACACACATCGGTTACATCGATTTTTTTTCTCTCAAATCGATTGTTTCTTCTAAATCTAAAAGCCTAAATTCAATGCTAAACACAATATTTATTCTAAATTTTCTACTATTCTCTGCAAAATTATTCTCCGATTCACTTCCAGAAACCCAGCCAAACCTTTTTTTCCTTTCTTGTTTCATCATTTTCTTTTCTACTCATAATCTCTCATTTTTTTTTGTCGCTCGCAATAGGTGAACACGATTGAAATTGCCCAAAAAAAAAAGAGTAAATGGCTGCTTATTTTTTTTTGTGGGGAAATGGTGGAGATTGTAGTTTCTTTTTTTTTGTCAGATCTACTGTATAAAACAAGTTTAACCTATGAACTTGAATCCATGAACTTTTCTAAATAACGCCTCGGATAGACGCTTAAAGTATGCGGCGCCGGCTTTTGTAAACTAAAGCGTCATTAGTTCAAAGTTGACTAAAAAATCAAAATGAAACTCTTTTGATCCACCATTTCCTTTTCCCCTCTTTTCATTTTCCTTTTGGTCGCTGGCGGCCTTCTTCTGCCAAAAGTTTTCAACTTTGCGATCTAAATTGCTATTTTACAAGAGCCTCTAAAATGGTTTACCGCTGCAAAGAAATCCCGCTCCATAAAACACCTTGATGCCTAAAGAATTTGCGTTTTATTTGTCTTCATTTCATTTCATTTCTTTTCTTTTCATTTCTTTTCTTTTCATCTCTTTTCTTTTCTTTTCTCTTGTTTCTCTTGTTTCTCTTCTTTTCTCTTCTTTTCTCTTGTTTCTCTTCTTTTCTCTTGTTTCCCTTCTTTTCTCTTGTTTCTCTTCTTTTCTCTTGCTTCTCTTCTTTTCTCTTCTTTTCTCTTCTTTTCTCTTGTTTCTCTTCTTTTCTCTTGTTTCCCTTCTTTTCTCTTCTTTTCTCTTGCTTCTCTTCTTTTCTCTTGTTTCTCTCTTTCTCTTGTTTCTCTCTTTTCTCTTTTTTCTCTTGCTTCTCTTCTTTTCTCTTGTTTCCCTTCTTTTCTCTTCTTTTCTCTTGCTTCTCTTCTTTTCTCTTGTTTCTCTTCTTTTCTCTTGTTTCTCTTCTTTTCTCTTCTTTTCTCTTGCTTCTCTTCTTTTCTCTTGTTTCCCTTCTTTTCTCTTCTTTTCTCTTGCTTCTCTTCTTTTCTCTTGCTTCTCTTCTTTTCTCTTGTTTCTCTTCTTTTCACGCTCGTTTACTTAACTCCTTTCTTTCACTGTATGTACATACAGTCTTTTGGTATTAAATGAATAATTGAATACCTATTTATTCTGGGAAAAAAATGAAGGTATAAATGGAAAGCATTTAGTGTAAAAGAGATTTTCTATGCACTAGATGCTTGATTGTGCCGAAAAATTTTCGAGAATTTTCTTTTTATTCCCCAGTACTCCCACCCACAGATCTACTCTATTCGTCTAGGTACTAGCAAATTCTCTCTCTCTTTTTTTTTTTCTTCTTTGATTATTTTATTTCCTAGGTTTAAAGATATTCAGTTATATACAAAAAGCTACTTTTCTATTGCTCTCGGTGTCTCAAAAAAGATTTGTTTTTCTATTTTTAGGGAAAGAGACGGTATTTTGAAGATTTTCGACTAGGATTTATTGTTTTAAACTCAAAATAGCACCTCTTTTTGGCTACCATTGAGTTTTTGGTTCAGTTTTGAGTGCACTAGATCAAGTACGTTTACCTTTTGCGCCCATAAACGCACACTTTTTGGTGTAGCTTTTTGGTGTAGCTATAGTTGAATCTATGAGCTCATTAGCTTCAAAAACCTCGATGGAAATGCAAACGCAGAAGTAGATTTATGGGGGACTTTGACGCATCAATTCATCATCTATTTTGCGTACTCTGAAGCGTTCTCTAGGCCCATAAACGATCCCCATCTGGCGCACTGATTGAGTCGCATAAACGATGCCCATCTGGCGCACTGTTGTGTGTACTCTGAAGCATTCTCTAGGCCCATAAACGATCCCCATCTAGCGCAACAATTATTAGCTTTTATGCATACTCTGGAGCGTTCTGTAATCCCATAAACGATCTTCATCTAGCACACCACTTCAGCTCTAAACCTCGATCTACGGTCTCTTTCCCATTCTCTCAAAAAAAAAAACAAATAAACTCTCGAAGCAATGACCCTTCCCATTCAATTCCCACAACTCATCTCCCGAAGCCTAAAATACGCGCATTTACCCCATCGAAGTGTTTCCATTTTTTTCCATTTTGTTTCCATTTTTACTATTTTCAATATTCGAGTTATTATCTTCAATATTGTTTCCCAATTTTCCCATTTTCACCAAAATTTCCAGCAGTTTTCCCAAATGGTGCCGTCTTTTTTTTGTTCCGCCCAATCAAAACGATAAGGAATCGATTGAAGAGACTTTAGAATGGACTTTAATTTAGAATTTTTAAATTAAACTTTTTCATTCCATAGACGTGTTCTTTATGCAATTCAAAATTAACTGTATCAAGTGCTTTTCATAGCTACCGTAAACTAGTTGAATCTGTTTCTTTTTGAGACATTTATGCTCAAGTTTGAAAGTTCTAGAGCCTTCTAGACCATTTCTAGACCTTCTAGACCCTTCCAGAGCACACAAATCAAAGGTTTCTCTAGAGAATTTCTAAAAAACACCTAAACTATCGTAATCGAATTGCGAGTTTTTATCTTAACAGCCTAATTTTGCTAATTTCGCTAATTTTACTGATTTTACTGATTTTACTGATTTTATGATGCTAAGAAATCAAAAATTTGGCTTCTTTGGCGAAAACTGGCGGTTTAGACGTTTCTCTAGACGTTTCTCTAGACGTTTCTCTAGACGTTTCTCTAGACATTTCTCTAGACGTTTCTCTAGACGTTTCCTAGACGTTTCTCTAGACGTTTCCTAAACGCTTTCTAGACGTTTCTCTAGACGCTTCTCTAGACGTTTCCTAAACGCTTTCTAGACGTTTCCTAAACGTTCTCTAAACCTTTTCTAGACGTTTTCTAGACCTTTCTCTAGACAATCTATCTACTGTATTTAAGCGAAAAATCTTATAAATTCAAAAATGAAAGTCACCTTTTTGTCATTCTAAAGTCTTTAAATTTTGATTCCTTACATAGAAATGTTCACTCTCTCAGCATCCATTGCCCATCGATTCACAGTTGTGTCCCCCCCCACCCCACTTGTTGTCAAAAGAAATGTCAAAATTTATGTCATTTTTGTTCTTTTCCGACTTCTCTGTGTGCTTATATTTATTAGAATTATTTTTGGTTTTTTTTTTGCGTTTAAATTTCTTTTTGTTTTTTTTTTTGTGTCAATATTTTCAATTGAATAACAATTCTCTTCAAGAAAATGGCCCCCGACTTTGTCAACTTTGAATAAATAATGTTGAAATGGTTATTAATTGAAAAAAAAAAATTAATTACAGAATAGAAAAGTAAAAGCTAATGAAATCTAAGCTTCAGAAAAGACCAAAAAAATGCCCACTATTAGGAATGAAATGATGAGTTTCTTGAGGTCAAATATTAGGGCATTGTATAGTACACAAGCTTCACAATGCTACCTTAAAAGTTAGCCTACTTTATGCGTACTTTATGCGTACTTTTGCACTTTCTGTAGCTTTCATAAACGATTCCCACCTGGTGCACGAATTCATCGGCTTTTGGCGCGTACTCTTGAATACTCGGCTTTCCTAGAAAGGTTTACCTTAGAAAGGTTTACCTTAGAAAAGGTTTACCTTAGAAAGGTTTACCTTAGAAAGGTTTACCTTAGGAAGGTTTACCTTAGGAAGGTTTACCTTAGGAAGGTTTACCTTAGGAAGGTTTACCTTAGAAAGGTTTACCTTAGGAAGGTTTACCACCTGGCGCATCAACTCAGTGCTAACAAAAAATGTAAGCTATAAACAGATCTAAACAGGCGCGAACTTGTAAAAGATTCATACAATTATTGTATTTTTTTTGTGCTAGAGACTAAAGTGAACGTGATTCAGCCGTCTTTCCTCCAGTTTCATCATGAAAAGACGTCTTTTTTTTTTTTTTCCTTTTTTCCTTTTTTCCTTTTTCCCATTTTCTTAGCCATTGCATCATGAACCAGAGAATCAGAGAATATAATCCAAAACGACTATAGCTCTTTTATTTGTCAAATTTAATTTTCCAATTTCTAATATTTTGATTTTTTTTCTAAATATTAACTTTTAAAATATCAATTTTCGTAAAAAATTTTACAATTTTGAACTTATTCAAAAGATTTTAATGTAGTTCACTATACTGTAGTTAACTACGCCTTAGTTCACTATACTATAGTTAACTACGCCTTAGTTCACTATACTGTAGTTAACTACGCCTTAATTCACTATACTGTAGTTAACTACGCCTTAGTTCACTATACTGTACTTAACTACGCCTTAGTTCACTATACTGTACTTAACTACGCCTTAGTTCACTATACTGTATACATTTGAATCTTTTGAATCTTTATAGAATCTTTTGATTTTTTTATTGCATCATGCTAGCTTTTTAATCCAAAACTTTTTCAATATACAATCGACTCGCAATACAACGTTTTGGAAATTCTAAAGCACACTCTTGCTTTCTGCCTAGCTGCCCAGCCAAACGCTATTGTTGAATACCTTGCTACAACCAACGTGTATATTCCGTTCAGAAACGATCACTGCAGAATTCTTTTTCATTTATATCGTTAAAAAGAAAAGCTATTAGGGGTTTCTAAAAGTTTTAATCAACCCGGATCATCACAGTCATTGTATGATGGTTTTTATGATCCGCAATTTCTTCTGCACGTACCTAATATTTACCGTATTTTCTCTAAAAGTAGTGCACCCAGAGCGTCGCCTAAATTCCTCGAAATCTCGAGAGCCGCTTATCAGAATCTATTGATGTGGGGTCGGAAAATGTAGCTGACGATGAGATCTAGTGGGGGATTTGAGTGTTGAGCTTCTGGGAAAAATTGGGAACTGTAAAATAGTCACCAACTCGGCTCGGCCGGGTTGCACTACTATTAGAGAAAATACGGTAATCTATATTGTTGAACACCTTTTACTCTGACGTAAAAGACTAGTACTTGCAAAGAAAAGTAAGCAAATTTCAGATAAATCACATGACAATGGTGGTGAACGATTTTGGAGTCAAATCCCCTCAAAAAACGAAGCGCTCAAAAAAAGTATTTTCTCAAATCGATTGGGGAGATGATTTGCCGACGATTTTCAAAGATAACGCTTTAGTGCTGGTGGAAAAGTTGGAGCAACTGAGTCTGAGAATGGAATCTTTAAGTGATTCGAATCCATCAACCAGTGAGATGGAGTTGCCAAAGAAGAAAACGAAAAGGAAACGATTTCTGGAAAATTTTGACGATTTTCCGAGCTATGAATCAATGCTTTCACGACTTCACAGCTTCTTGAAAGCTGAAGAAAATCAGGAAGAGCGCAAAAATTTGACTCTTTCAAAGCCTGAAGTGCAACGAGTCGGCTCTCGAAAGACAGCTTTCATCAATTTCTCTACGATTTGTCAATCAATCGATCGATCAAGACATCATATGCAAGAATTTTTACAAGCTGAACTAGGCACTATGTCCTCAATCGACGCAAATGGGTCCTTGATTTTAAAGGGAAAATTTTCACAGGAGAAGCTAGAAAATGGGATTCGAGTTTATATAAAAGAATATGTGAGCTGTCGAAATTGTCGCTCAAAGGGGACAAAATTAGAGAAGAAACAGAATCGCTTGTTGATGTTAGAGTGTCAGAGTTGTCAATCGTTTTTCTTCGTCCCGCCGATTAACAACGGCTTCTCGGCAAGAGTTGAAAAGGTGATTGAAGGACTAAAGAGCTTAAAAACTAGTTAGAAGATTATAGTTTAAGTTTATTTTACTGAAATTGCTGTTCTGTGTACTTTCATAAAAATTTGGGTTATGAAAGTACAGAATATAGAAATTCAGTGACCAAATATTACAAGTTGTACTTACAAGCTGTACAAGTTAAATTATAAAGTATTCATTTGGTTACTATATTTTCCTAATACAATATGCTTTATTTCCTTCTCTTTCTTTCTTTCTTTCTCTTCCCTTTCTTTCTTATTTGTTCTTGGGCAAACAAGGCGCCGATAACTCACAAGTGGTAGCATTATCAATGGCAGGATTATCAATGGCAGGATTATCAATGGCAGGATTGTCAATGGCAGGATTGTCAATGGCAGGATTGTCAATGGCAGGATTGTCAATGGCAGGATTGTCAGTGGTAGCATTGTCAGTGGGTGCATTGTCAGTGGGAGCATTGTCAATGGCAGGATTGTCAATGGCAGGATTGTCAGTGGTAGCATTGTCAGTGGGAGCATTGTCAGTGGTAGCATTATCAGTGGTAGCATCCGCCCGGTAAGCAGAAGGTCGTGGGTTCAATTCACCTCGCTTCATTTCTTTACTTTATTATTACTTTATTATTACTTTATTACTATTATTTCTTTATTAGTAACCAAGTGTTTACTTGGCTGAATGTTTCTCCATTTGATAGTCACAGCTGAACTTTTAAATACTATACAAGCTAATCATAAACATTTAGGTTATTGTAAAGCCCTTGTCTCTACAGTAGCCCAACTATAGAGTTCCAGTATCTACAAATTTTAACTACAGGATACGTGAATGAAAATATTCAACCCATAAAACTTTTTGCTTTATTCAAGCTAGACAAGAGCCCGGATCTAACAGCTGAACATACCATAAGTTCAATTTAAAATCTTGTACAATTGTTTAAGTGCATAAACAAAGCAAATTTCCAAGCCAATTTTTAAAATAAATTGTCTAAACAATCACTTTCTTGAAGCTGATCATTTAAATTTGTCAAATTTCAGCGTGCCGTCACTCGAAAAGCTCAAGAAGCTCAGGGGTTGCTTCAGAAATGAAATCTCGATAAAATTAAGGTTATCTTCTTTTCTTTTTCTTGTTTATTTAATTTTATTGTTAGTTTTTTCAATTGTGATTGATAAATTTGTATTTTCAAGTGCTTTGAATAAAGCTAAAGATTGATATGAAGATTGAGCCACAGCCACAGCCAAGCCACAAAAAAAAATTGAGATATTTTTTTTTGAGTTTTGCACAAACAAACAAAAAACAACGTTATCAATGGGGTTTTTGAGGAAAGAAGCAAAATTTTTAAGAGAATTTTAAGAGTCGAATTCCCCTCAAAAAGTACTGATAAGCGACTTAGGTTGACAAATTTGTCGAATTGAATCGGTTTAATTGAAAAGCTTTCTTATTTGGACTTATTTTCCAACCCAATCGATTTTCTAATGTCTTCTTTTGGATATGTTTATGATGAGCGAATGCTTGAACATGAATGTCCATATGATGAGACGATGGCTGAAAGACCTGAAAGAATGGCTATCATAAATGAACGACTTGAACGTGAGGGATTACTCAAAGAAGCTGTTAGGGTAAGCATCCGGGATCAACTTCAGTGTACTTTATGCTCAAAAAAAACACCATTTCTGGCACAATAACTTCTGAAAAGAGAAATGAAGCATTCGAGAGCGCTAGAAAGGCTGTGTTTCACCTTGTGAGCACAAAGCACATTTGAGGATTAAGCACATCTGAGGATTTGTGTTGCTAAATCTAACAGGGAAGGGCAAATGGCTGAGCCAAATGCTATGCGACCTATACCATTTGACGCAGAATTTTACGCTGATTCTGAATATATATTCCGTTTTTGCTAAATGACAATCTGTCAGGAGTTAGCATCTAAAGTTATGTTCTGAAAATGGGGTCATTTGGGTCTTAATGGTCTCCGTGCCGCCTCGACGCAGTGCAGGCGTGGTCGAGTGGTAGGCGGTTCGTTTCCAGAGCCAGACCTGGCAAGTTCGATCCCGACTTCCGATTTTTCCTTTGCTTTTTTTCAAGAAGTGCTGACTAGTGTTCTTTTTGCTCGAGCACAAAGTATATCAATGCACAAAGTACATCAATGCATAAAGTACACAAAAATATTGATGAAAATCATCGATAAAATGAAAAAAAACATTTTTATATCGTGATTATAAGTTATTTTGATTCAAATAAGAAGTTATTTTGAGAATTGAAACTGGCTTAAAGTAGATAAATTCAATATTTGTTCTTTGTTTAAATATCAATCTTTCTTTCAGCTAGACGTTCGCGAAGCCAAAGAAGATGAGCTCCTTTTAAATCATCCAATTGAGATCATTCGAGAGATGAGCGCTTTGGAAACAAATGAGGTACAATCTCTGAATTGAAAAAATTATTCAAATAAACCTTAGGCTTGTGAAAAATTTTGTCGATCACATGAGATTTTGTGGATGAGTCCTAGATCGGAGAGAGTTGCAAGATTGGCGGCTGGTGGATGCATCGAATTGGTGAAAGCGCACAAAGAGGGACGGTGAGTGAGTGAGAAGCGATTTTTATCGATAAATGCTTAAAAGCTATAAGAAATTTATAGAATTGGAAACGGTTTTGCGGTTGTTCGACCCCCAGGACATCATTCTTATGGGAGGAGTCCGATGGGATACTGTGTCTACAACAATGTAGCCATTACAGCGAAATATGCTGTTGAGAAGTTGGGATATAAAAAGGTAAAGAAAGTAGTAAAATATTCAAAATGATACTGTAGGATATCTAGTTCTTCAGAGAACTAGAGAAACACACCTTTAGAAGAGAAAAAAGAGATAATTCAAGCTTTTCCGGGCCAGACAAAGTAAAGGTCAAGTCTGACTGTTAAATCTAGATTGTTTATGATTAGAGTTGTAACAAATACACACTTTTTGGGACAAGTCAAGAGTCAAGTCCTAGCTTGGCTTTGCCTTGCTTGGCTTTGCCTTGCTTTGCTTTGCCTTGCTTGGCTCTAGATCCCGATTAAAACATCCCTAACAATTATAAACAATTGTTTCCAGATAGCTATCATTGATTTCGATTACCACGCGGCAAATGGTACTTTTTATTCGGTGAAAGATGATCCGAGAATCTTGCTTGTATCATTTCATTCATATCATAGGTGAAAACATTTGAACTTTTTATTTTTATAACATTCACTTCTTTTCAGGGGACTTTTCTGGCCATACAGTCAAGATTTCGATTATACGACTAAAGGTCTAACCCCTTTTTTTGATCTTTCTATATAAGTGTTTTAGATCAAAGTATCTTCTTCCCGTTGAACTGCGCGATGAACACGGAGAGTGACTATTTGGCCGCTTTCAATCATGTGATAATGCCGGTGCTGAAGGTAGATATTGATAAGAGATTTGATTGGATTTGATTTGATTTGATTGGATTGGATTGGATTTGATTGGATTTGATTGGATTTGATTGGATTGGATTGGATAAGAGATTGGATAAGAGATTGGATTGGATTGGATTGGATTGGATTGGATTGGATTTGATTGGATTGGATTGGATTGGATTGAATAAGAGATCAATTATACTATATATATTACTCAAGATACCCTTTTAAAGAATACTTTGACTGGGTTTAGGAATGGAACACAGAGCTCGTACTGGTATCAGCTGGTTTCGATGCCGGTTATTATGATATGATGCTTGACCTTGGACAGTCGATTAAAGCACATGGGTGAGTGTAACAAATTATTTCTATTTACCTAAAGGAAACTGTACAACTCAACCGTTCCGTTTTCAAATATGGACACATGGCTCGTCTCCTAAATGAGGCTTTTCCCAATCAAGTACTTGCCGTGCTTGAGGGTGGATATTTCCCAGATTGCTACTCGGAATCAGCCTACATGTTTACGAGAGGATTGCAGGTATGATAGTTTTAACTAGACTGTGTTCCTCGCGGTTAATGCATTTTCTAAAAGACGCTAGTGGAAAAACTTACCACACCACAACAAAGTGTTAACAAAAAAGTGTTTATATGTAAATATAGATACTTTATTCAGGACCTGAGATAAAGTGCGCTGGATTTAAGATTAAAACACATGAATTCATACACATAACACGAAAAGGGCCGATAAAAAGAAACACGGTATAATATATGTAAAATGTGGGTAGCACAGATAACGTCAAGGATCCACTAGAGCTTCAAGATCAAGATCATCTACAGATAATTTAAAGGTTTCGAGACTATTGGACTCTCTCAAAACTCTGGGGAGTCGATTCCAAATTCTGGCAGTTCTTATTGGAAAAGAGTTATAAACAATCTTATTGGAGGTAACTGGAATTTCTAAAACGAAAGAACCTCTCCTTGAACTAACCGTGGGATTAACTTTGAATAAATCTCGAAAAAGAGGGATAGGTTGCCTGCCCTTTACAATTTTGAAACATTCTATTAAATGTCAAAAAATTCAAATTTTGCTTAATTTTGCTTAATTTTGCGTTCATTTGTTTCTCTTATAATTTCTTTTAGTGTTTTACAATGCTTTCTATAATAGTTATATTTTTGTTTTAGAATAAGTTATTATGAGCGCGTCACCTCGGCAGCCAAAAATGCCTTCTCTGGGTTGAGAAAAATTGCGAAAAATTGAAAAAAAGGGAAATTGCGAATCAAATACTGAATAAATTAACTCAAAAGAAAATAATAATAGACAGATTAGAAAATAGTAGAAACATGTTAAAGATTTACAAGTAGAACTAAAACTTTTTCAAAAGGCCACTTTTTTTTGGCGAAATGCCAATTTTTGTCCTTTTGGATTCGACAAAAAAGCGCGCTTTTTAGAAAACGCATTAACCGACGTTTAACCGACACGTTATCCGGTTAAAAATTAGCCAAAAAGTTGAACCAAAGAAAACCAAGAACGAAATGAATCTGAGTCATTTGAAGCGCACATTTGAAGTTAATTAGTTTAATCATGAGGAACACAATCTAGTTTTAACCCTTCGTTAGTTTGTTTTCTGTTAAAACCCCCAACCAAATTAGTCATCGAATCACCAAATGCATTTTAGCAAATCAAGCAACGATCTTTGTTTTCTAAAGCGTCAAATCAAATTGTATCCACGTTTTAGAAAACAAAAGTTATTTGCTATAGAAAACAAAAGTTGTTTGCATTTGGGTGATGGCACAGATCTACAACCAATAGCTTTAAATTTCGAAAATTAATTTCTGCTTGTATGATCCATTGTTATCTCAATTTTATTAATGATTGTGAAAATCTGAAACGAATTTTACAGGGTTTGGACATTCCTAAAGTTCATCACGCTGAAAGGGTAAATGGATCAATGACTGAGGTTTGAATTGACTTTAATTCGAAAAATTTTTAGCTAGGTGATCTGGAACAACATTGTGCATCATGCACCTAGATGGAAATGTCTTCAAGAATCGTTGGAAAAGCTACAAACACAACAGGTAATTTCTGAAACAGTAATAGAACTTTGAGGGATTCGTTTAGAGAAAACTGGGATTAGAGGAGTATGCTTCGGATAACTCGCTTTATTTGGGGCACGAAGTGAAACAGTTCTGGAACAAGGTTTAAGAATGGAATGGTGGCTTGGTTAATTACAAGTACAGGTGGTGTCAGCTGGGATTTGCCGTACTCGGGAATGGTTCCCTCCATTGAATGCCGAGTTAGCAAAGCTGTGCTCTGATAAAATCGATGAAGTGAGACAGGTGAGTCGAGAAGAAAATGAAAACACACCCTTTCTGGTACACAAATCTTTGCAGCAAAGCTTTGAACAATGAAAAGTCGAGTGCACTAGAGAAGAGATGTTTATAAGCTTGAATACATCGAACAATAGGAAAAATCTTGAAACAACAGCAGATTTTAGAGCTATGAATACTCGAAAGAGATCATGGCGCCAACTGAAGATCAGCTTTTAAAGCAGTTGGTATGGGATGGAAAAGCAAAACTCGAATGTCACACAAAGGTAGGAAAAACCCTATCAGAGAAGGGAAGTATCCCAACTCTCGCCCCACTCCAATATGAGCTGGTGGCCTAGTGGATAAAGTACTTTTATACCAAAGCGAGCCATTCACTTTTGCTCGGCTTCGAATCCTCACCTTGCAAATGTTTTTCCCAATGGTTTAGTCACTACCATCATTGGAGTTCTGGACCGAGGAATACCTTTCGTTCAAAGAAAGTCGAAAGAATCACATGATGGTCTGTGATTGGGATCTTGTTCGCGAAAAGGGGCTACAATTATTCGACTCAATTTAATAATAAATGATGGGTCCAAATTGCACATAAAAAAACAGTTAACAATTACAGTTAGTTACTGTTAGCACGCCCAGGATTGAGACTATTCACACAAACACAAATGAGCATCTCTTAAAGAACATCAGTAAAACACTCTTGTCTACAGAATTTCACTAAAAGAACATTTTCTTACATAAATTGCGGTCGTTTTTGACCTAATCCTTCAAAAATGTGGCCCTACATCGTGACCATAAACCGAAAAATTGAATTCAGATTTTAAACGTGTGTGAACAAGACTTTTATCAGACTCTTTGTACCATAAATAACTCTTTATAAGGTGAAATAAATAGGAACGCTTTATTCGAGCCACGCAAGCAATACATTCAAGGGTTGTACTCGATTGGCAAGTTCTTGCGGCGGACCATTCCATCTCCTTGGAACCATTCACGACGGAATTGCTTGGCGGCACCGTCTGGGGTGTTCGTCCATTCGATGGTGATGCGGTCGTTGTTGGTGTCTTCTTGACCGAAATCAAACGCATCGCACGACACGGCCACCTAAAGAAAAACAATTAGTGAAGGTAAAAGCAAAAACCGAAAAAGGCAAAAGAGAGAAATAAGACTTACAAGAATGACTCAGATTCATTTCGTTATTGGTTTTCTTTGGTTCAACTTTTCGGTTAATTTTTAACCGGTTAACGTGTCGGTTAAACGTCGGTTAATGCGTTTTCTAAAAAGCGCGCTTTTTTGTCGAATCCAAAAGGACGAAAATTGGCATTTCGCCAAAAAAAGTGGCTTTTTGAAAAACTTTTAGTTCTACTTGTAAATCTTTAACATATTTCTACTATTTTCTAATCTGTCTATTATTATTTTTTCTTTCCTTTAGTCGTATAATCGAAATCTTGACTGTATGGCCAGAAAAGTCCCCTGAAAAGAAGTGAATGTTATAAAAATAAAAAGTTCAAATGTTTTCACCTATGATATAAATGAAATGATACAAGCAAGATTCTCGGATCATCTTTCACCGAATAAAAAGTACCATTTGCCGCGTGGTAATCGAAATCAATGATAGCTATCTGGAAACAATTGTTGATAAGTGTTAGGGATGTTTTAATCGGAGTCTAGAGCCAAGCAAGGCAAAGCCAAGCTAGGACTTGACTCTTGGCTTGTCCCAAAAAGTGTGTATTTGTGACAACTCTAATCATAAACAATCTAAATTTAACAGTCAGACTTGACCCTGACTTTGTCTGGCCCGGAAAAGCTTGACTTATCTCTTGTTTTCTTCTAAAGGTGTGTTTCTCTAGTTCTCTGAAGAATTAGATATCTTACAGTATCATTTTGAATATTTTACTACTTTCTTGGGAGTGGGACAAATGCGACCTTTTTTCTGCGCACCCGGCCATTTGCGCACCTTCTTTCCCACCTGGCCCATTAGCGACCTTTTTCGCGTTTTAAAAAGCTTTAAAAGCTAATATTAACCAATTTCTATTCCAAAAGTTGTTTTTCTAGGTATTTGAGGTGTAGAATCGAAATTTTGACATAACAGAGCGTGTGGAATCAATTTGAAAGACAAAACGGGTGGTCAAATTACAGAAAATGGTCGATTTTTCTCTTTGTATAACTCCGTCCGTTCGCTTCCACAAGCTCTGATATGTCAAGATTTCGATTCTACACCCTCGAATTACCTAGAAAAACAACTTTTGGAATAGATTGGTTATTTGCTTTTGGCTTTTAAACGCGAAAAGGTGCGCTAATAGGCCAGGTGCGGAAAAGGGCAAATGGCCGGGTGCCAAGGTCGCATGTCCCCCCCCTTTCTTTACCTTTTCATATCCTGACAATGCTACCACTTGTGAGCTATCGGGGCCTTCTTTGCCCAAGCACAAATATGAAAGAGAAGGTAGAGAGAGAAAGGAAGAAAGAGAAGGAAATAAAGCATATTGTATTAGGAAAATATAGTAACCAATTGAATACTTTATAATTCAACTTGTACAGTGAATATTTGGCCACTGAATTTCTATATTCTGTACTTTCATAACCCAAATTTTTATGAGAGTACACAAAGCAGCAATTTCAGTAAAATAAACGTAAACTATAATCTTCTAACTAGTTTTTAAGCTCTTTAGTCCTTCAATCACCTTTTCAACTCTTGCCGAGAAGCCGTTGTTAATCGGCGGGACGAAGAAAAACGATTGACAACTCTGACACTCTAACATCAACAAGCGATTCTGTTTCTTCTCTAATTTTGTCCCCTTTGAGCGACAATTTCGACAACCCTAATTATGATTCAATGGTGATGGAATCATGATTAGGGGTTTGTTCACGTTTTCCTAGAATCTATCTAATTGTGCCTATGTTCAGGTTGTAGGTCGGCGTCCGACGTTGGTCCGCTGGTTTTAATAAATGGAATCATGGATGCCCACAAGTACAAGGACATACTGGGAAGTCACATGCTACTGCATGCACGAGCCAAAATGGGACAAGGATGGTTATTCATGCAAGATGGGCAACCGAAGCACACAAGCCAGCTGATGATGGGATGGCGGCTGCAGATTCGAAGAGGATTTTTCGTAAGGATGCCAGGCTGATTTTGTCAAAATGGAGTGGAATTAATTCGAACACCTTCCTACAGCCCCGCCGTCAACCCCATTGAACACTTGTGGTCGATAGTAAAGCGAAAATTGAAAGGACAAGTTTTGCAACAAGACTGAATGATGGGATAAGACAAGATAAAAAAGTGGAACAAGTATGAATAGCGATTTCTCAACAAGTGTTGCTCAAATTGGTCTCATTTTGCCCAGGAAACTTCAGAAGATCATTTTAGCCCAAAGAGCCGCTACAAAGTATTAAAATATTTGTTATTTTTAGATGGGTCGACTTTTTTTTGCTTAGTTGTTAAGTCGGTAAGTTGGTCGTTAAGTCGTTTTTATTTTTCATTCTGTTGTTAGGAATAAATTTTTTGTTTGTTTATTCGAAAACTAAAACACATTCGCTAGATTATTCGCCAAAAAGTTTTTTCTGAAACGGTCATTTTTCCTAAAGAAATTTTGAAACAGAAAGAAACAAACAAGTGTAAATATTAACCCTTTGTAAATCTCGCTTTTGTTCTTACATTTTAAGCTGTGAGCACCTCTCGCGCATGACCTCAGATTTTTTAGAGCCCTTGTTTGGTTGAACGATCACGTTATGGTGAGAAAATTTTGCTTTCTTTTACATTTGATTGAGTCTTTTAGTTGTCTGAGCGAATTACAACGCAAGATATTTTGCTGAGATCAAGGACTACAGAAACTGCCACTAAAGCAACGGTATATTCATATTTTATCGCACTATTACATCAACTTTTAGTTGAAATATCTCTTCAAGCAAAAATATATTCCGCAGTGCTGTTGATAATGATATGAGAATCGACGACAATTTCATGAAAAGGTATTTACTTTGAGGGATATTTTGTGTACAACTTCTTTTAGCCACACCCATCGTTTACGCGTGCAATTACGTGACGGTGTCCTACAAGGAGTTCAAACGAACGAACTGAAGGAACAAATCGATCTCTTGCAACAAGAAATTGAGATTTTCAAAGAAGAGGTAGGTATTGATTGCGTTTACAAAAAATTGATAAACTCAAACTTTAGGGAAATAACGATCTAGAAAAAGTCTTGAAGGGTGATATTTACAAGGTGATGTGCGATCTCAACGTAGTTACCTTATGGAACTCCATTCACAGAAAGCCGCTCAAGAACATAAATTGGTGAGATTATTTTTGACTTTAGCAGGTAATTGCTCTCTTTTAGAATAAAGTAAAGAAGGATCTCGAGTTATGTGAAGACGGCTTAGCGAAAGTACAACAAAAGGTAAATACAGTAAACAAGTGTTTTAAAAAAGATATCCAGGTACTTGATAATGAGAAACGTATTGAAGCACAAGCGACCTAATTTGGACTTCAACCTGATGCCGCTCGCAACATCAAAGGAGAGAATATTTCGGTAGTTTTTTTACCTAAGCAAGCATTATTGATGTATTTTTTAGCTTCGTCAGGAAATTTAAAAGTTTCAAGCCGAATTTGACGAAATTGGCAAGGAGAAATGGAAGGAGGGACCGGCCTTACGAGAAAAGCTCGATAATGTACAATTTTACTATTCTAACATTTATTTATTTGTCTTTTTAGTTGAAAACCCTTCTTCGCCAGTGGTATCGTGAAGTGCTTGAAGTGAAGATGACAGTGAATGGAGCCGGCGTTTCACATATCGAAGAAGAGACGCCTGAACCAGCCACCGCTCAAGAAGTTCACTCAATTGTTGCAGCAGAATGCCCAGGATTGGTAAAGATTCTTTTTAATAAAATAACACTTCCATTTAGTTGAATGAGATCCGCCAACTTTGAGAATGGGACAATGCTCGAAAGGTGTTGGAAATCGACTTGGAAGACCGCCAACAAGAATTTGAGAGATTTGACGACAAAAAGTATGAATTTTAAAAGGACACAGTAATAGAGAAGGTTTAAACAAACGGTACGCTCTGATAAAATCATTGCTTGTTTTTGTTCCATAACTTGTAGTTCAATGTTCAATCCAGCGTCGAGGCGACTCAATCCGATCCTAAAATATTCTTGATCAAATTTTGTCCTTTAACTCAATCTTTCTAATCGCGTATTCGAGTATCTCGCAAAACTTAGTGGAATTACCGAAAAGTGTTTGGTGAGTGTTAGTAAATATCTGATTAGCATACCTGATCTTTTTAGGCAATTGATGAACTTATAAACGCGGATGCTGAGAAAATCGCGAGGGAAATTGCAAAGCATGCAACTGAGGTCGCAGAATTCAATAAAGACGCTGAAAAGGAAAATAATCGATTTTAGGCTTTAATTACAGTCGACTCTCGATTTAACGATTTGCTCGGAACCAAAAATTTCGATTTAACAATCCTAAAATGTGCCCGTTCAGGGCAGCTATGCAGTTTCTTGCATAGCTGCCCTGAACGGCCAACGGTTGCGTTTGGCTGGGCAGCTACGCAGAAACCAAGAGCGGGTTTTAGAATTTCAAAATCGTTGTGTCGAGGGTCGCTTGTATTTTCACTTGTATTGAATTTTTCATATGACGCTTATTTTGTGTTACCGTAAATACTGTAATAGAACGGCACCCCCCATAATGACGGGGTATTGCCGCGTAGTCTAACTTTGAACGTCCGGTTCTCCGCGCTGCTTTATGCTACAGTGTGCGTTTGGGTGTCAAATGATAGCCCTTGAAATCTAGTATTTTTGTGGTACCAAAAGTGTAGTTGGCAAAAATCTAGGGGCTGAGAAAAAAAAAGATTTTCTAAAAAGAAGTTAGACTACGCGACTGTACGAGGCGGTGCCGTTCAATTACAGTATTTATGGTAGGTTCATAACTATTTGTGCTAATGACAACTATTCTTTAAGGTTTTCTAACTATTTGGGGTTTTATTTCTTTTTTCGCGAAATCGTGGTTTCTCTTTTCAATGCTCGTTTGTAAATAAATTGTATTACGTTCTATTGGTTATCATGAGCAACGTTATTCAGTGACAGCTTTTTATTTTGCGAGAGTTGAGAATTCTAATTAAACCTTGTTGTGGGTTCAGAGCTGAATTTTCATTAGCGACACTGGACTTGTTTCTAATAAGTTATAGAACTTGAATCTTTTAGGCCTGATGTCTCTATGCGGCCAGTGCACCATTTGTTACTCAGCATTCACTCCGACAACAGCCTTTGCTTTGCCATGCGGACACACGTTTCACGAGCATTGCATCGGACAGTGGCTGGCTGTGGGTTTTTGGTGGTCTGAATAAAGCGGATAGCTAAATAACATTTCAGTAAACTGGAAAATGTTGTTAGAATTATTTTTGTTCTATGAATATATTATGATTTAGGTCGCAACTGCAAGAAAGGGCACTGAGTAAGTTTTTGACAATCTGCGTCAATAAGTCTATTAAGGAAACTTGATTTGAAAGAGGCTGAATTATTGCAAGTTCGACCTATGCTACACGACGTTAATGAAACGAAGAGCGAGAAGAAAGTCTTAAAGCAACTGCTTGAAGCGAGTGATTTGTGGGATTTGCAGAAATAATCGGTTTAATAAGATTTTATAGGGCTCTTGACGCACAAAAGAAGAAATGTCGTGAAATGGCTCAAGAACTGGAAGTGAAGAATAAAAGGTTGAAGTTTCCTGAAAAAATTACAGTTTACTTTAGGGTTTCTGAACTTGAAATGGAGAAGAAACGTTTGCAAGAGGCGGTTCGCACGCTCAATGTCGCACGCTCACATCAAGGAGTGACAACAGCTCAGAATCCAAAAATTAAAAACCTATTTGCTCTCAGGTATCTTGACTTTATGTGTAATAAAATTGGTGGACAAGCTTTAGCCCATCACGTAACTACAATTTCCTTTTCATTATATTTTTTCAGATCATCGAATGTTGATGAATTTGACAAGATTACTGCTCCAAAAGGACCCGCTCACCGAGTGTTGCCATTAGCTATTACGAGTGAGACTATGTCGTTCAAAGATGTTATGGATGGGCCTTCAGGTAGAAATAACGTTTTTTTTTCGATCCATTGTCTCTTTAGCTGTTAAGACCAACAATGTTTCCAAAAGTGGTTCGGATGGACTTGGCGGCTCAATTCATCGTCTTGGTGATCGTGCTCTCACCCGTATCGGTAACTTTTTCATTAACTTCACGTGTTAATATAAATTCAAAGAAAATGCTCCTTCAAGCTCCTTGTTGGTTTTGGGTAGCTCGAGTTTGCCATTCTCTTCAAAATATCCGGCTCCAGCTCAACCAATCAGCGAGGGTCTGCAAGCCACAAGGGTGAGCGCTTCTCATGTAATCATGTAATTAATAATTTTGGGTCGCTCAACTCGGCAATTCGCTTCAAAACGTCCTGCTTCAGCAAGTCTTCGACGAGGCTCTTAAAATCAGAAAGGTGAGCGCTCGTCATGTAATTAATAATTAATAGTAAGAGGTTTCTATCACACAATCGAATTTCTTTAAAAGGTCACGAAAGCCATCGAACCCAGGGTGTCCATCACTTTGGACTGAAAAGTCGTATCGAGCGACACTGTGCACTTTATTTGTTCTTGTCATTTTATTTTTCTTCCATTCTCGCCTCTGATATTCGTATGATACTATCAGAGTACCGCTCCCCCCAGTGTCCCCCTTGCCATTGGCAATCTACGGTATTTTACCGTTTTCTCGCTATCTACTGGATCAATTTTTATGATTTTTGTACCATTCGTTGCGTATATTAATTCTCCATTCACTTTTAGGTGGACACTGGGGGCGGTACTCTGAAAGTACATTTGTATGTGATTGCAATTTTATGATCTTCTTATTGTTATTTTCTTGTCATTTAAAATTATTCGATTGTCTATTTGTAGTAATTTGTGCATGCATACGGTGACTTTTTAAAGAAATGGCTTTCAGCAATAAATTTTAGCGCATTTCATTACAAAACAATTCTCGCATCCCTAGCATCAAAGGGTTTAGCGATAAATCAAGATAAAAAACGCTTTCACATTTCATTTCACAAAAAAATTTATCATCTAGTACAAAAATGTAATGCGAAAATACATTATTTTCGTTTCGAATTGCCCCCAAAGCTTAGGTGATAGTGAATTGCAAGCCCGAGACGCGGACCTAAAAAGACACACATGCTAATCAATAAATCAACAAAAAGTCTCGACATAGGGCGCATTATCTATGAATGACTCAAACAAAAGGTGAAGAATATTTCTATAAAAAACCAACATTGAGAGGATTATGGCATGGAGCGTATTCGATTCTCACCGTGTGCACGCCCAGCGAAGGGACTAAAAAAAACAGTTTCTATCTTAACAATCAAAAACTCACCTGAAAAAATAACCCCGACCTTAGCGCGCGTTCCACCTTCCAGCACAAAGGAATCGGAAGCAATGTTGCTGTTGTGTGGAAAGAAGGTCCATATGCCGGGACACCAGACCGGGTCCACGAGAAACTAATGAAAGTGTTTGAGATTGCTGACAAAATGTTAACCTTCACGGTGAGACCATAGGGGAATGGTTGATCAGCTCGAAGCTGTCCCTTCCACCGAAAGCTGCGACATCGTGAACGACATTCTGCGACTAAATTTCGAAAGGGTATTATCTTAGTTGGGGGGAGGGGAACTTTTTTTCTTCAAAACCACCTTTTCTGGAGTAGTTTTATGCGTAAATTCCAAAAAATACAACAAGAGCTTGAGAAAAGACGTTTTAAGCCGAGTTTCGGGGCTCCAAAGTGCGCGCTTCTATAGTGTACTTCACTATATGGAGCCCAAACTACCGACTATTGGGGCACTTTTCATGGTAAACGCATTTGATTTGAAACACTTGTTAAAGATGATGTAAACACGAATGAAATAATATTTTGAAAAGTTGATAACAACTTTAGGTTTATCTTGTCTTAAACTTAAAAAACAAAGTACTTCTTTTAACTGAACTTAATTCTCGCTAAAAAGCTAACTGAATAGTACAGGATGCGCTTTAGGAAATAATGTTTCTTGTTCAAAGTGGATACTGTCGATTTTCTCCTATAACAGCTATCGAAAATACAACTTACGAATTATTTACGAATTATCAATAGTCTACAATTTACAAATTTTGAAGTCAAAAAAGTAACAATTGCAACCAATTGCAGACATAATTTATGAACTTTTCAATTTTCTTTTTTAATAGAATCAAATAGTGAATCATCATCATGACCATCAGTTGCTTTTTCGAGAAGACGTGCGATTTGTTTTCGATTTTTTTGTTTAATAGAATCAAAATGTTCATGATCAAAAATGAAGATTTCCAAAGAAAATAACTCATTTTATTTACAAATTTCGTTTCAATCGCAAATTTATAATAAAAAGCATGTGTTTTATGAAAAAATCAACAACTTCAAGTCAAAGTTTTTCAATCAACACTCAAAGGTAACTTTTTTTTTCTAGTTTCATTCGTTTTGTGTTTTTCTTTACAATAAAGCAATTAGCTAATACTAATTTATGCAATTTCTTGAAACAATTATTGCATTGTAGAATAACGAATGATGCTATGACATTGAAATTCCTGTAAAAACGAGGGATTCATTTTAAAATGAACGTATTCCTGGGCTGGCGACAAACTTTGAGCCACTTTGTCACAATTGTACATATAGATTTGTAATTGAGATTTGTAATTTAGATGAAATCCATCCTCGTAGCATTCTTCTTGATTCAAGTCTCCCTAGCTATCAACTGTGTTTCCAAAATTGGAGCAAGTCCAAAACTTTCACCTAATTCGGTATCATTACTCATTTACAGTAGTTAATCTAAACATAGACCAACATTTTAGCTATCGATGAAATGTGTATGCGGTGATTACTGTGCCTCGTTTTTCTACAATGTAAAGAGTTTCGCTTTTTCTGATGAAATGTTCTTGTTTTCAGGGTTTATACTATTGGGGTTGTGGTTGTGGACTGGAGAACTCCACTCAGACTGGAGAACTCCACTCAGACTGGAGAACTCCACTCAGACTGGAGAACTCCACTCAGACTGGAGAACTCCACTCAGACTGGAGAACTCCACTCAGACTGGAGAACTCCACTCAGACTGGAGAACTCCACTCAGACTGGAGAACTCCACTCAGACTGGAGAACTCCACTCAGACTGGAGAACTCCACTCAGACTGGAGAACTCCACTCAGACTGGAGAACTCCACTCAGACTGGAGAACTCCACTCAGACTGGAGAACTCCACTCAGACTGGAGAACTCCACTCAGACTGGAGAACTCCACTCAGACTGGAGAACTTTTTAATGGATGTCTGGTCAGGGATTTTATAGCTAGATAGCTTTTATAGCTAGCTATTTTATAGCGAAATTATAGCTAAACACGAATAAAAATGTTTGGCACAAATAACACATAAAACTCAATCAATTTTTAGTACAGCGGCGACAACTACCGGGTCAACTGTTGCCCTCGCGATTTCTGCAACAAGAAGGATCAAATTGGACGCAAACAAGCAAGCAGCAAAAACCATTTGATTAAGCTACTCAAAATTTGATGAACTAATAAAGTTTCTTTTATTGCTGAGAGAGCTCAAAAAAAAGCTCAAGATCAGTAATCTCTTGCAACATTTTTCAATGAATAGAACAAAACAAAACAGTAACAAATTGAGCATAAAAATTGACCAATAATCTCTAGTCTCTTCAATGTTTTATTGAATCGAATCGTTTAATGAACAGAATCATCAACCTAAAAACAATTGTGCTTTCAAGAGGTTTTTCAGAAAAAAATTACTTATTTCTATTCGCGATTCAGAGTTTCAATAGACAACTCTTTGCTTTGTTTCTCGAGCTCTTTCTTTTGCTGGCACCATTGTTGAATATTTTGACGATTGACTCCGAATTTATCCTTCATTCTTTTGGCAAAATCGAGCTTTCAGCTTTGTTTGAACGTCGAAAAATCGTCGCTTTTTCGCGGATAGTGCATCCGATTTGCCAAAGACTCCTCGGCAACATCGTTGGTCATGTTGCAGCTAGCATCTTGCTCGGCCACTTGATTGTCAATCCTCTTGAAGAACTCCTCGTGGGTTGGCTGGGTTGGATGCTTAAGGTTGGGCTACCTACGCCGCCACGATTGCCGCCAATCGTAGTTTACCCTAAACGATTGCCTACGATTGCCATTCAATCGTAGTTTACAGTTTACCCTAAACCCTAGGTAAAAAACAACCCCAACTTTTGTAAATTCAGATGTTAACAATAGAGTTAAAATTTGAATCTTTGAAAACCAAAAAAAAATTAAGAACTTTTGAAGGAAAACGGGTCTTCCTGTCATCAAGTTGTTAACATATTCTAGTAAGTAAAAACAATAAATTTTATAACTACAAAATAAACGGGAGAGTAGTTCTTTAGCTTTTCTACATAGAATCATATCAATAGAAGAAATTCAAGAAAGAAAAATTAGAAATAAACATTTCGAGTGGCTATCGCTGCCCATTGCCCCGAGGACTGCACCTTTTATAACGATGATGGAGTGAACAAATGCTACTGTATTGATATCAGCTCAAATCCCCACGAGGAGTAAGTTCATTGGTTTTCACCACTCTGGGATGTGATAATGTTGCTATTTTTTTGTAAAAGCTTTTTTATTTAGATTTGTTCAATACTCGTGGACCCATCGCCGCAATTTGTGTGCCAAATCGTGCAACTATTGCCTTTAAACGAAACAACAACAGCTAGGAGTCAAATTGTTGCTCTTGATTGTTAGTAAAGTATATCTTAACTTCAAAGTTATACAAAAAAAGCTAAAAACAAAGCAATAGCTCATTAAGAGAGAATTTGAGCTAAAAGACAAAGATCGGTGATGAACGCACGGGAAAACAATGTTTTGATAGAAAGAATAGATCTATTGACAAAATTTTATGATCTATAGTGTTTGAAAATCATTTGATTTCAAGATGTGGGCACTTTTTCTTCACGTAATTCCAACGTTGACTCGTGGCCTCGCTTTTGCAGCCACGAGGACCTAAATTAAGTTGTATAGTCACTTTATTTAACTTATTTATCAATTATAATTGAAGTCATTAAACGAGATAGGAATTCCTTTGTATATATTTACGATTCTCATTGAATCTCAAATACTGAAGTCTATTTGAAGCCCTCCCACCTCCTTGGTGTGTTCTCGTCATCTTTTCACATGTGCTCAATCGTTGATCACAGAATCTTTTGTGATATTTCTGATAATAGCTTTTAATGCATCTCTTTGAGCAATTGAGATCATGAGCACACCTGGAATTAGTAGTTCAAAAAAATAAAACCATTTAACTTCATCCATTCAGCGTCCTGTGGTCGAGAAGAAAGATTAAAGCAGTCTTGATAATACTTTGCTGTGATCTATATGTCGTAGCCAATTATAAATGAAATTTTTTGGCTTTCTAGTAGAGCAACCCTTTAATGTATGAGGACAATATTATATCACCTTGTAGCGAATTAAATTCTCCGTCGATTGGTACCAAATTTGTGAGTTTAGGTTAAAAATTGCCGGCGCTACAACGTTTCATTCAAAATCGGCGGGACCCCCGTAGCCGATTATGAATTTCAGCCGATTATGAGTGAGTGAATCAAATGTACCGAAAAGGAACCAAATGTACCGAAAGGGAACCAAATGTACCGAAAGGGAACCAAATGTACCGAAAGGGAACCAAATGTACCGAAAGGGAACCAAATGTACCGAAAGGGAACCAAATGTACCGAAAATAAACCAAATGTACCGAAAATAAACCAAATCTGTACCGAAAAGGAACCAAATGTACCGAAAATAAACCAAATCTGTACCGAAAAGGAACCAAATGTACCGAAAATAAACCAAATGTACCGAAAATAAACCAAATCTGTACCGAAAAGGAACCAAATCTGCCGTGTCCAACCATCAAGTATTTAGTATCATTCAACGCAGAATCATTGATAATTATGTCAAATTTTTTAAATTAGCAAAATTTGATAAAAAGAAAAAAAATTAGAGCAAAAAAACTGTTTGTTCAAGAGAAAACTTTGTGAATACATCGAACAATAGGAAAAATCTTGAAACAACAGCAGATTTTAGAGCTATGAATACTCGAAAGAGATCATGGCGCCAACTGAAGATCAGCTTTTAAAGCAGTTGGTATGGGATGGAAAAGCAAAACTCGAATGTCACACAAAGGTAGGAAAAACCCTATCAGAGAAGGGAAGTATCCCAACTCTCGCCCCACTCCAATATGAGCTGGTGGCCTAGTGGATAAAGTACTTTTATACCAAAGCGAGCCATTCACTTTTGCTCGGCTTCGAATCGTCACCTCGCAAATGTTTTTCCCAATCGCTTAGTCACTACCATCATTGGAGTTCTGGACTGAGGAATACCTCTCTATTTTTTTTATATAAATTGCGGTCGTTTTTGACCTAATCCTTGAAAATGTGACCCTACATCGTGAGCATAAACCGTAAAATTGAATTCAGATTTTAAATGTGTGTGAACAAGACTTTTATCAGACTCTTTGTACCATAAATAACTCTTTATAAGGTGAAATAAATAGGAACGCTTTATTCGAGCCACGCAAGCAATACATTCAAGGGTTGTACTCGATTGGCAAGTTCTTGCGGCGGACCATTCCATCTCCTTGGAACCATTCACGACGGAATTGCTTGGCGGCACCGTCTGGGGTGTTCGTCCATTCGATGGTGATGCGGTCGTTGTTGGTGTCTTCTTGACCGAAATCAAACGCATCGCACGACACGGCCACCTAAAGAAAAACAATTAGTGAAGGTAAAAGCAAAAACCGAAAAAGGCAAAAGAGAGAAATAAGACTTACAAGAATAGTCTCTTTTGGGTCCAAAGCACCGCATGGTGGGTCGACGCCGAGGCGCTTCATGTTGGTGGTCTTGAAAGCCCATCCGATACGACGACCGCCAGCATTGATCACCTAAAAAAGAAAATAAAAACCGACAAGAAAACAGGTTCAATGGGTCATAAGTAAGTAGGGTAAACAAAACAAAATAAATCCAAATCCAAATCCTCACCTTGATGTGGTAGGTGTGCTTGTCATCGTAGGGGGCGTTGAAGACGACCTTGGCGTTGGGTTGAGTGATGATGTCACCGGGTGGGATCGATTGAGCCATCTTGTCGGGTTGAAGTCGAGAAGACTGATGCCCATGCGACAAAATAGCTTTCTTTTATTTAACGGATAAATGCTAATTTTAAGACTTTCCAACGTAAATTTGAGAAAATGAGACGATATGTTAATTTTTGGGATGAGTGGTTAAAATGCACCTATTTTCCCTTAGAATTTTGAGTTTTAATCGATTAATTGAATGATTACCTTTACAGAGCGATGGAACTTTTTTGCGAATCCTCTCAAAAAACATTCTTTTGTCTCGTTGTTGTTGTTGTTGTGACCTGTCTTGGTCAGGGTTTTGATGAAGGCGTTTTCTTAATTTTTCTTACCAAATCGTGTTACTAAAACTTCGAACTCGCATGCATAGCGCTTGAAAAACGAAAACAAAACAAAACTACCCTAAATACTCTAATAGAAGCAATGCGCTTCTATTATGCGCTCGTAAATGCGCTTCTAAGTTTTCCCTTCCCCTCTGGGGTGCGCTTCTATTTGAGTGTGCGCTTTTAATTTTCCTCCTAAAAAGATTTTAAAACAACCCAATCTGGAAGTTTTCTAGATAATTCATTGACATTTTTTGACTTTTAAATTTCATTAATTCATCTTTAACAATCAACAAAACAGCAGTGATTTACGCAACAACAGTCACTTGCTTTCTCAAGAGCATGATATTCAGTCAAACTGTGTACTTCTATTAGAGTCTTTACGGTAGATAATTGTTAAACGTTTGTTTACGAGTCTATAGCTCGTTATTATGAGTTTTGTTTCATTTGTTTTGCTTTCTTTTAAGAATCAGCTATTCATCTCTTTCTTTTTAGGTCATAGGACTTATGTCACGCCAATCTGATAGGCAACTGACGCCAACTCGTGCTCGCGTCATTGACGAAGCTTACTTGGCCTTGATGAAGTTAGTATTTGTTCTTGTTACCTAGTATCTTTTAGTTTGTTGGACGGCTAAATATGCTTTCAGCATTTCGCCCGTTTCTCCTGCGGTGTCAATACCTCCAAAGTTGGAAACTGTCTCGAAACAAGCGACCAAAGTTACCGCTCTATCAGCAAAACTTGAATGGAGAATTGAGCAGGCTCGTAATTTTTTGATCAAGATAACTATTCAAAGATTATTTTAGTTTCAACGTCTCATGAGGCTTTTCAAGAATGGCCAGAATCTTATTTCAAAGCAATTCGGATCTCCAGAAGCTACTGTTGTTGCTTGGGAATTGCATGTTTACCCAAATGGAAAGCGCGATGAAGATGCAAACAACGTGTCGTACTTCTTGCGCCAAGTTGGACTCACGGTGAGAGTCTTGAGATAGTTCAAAGTTTGTATCCGATTCAATTATGACACTTGTTTAGCGCGACGAGGATCCTGTTTTGACGGAGTTTCAAATATATGCATTGGATGGAATGGACCAACGTGTTAGCATCTGTCGTGATACCAAAGATTTTATCAATCAACAAGGTCGTGGAAAGTTTCAGGTAGTTGTTCGTTACAATTTTAAGTTCAGGCTCTTTGTAAATGATGTCAGTAATTGCAATTTTAGGTGTCCCGCGAGAAGATGAATAGCGCTCTTCAAGCAGACGGCAGTTTGATGCTTGTGTGCGAAGTTGAATACTTGCCACCTGGAGTCAAGATGCACGCGGAAACGGATAGGCCATCATTTATCATGCACGAAAGCAAGGAAAATCGCATTCGCGATGCAAATCGAGAGATGTTGGAAAATGAGCTGTTCACCGACTGTGTTATCCAGGTTTGCTTCTTTGCTAGTATATGCAATGACTGCTTTTTTAGGTCGACAATAAGCAAATCAAGGCTCATAAATGTGTTCTTGGTCAACACTCCGAAGTTTTCCGCATGATGTTTGCGGTAAGTATAAAGTTTTTGAAGTCTAGAAATCTTGCTGTTTAGAACGAAATGATGGTTGAAGCAAAGGAAGGAATTATTGATATCAAGGATTGCAAATACGAGCCCATGCTTGCTATGATCAACTTCATTTATGCCAACGCTTTCGAACTGGATGAAACTTGTGCTGAAGATGTCTTGCAAATCGCTGACAAGTACGCCGTTTTCCCGCTAAAGGAAAAATGCGAGAAGTACGTTTAAATAGATGCTAATAGAATTTTATTCTTATGAAGTTTAGGCATCTTGCCAGTCAATTGACTTTGACGAACTTCCTTTCGACCGCCGTCTTTGCTGATACGTACTCGGCCCAGCTTCTCAAGGCTGCTTGCGTTCGTTATTTCTGTGAGAATCAAAGGAATATTATTAAATCGCCCGAATGGGAAGAAATGAAGTCGACTCGTCCTCATCTTCTTATTGATATTATGGAATTGGTTAGTTGAACGTTATAAATTGATAGAAGAGTTAAATTTTTTAGGCATTCACCGTCAATGCTTCTGGCTCACCATACGCCGATTCGCCATCATATGAAGTTGCCGATGAGTATAGACCACGCAAGAGGGCCCGCAGGTACCTTTAGTTTTTAATCAGTAACCGCATATTTGGCTTTTAGATCTGCTGTGTCTCCACAATAATTGATGCCATTCTTCTACGCGACTCGATTCTTTTTTTTTTGCAATTCTAGGGTGTTTTGTTTTTTCTTGACATAACTTTTGTTGCGGCATTAATTTTAACAAGTGTCTCAACGTTTTGCTTAGCTGGTGTTCTCTTTCGTTATCTATTACCTTCCATGCGACGTGTAGCCTTGTTTTTCCGAAAGACACTTGAACCCAGCTAGCATTTTACTTGTAACATTTCAATCAGCATTTTTGTGTTAGCTTTTCATTATTCCTAGTCGCGTTAAATTTTTGTTCATAGACCTATGTCCCCCATTTGATTGGTTACCGTTTGATCGTCGTTTGACCAGAGCTTATAAATATTGTTCTTTCAAAGTTAATATCAAAACGGGAGTTTTATGTCTTTCATATTTTATCTTTCTGAAATTTTAAAATCGTTGTGGAAACAAGGTTTTCGATGGAACTTTAGTAGACAGGAAAGGGGTTCTGACTTCTCGTTTTCCATTAAGTAGATAACATTCCTTTTTTTTGTTGATGTACAACTTGGTTTAAAATTGCGGCTCTTTACAGGTTCTAGTGGCATCTGTGAATGGCTGGTACTGTCGACAACCCGCATATATCACAAAGAAATCCGGCCTTACCGCCTGCTTCAGAAGTAACTTTAAATTTTGTTTTGTTTGCAAGATGCAACTTGTCTTTTGAATACCAAATTGGACTTTTAGGACTCGCAAAATGACCAAGGGTTATTTGGACGCCTATCTCAGCGGTGGAAAAACTACCTGTTGTTAAAGCGAATTGTGAGTTGGCGTTTTTATAAGTCAAACAAGACCTTTAGGCGAGTTTCGAAGCATTGGAGCTAAAAACGTTTGTAAGTCAGAAGTTGTTCAAGATCGACAGCATATTATGTGATGAGCAAACAAGGTTGGGCGCTTGAGTCTATTTGTCAATTCATTTTCTAGGGCAAATTTGATCGAGAAGTTGGTTGGAGATCCTACATGCATTAGCAATGATTTTGAGCGTGAAGAGATGATTAAAAAATATGGGTACGTTTTGTGGGGTTTCTAAATTACAAAGTTGCTAAAAGATGAGATGTAGTCAGGTCAGTCAATGATATTCATCAGTAAGGTTAAATCCATTAGTTTATTTAGCGGGCGAATGGTAAAGTGGGTGCAGAATCGTCTGCTTGGTTTGATGAGCGATTGGGATGAATTGGTAAAATTTGCCGCTGAAGATTTTCAAGAATTTCGCCTGGTATTACTACAGCAAACTGAATAGCTACAATTTGCGATTTAGCGTGATCCATTGTGCAATTGGTATCGCGGTTCACCGGAAGCCACTCTTCACGTTGTACAACGAATTGAGAAAATTGCAGAAAACATGAGCAATAAGGTTTTTCCCGTGATTTCTTATAATGCTTAAGTAGTTTTAGGTCCGTTGGAGTATACTAATTGAGCCGGGAAAGTTGACTTGTCACCTGATGGACTATGTCTCGGAATTCAGCCGCCTCGAGGCATTCTTTGTCAACAATGAGCTCAGCTTTGAAGAGGCCGATCAATCAACTTTTAATCAAAACTACTTGAAGAAGGCTAGAAATTCAAGTAAAATGTTGAATTTTTTATTTTCACATAAAAGTTTTAGCAATAGCTTGCCCGGAAATGTCTCGAGTCAAATTGCGGGATGCACCTCGTGATCAAAAGGGTGATGCCTGCTCGAACGATACACGTTCCAGGTTAACTTGGTGCTAAAAGCTAATTACCTATTCTTGTTTTAGACGCATTAGACTTGTGAAAGAAATCTTCAACAGCGATCAAGTACCCGAAGCCGCAAGTGACGATCAGACATAGTTAGTTTTCATAGCGTATCATAAATTTTGTGTTTTTAGTGGTACGACCGATTTTATTCATGCAAATTACATTCGTGGCGGCACCCTTCGGAACACATTCATCTGCACAGAAGCGCCTCTAGCCGAAACCCAAGAAGACTTTTGGCGTATGATTTATCAGGTTTTTTATTTGAAATATTTTTGTAGGAAGCTGTTTAGGAGAAGTGTGGCCTCATATTCATGCTTTGTACCGCAGTTGAAGGGACAACACTGGGGCTGCTCGAACATTTGGACACAGTTGGCGAAAGCAACATTGGGACAACACAAATGAATGATGCTCGAAACAAATTCTGCCCTTTCTACTGGCCCCGAAATGATCAAGATGAACTTGTTTTTGGCAATTTAATTGTCAAGAATTGTGGTGTTGACAGTGCCAAGGATCCGTTATTTAACGTCACTTGTCTTGAGGTTGATTTTGTGTTTCCATTTTAAGTCTCGGTCTTTTCAGGTATGGCGAATTGATGATACCCGTCGAGAAGAGGTCCTCTCGTTGGAGCATTGGCAATGGGATTGGACGACTCAGGTGGATGTGCATTGGCCTTTTCGTCTCTTACGTCGAGCTCGCACTTCACCTACTCCTACTGTCGTGCACTGTATAGATGGAGCAAGTCGAACCGGCGCTCTAATCACGCTTGAAGTCGTCTTAATGCATTTGCTTTCTGGTTGGTTAGATTGTTATCCATTTAATACATTTTAAAAACATTTGTTTTGTGTAAAAACTGGAACAAAATATACCATCTTTCGTTTCTGATGTAATACTTTAGGCTTTCCGTATGAAGCCAACCCTGTGCTCACCTCGGCGGTATTTGTTCGATTACAGCGTCGTGGAGCGGTTTGTTGTTTTGTTTTTGGTAAACTAACCGATAAAATTTTAGATATCGACGCCACTCCTCTACTTGTGGGTTTACCGGTGTCTGTTACATTGGGTTTCTCCATTTGTTTCTGGATGGCGCACGAGGCTTTCACTTGGATTGGTCTATTCTTCGACGGGATTCATTTCCAAGTACAACGAATATCTTCGTGATCATACACATTTACCCATACCTTTCTAATTTTGATTTTTTATCGATAAGCTCTTCACTTCCCACGTGTCTTTTCGTAATGCCTCTCGATCTAATTTTATTCTTGCCGTGGGTTGTGTCATTATCATTTCTGTGAGTGCCTTTTCTCTTCAAAAACTGATGTAACTTTGTGCATGTTGCTTTTATGTTTGTGAATAGTGTAATTCAGTTTGAATTTTTGTAAAATAAATTAATCTCATGAAAATAAAATGTGGGGGAATGCACATTAAAATTCTGCAAAAATGGCATACGGTCGAAGATTTCGTTTTGCATACTTGCATACGAGTTTCACTCATTAAGTTGCCACTTGAAATCCCGCCTATTGGCTCTTGTAATTTTGAAAGAGGATTATACAAAACTTCGCCTCAAGGGATTTGATTCTGTCTTGATCGGCGCAAAATTAGACTATTAAATTTTTAAAAAGATTCTTTGAAAGTGTGATCTTGATAATTTTGCTTGCGTTTTTGTCCCTTTTTACCGAGGGATAATTGTTTCTTTAAAAAACAAAAAGGAGCTCAAGGATCCAGGCAAATCTAATTTTCGTGCGAATCCAATATGTGCCCGTTCAATTAATAGAATTGAGCGCAAAAATATATGTTTCCCTCGTCGATTTTCTTTTTCGATTTCTCATTTCGTTTCCGTTATGAGTGGAGCTCATTTCACCTCCATTCAATCGTCATTTTCTGTCCTTTAAAAAACAAAAAGCTTCATTGGATAACAATCATTTTTAAGACTATTTCAGATTGGGTATATATTCTTTGTGTTTTCAGTAACAATTATCTGCAAGTTGGCACTTTCAGAGACTTTCGACGAAAATTCTCGATGCCTCATGGCGGAGAATAGCACTGGGGTGAACGATTATGTTGATCGAATCACGAGTGAGGAAATCGTTGTCATCAACAGTAATCTCCTCGTTGCGATCATCATCATTTCGGTGAGTGAGGCAAATGAAGATCTATATCGAGAATGAGTTAAGAGACTGAATACTCAAAAAATGGTAAACTTTGAAGTCAATCATGTTCAGACTGGTCAGCATTTGAACTCAGAACTCGCAATGTCAAAATGGGTTTTTTTTTATTCAAACAAGACTTTTCGCAAACGCACAAACATTTGCAGTAAAACTGAATTTTTTTTATAACCCAGTTTTTACAACTGGCATTTCAAAGTTTAAAAATTAATGAAATTTTTGAAAAAGCTTTACTTCAGAACCGAAAATGCTACCGATAATCATATAGTTAGGCAAATCCCCTCCCCTCCGCCCCACAAAACCCTTTCAGATCTCGATCTTCGGCATCTCCGCAAACTTGATGTCAATCTACTTGGCATCAACGTATCCCCAGCTGAAAAACAATTTCGGAGCCCTGTGCATTTCGCAGTGTCTCGCAAACACCGGTTTGCTCATCATTTTCCTCTTTTGGTGTGCGCCGATCACGTTGACGTGGGGTTTTTTTATTTCATACTATTTATGTAGCTATTTTAGATAAAAGTTTAATTTGCATATAAATCTGGGCAAAAAAACCCTTCTTTTTTTTTTATGAATCCGTTTCAAAAAACTTTAGCTCAAAGTTTCGTGTACATTTGTAAAAGTTACCATTTTCTTTTGCTAGCCAGATATTTCATTCAAAGCAAACACAATGATGCTAATTCATTGATTGTTTCTACAATTTTTCATTTTTTTAAAATTCCAACAAATCTCTAGAGGCTTTGGTGGGAAATCAAATACAACGACGACTTTTGAAAATCACCAAAAATCTATTGAGCTTTGAAATTTTGAAATTTTGATATCAAACTTTTGAAAAAAAGCATGACGATTTGATTACGGGTGAAAAAATGGAAACCTTGATCTTGATCTTGGTCTTGATCTTGATCTTGATCTTGATCTTGGTCTTGATCTTGATCTTGATCTTGGTCTTGATCTTGATCTTGATCTTGATCTTGATCTTGAAAAAGTTCTAAAAGTATGATTGCAATCAATTTTCAGCAATGCTCAAGATCTCTCAGTCGGCTTTTGGGGAAAATTGATGGGTCAATTGAACACGTTGTTTTGGGATAATTGTGTTTACTCGCATTTGGTCGTCTCGTTGAATCGATTGGTGACGATAAGTGGGTTTTGAAAGAAAAAAAAAAGGAAATTTTGGGAAATCCGATAAACTTTAAGATTTCATGAGATTTCAGCAAACGGTTCAAATTAGATGCAAATTCAACTTTGAAATCATTTGCAGCTTTCCCGACGAAAAGCGTTCATATGTCGGGTCGAAAGAGCACCGTTCTGCTGGTGGGCTGCTCGTGGACGATCGCCGCCATCCTCAACACACCCTATTTTATTCGTGAGTTCGAATTTTTTAATAGAAATCATTGTTTAATCGTAGCCTACATACACGTAATTTCATCACAAATGGTCTATGTTTTGGGAAATTTCAGTGAAACCAATTCCCAAAGTAATAGTCTTTCTTTGGTATTACAGTTGTAATAGTCAGACCTGTCTAGTCAGACCTGTCTAGTCAGACCTGTCTAGTCAGACCTGTCTAGTCAGACCTGTCTAGTCAGACCTGTCTAGTCAGACCTGTCTAGTCAGACCTGTCTAGTCAGACCTGTCTAGTCAGACCTGTCTAGTCAGACCTGTCTAGTCAGACCTGTCTAGTCAGACCTGTCTAGTCAGACCTGTCTAGTCAGACCTGTCCTAGTCAGACCTGTCTAGTCAGACCTGTCTAGTCAGACCTGTCTAGTCAGACCTGTCTAGTCAGACCTGTCTAGTCAGACCTGTCTAGTCAGACCTGTCTAGTCAGACCTGTCTAGTCAGACCTGTCTAGTCAGACCTGTCTAGTCAGACCTGTCTAGTCAGACCTGTCTAGTCAGACCTTTCTTTATCCAATCTATCTACTTTTTAGTCTTTATCTACTAATTTTAAATCTTTCAAGATTACGGTAGATTAAAAAAAATAGCCATGTTTTAGAAAAAAGATCAAAAGAGGGGAATGCACGTAACCCAGGGTTTTTAAAAATTGATTTCACGATTTTTATTTTAGTTTACTCTTAGCCATTTTGAACGGTTGATAAACTATTTGTAAGCAATGCTAGTAAGCGATCGTTATCGTAATTGTAAGCGATGCTAGTAAGCGATCGTAATTGTAATTGTAAGCGATGCTAGTAAAATTAAAAACTACGAAAATAAACGCAGCTAAAATCCTAGAGATTTTAGCTGTGTAACTGAAAAATGAAAATCGTGAGAACCTGAAAGGTACAGCAATTTTCATCAACAACCATACGTGCTTAATAATTGGGTAATTGAACCAAATTCAGAAATTTGTGGAGTGCGCGCGTTTTTTTTTAAAGAATGCAGCTACAATTCCTTGCAAAATGCGCGTGTGATCCGTGGGTGGAAAAAAAGGCAAAAAATTGGTTCAAAGTTGAAATCACCTTAAGAAACTGAATAAATTGAGGGATTTAGATGAAATTTTCAAAAAGAATTCAAAAAGAAAATGATCGTAAAACTTCAAAAATTTCAGGTGAATATTGTTACATTGTTTACAAGCCGATCACTTTCACGTGGAATTACGCGGACGGCGATTGTGGGCTGATTATCGGTGAGTTTTTGATTTTATCATTGATTTTAGAATAAATTTGAGTAATCGCTTTTAGGAACTTATTTGGATTGTTATCTTGGGATGACCGTTTTTGGGATCATTTCCTTTTTCGATGTCTACACGATCGTGAAACTGCGCTTCACTACGAAAAAGGTTAATAAATAAAAAGCAAAATGAAAAAAGGTTAATAAATCCGATAAAATAACGTGAGTCTTTTCTAAAAAGTGTCAACTTTTTTTGACCATAATCTTACCTCGAGTTTTTATCCAAGATTGATACTGAAAGCAAAAACATAAGAAACAAAATGATTGGTGATTTAGTAGTGTGCAGGATTGTCGTAAAATCAATTTTTCGGCCTAGGCCAGGTCCTAGCCAAGAGCTTGGCTTTACTGCACTTACACTTTCTTATAAAAGTCAGACTCAGTCTCTGAGTCAGAGCTGTACCGGGTTCTGAACCTGCTCTTGCAAACAAATCCTATCCGTTAGAAAATTCCTGGTATTGTTGAATCAACTATTATATTAAGTGCAGTTGATTTCAGAACATCGCCGGTGCCGGCATGAAAGACACATTATCAAAGCGTCGTGCCTTGGAGATTCGCTTCTTTGCTCAGGTTTGGGAAAATCGATTTCTATTTATTAGGTTGGTGAATTGAAAGCTGCCGGACTTTGAACTAAAATTTATTCAACATAAAACTATGAATTCATTCCAAATAATTTCCATTATTATTGACGACTTCTGCCCATTTTACAGGCAATTTGCGGATTCCTCTTTCGTAGTAGGATTTTAGTTTGTGTGTGAGACAAGTGTGAGACTCAAAAATGGAGGGCTGGAGACTGGAGGACTCCCAGTTTGAGCACTTTCTTCAAAAGAAACCCATTTTGGTGTCAATAGAAAAGTTGTAGAGAATCAAAAATTAGGCTTATAGCCAAATTTCCAAAAAGATACACTTAGTAGTTTCGCTTAAAATGCAAGTTTTGTGGAAATTCGTCAATTTGGCAATTTCTTGAAAACCAGTTTTTGAATCGTTCTGAAAATTTGGATATAAGCTTGATTTTTGATCCTCTACAACTTTCCCATTAACACCAAAATGGGTTTCTTTTGAAGAAAGTGCTCAAACTGTCACATATGACAATAGCCTGCAGTTTTCAATTCACCAACCCAATACATTTGCACTTTTTCAGAGTTGTGCGCAACTATTGATTTTCGCCTACATTTTCGCGAGTTTCTATTTCGTGTCCACGTTTTTCGTCTCGAAATGGGCGCTCTTCTTCACGGTGACTTTCTCGTGGCAGATTTGTCATGCGTTGGATGGGTAAGGGTTTTGAAAATAAAATAATCAGAATAGCTTTATCAATATTCAATTTTTATTAATAATCAATCAATATTAATAAAAAGAATTTATCAATAAGCGTTTTTAGATGCGTTTTGTTGTTATTTCATTGGAGGCGACAAACCGTGCAAAACACAAATCGCTTGGGTGGACAAACGATGATTCAAGTAAGGGAAACTGGAAAGTGTCAGTCTGGCTGTATATGTCGCATCCGCTCGTGATGCTCAGCCGCTAGTGATTGAATCACCATCGATCCATCGGCTAGTCGATGGTGATTTGTCACTATTTCGGCGTGTTTTATGGCATCGGGAATCCAATTGTATTTCTTTGTAGATTGATGCTGCGTAAGGTGATCGACAAATTTACTTTCCATTTCTAAAAAAAAATAACTAGAAAAGTTGCAAAAATACACGAAATAAATCGAAAAAAAAGAAACGATTGAAAGATTATTACTCATCTATTACTTAAAATAAAAATGATTACTCATTAAACACCGAAAAAAGTAATAGTTTGTGTCAGTAATGTCAAGTAATAGTAATAGTTTAAAAGATGGAATGAGTGGCGTTGCTTTCAATTTTTTAAAAAAGATGTTTTCGGCTAACTAGATGGTGATTCAATCTTTCAAATTCAAATTCAAAGCGGCTGAAAATCACGAGCGGCTGCGACAGATACATTTCAAAATCACAAGCATTGAGAAGATTTTCCTTTTTAATCTTTCTTCAAATTTCCTCATAATAAGAAACTTTTTCTCTTAGCTTTAAGATCAAATACAAGCTAAGCGGCAAGCTAAGCGGCAAGCTAAGCGATAAGCTAAGCGATAAGTTAAGCGATAAGTTAAGCGATAAGCTAAGCGATAAGTTAAGCGATAAGTTAAGCGATAAGCTAAGCGATAAGTTAAGCGATAAGTTAAGCGATAAGTTAAGCGATAAGCTAAGCGGCAAACTAAGCGGCAAGCTAAGCGATAGGCTAAGCGGCAAGCTAAGCGATAAGCTAAGCGATAGGCTAAGCGATAAGCTAAGCGGCAAGCTAAGCGATAAGCTAAGCTCAAATCTTACTGTGAAACTGATTATAAGCTTAAAGCTTGTTCAGGACGTTAGAATTTCTTACCCAATACAGGAAAGTACTTTTGTTTTAGCACAAAAAGAAAGTCATTTAACTAGTGCTTACGGTAAACTCGCAAAATTTCCATTAAAATTTCCATTAATTTTCCAGCTCGTCCACTCGCAACTGCCGCTCAAATCCGCGGTTCGTCCATGCTCAAATACCTCTAATACTTAAAACAATTTAAATCAAATATTAAATTTATAAAGTTTTTTTGATATCTTGAATCTTGAAACTTCAATTAAAAAGCCTTTAAAGACTTTTTCAAAAAAAAAAAAATTCTTTTAGAATCATTCGACGACGTCCACGATTTCCCCCAGTCAAATCTTGAATCACTGAAAAATTTCACCAAAAAGCGAATAAAATTCGAATCTTTTTCCCTTGTCGAATCATGAAAAAACTCAAAATATAAAAACTAGAAAAATCTCGAAATTTTCCCATGAAAACTTGCGGCAGAGGTGGCAAAATCGCTTAAATAAATTTCAGGGCATAAACTTCAACCGGTTAGAAGCAAAAATCACTTTTATCCTCAAAAAAAGTGATTGTAGTCATAAAGTTCTCACAGAGTCAGGACCTTTTTTGGGTGGCTTTGGAAATTTGTAAGAATTTATGAGATCAAATAAACTCTTTAGTCATTCAAAGCTTTTATTTTTCTTTATGAATTGACTTTATGAGACTTAAGCTTGATTTGCTTTTTCCAGCACGAGCGGCCTTTTTCCAGAACTCTAAACCGTGCCCCCGATTACTGTAACCCGTAACAAAGCTGTCGTAACAATAACTTTGGCCTTTGATATTCCGAAAAGGGAACCACCCTATGCCAAAGCCCTATGCCAGGTGGAGAGCGATTACGCGACCGCACAAAGAACACATCACTATCACCGAACACATCACCACCACCGAAAAGGGAACCACCCTATGCCAAAGCCCTATGCCAGGTGGAGAGCGATTACGCGACCGCACAAAGAACACATCACTATCACCGAACACATCACCATCACCGAAAAGGGAAGCACCCTATGCCAAAGCCCTATGCCAGGTGGAGAGCGATTACGCGACCGCACAAAGGACACATCACTATCACCGAACACATCACCATCACCGAAAAGGGAAGCACCCTATGCCAAAGCCCTATGCCAGGTGGAGAGCGATTACGCGAGCGCACAAAGAAAGATGGTAGAAAAAGATAATTCAGATGTTTTCGGGGTTTTCGGGGTCGGCGAATCGATTGGAGATATTCATTTTATTGAGTCGATTAGTCAAAACTCGAATTTACTTGATGCAAACTTTTAGATAAATCCCCTGTGTTTTGAACAAGTTTAACCAGATAAATTGTAACCCGTAACAAAGCTGTCGTAACAATAACTTTCGCTTTTGATATTAACAAGTTTAACCAGTTTATCTGGTTAAACTTGTTAATATCAAAAGCAAAAGGAACAAGTTTAACCAGATAAACTCGTTAAACTTGTTCAAATTTTTGATCACAGCTTCAGCGAAATCACTAGTTCCAGCGACTTTGCTTTCTTATAAATCTTTTTTTTTTTTTGTTTTTACATTAATTTTCTTCATTAAAGATCTTTAATCATTTAAAGCTTTTTATCGAATTTCTTCGTAGTACAGTCACTGTAACTTGCCCATAATGAAATGGGTTTCCGAGAAAATTTTCATTCGGAATGACTTTTAAAATCGAATCTGTTGACGGAGCCACATTGCGGCGAGAGAAAAAAAAAACAAGGCTTTCCGAAATAATAAACTTTTTTTCGAGCTTGGTACAAAATGTAAAAAGTTAGAAAGTTTTGTAAAGAATTGCAGGGGAAACCGATGAATTTGTTTGGTTGAAGGGAATCTGTTTTTGGGCGAACAGAACAGAACTGTACAAGTCTAAGTCATTTATCTTGTTATCAATTAACCATAGTAATGAGTACAATGTGTTTCTTTTGACAAATTTGTTATTACTACCATATTCTCTCTAATAGTAGTGCACCAAGAGCGTAGCCTAAATTCCTCGAAATCTCGAAAAGCGCTTATGAGAACCTATCGATGTGGGATTGGAAAATGTAGCTGACGATGAGATCTAGTGGGGGATTTGAGTGTTGAGCTTCTGTGAAAACTTTGGCAGCCTTAAAATAGTCACAAACTCGGCTCTACTCGGGTTGCACTACTATTAGAGAGAATACGGTATATTACTTTTAGATTCTAGATATAGCCATAATCAATCATTTTTTGATTACGTTACGGTTACGGTTACGGTAGCTGGCACACACTTTAGACTTACATTTCCCATAACGTTTCCATTTTTGAGCACAAAGTAACCATCAGAAGCCTTTAACCTAAAGCATAAGATAAACTTTTGAATAATATCCAATATCAAAATGCCGCATTCTCTCTAATAGTAGTGCACCCTGAGCGTCGCTTAAATTGCTCGAAATCTAGAGAACCGTTTATCAGAACCTATCGATGTGGGATCGAAAAATGTAGCTGACGATGAGATCTAGTGGGGGATTTGAGTGTTGAGCTTCTGGGAAAACTTTGGCAGCCTTAAAATAGTGATCAACTCGGCGGGGTGCACTAGCGAGAATACGGTATTTGTTATTTTCTAAAACGTTATACTTTTCTCGATTACTAACACTAGCTAGCTACAGAATCAGATGAAAATTAGAGAGAGAATATGGTAATGGTAGTAATAACAAATTTGTCAAAAGGAACACATTGTACTCATTACTATGGTCAATTGATAACAAGATAAATGACTTAGACTTGTACAGTTCTGTTCTGTTAGCCAATAAACAGATTTCCTTGAAAAGTGAATAGATTGAATAAAAGTAGAGAAAAGATGACGATAGTCTTAACAAATTTAACGTTTTAGAAAACAATTTAATGATCAACACCAACATCAACAACGTAATCGATTCTTTTTTTTTTGTTTATCTAATTCTGACGATAAAAATACTTTCATCAAACAAGTATGACTAAAGTGACTCATAGATTAGTGAAAAGTTCATCATTTTATTTAAAAGTTCATCATTTTATTGAAAAGTTCATCATTTTATTTAAAAGTTCATCATTTTATTTAAAAATTAACCACTTTTACAAGATTTAGACTCTCCGTCATGTTTTAATTCAAAAGAAAACTATAAATCACATCTCTCAAGGGATTTTTGTTTACTGTGCAGTCGATGAACCCTTAACTTTTCTTGGAAAAGAAAAAGTTTGAAGTTTTTTTTCTAAATTCCGAGTACAACATAATTAAAAGTTTAGAAATATTATAAATAAATTGAAAATTTCTCAATTGATATGAGGAAATCGTTTGGAGGGATGAGAAAGGGAAAGGAAAAGGGAAAGGAAAAGGGGAAAGAAAAAGGGAAAAGCTCTCAAGAAAGAAAAGAAAATTTGACATTGAATAATCAGGGAAACATTAAAAATGAAAATTATATCAAAATTTTGTTTTTTATAATGAAACGTGTCAATTTTTTGTGTGTAAACACCGTAATCTTCTCTCTACTTTTCATCCAATCCAACTTTTAGTCTGATTCTGTGAGGGTTTACAAAGGATATCGAAAGATATAAAAAGTCGATTGATTATCTTCTCGTCTGTAGGGAAATTGAAAGTATCTGTAAGCGAATTAGATCTTATTGCATTATTGGTCGTCAATAATTTCCTGGGGTCCCAGTTGGACCCCAGTTATTCAATGAGCTTTGACTTTGACTATTGGGTTGGTGAATTGAAAGCTGCCGGACTTTGAACTAAAATTTATTCAACATAAAACCATCGATTCATTCGAAATAATTACCATTATTATTGACGACTTCTGCCCATTTTACAGGCAATTTGCGGATTCCTCTTTCGTAGTAGGATTTTGTTTTGTGTGTGAGACAAGTGTGAGACTCAAAAATGGAGGACTGGAGGACTGGAGACAAAAATGGAGGACCAGTTTGAGCACTTTCTTCAAAAGAAACCCATTTTGGTGTCAATAGAAAAGTTGTAGAGAATCAAAAATTAGGTTATAGCCAAATTTCCAAATTTTCAAATTTTGGACGCGTTTTGCTTCAATCGAGATTGCTTAATGGTAATGGATTCTTAAATGTTGACCTTTTATTTCTATTTCTCTTCAATCCATTTCTTCTAATAAACGTAGAATGTAGATAACTTTTTTAGGCTTATTTCAGAAATCTTGGTTATCATAAGCTTACCGTTAAACATCTAAATCTAGCAACTCCTTTTTGAATTCTCTTCAAAAACTAGAGAATCTAGAAAGTAGAAAGTTAAGAAAACTTTGACAAATCGAATCGATTATTTTCAATTCATTTCTTTTCACTTTATCGATTTTTTTTCTCTGGAAATGATTTCCTTTTCAGAATGCTTACAAAAGACGATATTGGTGATGCGTGGAATCCAGAGAACACTCATCTAGTCTCTGCTATTCTGGCAATTGTTCGTTTTCAATAAAGAAACAAAAAAAAGCTAGATAACGCATCTTTCACCGCCCATCAACCTAAGCTTGTAGTGTAGTGGATAAAAGTGTTGTGTCTCCTCTGCTCGGGTTCGATCCCTTCCTTTTCTTTTCATTTTATTTTGATCACCACTCATCGCTCGAATTCACTTAAGCTTTTTAAAACCTAGTGAGATCTTTTACTCAAAGAAGAAATCGAGTGTTTACACCAAAACTTTCTTTGTCAGCTTTAGGTCCGTTTTATGTCAACTTTAGGTCAGCTTTCGGTCAGCTTTAGGTCAGCTTTAGGTCAACTTTAGGTCAACTTTAGGTCAGCTTTAGGTCAACTTTCAGGTCAGCTTTAGGTCAACTTTAGGTCAGCTTTAGATCAGCTTTAGGTGAGCATTCTCGGGATCACCGCAAATCTGACTGCTATCTATATTGTGCATACAAATAACCACTTGAAGAATTGTTTCGGTATGATTTCCACCTCTCAATACACTTCGAATTCGGGTCTCTTGTTGGCGTTTTTTCTTTGGTGCGTTCCGAATACGTGGTGGTGAGTTGGAGATGATTTTTAAAAAGAAAAGAAAACCCGAACTTTTACAGCGATACCGTCAACCTTTCCGTTGGCTTTTGGGGGAAATGCGTGGGTCAAGTGACGATTTTCTGTTGGCATCACTGTGTTTGCTCGCATTTCACCATCGCTATCAATCGAGTTTTGACAATAAGTAAGAATA